GAGTCCATTATGTTTGTATGTTTATAGTTTGTTTATAGTATGGTTATAGTATGTTTATAGTTTGTTTATAGTATGTTTATAGTATGTTTATAGTTTGTTTATAGTATGTTTATAGTATGTTTATAGTTTGTTTATAGTATGTTTATAGTTTGTTTAGAGTATGGTTATAGTTTGTTTATAGTATGTTTATAGTTTGTTTATAGTTTGTTTATAGTATGTTTATAGTTTGTTTATAGTATGTTTATAGTTTGTTTAGAGTATGGTTATAGTTTGTTTATAGTATGTTTATAGTTTGTTTATAGTTTGTTTATCGTATGTTTATAGTTTGTTTATAGTATGTTTATAGTTTGTTTAGAGTATGGTTATAGTTTGTTTATAGTATGTTTATAGTTTGTTTATAGTTTGTTTATAGTATGTTTATAGTTTGTTTATAGTACATACTGGTGTCAGTCATTACCCATAGCTCATGACCAGAGGAGGCCAGGGATGTAGACTGACCAGTAAATCAAGAGCTTTGGCTTTTGACATGGCTCCCCCTTCACCACAACAGTCTGATACAGCTCTGACTGCAGACGCTGCTCCCTCTTCACCACAACAGTCTGATACAGCTCTGACTGCAGACACTGCTCCCTATCCACAACAGTCTGACACACGACCCTCCCTCTCTGGCGAGATTCCTGACCTCCTCCACTTGAGGCAGGACCCCAGCCCCTGCAGAGGCCTCTTTGTCCCAGAGCTGGTCCTGGTTTGTTGAAGCCATGACAGCATGGGAAAGGTGCCCTTCAGGTGCAGAGCTCCTTCTTCGAGAAGAGTTCAATTCAATTTATTTTTGTTTAGCCCCTAATAACAAGGGCAGTCTCGGAGGTAATTTACAATTTGTCAATTCACCAACAGCAGATCAGAGAAACAAACAGTTTGAACACAGGAACTGCAATATTAACAAACGCATAGACGGCTCCCTCATCTGGGTTGATTTTAATTGCCTCTGAAATCAGGTCAATCTGAGGGACCTGTCAATCAAGCTGACCCCGCCTCAGGGAGTTTAGGAGCTGATGATAAATGTCACCAAGAGATACTTATTAAAGGACTCAATGACTTACACAACTGTCTAACATAGATTCAAATGAGTGTGGATCAGACTGATGCAAAACAGCAGAGACCTGTGGAGATGTTCTTTAAACATTATGTATACTCAGTATACTTAAGTAATCCAAAAGTAATGTTATAATGGTAGTTACTTACTTGAGTAGCGTAAACTTGTATATTTATAAAAAGTAATTAGTAGTATGTAACCAATTACTTTTTAAACACAACACAACACTGCTTGACTTAGCCTCTAAAGTGCATGCTACATACGGTTCTTTAATTCTTTATTCAAATGACTGAAATGTGAACAAACATGTTGTAATGTGTGTAGACCCTCTGCCAGCGCCTACACGCTGTACTTTGGGAAACAGACTCAGAGCGGCTCTAACCCTCACGAGGTGACGCGGCCTGTGTCTCAGATCATCGTTCACGCCGACTACAACAGCACGACCTTCAACAACGACATCGCTCTGATGAAGCTCAGCAGCTCCATCACCTACAGCGACTACATCAAACCCGTGTGTCTGGCCTCCAGCTCCAGCCTCTTCCACAACAGCACCTCCTGCTGGGGCACGGGCTGGGGCCGCCTCTCCAAAGACGGTCTCTGTCCCTCCACACCACCATCCAGGAAGTGACACTTGTGTTGTATTCACTTTGATTATTTCACAGAACCGTTGGTCGCCCATGACGTCCTGCAGGAGGTGCAGATCCCTGTGATCGGGAACCAGATGTGCTCTTGTTCCTATCTCAAAGTTGAAAACGCAAGCATCACGTCTAACATGTTGTGTGCTGGAGAACTGGGGAAAGGAATCTGCCAGGTCAGAACCAGAACATGCTTAGGTTTCATTCCGATATTTTAAAACGGGAGTAAAAAAGGAAACCGTACGTAATTGCTCTTATCCACCATTATGGCCATACCCACAGAAGAAAGCTAGATCCTGTCAGACCTCTGAAGCTAAGTAGAGCAGGGTCTGGTTAGTGCTGTGATGGGAGACATCTGGGAACACCAGATGTCACAGTGGGGCGGCTGTGGCTGTAAAGCGCCAAACTGTCGTTGCTGTGTCCTTAGGCAAAACACTTTACCTAAAATAGAATTAGTCTACTGTGTGTGAGAGAGAGTGTGTGTGTGTGTGTGTGTGTGTGTGTGAGTGTGTGAGTGTGTGAGTGCGTGAGTGCGTGTGTGTGAATGGTTGGTGATGGTCTGAGGGGCAGATGGCACATACTGGTTACCTCACCTCTGTCAGTGTGCCCCAGGGAAGCTGTGGCTACAGTAGTAGATTAAACCAATGCATTATTATTTTTCATTATTATACATTTCTGATTACAAGAGTGGAATGAATACATCAAAATCAAAACTCTAAATAAATATAGTATGATGATGTTTCCTCAGGGCGACTCTGGTGGGCCTGTGCAGTGCAAACAAGGGACCAAGTGGATCCAGGCCGGGATCTCCAGTTTTGGGATCCCCTGTGCCATTGGTTTCCCAGAGGTCTTTGCCAGAGTCTCGGCGTATCAGGTGTGGATCACAGGTCAAGTGTCCGGAGCAAGCATTTCGTTCGTGGAGTTTACTTCCAGTGGCACTGATCCCGACAGCAGCTTTAGGTGTCTAAACTCCACAGCTGCTCCCAACGCCGCCGCCTCCACAGACCTGCCCTTCTGCACCGTCCTGCTCATGGTTTTACTGCAGCCTCTTTTGGCCTGAAGTTACCGGAGAAATATATGTATTCAAACATTATTTAGCTAAGAAACAAGAAAACTGGTAATTGGGAAAATTGGAAATCTTTCTAGTAATTGGGAAGATTAAGAAAAATATATCCTTTATTCGACCCACATTGAGGAAATTTCAGTGTTGCATCACTAGTTACATAACAGTAGGAATGAAGAACACACGGCACAAAAATAGTGAACAATAACTCCATACTAAAATATGACCAAATCTCTAGCTTTAGCATAATAAATAAGTAAGTGCAAATTACTGCCATACATAACATTTTGGATTTGAGCCACTGATCACTGCACCTTCATGCAGAATGTGTCCCTGATTTGCTTCTTGCGGCTTTCACACTTTCAACGCTGACTTTCTATTGACCCCTCGTCCATACTGGCCAGTTTGTGTAGTATATGTAGCATAGTATGTACAGTATGTGTAGATTCCCAAAAAATAAAATAAAATCTTTGACTTTTGCACAATTAAGAAGTAAGCATAAAATAGTGTACAGGGGAATCTGATGTTACCCGCTTTGTGAACTGTTTGGGTGATAAATTAAAACGTCTCCTTCTTATCCAGCTGTGACCTCTTTTGTGTTATCACCTGCTTTTAAAACCTGACTGAATGATCCTTAAAAACACAGAAAATAGTGTTGTGTCAAAATCAAAATCAAAATAAAGAACCAAAACTTTTCAACCAAGATGTCTGGATGTAATCATTTGCAATCAGTCTCACTATTAATGTAAGACTCTTCTGACAAAATGACATTAAAAGCACAAACCCCATCAGGAAAAATAAGAGCAGGTTGAGATTTATTATAATTCACAACTAATTTAATAGTTCTAGAGGTGTAATGCTTTTGAATCAAGTTCCCTAAAGTTTGTTTCATATCCTTTTTTAGATGGTCGTCACATCACGAGCAAGGACCACACCACAACAATAGAAATAACTGTTGATACCATGCGGCCTGATGAGGATAGGGGCTCTCTCTCTCTCCAGTTATCTGCCTTGAACCCTGTGCAAGGCAGAAGAGAGGGTGGGATGGCAGGGGGAATCTTGAATGAATGCCTTCTGGGTAATTTAGTAGTGACCAGGAGAGGTGGGTTTGGCCTGCTCCCTGACCTTACATCCTAACATGGCACAAAAATTTTGTAAATTGAGCCGCCGATTGCCTTAGGGATCTGTCTGTTTTATAAATGACTGGTCAATATCTGTTTACCTTATTTAGAAGCACATGTTAAAGACACTCAAATCTCTATTTCCTCTTGTGGTTTAATTACTGCAGTTGTTTGAACGTCTGTTGTGTCAGAATGGACCAATGGTGTATGTGTTTTTTTATATTATTGCATTTCTTGTGTTTGAACTGTTTGATTCTCTGATCTGTGTTGGCGAATCGACATTTCAATATTTGACTTGCATTGTTTTAATATCCCCAGTGTTTTCTCTGTAGGAGCCCTGTGCACTGACTGTGGGGGTCTGCTGTGACGGTGGGTCTGGGGCCTCGGCTTCATCTCTCCTCAGTGTCATGTGTAAATGGCCATCCTTATGTTTTGTTTAATGATTTGTGTGTGTGACCATAAATTCTATAACCACTGCTGCCATGGGGCAGACTGATGGAAGCATCAGACCTGTAGTAGGCGCCACAGAGGCCACTTGCACCTGCTGCTCATAAAGTCCCATTTCAAATGGAAAAATAATTATAACTTTTTCTGGAGAATTATTGTATTTTTTTCACAAAGATATGAAAGGTCTCTGTCTGTGTGGGTTTTCTCCTGGTACTCCGGTTTTCCATGACCTAAAAAACTGTGATTTATTCAGCACAACATCAAACATCTCTGTAATAGCACTAATCATTCTGTAGGTTTACAAAACGTTCTGTTTTCGCTTATTTGCTTAATCTCAAATTGAAGCGTTTTCCCAAAAGACGACCACAAAGTAAAACACAAAGCAGGTTATGGTAATACTTTATTCCGTGGTGAAAATATAAATCTCAGATTCGATGGAAAGCTACCAGGGAATAACAGGTACAATGTGTGTAAAAACAGTTCAATCTTCACCTGCAAACACATAAAAGGGAATGGAGGAAGAATTGGGTTCTGGAGGTGTCTCTTTTGTCTTTTTGTTTTTTAGTTAACATAATTATGTGGGTTCTTCTTGTTCGTGGGGAGATATTAATACAGTGAATTGGAAATTGCAGTGTCCATGTTTAATAAGCGTGGTTTTCCACAAAGAGTGATTCTCCACCAGCAGTGCTGGACGCAGAGGTGACATATTTGCCCTGGCAGGCCTGGCTGTTGGCCTGGAACAGATAACACACATACCAACATTATAATTTCATTGCAGCATATGGCTCACGTGATAAACAAAAGATTAACTTTGGCCAAAATACCCACCAAAGCTCTCTTCACGAACTCCTCCTGACAGGCTTTCCCGTTCTCCTTCTTGCCGCCCCAGGCTTTGAGAGCTGAGGCCTGCAGAGCACGGCCATAAGAGAAGGTCAGGGCCCAGGGCTTGTGCAGAGGACAGACGTTCATGGCGTTCAGGTTGATTGAGGCCTCCTCTTCAGACTGGCCTCCAGACAGGAAGGTGATCCCTGAAACAACACATGTCTAAATCTGTTCTCCTGCATATGGTGGAGGTTGCTCCACTTTCCTAATAATGATACAATCTTTAATGAGGGCTGTTGTTCTCACCGGGGACTGCAGGGGGCACTGTACGGCGCAGTGCAGTGACTGTTGCCATGGCGATCTCCTGGTTGCTGTATTTGTGGGAGCAGGAGTGTCCGGCGGTGACCATGTTGGGCTTCAGCAGAGTGCCCTCCAGGTAAACGTGGTGGTCGGACAGGGCCTTGTAGACCGCCGCCAGGACCTTCTCTGTCACGTACTGGCAACGCTTCAGGTCGTGGTCGCCGTCAGGCAGGATCTCCGGCTCCACGATGGGGACGATGCCGTGCTGCAGAAGCAGAAGCTCAGAGTCAGAGGTGGAAAGGCAGAGAGAGATTCAGTGATGATGTTTGTGTGGTTACCATCTGGCAGATGCTGGCGTAGCGGGCCAGCACGTTGGCGTTCTCCACGATGGCCAGTCTGGAGGGAGTGGTGGGCGTGATCTTCAGGACGCAACGCCACTTGGCAAAGTCTGCCCCGTCCTTCTTGTACTGGGCGCAGCGCTCATAGAGGCCGTCTAGACCTGTCAATCACGAAGGAGAGAAACATTCTGTCTCAATGCACTTGAAGCATTTACAGCTAAGAAAGATGGCAGCTCCTGTGTGAGAATTATTATTATTATCATTACTACAGTAACATTGATGGTAATGAGATACTATGGCACGTTATAGTTCATTTTAAAGCTAATGTTCACATTAAAACAACCATTTAATTTCATCTGTTCTAAAATGTTAACTTAAATGTTAACAAATTAGTTTAAAGTTATGCTTAAGTATTCAATTACATCTCTTCTTGATATTTAGCACAATTGTGGTTGAATCTAAACCTAAATTCTATAATCGAATCCAAACTCATGTCAAATAAAATATGTCAAAACACAAAAATATGTTAAAATAAATCACTTTTACCAGTAACTTGGCGCTGGAGAAACTGACTTATTTCGGCCTTTCTTATACTTATACTTTGATTTGTAGAAAATTACTTTCTTGTGGTTGAGTGAAAGGTGGGATTTCTTGTGGAAGGAGCGATTTTATGTACTTTTCTTTTTCAATTTGTGTCAGTGTGTGTTTTATGTTTTGTCATAAAATTAAAAACTTCAATTAAAAAAATGGTGAGAAAAAAAGTAAATAATTTTTATACTTTTGGCCCCAACCAGCTCTTATGTTTTTCAATTTGACCCCAGACAAAAATGAGTTTGACATCCCAACATGACATTTCCCCACTGAAGGTTCTCTCATCTTATCTCGTTTCAGAACCCCGTCTTACCCTGGGTGGTGGTCTCTCCGTTAGTCCCGGCCAGAGGGACCACACCTTTGTCCACTTTGATGCCCACCACCATGTTGCGGTCCTTCAGGTGCTGAGTGAAGACCTTGCCGTCGTCGGTCTTCTGGTACATGGTCTCATGGAAGAGGATGACGCCGCCGATGCAGGGGCTGATGCGGTCGTCGGCAGTGAAGAGAAGCTGACGGTACAGCCTCCTGTTCTCCTCCGTGTTCTCAGCGTTGATGCTCTGGAAACGCTTGGCCACGCTGCCTGCATCACCACAGGTACTCAGACTGTTACTATTGTTTACTCTGCTCATATTCTCTGCTGCTAAAATACAATTTACAAATCTGTAAATACGTCTGAAACAAGTGCAATTATAGCTTATTTAAGTGCAGTAATAGTTTATTTTATTTCATTCTATTTTACCGTCTTATTACTTACTTAAAGATGCTATATCCGATTTATTTTCTAATAAAAATGCTTATTACTACATACAAGTTGTATTATAATCCGTGATTGAATCGAAAACTTGAGCTCATTGATTCAGCTGTGTATGAATTCAGGCCGTAAAAAGGGCTGAGGCCTGCTCTCCTCCACTCACAGAACGAGGCTGTGTCCTCTAGCCCAGGGATGTCATTCATGTGGCCCGCGGGCCAAATCCGGCCCGCCAAGAGATTGGACACGGCCCGCGGCTCATTTATGTAAAATGATTATAATCATTTAAAAAATAAAAGAATCCGCGCGAGGCTCCACCAGAGCGTGTTCTGTGACTGACTCGGCGAAAAATACGACACTTTGAGCAGATAATTGAGAAGACAGAAGATAAACATGTCTGGCTCTGAAGAAACAGCGTCTGTTTGTGCCCAGAGCGAGAGGTTAGTGATGCTGCTGTAAAGGGAAGCTACCTGAGTGCTAACCATAACATAGCAATAGCATCGCAGCCGCACAGTGAGAGAGAGTTTGTTAAAACTCTTATACAGGCTGCAGACATGGTCTGAGAAACGACACGCTGTCACCAACATGTTTCCATTGATAAGAAACTGATGGTACTGATGTCGCATATTCATTTGTGGTGTTACTGAAACTTTGACGATCACAGAGGAGATTTGAGCGTTGGTGCTGGTGCTGCAGCTGGTGCGTTGGACAGTGTGGACTGGTCCTGCGCTCTCAGCCTGGTACCGAGGGTAAAGCAGTGACAAAGCTGCAAATGGAGGTGATGATTTTTGGACATTTTCACTGTACTTTACACAAAGACACTGCTGCAGTCGTTAAGAATGGATCACGTTATGGAACTTGTTTTGTTCATTTCAACTGAATCATGGTCAGTTTGATGCTTTCTCTCTGACAATAACATAACCATGGACCTTACCACACTGAAGAAGGTTAAGCTGAGGTGCTTTTCTATCTACCTACTTTACCTTTGTGAGCAAGTTTTCTCTTAAAACAAAGCTAACAGACAAATTATTATATTAATATAAATATTTTGAAATGCCATTTACAATATAATATTGTAAATACATTACATTATTTGCACTATAAAAAACTCAGTTACATTTAAGTTTATAACAGATTTACAGATAAAACTGAGCGAGTATTAAAGGACAGCGTTTTAAAGGAAGTTTTAAATAAATGTGTTTTTGTGCACAAAAAGGTGGACTTTGTAATTTTTGGGGTATTTTTGTAGAACATCTTCTGGTCCGGCCCAGTTGAGATCCAATTAGGTTGTAATTGGCCCCCGGACCAAAATGAGTTTGACACCCCTGCTCTAGCCTCTACAGCGCTGCTAAATACAGTAGCATGTTAGCAGAAGTGGCTATAACTCATCTGTCTGTAACTGCAGACACAACAAAACAGTCCAAACGACACAACAGTGAGGAAGAGAAGAGGGAACTAAAGCCAAAAAATGATCAAAGAAGAAATCAAGCCCTGAACATAGCTAGCTTACATCGTATCCTCTGGAGAGACTTGTCTGTGGGAGAGACCTGCGGGACCGCCTCAGACTATCTATGCTCGGACTATCTATGCTCGGACTATCTATGCTCGGACTATCTGTGCTCGGACTATCTATGCTCGGACTATCTGTGCTCGGACTATCTGTGCTCGGACTATCTGTGCTCGGACTATCTGTGCTCGGACTATCTGTGCTCGGACTATCTATGCTCGGACTATCTGTGCTCGGACTATCTGTGCTCGGACTATCTATGCTCGGACTATCTGTGCTCGGACTATCTGTGCTCGGACTATCTATGCTCTGACTACATTCAGACGCGAAACTTGCGCCACCACTATCATTACGATTGTGGTGGCGGGAAAATCTATTCTGTTCAGTATCGCGATATTTTGTACACGCAATTAAATCGATGCGGTAGAGAAAAGTATTGCGATATTGCATTAAATAATGATCGGTTCCATTTTAGTATTTTCTCTGAGTTCATAAAGTTCATGAGTTCATGTGTCATTTCCATCTATGATGTCTGCTTGTTGTGACATGCATGGACAGAGGTCTACTCCCCATATGGACCAATCCCTATGTGTTCTATATCTGTATATCTGAGTTTGAACTTTTTGATTCTCTGATCTGTTTTGACAATTTCAACGGTTTTGTGAAGACCTTTGGGATAACTACTGTTGTGATTTAGGCCTATTCAAGAATACATTGAATCGAACTCTAGTCTGTGGTATGTGACTAATGTAAGTTCAGTGCTGGGAGCTCAATATTCACGTAAAAACGTCCTGTGTCCTGAATGTTCAAGGATCACATTTTTGCACTTCCCTTCTCAGTGTTTGCTTCAGGCGATAATGTGACATTTGACTTGAGTCATATTTTCGTCCATGTTCGTAATTGCCTTAGAAAAATATGAGTGACATGAATCGCAACAAATCGCAGAATCGAATCACAAAACTGTCTGTATCGCGATATGTTAAGAATCGCAATAATATTGAATTGTGGCCCAAATATCGTAATACTATCGAATCATGATTTTTGCCAATTCCCAGCACTCATAATGATTACAGAAGAACAAATATATGTGAATGATGAAATAATAAGATCTATATTATGTTATCTTTATCCATGTTACAGTTATTTACCAGTAGATTCATCTGCAGCGAGAATCCCTTTGCCGGGTGCAACGATCCTTTGAGCAATATCGCTGAGCTCCTTCTTCTGCTCAGGAGTGAGGAAAGGATATGCGTGAGGCATCTTGACTCTGGGGACACAGAACAGTGGGATGTTTATCAGACAGATCATATATAAGCTCATCCTATCCACTTTATTTATATAGCACAATTCGTTAACAAGCATTTTCCAAAGTGCTGTATCACAAAAACAACAACAAAAAACATAGTATCAAAATTAGCAGCAAATGAATGAACACACACATATATAAAAATCAAATAAAAACACTCACGTGGTGTTAAAAGCCGGAGAATAAAAATGTGTGGTGATTAGAAAGAAGTGTCAACAGTAGTGCAGGTTTCTTTTCAGTCATAGTGCAGTGACTGAAAGTGACTTGTTGTACAGTCTGACGGCGGTGGGGATAAAGGCCCTGCGGTAGCGCTCCTTCCTACACTTACAGGAGTGAAAGGTTCTCTATCTATGAGCAACATTTTCTGTGTGGGTTTCTTCTTCTGAGGAAGTGATGCAAGACCTGCACGAAGGTCAGCCATGTTCCCGTTTCTGTGCTCGGCCCGTGGTGGCTTTGTGGCTGGATAACTGCAGCCGCACGCACACACACACACACACACACACACACACACACACACACACACACACACACACACACACACGAGCTAATTCAGGCACAATGTGGGGCATCGCAAGGGTCTATTCTCAGCCCCCAGCGCCTACAGGGGCATGTGGGCGACCTATTGCATTTCCCAACGCCATGCCCTCGACCTTTTGCTTGGCCACTTCACCCCCCCGCCCCTGCCCCTGCCCCTACCCCCTAACCCCTTCTCCCCCCGGTCTGCAGGTTGCTCCCACTCAGCTGCTTTACAATGCATGGACTACATATGCAAACAATTTTTATATGACTTAGGTTACTTGGTTATGAAAACTTTATATAAACGCTCAATGTGTAGTGTTTCAGGTTTATTATCATACATTTTTCAATATTTTTTCTTTTCTTTCTTTTGCATTGTGAGTGTGTTTGACTATAGGAGACATAATGGAGCAACCAGCTGTAATGAATCGAACCGTTTTCTTGCATATTTGAAGACATACAGACGGGAAGTTCTCATCAGAGTAGTGGCATTATTCTCATTAAACCTTACAACAGTGCATTGTCAGTGCATTTTAATTAACAACCAAACACTTAACTCTGCTTGAATAACAGGATGAAAGAACAATGCACGGTCACATACACACACAAGCTATTTTTAACAAAGGCACATTCCTCCTCCGTCCTACTCCAGACATTTTTGCTCGAGTCCATCTAAATATTGTTGCTTTTTGCCTGAGTATTTATATTATTTAAACTTCCCTTTCTCATAGGAAACAAGCATGTGAGCTTTCGATTTGTATGCATTATTTTTCATGGAAATTTGTATAATTTTTTGATCTATTTAAAAGTGTTTCAGAAAATATTTGGTTTTATTATCATCATTTATTGCGCTATAGTCCTTGTAACTTCACTCAGCTAATCTATGGAGCTGTGGTGTCACTATTCTCATCAAAATCTATCTTTAAAATGCATTAAAATCATTCAAAACTGAGAAATGCACATGTTTTAAACCAAAAATGAAGCGATTTATTTCCAGCAAAGCAAAAAAACGACTTAAAAAAAGCAGGTATTTGACCACTTTTCTAAAATTAGGTCACGACTAGGATTGGATTGTTAAAGTTCTGGGTAATATAATATTCACCCCATAACTATATGCACTGAGCAGACACAACTGTTTTTTACCTGTAGCTGCAGAAGTGCTGGGAGGATAGAGAGGAGATCAGGCCTTCGACTGCGACACCCTTTGCAGTTTGCTGGCTCTTGTATTTATCCTGCCATTGTGACCCCTCACATTTCAGCTGCCAGGCTATAAAAAGACCAGGACGCAACCAGAGATAGCTCGTGACATTCAGGCAGACTGTGGCTGGAGTAGCATAGTGGAGCGGCCACAAGGAAAGGGCAAAGAGTAGCATGCGAATGATAAAGAATAGCCAAGACAGTACTGTGTGTTTTAGCTGTTTATACCAGCGGCAAGAACTTTTATATGTTATTATGTCATTTACACTGCGAAAAGTGAGGAAAAATAGGTCAAAAAGGTCGCCAATGTGACTAAATGTAATTCTTTGACTGCCATTGACGTATTTGTCTGAGACTGGTGTTTTCTGTCAAACTTCCCTCTATTCGACTGGGCATTACAGGAGAACAAAACTAGCAAGAAACCAACATATTTTTGCTGATGAAAGTAGACAATCCAGTCTTTCAGAATCTAGTTTAATATTTTACATAGTCAAAGCACTTAATATGCCGTGGTTCTTGAGAATCAGTGAAATCATCCAAATCGGCTGTTTTTTTTTTTCATTTCATATAATTGAATATAATTTCACATAATTTGGAATGAGAAAATAAAGCAACCATTCGTGAATTAAGACTAAAGGGCTTTGTCGTGTTGGAGAATCTAGTTTTAACACAATCAGAATGTACTCAGATTACGCATCTATCACCTCATATTCCATTGCTTTTTTGCAGTGATGAGTATGCATTTTCCGTTCGCAGGAGTTGTATTCAAGTATTTTAAGTAGCAAGATAAGTCTGTACGTGCAACACCTTCACTCACTCAGGAAAGAGCCTGTGACAAAATAACAAACCTTTCTGTGACCTATCTGCGGCATATTCAGCTGCGTACAGTAGTGTGGGTCCACCCCTTAAAGGTCTGTTTCTCAGTCCCACGTTCATTTGAGGACTAGAGCGATACACATTCTAACAAGTTTCTATATTGGTGGTTCCGCAGATGGGCCCACTTCCTGTTCAGGCTTAAGTCATTATCAAAGAGGGAAGCCTGTCTTTTTTATTTTTACATTTATTTCCAGTTAGTCACAGAAGTAAGTAATAAGTAAGCAGTATACGAGCGTTAAAATCAAAGAAGACTTTTCCCCGAAACTCAAGAAGTAGCGATGATGTGAACGTGTCGGGCTACTTCTATAATAACACCACATTTCATATACAATAGTCTTGAAGCTGTTTTTTTAAAGTCATTTTTATCAGTGTGCAAAATGACTTCTCCAGTTACTTATGTGAACGCACAGGTGAAACTCAGACAATTCCCTCAAAAGGGTTAACTAAACTATAAACTAATAAACTAAAATATGATTCAGACTCATCACATGCAAAGGGACCTTTTCTGTGGACGATTGTGGCTTTCAGTTCAGTTACAAAATATTCTAATGTCCTGTTTACGTTCAGGTTTTTGCAGCTACTATTAACAACAACTGGTCTCTGGTCTCTCTTTAGTCTCTCTCTGCTCTCTCTCTCTCTCTCTGGTCTCTCTCTGGCCCCTCTGTGGTCTCTCTGCTCTCTCTCTGCTCTCTCTCTGCTCTCTCTCTGCTCTATCTCTGGTCTCTCTCTGCTCTCTCTCGTCTCTCTCTGGTGTCTCTCTCTGGCCCCTCTGTGGTCTCCCTCTGCTCTCTCTCTGCTCTCTCTCGTCTCTCTCTGGCCTCTCACTGCTCTCTCTCTGCTCTCTCTCTCTGGTCTCTCTCTGGCCTCTCTCTGATCTCTGTCTGCTCTCTCTCTGGTCTCTCTCTGGTCTCTCTCTGGCCTCTCTCTGCTCTCTCTCTGCTCTCTCTCTCTGCTCTCTCTCTCTCTGGTCCCTCTCTGCTCTCTCTCTGCTCTCTCTCTGCTCTCTCTCTGCTCTCTCTCTCTGGCTCTCTCTGGTCTCTCTCTCTGCTCTCTCTGGTCTCTCTCTCTGGCCTCTCTCTGGTGAGTAATCTATATACATAAAGATTACTTAAATACAGGCTTGATTTCCTGTTTCTCACGTTGGGTTTAAAGAGTCTTACATGTTTTAGTTTCACACTCTAAATTGAAACACAATAGTAGATCGTAAAGACTTTTGAACTACATTCTAATTGTCTGAGTTGCCCCTGTTTTATTTAACGCACAAGCTTGTCGTAAAAAAAAACCATCAAATCTAATGCAACACATTTCTGTCTTGTTGTGGTCATCTCTGGTGTTTTTAAATAGCGATCAGTGAATTGTTTTCTCACTGCCTTTATATGGTGACATTGACAACATTTAGCCAGTTGTCTCCGCCTCCGCCTCCAGTTCCTCAAATATGTATCTGCCCCTGAGTAATGTGGACCTGTCTGCCTGTCTGGGTTCTGGTATACCACGGAGCAGCACCATGTCTGGGTTTCAGTCTCTGGTCATCTTGGCAGGTGAGACGTGTTGCCATGGAGATAGATGCCGGTACCTTTGGGCTTTTCCTCGCTCTGGTTCTGTGTTTGATGGTTTGGTTTTTGGTAGATGTTGCCACACTCTCGCTAACTCACTGTTAGAATCCAAATGTATGAATCACAAATGCAAATATCTTTTAATTCCTCGTGTGAGTCAGGGCTTTCAAACGCATTTCAATTCAGCTGCAAAAAGACCGAAGGAGGGCTTTTCTCAGTGGTAAATGATAAATCTTCTTGATTGATTTGTTAGATCACATTTTCAAAGTTTTTATGAAGTTTGAACATTCTTTTTTTTACTGAATGGAGGTTTGTAATTGTACTGGTTTGCCAATGTTTGTGTTTATTTATGTAACTGTATCTAATAAGGAGTTGGGTTCAAGATTCAGAATTGTAAAATAAAATGGCTATTTTATTGAGAAAATGTAAATTCTAAATGAGGTATAACTTGCCATGGTAGCCATATTAACATTCATACATATTTCAAATGAGTTCACGGGTCACTAAAATGGTCCTCAATGGATTCATGTGATATAGGTTATAGAAAAGAACGAGAGAGGGCGCCACTTCCCGTTTTCACTGTCTCTGAAATCTTTCTTAGTTTTGTTTGGATTTATCTTTTTACTGTTAATTATGTCAATGTCAGTTTTATCTGTATAGCATGTTTAGAACATCACCAGCTGCCCAAAGTGCTTCAATGGGTCAAAAGAAAAGAAAACAGCATGAAAAACACACAATGCACACTGATAGATGTTAAATGTAAAACTTGAGTGCTTCTAACACCAGTACTTAGAACTGGTGTTAGAAGCTGAGGCGCAAATGTGTTTTAGACGAGAGTTAAACACCTTCAATGAAGGAGCTTTACTATACAGTCTGTGGACAGTAATCCCATAGAAATAACTATAACTATATAATAATGATAATTATAATAATAATAATCATTATTATTATTATGAGCATGAGTTTCATCCGCAGAGTGGCTGGGCGCTCCCTTAAATAGGGTGAGGAGCTCAGCCACATGGGAGGAGCTCGGAGTAGAGCCACTTCTTCTCCACATGGAGAGGAACCAGTGGCTCGGGCATCAGTTCCGGATGCCTCCTGGACGCCTCCTTGGGGAGGTGCTTCGGGCATGTCCCACTGGGAGGAGACAGGAGAAGACCCAGGACACAGAGGGACAGAGAGGGAAGTCTGGGAGTCTCTGCTCCGACTGCTGATGAATGAATGTTTTAAATAGTAAAACTAGAGACACACAAACATCTTAATTGATTACTTTTATTGGTTCAGACAAAATTGAATGGCTACAAGTGCAAAAGTCATCTACATTTACAAGACAAAGTATTTGTGAATCGTTGAGGCGACTTAAATGCACAACAACACTTTGTACTTATGAGTCTTGCTTGTTTTCAGTCTTACAGAGTCTAAATGGTTTCAACATTGAACCTGCAGCTTGGAGGTCTTTCAGGAACTCAGCTGAAGGCTTTGGACACAAGGTGATTCAGAAAACAAAAGGGTGAGTGAAACTAATGCAGTTGTTGTGGAAAAGAAAAAACATAAATGCATCTGTGGGGAGCTGTATCCTCTGTGTGTCCTCTGCATGTGTCAGAGCCGGGTCCTGGGCCAGAGCAGGTCACACAGGCTCCAGGACCTGCAGACCTGCCTCAGCACACGTCTAACAATCAGGCCTCTGTTCTCCTCTGATCCAAACATCATCACACAAGAAACATGATGAGAAGAGGGACCTGTGACCTTTAGACAATCAGGTCAAAGATGTTTTATTTTTAGACTCCATGGAGAAGAAGCTAGTGCCCACCAGGCATCTGAGGAATCATCAAGTTAAAACATGAAGCAATAACAACCACCAGCTCAATCAAAAGTGTTGATTTTAGAACATGTACAGCGTGCTTCCACTCCACTCCAACTATAGATGGAACTAAACACAATTCTAACATGACGCAGTAACACAAAGTCTCACAAATATAACAGGAGGTTGAAACGCCAAATATAAAACTCCAAACTAAACTAAAATAAATACATGAATTAATAAACAACCCTTATGTGTGTGTTTGTTCTACGCTACTTTTAGTGTCAGAAGTGTTTCCAAACGTCTTAGTACTGATGGTGTGGTGTTCCCGCAGCTTGCTGGTCAGTGCTCCTCTGCAGCAGTATTCACAGTCAGGACGAGGACAAATATATGAGTGTTTCCCTTCTACATCCAACTGCAGTCAACTCCAGCTCCCATGTATATGAAGCAATATTTCAGCACATTTCTCCCAGATATTGCTCAAAACTATATCAATACTATAAACTATATCCTTATTGTACACAGTGCCGCCCTATGCAGTCAATACCTCCCTTGGTTTGTCCATGGCATTTAACCCCAGTGATCAAAAGTCTCTGGTAAGTACATTTTGTTCTTAGTGTGCTCGGCTCGGGCTCATGTTTAATGTAGACCAGGGAGGAACCATTTTAAGTTTTCAGAAAGAACCGCCCTCTACACTTCTTGAAAAAACTCTTGCTTGACGAGCATGTATGACCAGAGTGATTGACAATTAGAAGGATCAATAGGATGATCCAACCGGAAGTAGAAAATCCTCCTCTAAATAAGTGGCAGACTGAAGCTGTCAGCAGACCATGGCTCATTAGCACTTTACGTGTTTCAGTTGTTATGTCTTTTCTTGAATGTTGTACAATACAATACAATTTATTCTTGTAAAACCCTGAATCACAACCGTTGTCATCGCAAAGGACTTGACAAAACCATTGAAATCACCAACACAGATCAGAGAATTAACAGTTAAGACACAACAAAGAATATGGAACACGTGTTGATAAATGTCCATATGTTGTGTGTTTTTATTGTGTAGCACTGTGTCCGAGGACAATATTCGTCTTGAGAACAATCATGTATGGTGTATTTTAATGTTATTCTGGTGCAGGACATTTCTGTCTCTGATAACGACTAAACTCTGAAGTGTCACAAACGCTGTAACATTGATAAGGACTCCCTCAGGTCTGTGGGCCGACCATCCCAAAGGACTGCAGCAGCATCACCATGTACAACGGCCTGTGCCTGGAACTAGATCAAAACAACACAGTGACCAGAACCACACCAAGCACCACCGCAGGTACCATGGCAAGTGGCAAGAGCTCTGGTGTGTGTCGTCTCTGTCTGGCGCACACCGGGGTAGTCTTGCACAGTTTTTCCAATGTGGTTTTACTGCAAATGGCAAATAAATGAATATGAATCTGAATCTGAATGAAGGTGTCGCACTCTCAGGTCAAGGATCACCTTAATGTCTGTCTCCGCAGATTGCCCGAGCCAACCGGCCGACATCGCCTTTCTGCTGGATGGTTCTGGAAGTGTACACCCAAAAGATTTCACTAAAATGAAGGACTTTGTCGTTAAAGTGATTCAGGCGTTTATCGGGAAAGATTCAAGGGTGAGACAACTCTGTTCGACAAAAACACAAAATGATCCTCACAATTTAGTTCAAAACCTGCTGCTTTAAACTGGGGATGGATTTAAAAGTTAATTAAGTTTTAAAAACTTCAAAAACAGAAAAAATATTGATAATGTACCATTTCTTTGTTCACCAGTATCATGTTCACCAGTACCATGTTCACCAGTACCATGTTCACCAGTATCATGTTCACCAGTACCATGTTCACCAGTACCATGTTCACCAGTACCATGTTCACCAGTACCAGGTTCACCAGTATCATGTTCACCAGTACCAGGTTCACCAGTACCAGGTTCACCAGTACCAGGTTCACCAGTACTGGTTCTGCAGTACATAAACTATTCCTTGCCTTAACTTAATTGAACAAAATCCAATGATAAAACTGATGGGTTTGTACTGACTTCATTAAACGGCGCTGACACTGACAGAATGTGAACACAACTGAAAAAGTAAAAACATTCTAACATTTAAACAACTCTTCAGGCCTGGCCTTGAAAAGTATAAATGTATAATGTATATATATAAATATTTATACATCTATGTATGTGACGTATGTTTTATAATCATTCTCTTGTTATTATTTTTCAGTTCGCCATCGTACAGTTTTCACATGTTAATAGTATCAGTTATTATTTCAACACATTTCGAGTCTCTGGATCCTGGAGGTCACAAATAGACAATATACGACAATTAACTGGAGGCACGAGGACGGCGTCTGCCATTTTATCACGGTGTAAGCTTGCGGGTGGATGTCAGAGTGAGAACTGCTGCAGTTATTATAAATAAACATATTTCAATTCTTCTCTTCCAGAGATGAAATCTTCCAACCAAACAGGGGCAATCGCCCAAAGTCCAATAATGTGTTGATAGTAATCACTGATGGCGAGTCTACGGATGGACAGAACTTACCCGCCGCAAGAGATGCCGCCAACAGGAAAAACATTATCAGATTTGCAATTGGGGTAAGACCTGAAAATAAGCTTTAAAAATTCATTAGTTGTGTTTAAACAATATCTAAAACTTTTAGGTTGGAAATGCTTTCAACAATCCTTCAGCGAAAACTGAGCTGCAGACCATCGCGTCGTCCAAAGACCATGTGTTTCAGGTGGAAGGGTTCGATGCTCTGGATAAAATCAGCCAGACTCTGCAAGAAAAGATCTTCTCCATTGAAGGTTAGGCACTGTTTGATTCTCTGATCTGAGCGGCCACACTGGCATGTGAAAGACCCTGTCAGACCTCTGGAGCTGTGCAGGGCAGGTCCTAGTGCTGTGATGGGAGACCTCTGGGAACACCAGGTGCCACAGTGGGGCGGCTGCGGCTGTAAAGTGCCAAACTGCCTTTGTGTCCTTAGGCAAGACACTTCCCCCACATTAGAGTCTGCTGTGTGTGTGAATGGTTGGTGATGGTGGGAGGGGCTGAGGGCACATACTGCTTGCCTCTGTCAGTGAGTCCCAGGGCAGTTGTGGCTACAATAGTAGTGATTTACCACTGTATTTGGAATGAAAGAATATGACATATGAAGAGCCTTTGAGCGTCCAAAACAGGGCTATATAAAACTAATTTATTATTGTTGTTATTATTATTACATGTACAGTACTTACATTTGTCAGAACCTTTGATGCATGTTCTTATTATTTCTATCTACTGTGCGTTATTTGCAGGGACTCAATCCGGTGGGGAGACTTTGAAAATGGAAATGTCTCAACTGGGCTTTGGCGCTGCCTTCTCTAGTGAGGTAAAAGTCTGCTGTAGTTTACAGTCGATCAGAGCTGTCTTTTAAAAGGGAATACCCGAACTCTAGGGCTTTCAAATGACAGCAGTCGGCGCCAATGAATGGAGAGGAGGGTTAAAGAAGTTCAGCCGCTCTGGTTCCCCCGTGAGCTTCTATGAGCCCTTAGACATCGACAAGGACAGTTACCTGGGTACGTCTGCCAGTCAGAGCACTGCAACACATGATCAAATATAACTGCTTGAATAGAGTGATTTTGTCTTCATTTGAGCACATTCTGATTGTCTCAAAACAAGATTCTCCAACGGGACAAAGCCATTTAGTCTCAGTTAATTTTGCGTTGTCCCATTGACAAATCCTGTATTAAATCAGTCAGACTGTGCTCAAAAACCCATTTAAGTTGCAATATGTAAGATTTTCATGTCAAGTCATCATTAAAGGGCCCTAATCTGTCAAAAGGCATTAATAAAACATGATTTTTTTCTTTAACTGATAACAGTAGTTCAGCCGAGATATGCAAAATCTAGTATTTTTCTAGTTTTACAGCCCCTAAATCTTCATGAATTTTCATTTCAATGTCCTGCCCCCCAGTGTTTCACCAATCAGAAAGTCCGTGATCCAGGTTGTCAGAACTCTCCTTAGTTTATCTCACTGGTAAAGCAACATGTTGCAGCAGTACTAAATACGGTCTGGATTTGTCGTTAATGATTCTCAAATCATTTTGTTATCAAACAAGGATTTTTATTGAGGCCTTTGTGAAAAAGGTGCTGGTTATATAATCTCTTTTCTATTCAGCTGTTTTGGTCCCAGCTGGATTCATCTGCATATCTGGCAACCTGAGTCAGGGAGAGTGGGAGAGGACTACAGAATATTGACCGTGATTGCAGAAACACTTTTGGCCAGATTTTTACATATTGCTCCTTTAACATTTGCCAAAATTGAGGATTTTTTAGCTTATTTTTCATCATTTTTTGCAGTGTGATTTTTAAAACACATGTGCGTTGTAGGTTATTCCATCGCTGTGGCAAACACTGTAGCTGGGACATTTACCGCGGTTGGAGCCCCACGATACCGTCACAGAGGCATTGTAATGTACGTTTATAGCACCTACACTCGCCAATGGATCGATCCGCTGGACTGGGAGGTGCGTAGTCAAGGCACAGCTGAGATTGTTTCCTTCTAAACTCATTCATTTGTTGTGCCACAGTTTCAGAGCGGGGAGTATTTTGGGGCCGAGGTTTGTACAATGGACGTCAACGGTGACCGCTTCACTGACGTCCTTCTGATATCGGCCCCGATGTTTGTGGAGAAAGACAGAGAGGGAAGAGTCTACGTCTGTGATGTCACCGACTGGGTAAAAGAGAATCCATTTTAAAACATACAGGGCCTCTCAAAAGTGAAGAGAATTAATTAGTAAAAGTGAAAGTATTAACTTTTCATCAAAAAGTATTAATACAGCTTTTGCACATTTTGTCCTGTTTACAACCATAGATGTAAAGATTTTATTTAGATGTTGCCGAAAGTTCACACACACGAGTAACTGACAACTGTGAAGTGAAAGTAAAATGATTCTGTTATTTTTTCCAAAAATAGAAAAGTGAAAAGTTTAGCCTGCACCAGTTCAGCATCATTATGATGCTGAATGAGTTCTTACTTTGTGGAACCCCCTTTTGCTGCAACAACAACTTTTACTTTTCTGTTTAAAAATAACAGTAGAATCATGTTTATGATGTTATGAATTCACTGTATATATTATCTTATTAGAATGTCGAGTGTCACTTTGATGCTCCGGTGGTCCTGAGGGGGGCGCCAGATAAAGGAAGATTTGGGTCATCCCTTGCTGTGCTGCCTGACCTGAACGCTGATAATTTGGCCGATTTAGCCGTGGGGGCACCTTTGGAGAATGATGGCAGAGGCAGTATTTATATTTACCACGGCTCCGGGTTTGGACGGATTAATACAACCTTCTCACAGGTAAGAAAACAATTGACTATGTGATCAAGGGAAGGGATTACTGCATCACTGCTTCTCTCTGACATCCTCTAGTAAATGAAAAAAACATATTCTTTATTTTTCACAAGAGGATTGCTGCCTCAGAAGTAGAGTCTGGTCTGAAGTACTTTGGCACGTCCATTAGTCCCACATCACTGGACCAGAGCGGAGATGGTCTTCCAGATTTACTGGTGGGCTCCAAAGGGACTGTTGTTCTTCTCAGGTAAATGAAACTATTTCCGTTCAATTCAGTTCAATTTTTGTATAGCCCTAAATCACAACAGTAGTTATCTCTGAAGACTTCACAAAGCTGTCGATTCGCCGACACAGATCAGAGAATCAACAGCTTAAATACAAGAAATGCAATGTTAAAATACATTGGTCCATACGGGACAGAGACCAGTGTCCATAAATGTAGATAAATGTCGAGTTTCCTGGATGATCTCCACGGTCCTTTGACCCTCCTGCATCGACAAGGACAAAACTGAAATAAGAAAAACCCACAGGGAGTCATTGAGAGAGGGATCCAGGACTCAGGCTGTAGATCCAGGACTCTATCCAGGACTGAGGCTGTAGATCCAGGACTGAGGCTGTAGATCCAGAACTCAGGCTGTAGATCCAGGACTCAGGCTGTAGATCCAGGACTCTATCCAGGACTGAGGCTGTAGATCCAGGACTCTATCCAAGACTGAGACTATAAATCCAGGACTGAGGCTGTAGATCCAGGACAGAGGCTGTAGATCCAGGCCTCGGGTTGTAGAACATCGTTTCCACTAAAACAGCCAGGGATTCTCTCATGTCAGTTTAATATACATATGAATATAATATTATAATGGTAGACAAATCCAATCAGACTGTAAGGCTTATTCTTGCTCTTTATTTCAGATTCAGATTCAGTTCATTTGTCATTTGCAGTAAAACCACATTAGAATACATGTGCAAAAGTCCCCAGTGTGCACCAGACAAGTACAGGAATAAAACATGCAAAAAGTACAGGACAAAATTGCCACTGTGAAATAAAAAAAAACAATAAAAGTTCTTTGTTTAACTGAGCTTGTGGATAGAATCTGCTATCAAAACGAGATGAGTCCTGCATCTCAACGAACATCTTCTGCCAGAGGGAAGAAGCTGGAACAGAATTTGGCAGGAAGGCTGAGGGCCACAGACAACCCGGGCCTTGTGCATGATAAAACACACTATCACATGAATATTTATATGACTGCTTTAAACTGTGTCCTAGATCCAAACCAATTGTAAAAGTAGACGCCACAATATCGTTCACTCCAGCACTGATTCCAACCCAGAATCCCGACTGCTCCAAACCCATCGCCGCCACTGCTGACATCTGCTTCTTTATGTCCAAAGTCACCGCACTGATGCAAGGTATTCATTCAGATCATTTAAGCCTGACATTTTAACAGGAACCAAGAAACGTGAGCACATTTTGCAGATTTTAGCGTCTTTGCACTGGCTTCTTGTTGATTATAGAATTGATTTTAAGATTTTATTGTTGGTTTTTAAATCTTTGAACGGACTGGCCCCTTCTTACATCTCGGACCTCATCCAAATTTACCACCTGGCCCGCTTCCTCAGGTCCGACGGCCAACCCCAGATCCTTGTCCTAAAGACCAGACTTAAAACCCTTATACATACATGTATTTTGATGTTTAATATTTGTGTTTTCCAGCTCAGGCAAGAATCAACTATACTTTCTCTTTGGATGCTACACGCGCAGTTCCTAATAACCGGGCTTTCATCAGCGACAACAAAGAACAAGACCAAACTGGAAGCATCACCATTTCTTTGAACCGACGTGAATGTGTTCTTATCCCCTTCTCCATACAGGTTAGAAATGTCCTGTTTGTGAACAATGTGCATCGCTCTCTGGTTAAGTCCAATGTGTTTGCAGTCCTGCCCCGAGGATGCTCTCAATCCACTTTACAACGAGATGCGCTACACGTTTGAAAGTTTACCCATGGGTCAAACCCTGACTCCCAGTCTCTCTCAGCAGTCGCCCACAACACACAGCAAGGATGTAAGTCTGTAAATGTCTGTTAAGGTCGGTTAATGTCTGCTATTGTCTGCTATTGTCTGCTATTGTCTGTTATTGTCTGTTATTGTCTGTTATTGTCTGTTCTTGTCTGTTCTTGTCTGTTCTTGTCTGTTCTTGTCTGTTCTTGTCTGTTCTTGTCTGTTCTTGTCTGTTCTTGTCTGTTCTTGTCTGTTCTTGTCTGTTCTTGTCTGTTCTTGTCTGTTATTGTCTGTTATTGTCTGTTATTGTCTGTTATTGTCTGTTATTGTCTGTTATTGTCTGTTATTGTCTGTTCTTGTCTGTTCTTGTCTGTTCTTGTCTGTTCTTGTCTGTTATTGTCTGTTATTGTCTGTTATTGTCTGTTATTATCTGTTATTGTCTGTTCTTGTCTGTTCTTGTCTGTTCTTGTCTGTTCTTGTCTGTTCTTGTCTGTTCTTGTCTGTTTTTGTCTCTGGGGACCAAATCGGGAACTCGTCATGTTGTGGAGGGCCGGACCCTTTTTCAAGTGGCCCCCATTGTTTTCTGTGTAAGCTGCTTCTATTGTTATTTATTTGATAAGCTAAAATATTGACATGGAAGGAGAGAGAAACTATAGAGAGATATCAAATGATCTGTTGTGTTTATTAAAGCTGCACTAACTTTATTTTTGTATTCATTACGAAAATGCTATCCATGTCCATGTAGTGCATTGGTATATACGTCCTTTTGAAGAAAAAGTAGCGCAGATTTGTGCTGGCGTGACATTATATTTTAGATCGAGTTTTGATGAAACAAGGAAGAGATGTGTTTCGGGTCTCAGATTGTGACCAATCACAGCGCACCACTGGCCCCCACTTTCGTGAGAAATCTACAGGTCTCCGTTAGCATAGACGGCTGAGTTAGCACAACAAGCCGAGGAGCTAACCTGAAGTTTCCTCGTCTTCGTCACCGGTTACTGCTTACACAGCGAGACAGCCATCCAAAAGAAAGTCTCGTTCCTCCGCGCTTCCTGGTTCTATCGTTCTATGGTCACGCCATCCAAGTGCAAATCCATATCCATGCATTATCCATATTGGGAGACGCTAGCTCCGTCAACAACAGTGGGTGTGTGTGGGGGGCGATAGCTTCGTGGGTGCGGGGAGGGGAGCAGAAGGAGCGAGGCCAGCGAGTCCGTGGCTTCAAAATCCCAAAGTCAGTTAGTGCAGCTTTAATAGGCCTGAAAAGGGGATAAAATAAAAATAAGACCAGGACACGTCTTTCTTCAAGCCTTGCTGGTTTATGAATGAGGAAAGACGTAGCCTATAGGTGAAGCTCAAGAGCATCTCCCCCTGCTGGACACTCCACATAACTGTACTAACAACACAAAATCATCTGGTTACTCAATTCAATGTATTCTTGTATCGTCCTAAAGCACAACATATTTTTGCAAAACCCAAAGAAGATGTGTTCTACGAATTAGCATTCAATATATATTAATCTTTCATTGTTTGCATTGCAGTTTTCAAATTATTAGAGGTTGGTAGTGATACTGACACTGACTGAAATTGATGCCTATAGAAAATCTGTTGCGGTTAAACCAAGGAGACTCAAGGTAAGGTGGACAGCAGTGGTACTTCTGAGTTAAAAAGGGTGAAAAATATGGATCTGGAGTAAACTCAATAAGAAATTTAGCTGTTGCAAACGCCTGGGTTAACATTTATGGACATTGGTCATCTGCGCCTCCATCTGCGCCGACCAATGGCTTTATGTGTCTCTTATCATTTCATTTCCTGTGTTTGGGTTGTTGTTTTCTGAGAATCAATGGCTTTGTAAACTGCTGTTGTGATTTTGGACTTTACAAAAATACATTGAATTGAATTTTCACAGGCAGATTGTAGACTGATTTACAGATGTTTTTGACAAATTATGACTGGAAAAGCGTCCCCAGTTTGCGCAGGTCTGCTGTAAGAGAACATTGAGAGCCTGTGATTTCAATGTGACATATATTGTGTTATTTTTGCTAATACTCTCAGTTGGGGTTTGAGATCAACTGTGGGGTTGACGAGACATGCACCGACAGTCTCATTGTGGACTTTAACTTCACCAGGTAAACACATTTTTTCCATATGTTTATGCGAGTGATTTTTGTTACTTACTTAAGAACTGTGTGGACTTTATCAGCTCCTCCCTGGTCCGAGTGGGGATCGACAAGTTACTCGACGTCACCGTGTCCTTAGAAAACACAGAAGAAAATTCCTATGACTCCAGAGTAATACTGACTTACCCTTCTGGGCTTTCTTATCGCAAGTTCACAGGACTACAAGTAAGACGTATAGCTATTCGATCCCTATTCGTTTCTAGCTCTTTCTCTTATTTTTGTTCTATTCTGTTTGTAAAGGGGAGAATCGACTGTAGCTCCAAGGACAGTGAAAACGGCCTGACCCGCGGCAGGACAGATTGCTTCATCGATAAGCCTATTTTTAAAAGCAATGCAAAGGTGAGTGGTTTCAGCGATCCTCAGAACATGTGACCAGCTCTGTCAGATGAACAATAACGGCGTGGTTTTGTAGGCTTTTTTTGTTGTTTCATATGGCTTTACCGCCAATAGTCAACTTGACAGGAGTATTTATGTGACAGCAAACGCAACCAGGTACAATTCATTACAAAATAGACTAAAACGACCACACAAATGTTAACTTATGTCTCGGTTTTTCTTCTAGTGCGAACGTAAAGTCATCCCCATCGTCCAAGCTTTACAGACGCAAGGAGATCGGTGTCAAGTACAGCATTTCAATGACTATCGGAAGGTCTGGTGCTTTCATTCAATCATTTATTTGTATCGCATAATCCGTGTACAAGGCCATTCAAAGTGCTTCACAAGAGCAATTTAAAAACACAGATCAAAATGCATAAAGTCAATGAAATATGCAGTCATTTCACATTGAAACAGTAGCATGAAAGTGTGGGGTTCAAAAATATTATCAAAATGTGGGTTGAGAAAGGGAGATAAAAGGGATAAATATTACAAAGGTCCGTACGGGGTAGATGACCAGTGTCCAATAATGTTGTTCAATGTATGGAGTGTTGTCCTTGGACCCCAATGTATCGGCAAGGAAAAACTTAAACTACTAGAACTCTCAATTCTGAAGAAAATCCCCCAAAAATGTTTAGTTTTTAGGCAGATTTATCAAGTATTTACCTTTACTCACTTCTACTAAGTTCTAAAACTGCTGAATATAAATGAAATTCAGCAAAAACAGAGGCTAAATGCTAACTAACAAATAAAAAGTGTGTTGCTATGGTTACTAGAACTATAGCTGCTCTGGGTGGTTAAGGTAGAAATACTCATTACACAGAAAAGGCTAATTTAATCAATAATAATGACAGAGAAATAAATGACACATAGAAGCAGAAAAAGACACAAAGTTATGAAAACCAAGAATGTACATGAGCTGAGAAATCACAACAATAACAACGAAAGCCGTCAAATTGACTGCTGTGGGAGTTCAAGTGTTAATATCATTGTGCGTTCAAGTTTGTATCTGATGGAAAGTCTCTTCAGTTCTCCCAGTTACACCAACTTCACCTTTGGCCAGAATGATCTGCAGAAGCCCGTCAATCAGTCCATAAAGGTACGTTTAAATGTGTTTTTTTGTTGTTGTAGTGCAGCCCATTATCAGTCCAGGACAGGCATGGGCAAACGTTTCCTCCTCAGGGCCCTATCGGAGTACCGTCCTGCTGTCGGGCACCGGACATAATTTACAATTTTTTCCCCAGACTTCACTTTTTATGCACAAATTCAAATATATTAAATATAAATCACGGCAGAGCGAGGAGCGCGACCACTACTCCAGAATTGTGCAAGCAGCAAAGACGGATTTACATTTTTAGGCCCGAGCCCCGAACGAGGAAAGGGCCTATTGTTTTTGCTCGAGAGATGTCAAATTCTGCACTTTGAGCCTTAATTTGACCCCCTGAACATGCATGAAAAGTTGTAAAATTTTGCCCAAAAATCAGACTTGGCAAAAAAAAACAAAAAAACATATTTTTGTGTTTATTTTTATGGGACTCAAAAAAACTCCAGAACAGCGCCACCTACAACAGCCAAAACAACATCTAGCAATAGAAGAATGAATAACATTCTTCGCGTGGCGCGGGATGCTGTGCGCGGTGCGGGGAGTCCCGCGGTGAGGCGAGGGCCGTTCGATACCGCTTGCGGCTTTAATTTTTGTTTCTTTTTACTTGTATTGAAGCAAAACCCGTCCTGGAAAGGGAAAGAAACATTATTAGAAATTGTTTACTATCCAGGAAGAAAAAAAGAAAACAATAATATACTACTATCTTGTCAGGTATGAGTTTACATGTGCCCTATTGTTCAAACCGCAAAGAGAGATTTCAAAGTCTTTGTACTATCTCTATATATACTGGGGAGGGCTCAGGGGCCTGACAGAAACATCCAAAGGGCCACATCTGGGCCCCGGGTCGGAGTTTGCCCATCACTGGTCTAGGATGTGGATGCACTGGTCTTTTGTCTTTTTAACTTGTATGTTTTGTCTTTTTTGTGTCTGTGTCGCTCCTTGAGTCCGGAATAAAGTCTTCATTCATTCATTAACTTTTTGCAGGTTACAAACGAGATCCGAGCCCTGAACTTCTCGGTGGTGATCCGGGTGCCAGTCGCGCTCGGTCAAAAGAACATTTGGGCCAATTCTTCTTTTCAAGTAACTCACCACAGCTCATCGTTTGGTTCAGGGGTCTCCAACCGTTTTCAATTGGAGAGCTGCTTTTGTAAAACTGAAATGGCAGAGGGCTAATCGTTTTAGCCGTCGTAATACACTATAGACTGTATAAGAAGTACAGAAAATCATGGCGAACACAAACAATGACAAAATATGAGGTAATAATGGGTTGAATCAAGTGTTTTTTTTTATCTTAATTTTAGTACATTCTGACTGTGTTAAAACGTAATTCTCCAACGGGACAAAGCCATATAGTTTTATTTCAAGAACTGTTGCTTTATTTTCTCATTCTAAGGGAGACATTTCTTGTTGCTTTTAAAAATAAGATAATTTTGCTTTGGATTGGTCAGAAAGCAGTCAAAATGTGCACAAATCAAGATAAATTTAGCAACATTTTAGCACTTTAAAAAAAAACTTTTATATCACTTTTTGCAGTGCATGCGTAATATACCATTATACTGTGTAGTACCCCTGCATTAATAGATAGATTTACAGTTAAAATAGTTTTGTAATAATTGGTTGGAGACCCCTAGTTTAGTTTATATATCTTTTTGTATTCTAATTTGTTCATTTTTTTTAAGATTGCAGATTGTCAAAAAGAACAAGACGAAGAACCAACTATTCCAGATTTTTTGTCCCAAGTACAAGAGAATAAAATTGTGGTCAGTATTTACAGCTATTTTTAGTCCATAACTTACTTTTGTGAGAGTCATGGTTTGGATATTTTGACTTCAGTCCACATGGTTTTGTTTTAGCTTGTCTTCCTGTCAGTGTTGTTAGTCGGCTTGATGTGTTGGACCAGCGTCTCTGTGTCTGTCTACATTTACCTCGTGCTGGTTTTGTTGCTGGTCCATAAACTTTGTCCGTCTTTGCTTTTAATTCCCGTTTCATTCTGATGTTCAATCAATCCTCGATTATTTGCAGAGCGCCTTTCCAAAGCGCCTCACAACCCACATCATATCCAGCAAATCTTAAACATTAAAATCTACATATACATAAAACCACAAGAAATATTAAAAACAGATTAAAAACACGAGTAATTAAAAACCTGAAAACATTAAAAACACACACAGGATTAAAATAATAAATAGCCACAATGCACTAAAAAGAGTAAATATAAATTAAAGCCGCAAGAGGCGTCGAACGGCCCTCACGGCCCGCACAATGCAGCCGAGGTGGCGCTGACGCGCTATTTTCCTACGGCCCTGACGGGAGCGACACTGTGCCCTTTGAATTCCTATGATCAGTGATTGTGTGTCTCTATTTAAAAGGTAAACCTCATTCTCCCCATGTAACACTCGTATCAGTCTGTAGGGGGCGCTATTGCTGCAATTTCATGATTCACACCTTCAGTTTACCCAAACCCGAGAGCTGAACAATCAATTCAAATTTTGTGCAAATCGGACTTTGTATGTGAAAATGGTGGCATTTATGTTGTAAAATAGCACCCCCTACATTTTAAATTTTTTAGTGTTACACCAAAGAAGACCAAAATAATGCACTTTTTGCATCAAATAAACTTGTGGCAAAGTTTGTTGAGTTTTTGTGTTTGTTCAGTGGGTCAAATATGAGATAAAACAATAGAAAACCTAAATACCTTTATCCCCATGTAAAACTTTACTCAGCCTGTAGGGGGCGATAATGGGCCAATGTCATTGTTCACACTGTCATGTGACCAAGGCCCAGGAGTTGAACAACCGAGTCAAGTTTAGCACTAATCAGAGTTTGTAAATGTGCTCCTGTTTGCACATACCTGTGAGTGTGTCCATACAGTCTCCATTGGATAACATGGGAACGTCACACCTCTCTATGAAAATAACCACAATTTGGGAGTCTGTCACGCGCAGACCGTTTGACTAATTCAAATTCTATATTCAACTATAGATGGTCCATGTGTTGAGACGATGTGGAGCATTTTTCAGCCAAATTAGTGAAACGGCCGCGGCTGGTTTGATGTTTGAGCGAGGTGTACTTTTCAGAGATATAATGATTTTCCCATAGACACAGACAGGGTGTTGGTCGTCGCCACGGCAACAGGGTAAAAAAATAAACATATGTTGTCATTGACTTTTTTAATCCAGATGACAAAACAGAATTATGTGCAAAATTTCAAACATTTTGAAAAAACTAAATTTTATTAGGCCCATGTAAAACTTTGACATAGTCTGTAGGGGGCGCTAATGAGCCAATTTCAATATTTCCACTTCAAATGACCTAGACTCTGAACAATGGATTAAAATTTTTTGCAAATCCGGCTTTGTTTGTGCAAACGGGAGCAAATTTGCTTGTGTCAAAAATTGAAAAAAAAAAGTCACATTTTGCCGCTCCGCTGCTCGGACAACGTTTAACTGATCCAAATTCTATATTCAACTATTGATGATACATGTGTTTAGAGCATGTGGAGCGATTTTGAGGCAAATCGGTGAAACGGCCGGGAGGAGATGATTTCCAACCGACATGTGTTTGTCAGGGGGCGGGGCCATAATAACTTTTTTTTCATGTCATGACTTGAGGAACATGTGTACCAAAATTCGTGGCTCTACGACAAACTTGACCTCCCCTTTAATAGGTAAAGCCATTCCGTGCCTCCGGCACGGATTTATCAGTGCTTGGGCACGTGCCATCGCGTGCAGGTCACAATCTCCGGGCGCATTGACTTATGACAGTTACAACTATTGTCTCGTTGGAAAAGCAATAGGCCCTTACCCCAGTTGGGGCTCGGGCCTAAATATAAAAATTATAAAATCCTTTAGTTGTATGCACAGCTAAATAGAACCGTTTTTAACCTGGATTTGAAAACTGCGAGAGTAGATGCCAGCCTCACATCTTCAGGAAGTTTCTAACTTTCTGTAGCACCTTGAGATATGTCGCATATTTAAGGTGCGTCATAAATGAAATCTGTTATTATTATGTCTGTCGTTACCCGGGTTCCTATGTTCTGTTTGGATTTTTACCTTGGACTTTTTTTTAAATAATTATTTTTCCTGTATTTTGGGAACTTGGTAGTATAGTAACTTAAGTAAATCTACTATAAAATGTGTGAGTGTTTCTCTTTTCTAACGCGGACAGAACTGCAGTGTGGCCAGATGCAGTGTTTTCCGCTGCACTCGCTTCATGGGGCGAATGGAGAGTAAGGATTACGTCATCTCGGCGAACCTCAGCTCGGCGTGGATCCAGCAGGTCCCGCTCTCACACGTATGAAGAGACTGACGCACAGAAGCCAGTGTCACTGATCCACGTTCTGCTCCACACAGATTGGACTGAAGTCGGTGAAGTTTCTCCTGATCAGCACGGCCGCTCTGGAGTACGACACCGACAGATTTGTTTTCTATTCAGCAGAGATTAAAGACACCAAGGTACAGCACCTTTTGTGTTTGGATATAAAACAGCAGAGATCCAGATGAAGTCCCCAGATGTCTCAATGGCCCTGAAAATGTATTTTTATTACTTTTACTGCCACAATCTATTTTGATGCTGCTATTAAATGCAGAAAAGGCGGCGGAGGATCTTTAATTTATTATTTCTTCTGTTATTTGTTAAGAATACATAAATAGAACATTTTAGCACTTCCTATCAACAGGAGTCAGTCTTACATAACAGAAATTCTACAAACTTCTGCGGTGGCAGCATTTGTTGTGGGCAATTGTCTCTCACTCCACACTGAGATGGGAGCGGGGCCAGTACAGGAGGCACATGCCAGACCTATTGTACATGTTTTTAGTGGTAGGGGAAGACACTGGGAGAACATGCAAACTCTACTCAGAAAGGCCCTGTTTTTCGACCTGGATTCGAACCCAGGACCTTCTTGCTGAGAATCGAGAGTGCTATCCACTCAGCCACCGTGCCAGAAAGTCCATTGTTTGAAGCCCGGTCATAACAGAGACTTTCTGAGCAGAGTTTGCATGTTCTCCCCGTGCCTGTCCAAAAACATGTCAAATCCTCCTGCTCTGGTCCTGACCCAGCCGGGAGCATCATTCGGGCCCCTGGGTACTGTACTGTGACTATTGCTTCTGACAGAGGCCCTGGTGGCAGTGAAAGTATCTGTATGAAGATTATTCTACTTTATTCACAAAGTATCTGTACGAAGATTATTCTACTTTATTCACAAAGTATCTGTACGAAGATTATTCTACTTTATTCACAAAGTATCTGTATGAAGAGTATTCTACTTTATTCACAAAGTATCTGTATGAAGAGTATTCTACCTGATCCACAAAGTATCTGTATAAAGAGTATTCTACCTGATCCACAAAGTATCTGTATGAAGATTATTCTGCCTGATTCACTGCAGTAATAAAAGGCTGCAGAACGTGCTGTTTGTATGTTTCATGTTTGGTTTATGCTTCCACAGATTGAAGCCGAGGTGGAGGTCTACACTGAGGTGGACTTCACCAAAGAGATCGTGGGAGGTTCTGTGGGAGCAGTGCTCCTGGTGTTGTTACTCACTGCTGCATTGTACAAAGTACGACTCTTGTTAATGTGATTTTAAAACAATTACATGAATACATAATGTCTGTTCCACTGTCTGTTGTGTCACAGGCTGGATTCTTCAAGAGCAAATACCAAAAGATGATGGCGGAGGAGGCCATGACACAGGAAAATACTGGTGCTTCAGAAGAGCCACAAGCATGACATAATAATGTAATAATGTATCTTGTATCAGTATTTATGCAATGTTTACAACCTCTCCTTTACTTTACATAACAATAGGATGATGCATATCATCATGTCATTAACTGTTGACAGTTTTTGTTGCAACTAAGACTGTGGATTTTAATAAAGGAGGCTGTGCTGATGCCAAAATTATGCATTTTATTTGAAATTAAGTCATTAAACAAATAACTTAAGAGATTGGGGTAATTATGTTGCAGTATCTTACAACAAAGACTGTGACAGTGAGATGAGAAGCAGGAGCAGGGCTGCAGACAGTCCCACAGAGCTCCCCCCAGAGGCTGCCGTGTGCACTGCAGCAGCAGACGGCATGTCTCCCACAGCATCCTTTAGGAACGAGGCAAATGTTGAGGTTTTGGTGAAGACCCGGACACTGTCGGAGCGGGTTCTAGCTCCTCCCATGGAGACCACAGCTGCCTGAAACCATGAGGCACCAGACTGGCACAAAAGCGCCCCTCCCTGGTCTCCCTGAGATCAAGCAAAAAGAAAGGTATGTTTTTATTTTGATCATGATTCACGATTGTCACAATTATAAAGCAGTTTGTGTGGCTCATTTGAATTGTGACACGGAACTTGACAACGCACACATTTATCTATACAAGTTTGAAATCACTATTGAATTGATTACTTGCGACATAAATGTAAGCATTTTATTAAAGCCCCCTCACCCTATCTCTATCCGTAGCTTCCTTCTGGTCTCTACCCAAAGCTCATTTTGAGCAGAGAAGGCAACATGGATTAACCAGTAAATCGTGAGCTTTACTCTAAGAGTCATGAAGCGATGGGACATCTTCCTAATGTCACAACATGAAAGGGAACTATTAGAACAAACGTTCGAACGAACAGGCCGTGTTAAACATGATCTGGCTCCTGACTTGTTTATGATCGTCATAAGAAAGGTCTGATGTGAAACATGTAATCCCCAGGGCCCACTGACTTTGAACATTACTAAAATAGTTAACAAAAACAATGGAGAGAAGGAAAAAATAGATGACAACATATACTGGTATTGGGGAAGTAATTATTATAATGTTTTTTTTCTTTCTCGACCAACTGAGATAGATAATTTCTACCTGTTGAACATCCAACGGAGAAGTGCAGATAGTTCTGGGGTCAGAAGCACTTTCACAGCTTTCAACATTTGTTTTCAGATCTCTCAGAGTTGGTTTATTTCCTAGAAGAAACAAGTGAAATTCCAATAAAAGTGGTCAATACTGAGTTTAAAGGCATTCTGTTTTGTCAAGATTGAATTGATATGAAATGGGACTAAGCAAATGTTACCATCGGTCCTGCTTTGACCCCCAAAGCCTGCCACCCAGCACTGGCTGCCAACGGAGATGGTGGTGGTGTTACTGGTGTCCACACACACAGGCTGGATGTCACTGGTGTAGGTCACAGGTGACGCCAACTTCATCAGTGCAATGCTGGATCCTGATGTGTAGCTCACTTTAATGTCTATTACACCCACAGAGCTGTTCCCATTGTGTTCAAAAGACACAGTCCAATCCTTGAGAGACGGCAGTGAGCTGAAACGTAACAATAAAAGTCAAATATAGTTTATCAGTTGTTAAATTAGCCTGAAATAATGTGTTCCAGGGCTGATCCTCACTCAGAAAAGCACTCTGCAGCAGTAAGTACGAAGTTGTCAGCAATTAGAGTTCCTCCACAAATGTATGCGCCATTTTTGTTAACACGGACCATCCAAGGCCAGTGGGATCTCAAAGGATGAGCCACTCCACATGATGAACCTGGGAAGTGGAAACCTTAGCATTATTCTTAGTCCTGGCCAAAAGCATTGGCATCACTGTGTCCTGGTCAAAGAATGATTGTTCTTTCAGAAAAATATTTTTCAAAGCCCATGTTAGCCCGAGCAGTAACCCTACCCAAATGATTCCTGATTGGTGGGCTCTAACCAATCGGGGGTGGGTGTGAAAATGAAACCAGAACAATAGAGACCCAGATATACCACATCAGACAAGACCAAAGTTGTGGGTTGTGCAAAGAAGCACCTGATACAATCCAATCAGTCAGCCATCAATTGTGCATGTCCTCCCACTTGGTGGTGGAAAAAGACCTGAGGTAAGTCATTGTGGTGGATGTGGAGATACTCAGCAATGGTGAAATCAGGATGACAAAAATAAATAGGAATGGGACATGAAAATAAAAGATACTGTGTAGAAGTAAGAACAATAAAACTGCCTCTTTGAGGCTTGAGGACCCCCAGGTCGAGGTGAGAGTAATTTTTTTCATATACAAAGAAATTGAATTAAAAAAAAAAAAATTATTGGGCTGAAAGTATTAATAATATTATTCATCTAGACTTACGGACAGGACTTGAAACAAGAACGTCACTGGTTTTTACTGGCAGGCCAGGACAGGTGGTGCTGCTGTCAGGGTCTGGGCCTCTGGACACAAACTGGACAAAGCCTGGCTGATCTGAGCTAATGTGAGAGTTGATCCAGGACTGGTAGTTGGACACTCTGGAGTAGACTCCTGGCAGATTGGGTCGAGCACAGCCATATCCAAAGCTAACAACACCTGACTGGACCCAGACAGAGCCCTGTTTACTGACCATTGGACCTCCAGAGTCGCCCTAAACACAACAGCATATGTGTGAGACTTTTGTGGACCACAGGTTTTTCAGTAATTCCAACACAATACCTGACAGGAGTCCTTTCCTCCAACTTTAAGACCTGCACAGATCATGTTGTCTGTGATTGTGCCCACTCCATCAAGACAATTACACTGACGGTTTCCAACAACAGGAACCTCCACTTCTTGAAGAGTTTCAGGAAACGGGAGTGGCTCTGAGAGGATACACAGAGTTTGTCACTCAATACATTCATATGATGAAGACTGTGCAAAGTAAAGACGATCAGACTGACCTCCCTCTCTGATTGCACCAAAGCCAGTGACCCAGCTATCAACTCCAGCGTTGAACACACTGTTAGTGGCTGCGAGACACACTGGCCTGATGTAACGTGTGAAGGTGACTGCTGAAGACAGTCGGATCAGAGCAATGTCGTTGTCGCTGGTGCTACTGTCATAATCTGGATGTAGAATTATGTTTGATACTGATTTGGAAACTTCATTGGGGTTTGTGCCTTGTAGGTTGTCCCGGCCGAGAGAAACCCGCCACCCAAAGGTACTTGTATTGAAAAAGAAACAACAGACTATTTTCAAACTCATGAAGTGAAACTTCTGACTTTGAAAGAACAGGGCAGCAGAAAGTCAAAAAAAAGAAAAGAAACAAAAAACAATTATATTCAAAAGTCCTGACTCACCTGGAGAAGCAGTGGGCTGCAGACATGATCCACTCTCGGTTGATGAGGGATCCGCCACAAATGTGTTGGCCAAACCTCTGCAGACTGACCTGCCAGGGCCAACTTCCAGCTGGAGCATCTTCACCTCCAACGATCCTGGTGTTCAGAGGAGTGACTCCACACACTGCAATGAAGGAGGTTTTGATACATTATGTATAAGGTCTTAGTCTCTAAATACCCATGCTGCTGTGTGCGCTGAAATAATCTCAGCACAACAGACTGGAAACTGGGGCTGAAAGTTTCACCTGGATGTGGGGACCAATCCATGAAATTTGTCCCCAAAGAATGCTCTATTCATGAGACAGAAGCTTGTAGTTTGTTTCTAGGTCCAGCAGATAGCAGCAGATGTACCACTATCTTCCCCAATGTTGAACTTACACAAATGGCAATAATCTTTCTGCACCATTGTATGAACATAATTTGTGTTTTTCACTTCAGTGTTTCTCTTGAGATTTCTGTCACTTCTGGTTGGATTTGTTAACTTGGCACTTATGTGCAGAAGCATATGGACATCCATAGCCCCCAATCAATGATGAGGACAATCGTAAATAAGACCTCCCCAACAAGAAAATGAACAAACGGTTCCCAGACTACATGTTCCCTTTTGATGTTTGGTCTGGTGTTAGTGAGGCTAATAAGCTCTGTCTTTTTAAAAGCAGTAGAAGACAATGCTCACACTCTGCACTTGACTCCATTGGCTCTTCTTCTGTGGGTTCTGGCTCTGGTACTGTGGTTGTTTCTTGTGGTTCTGCTGTTGTAGTGACAAGAGGAGGAGGCAGACCAGGACAGGTGGTGCTGCTGTCAGGGTCTGGGCCTCTGGACACAAACTGGACAAAGCCTGGCTGATCTGAGCTAATGTGAGAGTTGATCCAGGACTGGTAGTTGGACACTCTGGAGTAGACTCCTGGCAGATTGGGTCGAGCACAGCCATATCCAAAGCTAACAACACCTGACTGGACCCAGACAGAGCCCTGTTTACTGACCATTGGACCTCCAGAGTCGCCCTAAACACAACAGAATATGTGTGAGACTTTTGTGGACCACAGGTTTTTCAGTAAGTCCAACACAATACCTGACAGGAGTCCTTTCCTCCAACTTTAAGACCTGCACAGATCATGTTGTCTGTGATTGTGCCCACTCCATTAAGACAATTACACTGACGGTTTCCAACAACAGGAACTTCCACTTCTTGAAGAGTTTCAGGAAACGGGAGTGGCTCTGAGAGGATACACAGAGTTTGTCACTCAATACATTCATATGATGAAGACTGTGCAAAGTAAAGACGATCAGACTGACCTCCCTCTCTGATGGCACCAAAGCCAGTGACCCAGCTATCAACTCCAGCGTTGAACACACTGTTAGTGGCTGCGAGACACACTGGCCTGATGTAATCTGTGAAGGTGACTGCTGAAGACAGTCGGATCAGAGCAATGTCGTTGTCGCTGGTGCTACTGTCATAATTTGGATGTAGAATTATGTTTGATACTGATTTGGAAACTTCATTGGGGTTTGTGCCTTTTAGGTTGTCCCGGCCGAGAGAAACCCGCCACCCAAAGGTACTTGTACTGAAAAAGAAACAACAGACTATTTTCAAACTCATGAAGTGAAACTTCTGACTTTGAAAGAACAGGGCAGCAGAAAGTAAAAAAAAAAGAAAAGAAACAAAAAAAAATTATATTCAAAAGTCCTGACTCACCTGGAGAAGCAGTGGGCTGCAGACATGATCCACTCTCGGTTGATGAGGGATCCGCCACAAATGTGTTGGCCAAACCTCTGCAGACTGACCTGCCAGGGCCAACTTCCAGCTGGAGCATCTTCACCTCCAACGATCCTGGTGTTCAGAGGAGTGACTCCACACACTGCAATGAAGGAGGTTTTGATACATTATGTATAAGGTCTTAGTCTCTAAATACCCATGCTGCTGTGTGCGCTGAAATAATCTCAGCACAACAGTATGGAAACTGGGGCTGAAAGTTTCACCTGGATGTGGGGACCAATCCATGAAATTTGTCCCCAAAGAATGCTCTATTCATGAGACAGAAGCTTGTAGTTTGTTTCTAGGTCCAGCAGATAGCAGCAGATGTACCACTATCTCTGCAGGCCTCATGTTGCTACACAAATGGCAATAAGGAGAACGGGAAAGCCTGTCAGGAGGAGTTCGTGAAGAGATGCTTTGGTGGGTATTTTGGGGCAAAAGTTAATCTTTTGTTTATCACGTGAGCCATATGCTGCAATGATGTTATAATGTTGGTATGTGTGTTATCTGTTTCAGGCCAACAGCCAGGCCTGCCAGGGCAAATATGTCACCTCTGCGTCCAGTGCTGCTGGTGGAGAATCACTCTTTGTGGAAAACCACGCTTATTAAACATGGACACTGCAATTTCCAATTCACTGTATTAATATCTCCCCACGAACAAGAAGAACCCACATAATTATGTTAACTAAAAAACAAAAAGACAAAAGAGACACCTCCAGAACCCAATTCTTCCTCCATTCCCTTTTATGTGTTTGCAGGTGAAGATTGAACTGTTTTTACACACATTGTACCTGTTATTCCCTGGTAGCTTTCCATCGAATCTGAGATTTATATTTTCACCACGGAATAAAGTATTACCATAACCTGCTTTGTGTTTTACTTTGTGGTCGTCTTTTGGGAAAACGCTTCAATTTGAGATTAAGCAAATAAGTGAAAACAGAACGTTTTGTAAACCTACAGAATGATTAGTGCTATTACAGAGATGTTTGATGTTGTGCTGAATAAATCACAGTTGGAGATTTTAAGGTCATGGAAAACCGGAGTACCAGGAGAAAACCCACACAGACAGAGGCCTTTCTTATCTTTGTGAAAAAAATACAATAATTCTCCAGAAATATTTTTGGAAATAATTTTTCCATTTGAAATGGGACTTTATGAGCAGCAGGTGCAAGTGGCCTGTGTGGCGCCTCCTACAGGTCTGATGCTTCCATCAGTCTGCCCCATGGCAGCAGTGGTTACAGTAGAATTTATGGTCACACACACAAATCATTAAACAAAAAACAAGGATGGCCATTTAAACATGACACAGAGGAGAGATGAAGCCGAGGCCCCCAGACCCACCGTCACAGCAGACCCCCACAGTCAGTGCACAGGGCTCCTACAGAGAAAACACTGGGGATATTAAAACAATGCAAGTCAAATATTGAAATGTCGATTCGCCAACACAGATCAGAGAATCAAACAGTTCAAACACAAGAAATGCAATAATATAAAAAAACATTGGTCCATTCTGACACAACAGACGTTCAAAAACTGCAGTAATTAAACCACAAGAGGAAATAGAGATGTGAGTGTCTTTAACATGTGCTTCTAAATAAGGTAAACAGATATTGACCAGTCATTTATAAAACAGACAGATCCCTGAGGCAATCGGCGGCTCAATTTACAACATTTTTGTGCCATGTTAGGATGTAAGGTCAGGGAGCAGGCCAAACCCACCTCTCCTGGTCACTACTAAATTACCCAGAAGGCATTCATTCAAGATTCCCCCTGCCGTCCCACCCTCTCTTCTGCCTTGCACAGGGTTCAAGGCAGATAACTGGAGAGAGAGAGAGCCCCCATCCTCATCAGGCTGCATGGTATCAACAGTTTCTATTGTTGTGGTGTGGTCCTTGCTCGTGATGTGACGACCATTTAAAAAAGGATATGAAACAAACTTTAGGGAACTTGATTCAAAAGCATTACACCTCTAGAACTATTAAATTAGTTGTGAATTATAATAAATCTCAACCTGCCCTTATTTTTCCTGATGGGGTTTGTGCTTTTAATGTCAAATTGTCAGCAGAGTCTTACATTAATAGTGAGACTGATTGCAAATGATTACATCCAGACATCTTGGTTGAAAAGCTTTGGTTCTTTATTTTGATTTTTGATCCAAAACAAATCCAAAAAAAATCTATAAAATGTGAGATGTTGATCGCGAGGGGTTTTCACAAATACACAACACTATTTTCTGTGTTTTTAAGGATCATTCAGTCAAGTTTTAAAGCAGGTGATAACACAAAAGAGGTCACAGCTGGATAAGAAGGAGACGTTTTCATTTATCACCCAAATAGTTCACAAAGCGGGTAACATCAGATTCCCCTGTACACTATTTTATGCTTTCTTCTTAATTATGCAAAAGTCAAAGATTTTATTTTATTTTTGGGGAATCTACAAAATCACATACAAATACATACTATGCTACATATAACTACACAAACTGGCCAGTATGGACGAGGGGTCAATAGAAAGTCAGTGTTGAAAGTGTGAAAGCCGCAAGAAGCAAATCAGGGACACATTCTACATGAAGGTGCAGTGATCAGTCCAGAATTTAACTCTTTGGCTCAAATCCAAAATGTTATGTATGGCAGTAATTTGCACTTACTTATTTATTATGCTAAAGCTAGAGATTTGATCATATTTTAGTATAGAGTTATTGTTCACTATTTTTGTGCCGTGTGCTCTTCCTTCCTACTGTTATGTAACTAGTGATGCAACACTGAAATTTCCCCAATGTGGGTCGAATAAAGGATATATTTATTTTAATCATCCCAATTACTAGAAAGATTTCCAATTTTCCCAATTACCAGTTTTCTTGTTTCTTAGCTAAATAATGTTTCTATACATATATTTCTCCGGTAACTTCAGGCCAAAAGAGGCTGCAGTAAAACCATGAGCAGGACGGTGCAGAAGGGCAGGTCTGTGGAGGCGGCGGCGTTGGGAGCAGCTGTGGAGTTTAGACACCTAAAGCTGCTGTCGGGATCAGTGCCACTGGAAGTAAACTCCACGAACGAAATGCTTGCTCCGGACACTTGACCTGTGATCCACACCTGATACGCCGAGACTCTGGCAAAGACCTCTGGGAAACCAATGGCACAGGGGATCCCAAAACTGGAGATCCCGGCCTGGATCCACTTGGTCCCTTGTTTGCACTGCACAGGCCCACCGGAGTCGCCCTGAGGAAACATCATCATACTATATTTATCTAGAGTTTTGATTTTGATGTATTCATTCCACTCTTGTAATCAGAAATGTATAATAATGAAAAATAATAATGCATTGGTTTAATCTACTACTGTAGCCACAGCTTCCCTGGGGCACACTGACAGAGGTGAGGTAACCAGTATGTGCCATCTGCCCCTCAGACCATCACCAACCATTCACACACACTCTCTCTCACACACACACACACACACACACAGTAGACTCATTCTATTGTAGGTAAAGTGTTTTGCCTAAGGACACAGCAACGACAGTTTGGCGCTTTACAGCCGCAGCCGCCCCACTGTGACATCTGGTGTTCCCAGAGGTCCCCCATCACAGCACTAACCAGACCCTGCTCTACTTAGCTTCAGAGGTCTGACAGGATCTAGCTTTCTTCTGTGGGTATGGCCATAATGGTGGATAAGAGCAATTACGTACGGTTTCCTTTTTTACTCCCGTTTTAAAATATTGGAATGAAACTTAAGCATGTTCTAGTTCTGACCTGGCAGATTCCTTTCCCCAGTTCTCCAGCACACAACATGTTAGACGTGATGCTTGCATTTTCAACTTTGAGATAGGAACAAGAGCACATCTGGTTCCCGATCACAGGGATCTGCACCTCCTGCAGGACGTCATGGGCGACCAACGGTTCTGTGAAATAATCAAAGTGAATACAACACAAGCGTCACTTCCTGGATGGTGGTGTGGAGGGACAGAGACCGTCTTTGGAGAGGCGGCCCCAGCCCGTGCCCCAGCAGGAGGTGCTGTTGTGGAAGAGGCTGGAGCTGGAGGCCAGACACACGGGTTTGATGTAGTCGCTGTAGGAGATGGAGCTGCTGAGCTTCATCAGAGCGATGTCGTTGTTGAAGGTCGTGCTGTTGTAGTCGGCGTGAACGATGATCTGAGACACAGGCCGCGTCTCCTCGTGAGGGTTAGAGCCGCTCTGAGTCTGTTTCCCAAAGTACAGCGTGTAGGCGCTGGCAGAGGGTCTACACACATTACAACATGTTTGTTCACATTTCAGTCGTTTGAATAAAGAATTAAAGAACCGTATGTAGCATGCACTTTAGAGGGTAAGTCAAGCAGTGTTGTGTAAGCTACTTTTAAAAAGTAATTGGTTACATACTACTAATTACTTTTTAAAAATATACAAGTTTACGCTACTCAAGTAAGTAACTACCATTATAACATTACATTTGGATTACTTAAGTATACTGAGTATACATAATGTTTAAAGAACATCTCCACAGGTCTCTGCTGTTTTGCATTAGTCTGATCCACACTCATTTGAATCTATGTTAGACAGTTGTGTAAGTCATTAAGTCCTTTAATGAGTATCTCTTGGTGACATTTATCATCAGCTCATAAACTTCCTGAGGCGGGGTCAGCTTGATTGACAGGTCCCTCAGATTGTCCTGATTTCAATCTCAGAGGCAATTAAAATCAACCCAGATGAGGGAGCCGTCTATGCGTTTGTTAATATTGCAGTTCCTGTGTTCAAACTGTTTGTTTCTCTGATCTGCTGTTGGTGAATTGACAAATTGTAAATTACCTCCGAGACTACCCTTGTTATTAGGGGCTAAACAAAAATAAATTGAATTGAACTCTTCTTGAAGAAGGAGCTCTGCACCTGAAGGGCACCTTTCTCTTTTCACATGCTGTCATGGCTTCAACAAACCAGGACCAGCTCTGGGGCAAAGAGGCCTCTGCAGGGGTCCTGCCTCAAGTGGAGGAGGTCAGGAATCTCGCCAGAGAGGGAGGGTCGTGTGTCATACTGTTGTGGATAGGGAGCAGCGTCTGCAGTCAGAGCTGTATCAGACTGTTGTGGTGAAGAGGGAGCAGCGTCTGCAGTCAGAGCTGTATCAGACTGTTGTGGTGAAGAGGGAGCTATGTCCAAAGCCAAAGCTCTTGATTTACTGGTCAGTCTACATCCCTGGCCTCCTCTGGTCATGAGCTATGGGTAATGACTGACACCAGTCATTACTGGTGTCAGTCTATAAACAAACTATAAACAAACTATAAACAAACTATAACCATACTATAAACAAACTATAAACAAACTATAACCATACTTCAAACAAACTATAAACAAACTATAAACATACTATAAACAAACTATAAACATACTATAACCATACTATAAATAAACTATAAACAAACTATAAACAAACTATAAAAATACTATAAACATACTATAACCATACTATAAACAAACTATAAACAAACTATAAACATACAAACATAATGGACTCACGATAGGATGCAGTGGGCTGCGGTCAGGACCCAGTCTGTGCTGATGACCGTGGCGCCGCAGATGTGGGCTCCGTTAAGGTGCACACTGACCTGCCACGGCCAGGACCCTGGCACCGCATTCTCTCCTCCAACTATCCGAGTGTTCAGAGGAGCCTCGCCACACTCTGCTCACAGCGAGGGAGGCCTTAAATCTCAAAACTCATCCTATTTAAGTCATTTAAGAAATAATGGATTATCAAACTTACCCTGAGCTTTTAACCCTGTTGAAAATAAGTGCGTAATTAGGGTTTTGAAGATCGGTGATTAGCCATTTTGTATCCAGTAAATTAAAAACAAAGCTAACAAAATGTTCACATGAAATTACAAATAAAACTTGAGATTTACCTGAGATCTGAGTAAAGAAAATTAGAAAGACCCATATTTCTGCTACTGCCATACTGTAGGAGCGGACGAGGCTTGTGTCATGTCACCTTGTCTTTCTTTGATTTGTACATAAAAGCTTCACCACGCCTCCACAAACCAGTTCACAATGGTACATAGTTACATACCAAAGTCATAAATAGAAGTGAAAAATAAACTATTATATTGCTCAATGTGGAGAATTCATGACTTCTTTGACATTTTTCACGGAATATAAAACAAATCACACATGTTCACAAAGAGCAGCAACTATATTTATGTCATTATGAAAACAACAATTAGGCCAAAGTTTTTAGACGGTTTCTTTAGGTCAGAATTCACAAGAGAAATGAAATATAAAGTAAAACCTTTCATTTAGTTTATTGTTTTACAGTTGTTTTTGATATACTGTGCAAATAATGAAATACTCACTGTAGTGGGTTCTGTAGAACTGGTGAGACGTTGTAGCGGGGAAGAATATAAATTCATACAAATATATTTATATAAATAAAAATATAAATATAAATAACAAATATAAATATAATAAAAAATTAAATATTTAAATACATAATTATCTGTTTAATGTTGGTCGTTACAGTTTTTCTCAGTTGCTTTGGTGCATTTCTCAGACTTAAAGTTCTCAAAACTATTAGTTCAAGCTCCAGAACACTGAGTCATGTGTGACATCATCGCAGCAGTTTCTCCTTTGAACACTTTACAAATACTTTTGTTCATGTATCAGTTACTTTCATACAATTCTCTGCTGTTTTTTAACATCATCATTTGCTTCTGTCCTGTCAGTCAGAATGAAACATACTTGTGACTTCTGAATAATCTTTCTCTATAAAACTAACTGTCCTCATTTCATCACTTTGGTCACAAACAAAACTGTTGAACTAGTTCAAAATCATATTTGTCGAGCTAATTTCATACATTCTTTTATCTCTTTTTTCCTGTAAATCTTTCCTAAATTGAACAATTTATTTCGGGTAAATTTCAGCTTCACTCTGAGGAGGTGTGTGTTTTATTGTTTACATTTGTCAGAGTTCTACCAGAATGATATTCTGTATGTTTGCTCTATGTGCATACTGTACATACTGTGTCATGTATGTGACTGTATTTTTGTTGCACAATTCTGTAGAATTGCAAAGAGCAAGTGCAGAAAATATGTGAAAGACATACAGTACAGGCATACAGTGCCTGTGTACTGTGAAAGTATTCGGCCCCCTTGAACATTTCAACATTTCGCCACATTTCAGGCTTCAAACATAAAGATATAAAAATTAAATGTTTTGTCAAGAATCAACAACAAGTGGGACACAATCGTGAAGTGGAACAAAATTTATTGGATAATTTAAACTTTTTTAACAAAAAAAAACTGAAAGGTGGGGCGTGCAATATTATTCGGCCCCCTTGCGCTAATACTTTGTAGCGCCACCTTTTGCTGCAATTACAGCTGCAAGTCGCTTGGGGTATGTCTCTATCAGTTTTGCACATCGAGAGACTGGAATTCTTTCCCATTCTTCCTTGCAAAACAGCTCGAGCTCAGTGAGGTTGGATGGAGAGCGTTTGTGAACAGCAGTCTTCAGCTCTCTCCACAGATTCTCGATTGGATTCAGGTCTGGACTTTGACTTGGCCGTTCTAACACCTGGATACGTCTATTTGTGAACCATTCCATTGTAGATTTGGCTTTATGTTTTGGATCATTGTCCTGTTGGAAGATAAATCTCCGTCCCAGTCTCAGGTCTTTTGGTGACTTCAACAGGTTTTCTTCCAGAATGGTCCTGTATTTGGCTCCATCCATCTTCCCATCAATTTTAGCCATCTTCCCTGTCCCTGCTGAAGAAAAGCAGGCCCAAAGCATGATGCTGCCACCACCATGTTTGACAGTGGGGATGGTGTGTTCAGGGTGATGAGCTGTGTTGCTTTGCAGTTCATCCAGAGTGATCATGGGCCTCTTGGCTGCATCTCTGATCAGTCTTCTCCTTGTTTGAGATGATAGTTTGGAGGGACGGCGGGTCTTTGTAGATTTGCAGTGGTCTGATACTCCTTCCATTTCAATATAATTGCTTGCACAGTGCTCCGTGAGATGTTTAAAGCTTGGGAAATCTTTTTGTATCCAAATCCGGCTTTAAACTTCTTCACAACAGTATCTCGGACCTGCCTGGCGTGTTCCTTTGTCTTCATGGTTCTCTCTGCGCTTTAAACAGAACCCTGAGACTATCAAAGAGCAGGTGCATTTATACGGAGACTTGATTACACACAGGTGCATTCTATTTATCATCATCAGTCATTTAGGACAACATTGGATCATTCAAAGATCCTCACTGAACTTCTGGAGTGAGTTTGCTGCACTGAAAGTAAAGGGGCCGAATAATATTGCACGCCCCACTTTTCAGTTTTTTATTTAAATTATCCAATACATTTTGTTCCACTTCACGATTGTGTCCCACTTGTTGTTGATTCATGACAAAAAATTACAATTTTATATCTTTATGTTTGAAGCCTGAAATGTTGAAAGGTTCAAGGGGGCTGAATACTTTCGCAAGGCACTGTACATACAGCACATACATACACACTACATACATAGATATATGTCAGTTACGTCTCTAAATACATTCTTTGTGTAACTTTACTGTAGTTTTTACTGTAAATAGCTAAATAGGTTGTGTATAGTGTGAGACCTATGCAGAGAGAGTAAACTTACACAATGAAAACATAACTAAGTCATTTGACTGTTGTTCATAAACACTGGTGTCAGGACTTATTATTATTCCTTATTATTATTATTTTGACGACACAGACAGTTTCATTGACATGAAGACTTGCTTTTGAGGAATTAACTTTTCATTTTGAGAAAGTGATGCAAAAGCTTTTAAAAACTTTTGCAGGATATCCACGAGGTTTTGCAGTTTGAAGTAATTGTTCTGAGAAATGCACCAACTGTTGTGCCAATGTGAAGAGTGATGTGAAAAATGCACCAAAGCGACTGAGAAAAACTAACATCTGAGGTCTATGCTTCTCCACGATGTCTGCTTTTGTTTTTCTAATTTGCTGAATGTGAATATTGTGAGTTCAGTGCTGGGAGTTCTCCTTCATGTGAGATAGATTGATACTTTATTGATCCCCGCAAGAGAAATTCAGTTGTCCAGTAGCAGCAAAAATAGATCATTCTAAAAAGATAACAATAGTAATAATCAGCAACAGCCCTTCAGGTCACAGCAGCAGAGGTAAAAAGGTGGAGTAGCCGCTTGGGTCGGACCATTTTCTCTGCTCTGGTCCAAAGTAAATGCTAAATGCTTAATTAGTATTTTTCCAAAAGTTAGCATTCCTCATGTGGATTTTCGGCTGATACGCTTGATTTGGACCATGAATCCTCTCTGGTCTGGACCAGTGCAAAACTATGCACACTGTACTGCAGCAACATCTTAGGCAAACAAACCAAGATGAATAAAAATTGTAAAGCACAAAACAACAACTATTTCAGAGACACTTCGGACTTGCGGCCGTTTCTCAGCGCATCTTTAAAAAAACAAAAATGAAGTCCGTCTGTGACAAGGTCCTGTGTCCTGAACGTTCAGGGATAATGTTTTTGCTCAGTGTTACCTGGGCAGAAATGTTTATTGAGCTGGTTACTAATTAAGCTGATGGTGTGATTGAAAGCCCTTATTGACATAAACATTGCAGCGGACTTTTGCACAAATATTACAATGTGGGTTTACTGCAAATGGCAATTAAACTAAATCTAAACCGGGAGAAACAAAAGGGAAATGAAATATGTGAAAAAACCTTAACAAACGAGGACTAAAGATCAGCAAAAATGACAACTCCCTGACTCATTGTGCCCGCGCCGCTGCCCCATAAGCCCCGCCCCCACAGGCAGGGCATCTGTGGTTGCCTTTGTAGTTGCCCCTGTGTTGCCGTGCAGACACACACATACAGTACATCTGCCACACACACACAAACAGTTCCTCACCTGTCTCCTACTCTTATGAAAATCCAATCACAATTATTTAAAAATCACAAAATACATTATTCCAATTAGAGTTCGGGCAAAGTATTTTGCCCAAACTCAGACTCAGACTCTAAGTATTTGCCAGTGTTCTCCAAACTTTATGAATTCATGTCTGTGGTGTAGAGTCCTTTGGTTGTCCCTGTATCACCAGATCGTGGTTAGCTTTAACTGCTGTATCGATCTTCAACAATTAGTACACAAAAAGACTAATTACCGAACTCTAACAAATCCAATGCTAAAATCGTCTTTCAAAAGAACCACAAAAATTATAACTCAAAAAGACAAATTGAACTGTTTTCATCCACAGCTCACCTGGAGGAATCTACAATTTCATATACTTGTTATTCATACACTTGACAGACTGACCATGACGGTGGTAAATAAAAAGTCAGTGTTAAAATGAAGCCACAAGAAGCAAATCAGGGACAGATCCTAGACATGAAGAAGGTATTGTGTCCATGTAACTCTTTGGCTCAAGTCCAAAAATGCTACTGTGCCTAAACTCTGACTAACAATGTCAACAAACAGTATGTTTTTCAGCCCGTACAAGTGTCCTCAGAGGTCATATGTTCAAATCAAATTGGACTTTTTCTGAATCTTTTCTTTTCAATGGCTATTCTTAATAAAAAAGCAATGACATGATGTTTGTATTATTTATGTTTACAATTACACGCTGATCTTGGCACTAGGTTTTTTAGGGTTAAGGTTTTTTAATAACAACATTTACAAATAAAAAGATAGCACCACATATTTGTTTGAATGATACAAAATAAGTATTCAACAGTGTGTTCTGTTTTATCTCAACTCAAGAGCAGTTCAATCATCTACAATCAATCTCAATGCGTCACAGGAAAAATTCTGGTAAACTAAATGTGATTGGAATTCTAATGACTTCATTAGGCCAGTAAGAATGTATATTACATACTGTCCCTTTAAAGGTCTACTGTCCCTTTAAAGGTCTACTCTCCCTTTAAAGGTCTACTCTCCCTTTAAATGTCTACTGTCCCTTTAAAGGTCTACTGTCCCTTTAAAGGTCTGCTGTCCCATTAAAGGTCTACTGTCCCTTTAAAGGTCTACTCTCCCTTTAAATGTCTACTGTCCCTTTAAATGTCTACTCTCCCTTTAAAGGTCTACTCTCCCTTTAAAGGTCTACTCTCCCTTTAAATGTCTACTGTCCCTTTAAATGTCTACTCTCCCTTTAAAGGTCTACTCTCCCTTTAAAGGTCTAATCTCCCTTTAAAGGTCTACTCTCCCTTTAAAGGTCTACTCTCCCTTTAAAGGTCTACTCTCCCTTTAAATGTCTACTGTCCCTTTAAAGGTCTACTGTCCCATTAAAGGTCTACTGTCCCTTTAAAGGTCTACTCTCCCTTTAAATGTCTACTGTCCCTTTAAATGTCTACTCTCCCTTTAAAGGTCTACTCTCCCTTTAAAGGTCTACTCTCCCTTTAAAGGTCTACTCTCCCTTTAAAGGTCTACTCTCCCTTTAAATGTCTACTGTCCCTTTAAATGTCTACTCTCCCTTTAAAGGTCTACTCTCCCTTTAAAGGTTTACTGTCCCTTTAAATGTCTACTCTCCCTTTAAATGTCTACTGTCCCTTTAAAGGTCCTTTATGATCCTAGCTAGAGCGAGGGAAATGCAACCCTAAATGTTCGCCATTGCTCTTGAGGTCAAAGAGAAGAGTCTGGAAGGAAACTGTGTTCTCACTTTTTTGAGGAAAATCAAGTTGAATTAACATCCACTGAAACTATTCGCTGAAACTTACACCAAAGCGGAATTATTCAAAGTTAATATTTCAACTGAATCAAAGCAATCAGGTGTCAATAACGAGACAAAAGGAAACCATTGAAACCAAAGCACTGGGACAAAGCATCGAAAACAAACATATCATTGAATAGAATTGCCCTCTCTGTGGGGCAGGTTAGGTAAGAGACCAGCTCACACAAAAGCCAGAGTCTGACAAATGACCAAAGAGACTGTTGTGAGAACTCTTGATCTGCTCTTTCATAAGTTTGTCCAGAACTAATACGGTTATAGCACAAGGACACTCCAGGTTATACGGCCCTTTTCAAATAAACTGCACATATTTGCCCTGGCTAAAAAATTAACTACAATCAAAGTGCTTAATCATGACAGCGGGGGAATAGAAGGCAAGCAAAAACTCTTCCATTTACAGACTTTTCCCACTTTTTCTCTTGAACAAAACGGCACAGTGCGCTTACAGAAAGAATCTGTTTGCCCACAGTAGCTCAGTGGGATCACCCTGTTTGGTTTGTTAGTAGCAACACTGCACCAATGTAAAGTAGTCCCCCAAAACCTTGGACAGAGGCCCGTTTGAATCTTAAGTGACCACTTTTTCTCCATTTGGGCGTCTGGGCACATCTCTCTTCTCTGTTTCCTCTCGCACCGGGTCATCTATTTCATCTCGGGGCCTCCTTCAAAAGCGTAGGGTCTGTATTTCTTATTTACTATCGGGTGAGACGAACCCGCCCACCATCTCTCCTCCAGGCTCTATATAAGAAGGGGGTAAAAGGCCGGGTGATAAGGACTCAGCACAAGCATGGACTTGGGGTGTAAAGTCCTCATTTGCAGCTTTGCCTTGGCTGCTTTTGAGTATGGTGAGTACTGGATATACTTTTTAACATCGTATTTGAATGAGTTTTTGTTGTCATAGTCGTCTCATTATCGGTGTTGTAGCCAGTTCTTCCGCATGTCATGGTTTAACTGCATTGTCCGGAGGAAGATTACACACGTCGGAATGTTGACACTAGCACCCAGAACGTACAATGGCGTTTTACACGGACACAAATCAAGACTTTGAAATCTGAGCCGAGACGTAGGTGCAGAGAAAGTACAGCCAGGTTTCCCGGCAACAGTCAATATAAGATTACCATTGTTATTATCATTCACTGACTGGTATTTTTTAATTAATGAGTTCTGCTAGATGAACGAGTTATTCTTGGCAGCGGTAAGAACGTTTCTGGTAAAAGTCACCATGTCCTTAGCCTTAGTTACCTGGGCAGAAATGTTTATTGAGCTGGTTACTAATTAAGCTGATGGTGTGATTGAAAGCCTTTGTATGAGGACTGTCTCAGGTTAAGATTACTATTGTAAAAGGACAACATGGAAACTCAAATCCAGAGAAACGCAATCATTTCCAGTGGTTGTATTTCAGGCTTTGTTGTGGTTTATAATTAGGCAGAGAGCAGGTTATAATCAAGGAGAGGTTCTGCAGGTCTTTCCTCTCTCGGCTGCTGTCAGACTGCGCAATGAGAACTGCTGAGTTAGTACATGTCATTCAAACCAATTCAATGTATTCTTGACATTCTAGATATCTCTGAGGTCGAGTTCGCCAACGCAGATCAGAGAATCAAAAACACATAGAGCCATTGGTCCATAAGGAGAAATGTCGATAAAGTCCATAAATGTCAATTCATCTGTAGATAGTAAATACTACAATCATGTGCTCCCAAATCTCAGAACATCTTTTGGACAGTCTAGTTTCTCCTTTAAACTGTGGAACTGTCTCCGCACTGGGCTAAAACTACAGACTACATCTTCATCTTAAGATCCAGACAGAGTTGTTCTCACGTGTAAATCGTATTGTAATTCTTTGAAATGTATTTTATCTTCTGTAATGTAAAAGCCTCCTGTGGACTAGTGTTGAAAACTAGCACCTGTGCCATAACCTTTATAGCAACGCATCTGGTTTGTCCAATGTTATTATGTCCATGTTAAATAAATACATAAAATGAATACTTAAAGTAAAAATTATAGAGGTGCCCAAACCTTTGCACACCACTGTATATCTGTATATTCTGTGTTCTCCTCGTGTGTTTTTACTAATGTCCTGTACAGTGATGTGAAAAAGTTTGGCACTTCTTTCAATTATTTATTATTTTCACGTATTGATCGTTGGTGGTTTTGGATGAGAAATGTCAGTTAAATATATCACATAGGAAATAAAGTGAAATACAGTTTGTATCACTCACAGAAAGTTTGAAAGAATTGTTTAAACCTTGATTTATTTAATTGAGATTCTTGTCCGAACAACAAATTAGTTTTTAAAGGAAAATCATAATCATTGAAAGGGGTGCCCAAACTTTTGCACACTGTATATCTGTATATTCTGTCTTCTCCTTGTGTGTTTTTACTCCTGCACTGAAAAAAAAAGGTAATAATGCTTGAATCTTGTGTTTTTATCTTAATTTGAGCACATTTTGACCGTTCAATAACTAGATTTGCCGATAGAAAAAGCAAAAATGTCACGTTTTAAAAAGAAAATTCAAGAAATATTTTCCTTGGAATGAGAAATGAATTACAACAGCACTTGAAATAAGACTAAACGGCTTGTTCTATTGGCCAATCTTGTTTTAAGAAAGTCATAATATACTCAAATAAAGATATAAACCCTTGATTCAAGCATTTATTACCTTATGTTATTTTTGTTTTTTGCAGTGTCCTGTCTGTGCGCTGCAACGCTGACATTTCCCCACCGTGGGTGGGACGAATTAAGGTTCTTTAATTTGAAGTTATTCTGTCTGTTACAGCATCAGCCGCAGAAATCCAAACCGCCCCAAACACAGCCGCAACTCTTCCCTGCAACGTGACTTTTCCTCAGTTCATAAAGGACATAAACGCATCTCTTGTTGAAGCCATTTGGGAGAAAAACGGCTCAAAAATCGCCTCATTTGTAGATTCTGTGTCGGAGATAGATGTCAGTTTCAGTTGGGACGTAGCGGACTTCATCAAAGGAGACTTCTCTCTCTCTGTGATGAAGAGCAGTCTGATCCTGCAGGGGGAGTATGAATGCACTGTGAGCTACAACTCCACACAGCTGCACGCACAGAATGTTACTCTCAGTGTTGTGGGTGAGTATTTAAACGACACACACATATACACAGATACACATCATCGCTGCTGTTTTAATGAGGTATAAACTCACATGGTTCTTGACAACTGCAGTACGTGCTCTGGTTAGTGCTTACCCCGAGTCTGAAATGAGACCTTTCCGTGTTTAAAGTAGTGCTGCACGATTTTGGCAAAATATATAATTGCGAACTTGCGAAAACAATTTGATTTACAGTATAAATTAAGTCTCGAATCAAATAGGTTTGTCAATGGATAAAACAAGATTTGAACAAGCAGAAATGAAGCAAACTCTCACTTGGAATGAGAAAAGAAATTGCTACCACTCTTGAAATACATTTGGTTTTCCCATTTGGCAAATCAGATTCTTTTATAAATCGAAAAATTGTATAATTACTTTTTGAAAGCACTTAATTTGAATATGCTGTTGTATTCGTTCATTAAGGACTTCAGTAATTGCAGCCTTTGGCAAAATTGCTGTTTTGATTTGAGTGTTCATCGTGCAGCCTGATATTATAACACTTATGTTTGCATCACACCCATAAATAGAATAATAAAGGGGAAGAAAATTATGACATGACAATAACATCTAAAGGACACACATTTGTACTTAACGGAGCAGAATATTTAGACTGCGGTGGAATCTATGAACTTTACTCATAACTCGTTACTGATTTTATTATTAGGATTAACGCTCTTGTCATTCTTTTAGCATCTCCCACTGTGGACATTCCTCTGCAGTGGGTCACTCTGGAGCGAGAGAGCCATCTCAAATGCAGTGTGTTGGATTACTACCCTCCTCCGGTCTCTCTGTCCTGGACTAAAGACGGACAGGAGATCCAGCCGCTGCAGCAGATCGAAGGTGAAGAGACGGCTGAGGGCTTCTATCGGGCTGAAGGTAATCTGACCTTCTGGCCTTCTAGAGACGACCAGAACGTCACATTTGGCTGTAGAGTGTTGCACAGTGGTGTGGAAATACTGCGTGAAGTTCAACTTAACGTGACTTGTAAGTTGAATGAAACGTTTCAAATAAACAGGGTATTTTTTTAATCTGATAAAACCTCTCATTTCTTGCTGTAAAGATGTTCCGACCATCAAGATGTCAGCCGTGCCTTCATCTTCCAGCAGCCACCCTCTGACTCTTTACTGCGACATTGAAAGCTTCTACCCTGAGGAAATGTCTGTGTCCTGGCTTCAGAATGGCACCATTTTGCCCGACCCTCCCAAAACAGACCAGAATCCAGATGGAACCTACAGCACAAGACAATACTACACTTTAAGCCCAACACAACGACAGCAGGGAGGAGAAGTGGCGTGCTCTGTGGACCAGCCTGGAGTGCAGCGCGGCGAGAGGGCCCTGGAGAATCTGGAGGAACTGGATCCTCAAGGTAAACGCCGCTAAACCAACAAGTCTGTCAGATAGGGACAAAGATGACGCTTCTGAATCTGATTCATTTGCATGCATTAATAACAACCAAAGGAGAACAATGACCGTGGTTTTGTTTTCGCAGAAGACGCTCCTGTTCTGACTAAATCTGCCAAAGCCTCTGTGGCCCTGATGGTAATCTCCCTGGTTCTGGTTTTTCTACTTTGCTTCGGATTTTCTTGGAGGAGAAGAGATGGTCCGCCTTTAATCTTAAAATCTCCAGTTGTATTTTGTCTTGGCTGTACATATAAACTTTCACGTTTTCCATTCTTTGACGTTGGGGAACAGAAAAACAGAAATCTTTAAACATCTCTGGGATTATTTTGCCTCCCCGTGTTATTGTGGGCCAAAAGGGCAGAGTCACGATCAGCATCGAAGGACGGAGGGTTGAACAAGTCCAAACAGCGTGGTTCCTCAATAACACCCCTATCTTTGACACCTCCGTCACAGGTACCACTCCAAAGCTTCGTATCATAAGAAAACTTTATGATCTATTGTATCTAATATATTTTTGTCTGATGCTGCAATCTCCATATCATGCAAAGCTCCAGAGAAAACTAACTTTAACTGCCTCTATAACCCTCTAACCACCATCCATCTTCCCTATGGTCTAACCCTCACCTCCCCAGCCTCAGAGAAGGGCCCGCTCCTGCCCTCTAGAGCCGAGATGGGGTACTACAAGCTGCACACACAGGCCCCGCTGCACTCGTCCAAGAGCGGGACGCAGCAGCTCATCTCTGCACTCACCTTCGTACCGCAGATCTCTCTCCACAAGGGGGCGGTCTTCAAGTGCCAGGTGTCCTACATGGGAAAGGACAAGATAGTGGAGGAAAGGGTGTCAGAGAAATTCACCATTCTCTGTAAGGAACTCGGCTTCGGGTGATTGTGGTGTGTTGTGGTATTTACTGACTGGGTGATCTCTGCTCTTTGTAGCTGCTCCGGACGTGTCTGAAATCCAGCTGTCGGAAACGCCCAAAGATCCAGGTGAGGGTTTCTTAAGTCCTTCAAAAGGTGAGGTCCTGTTCTACCAGTTGGCAAGAAAAACAAAATGAGAAAATATAGCACCTTTCAAGCAAAGACATGTGCCAGACAATAGGTAAGAGAAAATCATCACATGGAGGTGTTAGGGTTAGTTCTAAAGGAAGGACTCTTCAGTTAACTCCATAATGATCTAAGCGTTGGAGCACACATGTCATAAGGTAGTGTTCCATTTACAAGGAGCATAATGAGAGAAAACTGACCCTCCTACTTTCTCCTATTTAAACACAAGCAACTGCAAGAATACTTTTTAGTCCTACATTTTTTTTATTTGATGGACTATAAAATGTTTTTTTTTGCCCCGCTATTGGGTAATAACATTGTGTGAATGTGTGTGTGTGTACGTACATGCCTAGTTATGAAATCATGTGCTTGTGTGTGTGTGTACGTGTAAGTGTAGATGGGCTGCGATTGTACACTACCCTCTAATAATATCTACATTAATTTAGAAATAAAAACATTAAATTGATTGTATGAAGACCCCACTAACATTTTGGGACCTGAGGCTTTGTCAGACTGTACAACAAATCTGTGAGAGCTAAACTATCATTACTATTGTTGGTCACTTAAATATAACCTAATGTAAATACATATTGAAACAGTAAATATACCGACACATGGTACGTGGCGGAGCATCTATCGCCTGTTTAGTTCGGACAGTATATTGCAATTTTGATACTTTGATACATCCTAATCAAGAGTTCATATATCACAATATTCTTTCTTAAAAGCAGACGTCTGTGTGTTCCAGACGTGATCAGCCTGACAGTACAGGCCTCACACTTCCACCCGGATGTCATCACTTTCCGCTGGTTCTGTCAGGGCGGCGAGCTGAGCCCCGTGGCTTCCCAGGCGTCGTCCTCCCCTCGCCCCAACTCTGAAGGCTTCTTCTCTGCCTACAGTCAGTGCAAACTCCCGCGTTCCGAGCTGGAGAAGGGAGGCACTAAAGTGTGGGTCAGTGTCCATCACATTGCACTGAAGCAGCCTGTGACCCGCGAGACCAGAGGTGAGAAACCCACTCACACTAATCTGCATTTAGTCTCTGGCAATGGACGGTGCAAAGGCCCAGAGGAAAAACACTTTTCAACTTTAGACAGGGCTCAAAGATATTCTGGATCTGACCTGGACTTTCTTGGTGAAGCAGAAGACACATTTAGCTTTCATTCAATTAAATTCTGAAAAAGCTGATCCAAAGATGTGACAGAAGCCAAACCAAATATGCTTGGGAAAACGAGAGATAGAATCCAGCTATTTTGATTTTAAAATAATTGTTTGTGGCTTGAACATTAGGTCTTTTATTTACAGACCACGTTGTAATGTTTCGGGCTGAGGCCCTTCATCAGACACTGTTTTCACTGTTTTTACGTTTAGCAATTTTTTTATCCAGCACACTAGCCCAGACTACAGGGATGTGCGGCCTTATTTGAAACTTTCTTGAACATCAGGTCTCCCATCTTTAATTAAAAAAACACACCAATGCTCTTAAACACACACTACTACATGCACACACACACATAATTATTCACAACCTTGTCTGTTCTTTGTTGCAGTCTAAGGGCACATTTAGCTTTCATTCCATTACACACTTTTTCTTTTGTTCTCTAATGTACACTGCATCACTGAAATGTCCGCTGTGTGGATAACGAATAACATGTTTTCTTACAATGATTGAAATGTTGTTTTAAGTCAGAAATGTTAGACAAAATCCTTCATCTCTTTCCAAGATGGCCGCCAGATCTTCCCCAATTTGCCCGTTTTCTCTCAAGAAACGTTTTCAAATTTGTATGCCTCATGATATTTATTATAATTTAAACTCTCACAACTAATTTTTCCTAATTAAAATATGTTATAAATATGAGTTAAAAATATCCCTTTCACAACGATCAACCATTCAGGAAACTTCCCTTGAGTTTTCCCTGGACAAAAAAACAGCGGCCAGAAGTGACTCCCACATGTTTTGTTCGGCAGAGTTCCCTGGTAAACTGCCAGGAGTTGGACTGCGCAGTGATTCTATTGTTATAAACGTGTTGCAGCCGTTTCTCAGGACAGCTCCAGGGTTTGTGAAAGGCTCGTCCAGTGAAATCTTTCTGGGAATAGCGTTATGCAATGAAAGTGGAGGGGTCTATGATCAGAGGCCTGTTGCTAGAATCTGGTTGAATTTACACTGAGTAATGGATTCTCTTCTGGAGTTACTACATTCAAACACTTGAGTTAATGTGTGGCTTGAACATAAATGTTCTAGTGATATATTCAGCTTTGTTGGTCTGATTTTAAAGATAAAGTAATAAATGAATAATACATTAGGAAGTTCCTCCCCAACCATTTCCTGATATGTCTAGATAAGAATGAAAAACAACCTTAACTCCCAACTTCACATACACACATACAACAAATTGTTTTGTTACAAAGTGAAATGGTCCAAAGCTTTTTAACTATGTCCATAATGGGTGATATTTGGAAACACGGTCATGTTTCACCACAGCCCATGGTGAAAAGACCAGATAGGTGACACAGATGAGATTATACATAGTAATACTTACAGTGGCGTTGTATACATGTATATACAGCAGGCATGTCCAAACTAAGCATGTCCAAACTAAGGCCCGAGGGCCAATTACAGCCCGCTGTGTCCTTCTATGTGGCCCTATGCCTTGCTAACCCAAACTACCATTGAGATTTTAAACACAAGTTTATAGTGTTATTCACCCAAGATCTGCTTCTGCAATACTCCATGTTATACCTGTTATACCTCATTGTAAAACTCAAAACCCTTTGAATCCATTTATTTGTATGAATTGACATTTGTTTTTTTTATTATGGCACAAAAAAGTGTCTATGTCTCTGATGTAGCTATTGAGAAAGGTATTCAACTAACCTCCGCTCTCACAGATGTTATACATGTATAAATGCTCAGGTTGCACCTCATTGATCATCTCAAAATAGACCAATTCTATTCAAAATAGTTTTACAATCCGTGTTGTCGACCCCTGGACAAGTCTGGCGAACTAAAGAGGCCCTCTCAGTTAAAAGTTTGAACACTCTTTATATACTGTATTTATATGAGAATTACAGAAGTACATGTTTAGTATTGTTAAAGGTTTCTCACATGTCTGTGTTCTGACCAGAGCTGTCGTCTGCAGTAACCGGCTTCTTGCACTCGGCTTCTGGACATCATCAAGAAAATGTCAATGTAATATTCTGATGACGCTATATTTAAACTAATGATGTATATTTTCCTCTTAAAGGATTCATTAAGAGACCACAAGTGTCTGAACTCATCAGCACCACCAACCCAGACCAAAGTGTCACCCTGGGATGTGAACTCTCGGACTTCTACCCACCGAACGTCTCTGTGGTGTGGCTGAAGGTGATGGAGGGCCTGCAGGACGACCGCGAGGAGGAGCCGGTCAAAGGGGGAGAGCTGTTTGGCCCTTTGCAAACTCAGGCTCATCTTTACAAAGCCACCGCCTCACTGAGAAGAGCCAGCGGACAGGACAAGCAGCAGCGGGAAGCAGGCATCCTCTGCAGAGTCCAGCACTGCTCTCTGCCAGAGCCCATCGAGAGACTGTGGAGACATGTGGACACTGGTATGAACTTTTTCTCTATTAGTATCGCCATATTTTGCACACGCAGTTAAAGGGATACTGTAAAGCAAAGTATTACAATATTAAATCAAATAATTATCAGTTATATGTCTTACTTTTGGGTTTTTTCTGAGTTTACTAATGGTGATTGGCGATTTACATTTGCGCATTACATCCAGAATGTGGGGCTTGTTGCGGTGCTATGTTTTAGTGCATTCATTCAAAACCAAATGAAAATGGCTTTATCACAACCGCTTCTACACAACGCGTTTTTGCACGTCAGTTCATGTGCAGACCAAAATATATGTGACATTTGAGTTGAGTCTTATTTAAAATTTTTGTTATGCCTTTGAATAATATGAGGGACATGAATCACAATACTTGCTGTTATCGCAATATGTTAAGAATTGCATTGATGTTGAATTGTGGCACAAATATCGCAATACTATCCAATCATAACAAAGGAAGGTTGCTCCCCATCATCTGTACTTCAGTTTGCAGGTTTTCCGACGTTTCGTTCTCCTTCCAAAGAACATTCTTAAGAAAATGAAAGTTCACCTCTTAAATACATCTTCACATGAGTTCGAACATGCTAATGAGTTAGGATCGTTAGACCTAGCAGGATCGTTAGACCTAGCAGGATCGTTAGACCTAGCAGGATCGTTAGACCTGGCAGGATCATTAGCCCTGCACCCAACCTCAGCAATCTTAGCAGACAATCGATAAGCAAGTAATCTTTATTTATATACCGCCTTTGACAGACCAGAGTCACAAAGCGGTTTACAATTGTTATATTTTTTTTTGGGCATCGTCCTCTCACTCCACACAGAGATGGGAGCGGGGTCGCCAGTACAGGAAGGGCATGCCAGACCTACAGTATTGAACATGTTTTTAGTGGTAGGGGAAACCTTCGCAGACACTGGGAGAACAGGCAAACTCCACTCAGAATGGCCGGGATTAGATGTGTTATTTAAGTAAGTAAGTAAGTGATATGTAATTAAATAGCGCCTCAGGATCAGTGCCAAAACCACTCCCTAAGATAAAAATCTCCAACTCACGGCCGAGCTTTCATTTCCTTGAGGAAGTTCTTTGGATGGAGAATGAAACGTCGGGAAAACCTGCAAACTGAAGTACAGATGACGGGTGAGCAACCTTCCTTTGATTTGAATATGACAGAGAGCTTACACAAACTATCAAATCATCACATTTAGACAATTACCCCTACACTTTGTGATGTGAAAATTTAAAATCACATTATTATTATTGATTGTCAAAACACACACACAACAGGATGATTTTTTTCCCTCACCTTTGTCTCGACCGTCCACAGGGGCTCCGTATATACCTCCATCTATCTCTGTGTGCTGGAGCAGTGAGGGCGTGGGTGTGTTCTCTCTCCTCCTGAAGGGGGGGCATCCCAAAGCCAAGCTGGTGTGGGCAGCAGGGGGCGCTATCCTGTCCCTACTCGTGTCCAGTGAGACGGAGGACATCGGGGATAACGGACAGAGGGAGATGAAAAGTGTGTGTGCGCTGGAGAGATCCACAAGTCCACTGGGCCCACCTGAGAAGGGGAAGAGGAGAGATGGACGAGCAACAAGTAAGTATTGGATTTATAACACGCCCACACACAAACATCTTCTGTTTTGTAATGGTAATTGGTTTTGATGATGCCACAATATCAAAGTATCTAACTTTATTGTTTAGTAAAAGTAAAGTAAAATCATAAAACATTTTTCTGTCTTTGTCATTACAAACATCCAAACATGAAGCTGATCCAAAAAGTTGACACAGGCCAAAACATATGGAGCTTGTGAAAACTGTATAGACAGAGACTGTTTTGAGGAACGAGATGGATCGTGTGTTTGTGGTTTTAAAATGACGTATCCCATTAAATACACACACACAAACACACACCACTGCACACACTCTGTCACACGTACACAACTGCACACGAACACACAAACACACCACTACTCACTATCTCACACACACGAACATAAGAACACACATACATGCACACTATTGTACACACACGCATAAACACATACATGCACACACACACGTACATGCACAACAATGTACACACAAACATGCACAACAATGTACACACACAAATGCACACAAACACACATATGTACACACACACACACAAACACGCACACATGCACACACAACACACACACATACACACACACACACTGTACATGCAAACCAATGCGCACACACACACACGAACATGCACACACACGCAAACACACACACACACAAACCCACACACAAACACACATTCATTCACAAATATCTACAATCTTGTCTGTACTTTGTCACGGTCTTATTGTATGTGTTTGTAGATCTGCACTTGTATCACGTCTGTATTTTCGCCAAACAAACAAAAATACTGAATAAATAAAATCCCGTGAACGTTTGGACTTTGACAGAAACCAAAGCGGCCGTGACAGACGCACACACGGAGGGCATCAGGTTCATCGATGAGAAAGTGGACGGAGAGAACAACAACATGAGTCTGGAGGAGGACAGCAGGTCTGATGTGGACGAGGACAGCGACGCGGAGCCACAGGACCCTGGAGCGCTGCACATCAACAGAGTCAGCGTGTCTCAACGGGGGTCCGCGGACAGAGAGAGGCTGCGGGTCTGTGTGCAGATCACGCACCCCGCGCTGGAGCTCCCGGTGCACAGGAGCTGGACAGGTGAAGCAAACACCACCACCCACCAGCACTACCCATTAGCACCCACTAGCACTCACCAGCACCCAACACCACCCAACACCAACTACCACCACCACCCACCGGCACCCATTAGCACCCAACATCACCCACCAGCACCCACAAACACCACCCATCATCACCCACCAGCACCAACACCACCCACCAGCACCCACCACCACCCAACACCACTCACCAGCATCCAACACCCCCACCCACCAACGCCACCCACCGGCATCCACCAACCTGAAGCCACTTCCTGTTCTCATCAATGTGTTTCTTCTATTTCAGAACCAAATGAGGAAATGTCATCATCGATGTGAGCTCCCTGCTGCCAGTGTCCGTATAAGACTGACTCCCATCTTTCTGAAACTACTAGAACCTCCCAGAGCAGTCATTTTAACTGCTGATAATCAAACCAATGGAATTCTGATAAATCCCCCCCATAGTTTAGGTTTTTTCCTTCTCTCACTTTTAATAATAATAATAAGTGTTCAAACTGGTCATTGTAACTGAATTACTTTAAAGGCTAATGCTAACGTCTGGCAGTAAATAGTGTGTTGCTATGGTAACTAGCACTAAATATTGAAATCCTCACATTTCAAAAGAAAAATATCAATACATAGATAATGACAGAAACAAACTATGTAAAGCAATAGAAAAAGTCACAAAGTTATGAAGACCAAGATTTCACACTTCCAAAACTAAAAGCGACAAACTGACTGCTGTGGGAGTTCGAGTGTTAGAACATTGTATTGCCAAAATGTCAGACTTTTAGAGTTTTCTTGTTTATTGTTTATTGTTACATGCTTATTTATTGCCTCATGTCTAATCACCATTTTACATCGTCATGATTTTTACAAACTGTATTTTTGTACAATTGTTATTCTGTTTTGTTGCATAAACTGTAGCTTCTATCTGAGTGTACATTTTATTTATTTTGACACGTAGAACACGAATGCAACACTCTGGGCTGTAGTTAGTTATTGGTCAACCACAGGCCTGAAATAACTTCTCATTTCACATGTGACTTCTGTTATTTTCCACTTTGCGCTCAGCCACATTAAACTGAGACATGCAGAGTGCGACGGATGTTGAGACAAATATTTACTTAACTTTTCTACTTCAAGCACATTATCTTATTTGTGTATATGTGTATTTACAAAACTATATGGTATAGACTATAGGTACTCAACTAATACTAATTTCTTTCAAATCTACTTGAAGAAATAGATTTTGTTGTAATTTTCAAATAACTTTTTAAAATAACATCCTTTCATTCATGCATTCATTTTCAACACCTTTATTAGTCCATTTCTGGGTTGGGGGGGTGGCAATGAGAGCTGCCACCCAATGGTCATAGCACCAGTCCCTCGCTGATCCTCTGCAGGGGGTGGGTCCACAGGAAGATGGCTGCTCCGCTAGTGGTGAAACAGCCTTGGTCTTTCAGCTGGGGCTTCAGGCAAAGTGGGGTTAAGTGTATTGCCCAAAGACACAACGACAGTAGACATTTGTGGGAGCAGTTGGAGTGGGTTCCATGGTGGGCTTGAACCCACGACCTCCAGGCTCAAAGGCCAATGCTCTACCAACTGAGCTACTGTCGCCCCAAATCAGGCTTATCCTGAATGTCAAAAGTTTATGAAAAATAGATCGGTGCAGCTTCTGCAGTGATGCTGTCACTGTATCGAACTGTTGTGATGAAGAGGGAGCAGCGTCTGCAGTCAGAGCTGTATCAGACTGTTGTGGTGAAGAGGGAGCAGCGTCTGCAGTCAGAGCTGTATCAGACTGTTGTGGTGAAGAGGGAGCAGCGTCTGCAGTCAGAGCTGTATCGAACTGTTGCGATGAAGAGGGAGTTGAGTCGAAAGGCAAAACTCTTATTCACCACCATCTACGTTCCCTCTCACCTCTGGTCATGAGCTTTGGGTAATGACCGAAAGGACGAGATCGCGGATGCAAGCTCCACATGAGTTTCCACCGCAGAGTAGCTTAGAGATAGAGGGAGGAGTTCAGTCACACAGGAGGAGCTCAGAGTAGAGCCGCTGCTCCTCCACGTGGAGAGGAGCTGGTTGAGGTGGCTCAGGCATATGTTTGGAATGCCTCCTGGACGCCTCCCTGGGGAGGTGTTCTGGGCATGTCTCACCAGAAGGAGACCAGGGGAAGACCCAGGACACGTTGGAGGATCTCTCAGCTGGTCTGGGAACACCTTGGGATTCCCCCAGATGAGCAGGAGGAAGTGTGTGAGGAGAGGGAAGTCTGGGCGTCTCTGCTTATACAGCTGCTCCCGTAACCCGGCGATCCATTTTCATAAAGCGGAAGAAAATGGATGATTGATGGATACTAATTTGAATCAATGCATTTAAGCCATGGGCAACAGTGGCTCAGTTGTAAGATTATTTGGTCTTTGTATGTACAGTATTTAAAGTAATCTATAACTTTTTTTTTTTTTTTACCTTTTCCCACTTTTACTTTGTGCTAAAACTGGTGTATAAAACTTGAAATACAGCAAAAAGCAGTTTGTGGAAATGCTACCAAATGCTAATTGGTAGCAGGAAAGCATTATGTTGCTATGGTAACAAATGGCACTGGAACTGGCTTTACTCTGGGAGGCAAAGGCAGAAACTACTCTCATTTCAAGAGTAAAAGAAAATGTCAATAAAAAAGATAATGACAGAAATAAACTACATAGAGAGACAGAAAAAGTAAACAGAAAAGTTAGGAAGAACAAAAATGTACATACGTGAAATAATTACAATGCAAAACTACAGGCCGTCGAATTGACTGCTCTGTATTAAATTAAACTCAGACATTGTCCTTATATGCTTCAATAATATTTAACCATGTCTTCTAGCTTAAACTTCACCGTGGTAATAAAACCATAGATAACACGTGGTCTTTCGGTCTCTTCCTCATCAAATCAAACTAAATAACACCCGGACATGTCACAACCACAACTAGGAACTGCAGCTGTCTCCGACCTGCGCAGACCCGTGTCTCCTGCAGAAATACTCCCTAAACTCGCTAATCTCACTAAAGTTAGCGATAATAATATAATCTGTTAGCATTATAAGTTGTTGTTGTTGTTGTCTACCTGGCCGTGCAGAAGGATGGATCCAGCAGGCTCCGGGACCGGGACTGGGAGGACATTTTGGACTTTCTGGGTGAGCAGAATGTTTGTTAAAAGTTAAATTCAGTCCTAAATTGTTATGCTTTTTTTCTGTTTCAAATGCTCGATGGAAAATGTATGCCGTACTAAGCATGCCCAGTAGAGGGCGCCCTTCTCCATTGAGTTTGTCTCTGTAAGCATAGGCTGTATATATATTCGAAAGCTAAATCTAAAATATAACTGTGTTCTACATATTGAATTCAAGATAACATGTTATACTTGAGCCAGATTTAATATGAAGATATAGGTTTGTATGTTTAAAAAGATTTACAAGCTTAAAAATAGGCCTGCAATATGAGCTATTCCTGAGAGTCAAATGCATTGTATTTGTCCCAGCAGAAAGAGACTTGGATAATTAAAATATGTATTGTGTGATTGGTTGATTCTCTGATCAGTGTTGGCGAATCGACAACTGTGTAAAGTCCTCCGAGATGACGTACTGAATTGAATTTGCGGCACGGTGGCACAGTAGTTCCACCTCCAGGCCTTTCTGTGGGGAGTTTGCTTGCTCTACCAGTGTCTGCGTTGGTTTCCTCCGGGTGCTCAGGTTTCCCCTACCACTAAAAACATGTAAAATCTCTCTGTGGAGTGAGAGGACAAATGCTCAGCAAGTGTAAAGCGCTTTTTGACTCTGGGAAATAAATAAGGATTTCTTACTTACATGAATCGAATTGACCATTCCATGCTGTTATTATAAAACATATTTTGCATGATTTTAAGAAAGAGCCCTGTGAGTCACTGTTTGACTTCTTTTTTTTTTGCACGTTTCTGTCTGAAAAAAGTGATCTACAGATTTGATAAAGGCCAAAAATACATGCATGTTAGAACTATAGTGATAAAAGCTACTGTTTTGAGACTGAAAACTAGTTCCTTGCCCTCAAACCAAGATGCATTTTATTACAGCGCTAATTTTTAAAAAGAAAATGTAAATAAAGTATGATGGTATAAACTGCATTTCTCTATGTGTGTGTTTATCTATTCACAGAACTACATTACTGATATTGTGGGCCGGTTTTTCCGTGCAGAACCAGCTGGCAATGACATAAATGACACCAATACCACTAATGCTGTCAATAATGAGAGTTTGGACTGTAGTAAAAAAGAAGAAAGTTATGGTGAAAAGCTGGAGCAGCATCTTCTCCCGGTATCACAACACAGCTCTATTCAACCTGTTGTTGTCTGGGACAGTGGATCAGAGACACAACCAGAAATCTCGCAAGACGTGTTGGAAGAGTCTGAAGTTCAAGTTTCTCTAACAACAACAAACCACAGCAACCAACGCCAAGATACGACAATACATGCTGTAGAGTGGGAAGTCGTGGTGGACCCTGCAGTAGACGTGATTAAACATTCAGAAACCAACCAACCACAGCTTGACGATGAGAAAGACAAAATATTTGCTTTTAACAAACAAAATCGTGACTTTGCTCTCGATCTAGAAGCAGAAATTACCCGAGGACCGGACTCAAGATCTGGGATTTGGGATGGAAAACGACGTTGCGATTTAGAGGAGAGAGAGTCTGTTCCAGAATATGCAAATATCGACTCACAAATGGATGCAGTGAAGGATAAAAACATTAAATATCAATACACTGAACTAGAAATGGGTGAAACAGATCTAGGTTTAGAGGCAACTGAGCAAAGCCTGTGTGAGCTTGAGGTAATGGAGGGTTTGAATGGGAAAAACAAAAAAGAAGATGAGGAAAAACAATATACTTTGGTTTTGGAGGCTGATGAGCTGAGCAAATCAAGCGTAGAAGGTGTAAGTGATGAAGATGATACAGTTGTGAAAGAGGAAAACCTGCATGAGGAGAAAAACCTGGAAAGTCTCATTTCTGACGTTGAATCTTCATATTCTGAGGATAACTATGTCATTGTGCTGGAGGAGGATGAGCAGATCCCGGTGGCGGACACAGCTGATGAGTATATATATGGTAAACCAGAGATAGAAAATGAGAGAAGTCGAATCCATGGAGACGACGCAAAAGAAATGGGTTCTGGTTACAATATGAATCTCTGGGAGGTAGCCGATTCTGAAAGCATCTCAACAAAGATTATGGACAAGCGAGAGTCAACAAAACTACATCCTTCTTCGACGTTTGACCCTGAGCATTTATACGATATGAACAACAAGACTGTTCAGAGAGATTTTGGTGACCCGCAAGACACCACCGACCACATCATAATGGAAGAGGGGGCCCAGTCACTCACCAGACAGAATGATAGAACTGGGAATTTTGAACATGACACCGAAACTAGTTTGTCTGGAAAAGTGGAAGAAGAAGAAAGTAACAAGATTTATATCGAAGCAAAAGATATTGTGCAGAGTATGGAAGATGCAGATCATGAAGTTCTTGAAACACACTTAGATGTAGGTAAGGTTTCCAATGAAGTTGATGGGTTTACGGGAAAGCTTTGTGTTGGAATCCAAAATGAAGGAGGGTCTGCACAGGAACTGCCTTATACATTTAAAAATATCCCCCTGGGTCGGTGTGAATATTCATGCAAGGAAAGCGAGGAAGTTCCTGACGACAACAATGAGTCCGACAATGGAAGCGCTGCACGAAGGTTCCTGGAAGCAGGAAGTTGCAGGGAAAGCCAAACCCCCCTGTTACAAGAAGAGGTGGAGAGTGGAGCAGCGAAACACTTACAAGACAGCGGCACCAACGACGGAGAAAACCAGTTTGAAGATCGTATGAACGTAGAACTGTGCAGGGGGAGTTTGGAAGAGCACATCTCAGGGACCGAAGAGAAGACGCCACGACCGAGGATGAGAAGCAAAAGAGAACACACACAATTGGAGACTTGTTTTGAGAAGCAGGAGGAAGAAGATCTGAAAGGAAAGGGAAAAGATGCTGAATTTGAAAGGGAACGTTTATGTGACATTGATGCTGCTGTTGAAGATGGGAACGTTCAAGATACGCAGATATTTTTGGATCAAGCTAAATCTGCAGAGACGCAAAAAGCATTGATGGAGTTCTTTTCGGACGCTAAAGGCCGAGAATCTACGTTTAAGGATGAGGTTACGGCGGTGAAAAGTGTAATTGAACACGTGAAATTGCATCCGACTGAGGAACCGTCCACTACTGTGTCAAATGCAGGTGGGCTGCTGGAGGTTGAGCATCATGGAATTTCAGCAGATGTGTCATCAGTAGAGGAAGTCCAAAAATATGGCAGAGACCGACTGATGAGTTCTGATGTGATCGAGGAGGAAATACTTGACCTGTGGATACAACAGACTTTGATTGAGAGCTCTGAAGGGAACGAAGAAGACCAAGGGCACAACAAAGACCAAGGGCACACAAAGAACCTAGGGCAAACAGAGGACCTAGGACGCACAGCGGACCTAGGACACACAGAGGACCTAGGGCGCACACAGGACCAAGGGCACATAGAGGAATTAGGGCACACGCAGGACCTAGGGCACAGAGAGGACCTAGGACACACAGAGGACCTAGGGCACCCATACGACCCAGGGCACACAGAGGACTTAGGACGCACACAGGACCAAGGGCACATACAACACCTAGGACGCACAGAGGACCTAGTGCCCCCAGAAGACCTAGGGCACACAGAGGACCTAGGACACACACTGGACCTGGGGCACACAGATGACCTAGGACACACAGAGGACCTAGGACGCACGGAGGACCTAGGACGCGCAGAGGACCCATGGCACCCAGAGGACCTAGGACGCACGGAGGACCTGGGGCACACAGATGACCTAGGGCACACAGAGGACCTAGGGAACATAGAGGACCTAGGACGCACAGAGGACCTAGGACGCACAGAGGCCCTTTGGCACCCAGAGGACCTAGGACACACAGATGACCTAGGGCACAAACATGACCTAGGGCACAGAGAGGACCGAGGACACACAGAGGACCGAGGATACACAGAGGACCTAGGGCACACAGAGGACCTAGGGTACACAGAGGACCTAGGACACACAGAAGACCTAGGGCACACAGAGGACTTAAGACGCACACAGGACCAAGGGCACATACAACACCTAGGACGCACAGAGGACCTATGGCATCCAGAGGACCTAGTGCTTCCGGAAGACCTAGGGCACACAGAGGACCTAGGACACACACTGGACCTGGGGCACACAGATAACCTGGGGCACACAGATGACCTAGGACGCACGGAGGACCTAGGACGCACAGAGGACCTAGGGCACCCAGAGGACCTAGGACACACAGAGGACTCATGGCACCCAGAGGACCTAGGACACATAGAGGACCCATGGCACCCAGAGGACCTAGGACACACAGAGGACCCATGGAACCTAGAGGACCTAAGACACAAACAGGACCTAGGGCACACAGAGGACCTAGGACGCACGGAGGACCTAGGACGCACGGAGGACCTTTGGCACCCAGAGGACCTAGGACACACAGATGACCTAGGGCACAAACAGGACCGAGGGCACAGAGAGGACCCATGGCACCCAGAGGACCCATGGCACCCAGAGGACCTAGGACACACAGAGGACCTAGGACGCACAGAGGACCTAGGACGCACAGAGGACCTACGACGCACAGAGGCCCTTTGGCACACAGATGACCTAGAACGCACAGAGGACCTAGAACGCACAGAGGACCTAGGACGCACGGAGGACCTACGACGCACAGAGGCCCTTTGGCACCCAGAGGACCTAGGACACACAGATGACCTAGGGCACAAACAGGACCTAGGGCACAGAGAGGACCGAGGACATACAGAGGACCTAGGACACACAGAGGACCCATGGCACCCAGAGGACATAGGAGACACAGAGGACCTAGGACACACAGATGACCTAGAACGCACAGAGGACCTAGGACGCACAGAGGACCTAGGACGCACAGAGGCCCTTTGGCACACAGAGGACCTAGGACACACAGAGGACCCATGGCACCTAGAGGACCTAAGACACAAACAGGACCTAGGGCACAGAGAGGACCTAGGACACACAGAGGACCCATGGCACCCAGAGGACCTAAGACACAAACAGGACCTAGGGCGCACAGAGGATCTATGGCACCCAGAGGACCTAGGACACACAGAGGACCTAAGATGCACAGAGGACCTAGGGCACACAGAGGACCTAGGACACACAGATGACCTAGAACGCACAGAGGACCTAGGACGCCAAGAGGACCTAGGACGCCAAGAGGACCTAGGACGCCAAGAGGACCTAGGACGCCAAGAGGACCTAGGACGCCAAGAGTACCTAGAACACACAGAGGACCTAGGACGCACAGAGGACCTAGGGCACCCAGAGGACCTAGGACACACAGAGGACCTAGGACGCCAAGAGGACCTAGGACGCCAAGAGGACCTAGGACGCCAAGAGGACCTAGGACGCCAAGAGGACCTAGGACACACAGAGGACCTAGAACGCACAGAGGACCTAGGACGCCAAGAGGACCTAGGACACACAGAGGACCTAGGGCACACAGAGGACCTAGGACACACAGAGGACCTAGGACACACAGAGGACCTAGGACACACAGAGGACCTAGGACGCACAGAGGACCTAGGACGCACAGAGGACCTAGGACACACAGAGGACCTAGGACACACAGGGATTTTTGAAGATTCATTGAACAAGGCGACATCACTTAACTGCAATAAACAAATACAACAAGAACCAATGACGATTGCAAGTTTCTCCTCAGACTCCTCAGTGGACCTAAGTGAGTGTTATTTAGCACAGCAGGAGTCGGAAGCACAAGACAGTGAGGATGTGTCCGAAAAGATCTCAGACCCAACACTCGAAAGCACAGATGATGATGATGATGATGATGATGAAGCTACAACACCATCAAATATCAGCGTTCGAGTGTCTGTATCAAATGTGGGGATGAGAGACACTGCTGGATTTTCAGTTCAAACAGATGACGTGCCATTTACAACACCAGGATTGCTTTCTGAACCCACAATATCACCAAAGGTTAAAGTTGATCCTTTCACTGAAATAGAAAAGACAATGCACGTGACTGTAACACCTGAAGGATGTCAACTGCCTTCACCGGAGGAGTCCAAAGAGGAAGCATCGCCGTTTCAAACAGTGGAAAATGAGGTAAATATATATATATAAAATGTATTTAAAACCTGATGTTTATTTCAAGTATGTGTGAAATATTGATGGTATTTTGGGGTCAATGCAACAGGTGAACAGGCTGGACTTCACACCACAGAAGTCAAGAATTTACATCAAAAATCCAAGAGTGAGGCCGCCGAGAGATTTTCGTTTATTGTTGCAAAAACCATCGCTTGAGCCTTCACCTTCTGAGCCTCTGGAGACACACGCTCCTGCAGATGTTCCCAGGAGTGTGTTGGGAATGGGATTTAAACTTCCAGGTGAAAAACTTAACAATGTCAATGTCATCTATGTATCCTATAACCTAAATTATGAGATTTGCATTATTTTTCTAAGGTCTCGGAAACGGTTTTCCTGTTTTGAAAAAAGCTAAGAAAACGGTAATGGAAGAACCCACAACAAGTTCTCAGGTATGCGTTTTACAATTATTGTTTTTTAATGTAAATATTTGCACATTTAAATTTCTAGGAGACAAAGCCACTGGAGGAGGAAGACGAACTTCTTCCAGAAGTGTCCCAGAAAAGACCTAAATGGATTCCTCCGAGTCACCCAGGGTAAACATAATTATTGATTAATGTATTTATCTTTTATTTATTAATATCTGCTTATTGTTTCTAGGTTTGGGAATCCATTTATGTCTGAACTCAAAAGCAAGCTGAAGAAACCAGACAAAGAATAAATGTGTGAAGAATAGTATGTATGTTCATGTGTGTCTTAAAACAGTGGATACTTGATATTTTCTACTGCATCTATGTATATATTTTTTCAAACTAGTGTACATACGTTTCAGAAAAGAATATAATAAAAACGGACACAACCCCTCTCATTCCTTCAACACAATACATCGTTACTTTTACCCAATCTCTTTTACCAGTTCATATGGATGGTCTGTGTTCAAACCATGGAAATGAGATGTATTATGATTGGTTGTAGATATGAACCAGTGTGGGTTGAGGACTTACTGTAGAAGAGATTGCACTGTGGAGCCGTAATGTTGTTCAGAGATCAGAAAGTACAATAAAGTCTGCAAAGTAATATCTATCGCCTTATTACTTTTTAATCCTACATTATTTGCTTCATTAAATCAAAATAAAATGAAATGACTTAAGTTGGGTTTTCTTTTTTCGAATTTCTAACATAGAAACACTAGATATATTTCTTTAATTGGTAACACAACTGTTGTATCCTAACAAGTTTTGTATAATTGTTGCTGTACTGCAGGGGTCTCTCCAACCTATTGCCCGGGAGCTAACAGTAGCTCACCATGCCCATTGCAAGGAGCTTCCCAAAGGATTTAGAAAAATGTTCCAAAATTCATAATTATATGCACACAACTAAGCAAAAACTGTGATAAATTATATAGATTGACAGTATCTAAGACTTGCTCTCATCATTCAATAAACTCACTTTTCCCCTGATGCTTAAAATAGAATGAATAAAAATCATTCTAGCCCTGAGGAAGAAGCCTTCCGGGTGAAAAGAGAGTACATCATATATCTTGTACAAAATACACTATCTTTTTAACTTTAAACATATTTGAGTGATACTATTTTGCCAAATATGACTTCTAAATGTTTTTATTGTGAGATAAATAAAGCTTATCTTATCTTTTCCTGCCACAAACTGTATTACAATAAATACAATACTTGATGTATCCGGTTGGTGGCGGTAATGCGTAAGCTAGTCCATAATCAAAGAAGAAGAATTTCACCCCGGGCTGTGATTGGTCGAGGCGGTGACGCACTGATTCAAACCTTCTGGACGGTCTGTGGTTGACGTGCTCTCGCGTGCTCTTCTCCGAGTCTTAATGACGAACATCACGCTGTTATAGGACTTATTGGAACTTAAATCAAGTGACAGAGCGTTGGTGTGCTATTGGTAAGTGACTGTTGGCTTTTAGTAAGGTTTTTAGACATGGCATTTAGCTCAAGCATTGGTAAGTTAGTGCCTGTCATAAGATCAACAAGTCAACTTTAGTTAGCTAGCGTTAACTTCTGATCTTACTAACTGCGAGCGAACTGTTCCCAATCATGGATCTATTATAATAACAATATGGATCTAATTATAGTTCCCAATGCGTAAAAATGACGTTGCTTACTTCCTCTCACCAATAGTTAACTAATGTATGTGAGTACATTAGTTACACAATGTCAATCCAATCACTAGATGTTTTCAGTTTTGGAATCATACAAATACACAACATTGTCAAATAATTAAATGCATGTTATGAGCTATTTTATGGTATGGATGGTTGGTTGCTACGTGATTGCCATTTTACTCCTGGCTGAATTATATTGGGTGAGATCTGAACTTTCCAGCTTTATTCATTGTTAGATCTCCCATGTTAGTCTAGTGTCTGTATTATTATGGTTGTATTAATTGTAATTGCATTGTTCAAAAAGCTAATTTATTTTGTTTTTGTCTCCAGGCAGCAAGATTTTAATTTATATGACAAGCAATCTGTTAAACCATAAGATCTGGATTTTGTGTGGGATTATCTCATTACCACAGCATGGCGAATGAAGCTATGGAAACATTTTTGGGAAATCAGAAGCAAGAGGATGAAGAATGCCCTGAGAATGTTCCCCCGGCATCAGTATTGGGTGAAACCAGTCCTGCGACTCCACCGTTAATGTATGACAAAGACAATCCTCCACTGCATTCTGCTCTCACGCCCATTCTGAAGTATCTCAACATTGGAAATAAATGTTCCTCGTCTCTTTCAACTATCTCTTTTAACAATGATGCAGGCAAGTTAAAAAGTAGTCCTTCAGTTTTATCACTAAAAGACAAATCCAACTCTGTGTGGAATGAGACGCTGCCAGAAATCAGTCTTCTCGATGAAACGTGCGACTTGACTGTGAATATGACCAGATACAATCACTGTGACAGTGCACCTAGTACTCCAGGTTTTACTAAAGACATGAAGAAGTATCTGCGAAACATGGACCCAAACCCCAACTCGTCGAAGCCTATTCACTGGATACACGATGAAGTCCTTGAAATGACACAGTTTGATGACACCATGGATTCCACTACGCACCTGGAAAGACGGGGCTCAGTGCAGTCCGATGCTGCACCTGGGACTCCAGTTTGTGAAACCGAAAGACCAGAAATGCCAGCTGAGGACACTGTAAAAAATGAGCCTAAACCTGCCCCTAAGTCCGATGATGTGCCTGAAATGGGAACATCGAGCTCAGAGACTTCTCACGAGCAGGTCTCTTTGGAAACGGGTGAAAATGTTTTGCTAAAAACTTCAAAGCTAGAAGAAATGCAATGTTCTCTGGAGAAAACTTTAACTGGAAATTTAACCCATTCAATCAGTTCAGCAAGTGGGGTATCTGGCAGCTTTGTGGCAGATGTCCAAAAGGTACAGCTCCAAGTCACGCAGGATATTTCTATGAGCAGCACATTAGAAAACAGTACATCTTTGTCAGAAAATGGTTCACACAAGATTCCAGTAAACGTTACCTGTGATATAAGTGCATCTAATACATCTGTAACGTGTGAAGGAGCATCCACCTCTAAAAATATCACTACTGAGCTTCAAGTTGAACCTGTCAAAGTTCCAGCCGGAGAAGAGCAAGGTTTTACACTTGGCAAGGAGGAGAACAATCAAATCAATGCCAGATCATTAAATGGCACATTTACAACAGTCCAGAGGAGATCTGACTCTACAGCACAAGCTTTTGTTAATAGGACACGGGATCTTCCAATGTCACAAAGTCGCACAGATGTGAGTCCAGAATCTTCCCTTTTGTTGAACGACAACGAATCGGGTTCAAAATCAAGCAAAGATGGTGCAGTGCAAAACCAGACAATTGAGAATGACTCTCCTAAGAAGTCCAGTGGAAGTCTGATTTTGGTACAACCTGCAGCCACAATGACGAGCCTTCAAAACACATTTGAAAACAAACCAAACGGAACATTAACTTGCACCGAAACGAGTGCAGTGGCTGACGTTCAACAATTCACAATCGAAATGTCCTCTTCCTCTGCTGCCAAAACCCTTAGCACTGCTGAGCCCAATCCACCAGAACCTTTAGTGGAGAATATGGACACCAACACAGGAGACAAACTAGCAGAGCCTCATGAGGGCACCTTTAATGTCAACGAAGCTGCAAAAGAAACCTCTGCTTCTGGAAGCAAGGAGAGGGATTCTTTAAACAACAGTTTGTGCATTCATCCCTGCTTCGTTGCATTGAGCCAGAAAGCAAACATTTCCAGCCTCAATCAGACATTAGATTTTGAATCCGTTCACCTGCTCACTTCAACACCAATGACCTCCACGAAGCCGTTCAATTTCACTGTGGAAGGAGAAGAAAGCAATGTCGCAGCTGCTCAGAGGAAGCTTTATGGAGAAGGACCCAATAAACTCACTCCTCAGGCCGCAGCAGATATTCCTTCAAATATTGTGAGTGACAGGAAGACTTTTTTGCGCCAGCCGCATAACCTCCCCAACATGAAGCCCCCATCGCGAATGTTCAAGCCAGGATCCATACCCACTCTGAGCCGTCCCATGAAGGCCAACACTGCACACGTTCTGCAGCAGGTACGGTCTTATGATTACCATGAGAAATGTCTTGCACTAAGTTCATTCATTCTCAGTTGTTTGTATTCTCCAAAGACCAGAGTCCTGTCCAGCACGTATAATTTGAGATCCACAGCTGCAGGTAAGATTTATGTTTATCCTGGGTAATTTCCCTAAATATTGTGATTATTTTTACACAATTAATGTATTTTAGCTGCATTGGGAGTAAAGCCGTCAGTGTCCAGCCTGCGAAAACCATCGGCGAGCAGTGTGACCTCGAGCCTCCAGAGAGCAGGACACGGCCTGAAACCACCTCAAGCTAAAGTCGCCCACTCAGCTCTCTCAGGCGCTGACAAACCTGCTGGAGGTACTTGCGGGGAATGTATTTGTATTTGTTATGTAGGATTGAGCCGCAAACACAATTCCTGAATCAGAAAGAATTATTATTCCTATTAGTATTTAAATTGACTTTGAAAGAGCAATGTGTTATTGTACATATACTGTAGGTCCTCACCCTGTGGCTAAAACATCGTCATCACCAAGAAAACATCCTTTACCCAAAACTGATGTCATGCCAGCAGCAAAGAAGAAGAAGATGGGTAATGTAGCGTATTGTGTGGTAGATAGAACTATATTCTTTTAATGTAGTTTTCTGTATTACATGGTCTTTACTTGGTCCCCAGATCTTTCATCCAACACTTCTGCAGCCTCCTCCTCAGACTCTAAAGCCAACAACCTGAAGCCTCCAACACAAAACCAGAGAACTTTACCTGCAAAACCGCCAAAACACTGTACACAACCTCTTACGGAAAGGATGCACTGGTTTAGTTTTAGTTTTATCTGATCTGTCTGTGTTTGTAGACGCTGCATCTACAGCTACAGCCATTTGTGAACCAAGCAGCCGGGTGCAGACTTTGAAGGCACCAGCAGGAAGTCTCAGAGCCCCATCTACTAAACCACACAAGGGTAAGAAGAGTTGGAAATCAAAATTAATCATATTCATGTTTTTAATTTATTACAATGATATTTTCACTGACAGGGTGTAGCAACTGCGCTTTACACAAGGAACAACTCCGATTGATAACAGAGGAAAATAAACTATTAAAAGAAGGTATTTTTTTATTCGTAATTATTATTGATCATTAAACAAGATTCTTGACCAATACTTTTCTTTTCCAGAACTTTTGAAATGGAGGGAGAAGGATCATCCTAAATAGTTACCATATACATACAGAAGACTATTTTAATGATTGCCACTTTATATTTACTGTTATGTGTGTAACATTGTTTAAATAAATATATAATAAACTTTCCTGTCACTGATACAAAAGGTTTATGCATGTGGTAACTACAGATGGCATCAAACTGATTTGAGAGCTAGGAACCAGATATGGACACATGTTAGTGTACAAAAACATAACGTTTACAAGAAAATAAAATTACAATAATATCACCAAAATAACCTGGGTTACATTAGTTTGACCCAGTAGAGTGCAGAGGGTCAGTGAGGGGCTGGTGCTATGAGACTTGGGTGGCATCTCTGACTGCCACCCCCCTGACCCAGAAATGGATTAAAGGGTAGAAAATGGATGGATGGATGGACATTAGTTTGAATTAAGAGATTTATTTTTTTTGTTCTAGTGTGGTCGCCCAGCAAAAGATAAATGAACAGTAACTCTACTAAAATAGAAAAAAATCTAACTTTAGCACAATGGAGACGTAAGTGGAAAACCTCTCAGACAAGACGTGACTCCACTATTAGCCTTTTTAATGTTTTTATTTAACCAGGAAAGTCCCACTAAGATTTTAAGATCTCTTTTCCGGGAGAGAGCTGGCCCCCAGAGAGAGGAGAGGACTATGTTTTTAGTGGTAGATGGAACCATGGATATATAATAATAACGATGGAACTCACAGGGAGAACATGCAAACTCCACTCAGAGAGGCCATATGGAGGTGGAATCGAACCCAGCACCTCCTTGCTGAGTAATAACCACTCTGCCACTATATAATTACAATGAAACACAGTCCATAGATTAGACCAGCCATTTCAAAGTCAGTAACACTGGGGTCCCCTTAAAAATCTGACCGGTCTGCGCGGCCCTCCGAAGTACTAACCAAGAAGACACGTTCAAAATAGGCTCTGCTGGTTATTTTATTTGGGGGAAATTGCCTCTGCTACAAACATGTAAATGACGCACCCCATTTTGTAATACAAAAATGATTACAATTTCATTATTCAAGTCAAATAATGAACACAAATATTTTAATATTACGAACAAAATATTATTAATTTAACGTACAATAATTATGTCAAACTTGTTTTTTACTGACCTCTCGCGGCCCCCTGTAGTACCCTCAGGGACCACCAGGGGGCCGCAGACCCCACTTTGGGAGACACTGGATTAGACTTTATAATTATAGATCCATAGATTAGACCAGTGTCTCCCAAAGTGGGGTCCGCGGCCCCCTGGTGGGCCGCGAGGGTACTGCAGGGGGGCCGCGGGAAGTCATTAAAAAAAATATATATATAATATAATTATTTAATGTTACATTTATAATGTTTTGTTTGTAATATTAAAATATTTGTGTTCATTATTTGACTTGAATAATCCACTGTAATCATTTTTGTATTACAATGTTTGTAGCAGAGGCTATTTCCCCAAAATAAAATAACCAGAAGAGCCTATTCTTAATGTTGTCTTCTTGGTTATTATTTTGGGGGGGCCACGCAGACCCGTCAGATTTTTAAGGGGGCCTCGGTGTTACTGAGTTTGGGAATGGCTGGATTAGACCATAGACTGTAAAAAATAGATTAGACACATATGCATGACCTGACGCCTCCGTGCTTTGACCACTAGTTGGCGCCATTACCCATAATCCCTCGCTCTCTCCGTTACGCACTTCCTTTAACCAAGCAGTCGCCCGGTTTCTGTAGCACGTCTATATCTGAGGCCTTTAAACTGCAAAACTGGATTTATACACCGCACAAAAGCAGTACAAACTCACCAGGGCAGATTCCGCTGAGACTTAGGTGAGTTTACAGCAGATGTACGTCCTTCACTGACGAAACGGGAGTCTTTATGTGACGTTACGTAGACAGCGCTAACATGTGGACCGCCGTGTTAGCTCAGGGCTAAAGCTAGCGCCGTATGTAGCCATGTTGTTGTTACTAATGTATGTCATAATCCACGAAAAGTCTGTGAAATAGATCCGTGTTTGGGTGTTTAAATATGTTCTCCCAGACATGTGTGGAGGGGACAGGCCTTTGGAGCAGCTCACAGTCACATCTCCCTTTTATTCATTAGAAAAGTCCTATTTTCTAAGTGTGGCTACATGCATTAAACTTAAATAATAGGTTGTTGATTGTCGACATAGTGTTAGTAAACAGTGACTGAATTCTCGAGTGATGGGTTTTAATGTGTTTGACATCAGTATAATGTACACAGTGGTCAATAACAATTAGTAAACGAGCTGAGGCAATGGTTAGAGCTGGTATTTGGTATTATAGTAATGTTTCTTTCTAACAGAGTTTTGTAAGAGGTGAATGCTGAGAACTAAAGAGTGACCACAACTTACAGTGAGTCCTTTTTCAATAGAACATGTGTTATCTTTTGCCGTGAGCTAGTGATGGTGGTCCTCACATTTCTGCCTCAAAAAGCTGATCTAAAGATATGAAAAATGTGATGTCATGTTTGTGGAAACTAGTGATCGGACCAGACTGTGATGAGATCAAGGAGCGCTTTACCTGGATGTTATTGTTTGAAAGGCAGGTTATCCAGCTTTATGGTTGTTTTCACTCCACATGTGGGTACATTAATCAGTTTGATTTTAGGACATGCAATAATGCCAGGAAAGGTTAGTAAAAGCAAAGACACAATTCATTTGGCCAAACAAAAAACATAAGGTATTTCCATAATAACAAAATATTGAAGCTTTAGACATATTTTACAGCCATATCTGTAACGCTGCCTCATCAATAACTGTTTGCTCTGAGGTTTTGTTAGTAAGTCTTTTTTTGAAAGACTTATTTTACAAATGTTAATGTGTCAACCTCATGTTTTCTAATTGTCTTTTTCAGACTTGTAACCTCCTGCAGAGATGTCGCGTTTCTTTGCCACTGGCTCAGACAGTGAGTCTGAGGAGTCCTCTTCTGCTGATGAGATCGCCCCGAAAGCCCAAGGAACCAACCTGAGGCAGTCAGTACATTTAACCTCCTCTTACTTCCTGCTGTTATTACTTCTACGTTTGACCACATTTTCTTTGACAGGAATTTGATGCTCAGTGACGATGAGGAGGACACCAAGAGAATCGTGCGGAGTGCGAAGGACAAAAGGTGATGCTTGTGGAGACGGTATATTTCTATGTTGTCCGCTTTGTTCTCACGTCAATCTATTGAAATTCAAGGTTTGAGGAGCTGACAAACCTCATAAAGACTATCCGTAATGCCATGAAGATCCGAGACATGTCCAAATGTCTGGAGGAGTTTGAGCAGTTATGTCGAGCGTTTACAAAAAGCAAGAATATAGTGGACAAAGAAGGAGTTCCTTCGTTCTACATACGCCTCCTCGCCGACCTCGAGGACTACCTCAACCAGGTTCACATTCTCCTTCATGTGATGTCGAGCATTGTTTACACTTGATAATAACACTTTCATTTCTGCTCACAGCTTTGGGAAGACAAAGAGGGCAAAAAGAAGATGAACAAAAACAATGCAAAGGCTCTAAGTACACTTCGTCAAAAGATTCGCAAGTACAACCGGGATTACGAGACTGAAATCGCTTCGTACAAAGAAGTAGGTTACATTTTTAATCAGTTTTTAAAATTCCCTTTTGTAGATGTGTATATAAAATGGCTAAAACTAAACTAAATGACTTTATTTTATCAGAATCCCCAAGAATCTGCTGATGAAGAGGAGGAAAAAGAAGCTGCAGATACAGGTAAAGAAAGCGACATTCTCAGTGATGGACTCTAGATTCACGAGCCTCAATTCCACATGAAACTGTTGCAGGCGACTCTTCTGGAAGTGAGTCCGATGATGCGAATGCAAAGATCCCTGCTCCGAGCTTCTTAAAGAAGAAACCAGAGGGCCCGGATCCCAGCAAGTTCCTGAAAGGAGCCAAAGGATCAGATGTCAGTTTAGCTCCACAGCACTACAGACATTGACATATATCTTCTGGATTTAAACTTTAACCTTAATTGTAAAATTTTTCCACTGTTCAGGATGAGTCCTCGTCCAGTGATGATGACGATGATGGAGAAGACTGGAGTTCAGACTCTGTGGGCAGCGGCAGTGAGAGCTCAGACGATGGAGAGGGGAAGAGTTCTTCATTAGCTGTAGTCTTCCTCAAAAAGTGATTTTGAATTTCAACATGATTCCATCTGAGTTTTGATCAGACGTCAATGTTTTTTAACACTTTATTCATGTATAATTGTGTTAATAGAACCCAGGAGAGTGAGAAGGGCTCAGAAAAGAAAACTGGAAAAAAGAAGAAAATTAAGAAGAGGGGAAAGGAAATAATTGAGGAAGAGCCTGAGGAAGGAGAAGGAGAGGAGGTGGAGGGCGGCTGGGAGAAGGTGAAGGGAGGCGTCCCTCTCATAAAGGTGAGTCACACACACACATGGTACTCACTGTACTGTACTCACTGGACTATGTGTGTGAAATAATCAAAACTATGGTGATTCCATTTTCTTTAAGGAAAAGCCTAAAATGTTTGCCAAGGGCACAGAAATCAACACCGTTGTTGTGGTTAAGAAACTGAATGAAATTCTGCAGGCGAGAGGCAAAAAGGGCACAGACAGGTAATGTGTTTAAAGTGTTTCAACTGTTAGTTACAATCTTTAAAATAACGACGTGTTCATCCCCAGAGCTGCTCAGATCGAGTTGTTTCACGCTCTCGCAGCCATTTCTGCAGAGAACAACCTGGGCCAGGGCATCCTGGTTAAGATTAAGTTCAACATTATTGCTTCTCTGTATGACTACAATCCCAATCTGGCTGCATTCATGAAGGTTTGTGTGAAACTTTATTTGCAATAAAAGATTTATAATTTAAATCACAGATTTGAAAGTGAAGCACTTTTCCCTTTCAGCCCGACATGTGGAAGAAGTGTTTGGAGTGCATCGACGAGCTCCTCGACATTCTGTTTGAAAACAACAACATCTTTATTGGAGAGAATATCATCGAGGACAGTGAGAACCTGGCCATCTCAGACCAGGTAAGACATCAGTCTGTCTCTGATCAGAGCCCTCTCCAAACATTTCACCAAACATAACAAATGAATGTCTGCAGCCGTTTAGGGTCAGAGGCTGTATTCTAACTCTAGTGGAACGGATGGACGAAGAGTTCACAAAGATCATGCAGAACACAGACCCCCACTCCCAAGGTCAGTCCCGAAACAACGCTCTTGACACGGCTCAGCTGTGTCCACAACTGTGAACATTCCTTTTGCCTCTTCCCAGAGTATGTGGACAACCTGAAGGACGAGAGCAGAGTCTGTGGCATCATCGACCGGCTTCTCTCGTACCTGGAGAACAAGGGCAGCACAGAGGAGATCTGCCGCGTGTATCTGCGGAGGATCATGCACACGTACTACAAGTTTGACTACAAGGCTCACCGCCGCAGCCTCGGCCTCCAGGGAGAGACCAAGGCAAGACACGGAGAATCAGCCAGCTGCAAATGTCCAGTGAGCGTTCTCTCATGTTTCTGTTTGGATTGTAGTCTGAACAGGACCAAGAGGAGAGCGAAGGCGAGGACAGTGCTTTCATCATGGACCGGCTCTGCAAATTCATTTATTCCAAAGATCGCACCGACCGCATTCGTACGTGTGCCATTCTGTGCCACATCTACCACCACGCGCTGCACTCTCGCTGGTACCAGGCCCGAGATCTGATGCTCATGAGTCACCTGCAAGACAACATCCAGCACGCCGACCCTCCCGTGCAGGTATGAGGCCGTCAACACGTCACAACTGCCCCTAAAGACCCCTGTGGTTAACGTGGCTCTTTCTCTAGATCCTCTACAACAGAACTATGGTCCAACTGGGAATCTGCGCCTTCCGTCAGGGCATGATCAAAGACGCCCACAATGCTTTGCTGGACATCCAGTCGTCTGGCCGGGCCAAAGAACTCTTAGGTCAGGGTCTGCTCATGAGGAACATGCAGGAGAGGAACGCCGAGCAGGAGAAGATCGAGAAGCGAAGACAAGTGAGTTCAATTCAATATATTCTTGTATCGCCTTAAATTGTATCGTGTCATATATTTAAAGCTGCACTAACTGACTTTATTTTTGTATTCATTACGAAAATGCTATCCGTGTCCATGTAGTGCATTGGGATATACATCATTTTGAAGAAAAAGTAGCGCAGATTTGTGCTGGCGTGACATTATATTTTAGATCGAGTTTTGATGAAACAAGGAAGAGAATGTGTTTCGGGTCGCGGATTGTGACCAGTCGCAGCGGACCACTAGCCCCGTTAGCATAGACGGCAGAGTTAGCACAACAAGCGGCGGAGCTAACCTGAAGCTTTGTGTGTCTTCGTCATCGGTTACTGCTTACACAGCAAGACAGCCAAAAGAAAGTCTCGTTCCTCCGCTCTTCCCGGTTCTATCGTTCTATAGTCACGCCATCCACGTGCAAATCCATATTCGTGTATTATCCATATTGGGAGACCCTAACTCCGTCCCAACAGTGGGTGTGTGTGGGGGGCTATAGCTTCGTGGGTGCGGGGAGGGGAGCAGAAAGAGAAAGGCCAGCGAGTCCGCTGCTTCAAAATCCCAAAGTCAGTTAGTGCAGCTTTAACTTACAGCAGACGACAGTGAATTGTGAACATTCTGAAGAAGCTGTTTCTATAGACTTTCTAAAGATACTAGAATATTTGACCTGTTATTGTAAAAATGTAAAAATCAATCTAGTTAATTTATAAAACAGAATCCATGCAGTGCTTTACAAAGATATGAAGTCATTTACAGGCAAAATGTGTATTTGAGCTTTTCTTTGCTGCATTGACCCACTTAACCCATTGAGGCCGGGAACGCATTCCTGTGTTTCTACCTTTCCAAGCCGGGAGCGCTGTTACGCACTTCTATCTTTTAAGGCCGGGAAAGCGGACACGTCTTTTTTTAACCAATTCTCTTCATTGATCAATTCTCTGGACCAAAGAAATGAATCAAGATATACCTGTGATGAGAATTATCTGCGGATCCGCAAGTTCTGGAAAAATATGATTTCTGTGAAATCTGTGTCCACGTGTTGTTTGCGTTACGTACTCGAACGGGATTAACGTCCTCTGTTCTGACCCCGAGAGCAACTGTGGCCGCTTTGACTAAGCTCAGCGAACGCCTGTCTCCCTCGTCCCTCACCCATGTCTCCCCTGTCTCTTCCCCGTCTCTTCCCCATGTCTTCCCCGTCTCTTCCCCATGTCTTCCCCGTCTCTTCCCCATGTCTTCCCCGTCTCTTCCCCATGTCTTCCCCGTCTCTTCCCCGTCTCTTCCCCATGTCTCCCCCGTCTCTTCCTCATGTCTTCCCCGTCTCCCCCAAGTCTCCTCACGAAGTGCAGCCAAAACCCACTGAATTTATGCTCAGGTACCAAAATTTTTGCTTGCATTAACAATGCATGTTATTTTTGCACAAAAGTAAAATTTTGTGAACAAATCAAACAAAACGTCGTGTTTTGTTTATTTTGCTTAGGACTCAAATTCTTTTGAAATTATGTTTCTATCTGCAACAGAGGCCGAGATATCAATCATTTAGTAGACGTTGAATTTCAGGAAAACTTCAGGTTTTGGAGGGTGGTTCTGAAGTCGGCCATAGGTTTTACAGGTCTGTTTTACCAGGTGTGTCAGGCCTTAATGGGTTAAAGCATATACAAAAACCCATCTTGACAAGCTCTAAACCATACTCCACTCTGCTGAAATGCTGACCCCGTGTTTGTGATGATCTGATCTGGACTTGTTCCTCAGGTGCCCTTCCACATGCACATTAACCTGGAGCTGCTGGAGTGTGTGTACCTGGTGTCGGCCATGCTGCTGGAGATCCCCTACATGGCTGCGCATGAGTTCGACGCCCGCCGGAGAATGATCAGCAAACAGTTCCACCACCAGCTGCGAGTGGGAGAGAGACAGCCCCTGCTCGGTCCGTCTTGCTCTCACCGTCCACACGTCTCTTCTAACGGAGCGTGACACTGGTCCCGTTGTGTTTGCAGGACCCCCAGAGAGCATGAGGGAGCATGTGGTGGCCGCCAGCAAAGCCATGAAGATGGGAGACTGGAGAACCTGTCACTCCTTCATCATCAACGAGAAGATGAACAGCAAGGTGTGGGACCTGTTCCCAGAGACACAGAGAGTCCGGGAGATGCTCGTCCGGTCAGTATTTTTTATTTGTTTTACTTTTTTTACATTTATGGAGTTTGAATTGGCAGTAGTTATCTCGGAGCACTTTACAAAACGGTCAAATTCTACAGAAAACCACCAAATTTGCGAACACAAATCAGGGTTTAGAAAACTAAATTCAATATTCAAACACATTTCGAGTATTAACACAAAATCATGACATTCAAACAAATATTGGACGGCCCTCACTATTCAAATATTATACTGGCATGATTTCTCTGTGTATTTGATGCAATTGTTTATTTAATTTGCTTCAGTCACAATCAGACTTAGATAAATGATCCTGTTTTGAATATAGTTTTCATTCGTACGCACAGGCCGTGTGGATGTACAACCGCAGGCGCCAGTTATTACATGCTTGTTTATAAGAAAAGTGTAGACTCATCTGAAAACCGCATTGTTTACCTGCATGCACTGCCCTCTGGTGGACAAAACAATAGCCGATTTGAACGGTTATATTCTCTGATCTGTGTTTGCGAATTGACAAGTGCTCCGAGACTTCTGCTGTTGTGATTCAGGGCTTTACACAAATGCATAGAATTTATTTTAATGTATTGACTTTCACAATGGATTTCATGATTTTGATTTGTGTGACACTTACAGAAAGATCCAGGAGGAGTCACTGAGGACCTACTTGTTCACGTACAGCAGTGTGTACGACTCCATCAGGTAGGCACTCAGCAGAGAGCGACTTTATCTGACGGTGGAAGACTGTTGTGTCACATGTACCTGATTGTCGTGCAGCATGGAGACGCTGTCGGACATGTTTCAGCTGGAGATCGCCACCGTGCACAGCATCATCAGTAAAATGATCATCAATGAGGAGTTAATGGTGAGTCCATCAGTCCTTTCTTGGATCATCTCATCTGAACTGGACTGGGTTGAGCCTTGGGCCTAAGTGAGCATTGTTGTTATTATCCAATGCTAAATAACCCAATGGTAGTAGCAGGAGGCGATTAGCAAACAGATTCATATTTTCACGTGTCTCTCGGCTGTCTATCTCTCTCTCGGCTCTCTCCTCTCCTCTCCTGCTCTCTGAACCAAACCAATTGATCTAAATATTGTAAATACTTATGAACGTATCATTTCCACTCAAATGAATAAATACAATCGGTCTAAATGATGCTAACTGTTTGGTACCATAGGCCTCTCTGGACCAGCCCACTCAGACCGTGGTGATGCACCGCACGGAGCCCACGTCTCTGCAGAACATGGCGCTGCAGCTGGCGGAGAAGCTGGGCAGCCTGGTGGAGAATAACGAGCGCGTCTTTGACCTGAAGCAAGGCGTGTACGGCGGCTACTTCAACAGAGGTAGGTTCAGTCTCTGCATGTCGTCGTGTACTGTACAGACGTATATTTCTTTAACTAGAATATACACTATTTTATACTTGCTTCTTTATTATGTTGGTGTTTTATACTTTGTTGTTTTGCTAAAGTCAGAGATTGTGTACTTAATTCTTTCTTCTTCGTTATACTAAGACTAGAGATTTTATACTGCTTTTTTATGCTAAAGTTAGAGATTTTATATTATTTTGCATAGTTATTGTTAATTTATCTTGTGCTGTTTGTAATTGGTGATGCAACACTGACATTTCCCCACTGTAGGATGAGTAATCTCTTAATCTTAATCTTATCACATGTTTTTGGTTCACAGATCAGAAAGGAGGCTACCAGCAAAAGCAAGGCTATCAGAGAGGTAAGAAGGCTCACATATGAACAATAGTCTGTGTTTATCTGTTTCACATTGTACTTTAATGGATGCTAATGTTTTCCAGATAATAAAGGATATCAGCAGAAGCAGGGCGGCTATCAGAGAGGCGGCTACAGGAACCAGAACCAGAACCAGAGCAATTACTGAGCGTCGCCTGGATTACAGCTGTTCATTCCAACAACAATCCTCGGCATCAGGCGCTTGACTGTGAAGTGCTCATAAAGTCAGAGGTTTTAAGTTAATAAAGAAAAATAAACAATCCAACTTTCATTTTTTGTGTTTTACTCAAGTATATAACAAATTACCAGCTGCAGTAAGGCAAGTTTATTTGTATACCACAGTTCATACACAAGGCAAGGTCTGACAGAATCTAACGAGGCATTGAAATATAAATCGGTTATCACATTTTCAGGAAGACTTGTAGCTGCACAAATCTGAAATGCTGCCTCCCCATGTTTAGTCCTGACTCGGACTGGCCTCCTGCTGGGACTCTGTGCTCAGTCTGAGTTGGTTCATGTCTCTGATGTACTTTGGTCTGAGCCCATGGAGAAAACACAAGAGCTACATAAACAAACACAGTTCAGACGATTGAGTAGAAAGTGACGTCACATAAATACATTTCTCCTGGAGATCTACACAGCTGCATTGGTGAGTCTACACAGCTGCAGTAGTGGGTCTACACAGCTGCAGTGGTGAGTCTACACTGCTGCAGTAGTGAGTACACATGGGTCTACACAGCTGCAGTAGTGAGTACACATGGGTCTACACAGCTGCAGTAGTGAGTACACATGGGTGTACACAGCTGCAGTGGTGGGTCTACACAGCTGCAGTGGTGAGTCTGGGCCTCAGTCTCCGGTGCAGCTCCTGCCGCAGGAGGTCTCTCTCTTTGCGGATCCCCTGCAGAACCGTGCGGTTTTCCTGAGCGCGGCGCACCAGGTACGGCAGCGTGTCGTCCACCGAGCCGTACGGCACAGACTTGTAGATGGAATAACCCTCTTTTGCTGCAATAGAACAATTACTTTAGCATGTGGGTTACAAAAGGATTTTTAAAAAATATTGTTGGTGACAATAGAAATGGTGCAGACGTACAAACTATATTAGCCAAAACAAAGAACACACCATGGACTTTTACAGGGTATGTGAGCGAGTGCTTCAGCAGAGGGAACATTGTAAATGTTAATAATCAATTATTAAAGGAATACAACTTTGTTTGTGTTGAACCATTGTTTGGTACTTATAAGTACCAAATATGTGTGTGTATATATTATATGTATGTGTGATATACACACACATATGTATATTATATTATATAATGTGTGTGTGTGTGTGTTTGTACACATAAATACAGTATGTGGCTGAGGTGGTGCATTAAACGGACACTGGCAGCAGGTCCAGAAACACTGACCCAGCGTGAGGGAGACGTGGTCACACATGCCCAGCAGCTGACCAAAACACACCGAGCCGTCGTCTCGGTCTATGCCCAGCTCCTCCACCCTGTCAGAACACATAGTCCTGTCATAAGCAACATTTAATGTACATTATAGAACAGCTGTGGGCAAATATTGTCTTGGGACACATTGAGATGTGGATTGTACATATAACATACTTATAAGATACTTCATAACAAAAATGTGTGTTCTTGATAATCAAAAATAATATGTGATTTAGTTTTAACATATAAGTGTGAGTAATATGGGCGAGAAAATTATTTAGGATAATATGTTTTAGCTGTTTTAGATTTCAGTTCTTGCTTGGACTGAATTAAATTGGACAGATGAATGTTGTATGAGGTATAACATGCCATTGTAGCACTCATGAGGTGGCAAACCTTCATCTGCTTCTCACTCATTTGAAAACAAAAGGTCAGGAGGTCACATGGAAACGGCCGTATATATTTGGCACCGGCTGCTTTTTACTTAGCTCTGTTACAGCAGGTAATGTCTTAAAACTCATTATTTTAAATGTCTCTCATCTTAATCAAAAGCATGTTTCAGATCACCAGTGAAAGAATGAGTTACAAGTTTAAAGTTCTTGCCTTTGAGCAGCCAATCGGACGGACTCCTCGTTGTGTGTGGCCACGATGATCCTGTAGCGTCCGGGTTGATCGGAGATGGCCTCCAACACGGCGTTCAGTGAGCCATTGTAACTGGAATCAAAAGTAAGTTCAACCTTTCATGAGTAAAATGTGACTCTTAAAAACCATTACCTGCTGTTCGTCTCTTCCCAGGAGTTATGGATAGGGTCAAGTCTTCCCTCCTTTTCTGCAAGTTTCCGCTCTTTCTCCATGTAGGCCCCTCTCACCAGTTTGACCCCCAGACAGAAGCCCTCTTTTTGGGACACACTAATGGCTTCTTGGATCAAGGACCTGGACTCCTGGTGTGAACATCAACATTCAACAACATTTATGGACATTTATCAATTCTTATGGAAATTTGTCTCTGCTTCTTATGGACCATTGGCTCTGTGTGTTTTTGACATTGACAAGGCAAGTTTATTTGTATTGCACAATTCACACACAAGGCAACGCAAAGTGCTGAACAAAACAAGATTGAGACAGTCACACAAGGCGTTAAAATCATAAATAATCACAATGCGTTAAAAAGAGTGAAGATAAAAACCTTCAGTTGTTTGTAAAGTTATACTAAACTGTTTTTAACCTGGATTTGAACACTGTCAGAGAATAAGCATGTCTCACATTTTTCAGGAAGACTTCCAAATTCTAGCAGCATGTATCTGAAATGCAGCCTCCATGTTTAGTTCTGACTCTGGGCACCAGCAGGAGGCCAGTCCCTGTGCTCCTCCGAGTCCCAGCAGGAGGCCAGTCCCTGTGCTCCTCCGAGTCCCAGCAGGAGGCCAGTCCCTGTGCTCCTCCGAGTCCCAGCAGGAGGCCAGTCCCTGTGCTCCTCAGAGTCCCAGCAGGAGGCCAGTCCCTGTGCTCCTCCGAGTTCGAGTTGGTTCATATGTCATGTCACTTATGTACTTGATTCTCTGATCTGTGTAAAGTCTGCAGAGATAACTAATGTTGTGATTTAGGGCTATGCAAGAACACATGTAATTTAATTGAAATAACTGTGGAGTAATTTTAAAATGTATTAATCTAAACCAGTCAAGTCTGTTCACCGGTGACCTGCGTTACCTTTAGATAACATTGGTACGTGTTCCAAATCCAGGCGTCGTTTTTGTTGAACTTCTTCATCATGGCTGTGGTGAGCAGAGAGAGGGCCGGGTTCATGTAGGTGTACTCCGCATCCACCAAGACCCTGACTTTGTGAACGCTCTCCTGAAGCACAAACGTTAGTCATCAGGGTCTAAAGGATCCGAGCCTTTCTTATTTTACCTCTGCGATTCGGTTGATCCGCCTCAGGCCACAGACCAAGTGAGCGTTCTCCTTCTCGTCTAACCCACGGAGGCTGATCGACTGAAATGTTCCAGAGGAAATGAGTCCAAATCACAGTCTCAGGCTCAGTCTATGGTAGTAGAGTCCGGATTACCTCCCCGTCCAGGCCTCGGACCAGCAGATCCAGGTCAAAGGGCTGCTCTGACATAAGGGTCGTGAGCTTCACCTTGACAGAACAGAATTGTCGACAGGATTAAGTTTTTCTGTGGGAAATGGAGCTTATTTCAACAGCTGCTTATCTGTGCCTCCCCCGTGAAAGCAAACACAGCGTCGAGAGAGTGGTATAGATACATAATGATAGTATTTATTTGTCTTACACACAGCTCTGGGCTGAGGAGAGCTGTCACTTTCAGCTGCATCATGGGGTCTTTGCTCCACGCGTTACAGTGGGACATCCGCACACACTCCAGCATGGCCTCCATGTTGTCCTCATATCTCTTCTCCCTTTTCATATCATTTAGAAAAGATCAAATATTAATCCCAGTGGAGATGAACTAATACTGCCCTAGGGCAGGCTGACAGAAGCAAGGCTACTGATCGGTGCCATCCACATCTCAAAACACACACAGTAGGCAAATGTTTCACCTGCTGTTCCCAGAGGTCTCCCATCAAAGTACAAACTAAACTCTGTCCTGCTTAGCTTCAGGGGTCTGATGAGATCAGGTTTTTGCATACAGGTCTGAACACGATCACATGTCATGTCCTGGCAGCTCTATCCTGCAGTTTACTCTGAGCTTCAGGAGAGATGGGTCTTTTTCAGGATGGAAATCATTTTGAAATGTATGTAGAGTAAATTCTTTATATAAATTCTCCCTTTAACACAAGTCCTTATGACATTAGAATGCAACTTCCTCTCACCCTGTGCTTTCTCCCAGATCTTCCTCGATGGGCACGGCCAGCATCGGCCTCAGTCCCAGAACACTCATCTTTTCCATAGAGTGCGAGATCTCAGTCTCGTTCTCACCAGCCACAAACTGTCTGTACACAGTGGGGCGCAGGAACAGGGAGAAGCCCCGCTTTCCCAGGAGCCTCCGGGCGACGGACATCAGCTGCACCAGCATAGAGAGAAACAGGAGAGACTGTTGTTATGACAACCACAACTGTCACTGATGGTTACCATCAATCACAATGTGCCACAAAGAGTGTACATGGTGTGGTATGTATATGTGTATATCTATATAATTTATATATGAATTATATACTGTATATATATCTCTCTTTGAAACACACTCGAGAACATAATAAGTAAAAGTTTGGACGAGTGTCTGGGTCAGTTTGACCTGTTCAATTATTTGACTGGTCTCTCAACATGTAATTGGAGTGTTTTTATTTGACCTTACAGAATACCCTTTGGTCTATGGTCTCTGTCTTACCCTCTGCTATGGTCTCTGTCTTACCCTCTGCTATAGTCTCTGTCTTACCCTCTGCTATGGTCTCTGTCTTACCCTCTGCTATGGTCTCTGTCTTACCCTCTGCTATGGTCTCTGTCTTACCCTCTGCTATAGTCTCTGTCTTACCCTCTGCTATGGTCTCTGTCTTACCCTCTGCTATGGTCTCTGTCTTACCCTCTGCTATGGTCTCTGTCTTACCCTCTGCTATGGTCTCTGTCTTACCCTCTGCTATGGTCTCTGTCTTACCCTCTGCTATGGTCTCTGTCTTACCCTCTGCTATGGTCTCTGTCTTACCCTCTGCTATGGTCTCTGTCTTACCCTCTGCTATGGTCTCTGTCTTACCCTCTGCTATGGTCTCTGTCTTACCCTCTGCTATAGTCTCTGTCTTACCCTCTGCTATGGTCTCTGTCTTACCTTGCCGCAGTGGTTGACCAGCACGGGGAAAGAGCACAGCTGAAAGACTCCCAGTGCTCGCAGCAGCTCCCCCATGGTCTTCACCTGGAAGGCCCTGGGGTCTTCAAAAGCCAGAGGCACCGACGGCAGCCCCTGCTCTCTCAGTCCTGCCCCAGTCACGGTCCCTGTTACTGCCCTGGTCACGGTCTCGGTCCTGGCAGCGGCTGTACCCATCTGCCTCAGGGGCAAGAGCAGGGGTAAAGAGAGGCGTGCCCGGGAGCCCAGCATGGTGAGACGCGGTCGTTCTCCTGTGGTTTGTGGATCAGTCTGTTATGTCTGAATCTCCTCGTCTGACTTCTGGTTAATAAATAACCTTTTTTAAATTTTAAACAAACAAAGTTGAACCTTAGCATCTAGTTTTCTTCTCTCGGTTTTCCATCTGCCTCCTGTGGACTCACCACCTGCAGAGGGTCAGTGAGGGGCTGGTGCTATGAGACTTGGGTGGCATCTCTGATTGACACCCCCCTGATCCAGAAATGGATTAAAGGGTAGAAAATGGATGGATGGATGGTTTTCCATCTGCTCACAGCTAAAAAATATATGGCGTCCCAACTAGAGCCCTGCACGGGCCTATTATCTGGGCCCGAGCCCGGCCCTGGCCCGAGGGGGTGGCGCCCCAGCCCGGCCCGGCCCGATATGGTTTCTCAATTTTCAGGCCCGAAACCCGCATCAAGCCCGCCTTTTTTTTTTTTTTTGTAACCTCCCATAACAATGTTTTAGCGTAGTATATAGTGCCGCGCACTGATATGAACGCAGACTTAGCTAGAGGGCGGAGTTATACATGGTAGTGATGTGTTGCAATGAGTTCTGTGTGTGCGGAGTGGTGCAGAGTGAACATCTGTATGATACACCGCTGTATGATGCCCAGATGCTGCAACACACCTGTAAGTAACGCTATGTGCCGTCAATGACAACACTACACAGAACAACAAACACTACAGCGTGATAGAACGCTATATTCAGTGGGTGCGTTCGTAAATCTATTCTGCCGCTCTGAAAATGAAGAGCCCGAGCCCGGCCCGTGTCCGAGGTCATTATGCGGTCATCGGCCCGAAGCCCGGCCCTCGGGCTGTCGGGCCGTCGGGGCCCTCGGGCCAAGGGCTCAAGTGCAGGGCTCTAGTCCCAACAAATAGTTATTGTTGTTGTGGATTTTTATTTCATGCATGACTTATTCTAATTTCTACTTTTTGACTTGCTTGCACTGAGAGCCAAAGTCATTTCCTGGTTTGTGGTTTCTTGTTACTCACATGGCAATAAAAAGTTTTGTTTAAGTGACAAATCAGACCACAAGAAGCTGTCTTAATCATTTTAGAAAACTCTTACATACTGGGAGCTGATTGGCTGAGAGAGGGCTGGTCTAAAGAAGACGGAACTGTTTTGAGAGCAAAGTGGTAGTTACTACTTTTTTGTGGTTTCAAAGTTAAGTATTCCAGCTTTAATGTGCTGACCGAGCGTTGAGAACTTATTTTCTTGTGTCATCACTGTGTGGAGAGAATGGAGAAATATCTGAACTCTTAACTTTGTAAAGAGCTTTGGGTGACCTTGCTCTGTAAAATGCGCTGTATAAGAAAACCAAGGCAGGACCAAAGTTAAAGAAGTCTCAGTATTTTGGACAGATTCATGGTTTATGCCAATGACGCACTCATGAAGTTGCAAACCTTCATTGGGTTGAGATTCTCATTCATTTGAATAAAAAAAGGTCAGAAGGCCACATGGAATCGGGAATCAGGCCGTATGTGGCTCCCGGGCCGGACGTTACCCAGGTCTATTATAGACAAGGGCGTAGGTTTGCGTGGGGACCATGGGGACATGTCCCCACCAATATTTGGTGAGGACTAAAAAGTCCCCACCAAAATGACATGATGTCCCGTGACCCGGACGGTCCGGGACACATGTCTTCCGTTTGTGCACACGTCGCGCCTCCTCCTCGCCTCCAGAGCAACAGCAGCAGCAGCAGCACGTGACCCGTTCCGTTCTCTGCAGTGATTGGCTGTCTTCTTCAGCGCCAAACTGAAGCACTGAGCAACTGTTTAATTTTTTAAAGTTAGCCAGCGTGAAGCAAGTGTTTTTTTTCGTTCCCTGAGCGTTGTAGCACGTGAGTAATCAGAGGAAAGTACTGTAGATCTATTACCATTCAAAGTACTTACGTTATTTCTAATCTGTCAGCGCACTGTTTAATGTTCCGAGGAGCTCACACGGCACAGAGACAGAACAGAACTGGCTCCAATAAAGAAACAGGTTGGTTGAAAGGCTGACAAAATACTTATTGTGCTCTTACTATCCAAAATGTATGAGTGTGTTGTGTGAATCAGGATAAACTAGGGATGAAAATATTCCACGGATCCACGATTTACAACCTTTATCTGCTGATAATGTAATTTCTGTGAAATGTGTGACAGCGGGCACTTGCTGTTATTTGCCCTAAGCACATTCAAGAGATGCACTCGAATGTGCACGTCCTGGTGCAGCTGCTGCCGCTTTGTAATGACAGCCGCGGCGCTCAGTGAAAGCACAGCTCTAACATGGTACCGAGCTCGGACCATATGCAGACAGAACCATGTTGCAAGTGCGGGTCTCCCTCGTATCTCCCGCGTTTCTCCCCTGTGTCTCTGACATGTCTCTCCCCTGACTCTTCCCAAAGCGCAACCAGCGCTCCCGAAATTAAAGCTCGGATACGTAAATTTTCCATTGCGTTAACGATGCATGCTGGTTGTGCGCAAAACACACCACAACAGGTCATTTAAGTTTTTTATTTTGCATACTTGAGAGCCCTGTGAGTCATTACTTGCCTTTTTGGGGAGAGAGTGGAATAAAAAAAAGAAAATATAGAAAAATCCACACTGTTACTTATTGCCAAACTCTTGTTAACTCATTGTATTGAGAAATACTATGTAACGTTTGACATTGGCCAAGTTATATAAATGATTCTGCAGTTCATGTATATGAATGTCTGTTTTTGATTGTCTATACCTTCTTATATAATTTAGAAAAAATGCCACCTCCACAAATAAGATAAAAGATATCAGGAGCTTTTTTAACAGTTGGAAAGTAAGTAAGAGAAAGCACAAGTAATAGCAAATTATGAATTGTGATGATTAATCTTCTGTTAACATACATAACTGCTTCTCATTCAGTCTACAGCTGAGTTTAGTGTAGAAGGCAACACACTATTGCAAATATAGTGTGTGATTACACAACAAATTCTGGGGGAGAAACTCTGGACCCCGTGTCAATGGGTGTAGACTCAGGTCGTAGTGAATGTCCCCACCAAGATTGGAACCAAACCTACACCATTGATTATAGATACAAGATACAAGAATTTATTTGCCATTTCCAGTAAAACCACATTGGAAAAACTGTGCAAGACTACCGGTGCGTAGGAAGGTCATGTCTTAAAAACTTTCTTATGAAACTTATGGAACTATTTTAACATGTATGAGGTTCTAAGTTTGTCTTTTGATCTTCACTCCGAAATTATTGGTATCAAACATGTGACTAGAAAGTTTTCTGATGCATCGACTACAAACTTTTTTTTCTTCTTTTTTCATCTTCAAGGAGAGAAACGGGAGACAGAGGTTCAGGTCTCGGGAGGGATCACCCAGTACAGAGTAACAAGTTTCAGTCCCTTTTCTAACATAAGAAACACCCATTAATAAACAAAATGTGTAACTTTTGAGACACACTTAGAGACATTCCAGGTAAGGCAAAAGCATGGCCATACCTGCATGTGAAAGCCAGATCCTGCCAGACTTCTGAAGCTAAGCAGGGCAAGACCTGGTTAGTACTGTGATGGGAGACCTCTGGGAACACCAAGTACCACAGTGCGGTGGCTGTATAGAGTTACACTGTTGTTGTGTCCTTAGGCAAGACTCCTCACCCACATTGCCTAGAACAAGTTTGGTGTGTTTGTGAGTGAATGGTTAGTGGTGGTGGGAGGGGCTGATGGCACATGCAGGGCAGCTGTGGCTACTGTAGTTACCACCGTGTATGGAGTGAAAGAATTATGACATGTGCAGCATCTTTGAGTGGCTGGATTTATTATTATTATTATCATGGTGGCACCTGTTACATAGTGCACCTCTAAATATAACCTTTGCTTAGTTAAGTGTTACCAATACAGCTTTAATTAATGTGTAAAAAAACAAGAAAAATTGCTTGAATTTTAGACATTTTTATTTATAAACTGGAATGAATATTGGAAGAGAGTACATCAAATCCATACTAGAATCAAAACATCACCCAAAATGAGAGCCTCTGACAAACAAACAAACTACAAACACACATTTTTTTTCTCCAAAAGCGCTATCATAGACATCCAAACACACATTTTTCATTTATTTTAATACACAGCCCTTGCACCCATGTCTAGGTAGGGCCCTTGGGTGTTGGCATGTTGGTGCTGTCTGTACAGGTGCCTCAAGGGGAGGGGCAGATGTGGGTATGGTGAGAACGTGGAATACATGGCTGGGTTTGAGGCCGCCGTGGGTAGATCCAGCTGGGACAGAAGAGCCGGGTGGTGGCGTACTATGTCTGGGCGATAGGGGGCGCCAGAGCTGAACTGAGGGATTGCCCCCAGCTCTACGGGAGGGTAGGAGGTTGCGTTATGCGGGGCACTTGCATTGGATAGGGTTTGGGAGTTGGAGGGGGCTTGAAATTGCGGATGAGAGAGTGCTGAGTGAGTGAAAGAGGACGGAGGGAAAGGAGGCTGAGGTTGATGGTTCAGATTTGGAAGGTGCAAGGCGTGGGACGGGTTCGCTGTCATATTTGGGAACGCCAGATTCTGCATGGGAGGAGGGAAAGCAAAAGACTGGAGAGGATTATTGTAAACAGGAAAAGAGCAGGACAGGGAAGGAGAGTGGAGTTGGTTTTGGTTTGAGAGAGCTTGGATAGAGTTTGGGTTAGTCGAGAGAAAATGTGGATATGCATATTCTGGAGGGGTGGGGTCATTGATGGAAGAATTAGTCATGGGGTCAATTGTGGGTTGATTGAGTAAAGAGTTAGCAGACATGTGATCGCAGGCAGGGTTAGGGGCCGAGTAGGATGTGATGGCTGCGTTCTCCAGGTCACAGGCATAGGAGTAAGCGGGAGGGGTGTCGGCGACAGGCAGGGGGGAGGAAGAGTTTGAATGAGGAGGGGTTGGGAATGTGAAGGTGGTCTGCTGCAGGGCTGGAGTGCTGGTGGAGGTGGGGGACAGGGTGGTGGTGTGGTAGTCTAGGGGAGGAGGGGGGAGAGAGGGCGGGGCGTGGCCGGAGGCGTCTGAGGAGTCTGGAGCAGGGAGCCCCGGGTACGAGGGGGAGAACTGTGATGGCTGAGCAGGGGGGAAGCCGGAGGGGTAAGCTGGGGCTCCGAGCTGAGACTGAGGACTGTGGAGAAAAGCAGGAGAGTGGCTTTAACTACAAGTGAATACAACGTTTTAATCAGTGCTTCTCAAACAATGATATATTATAAACCAAATCCATATGAATATTACCATGTTTTTCTAACTGAAGTGATTCAAGATCTAAGCAAGGTCAAAAGTCACTACTCTATGTTTGTTAGGAGTAACTTAAATAAGGCAAAAATAGACACACAAACCCTCCGGATGCTTTAGAGACTGAGAGCGCTTCTATGTACTTTTTAAAATGTATTCAACGTATGATATGTATAAAAATATGTATCTAAAACATACTTTTATTATCATCGGGACATAGTGACGTGTTTCAAGGGTTCATAAAGAATCATTTTTGCCTCTGAACTGTTCCTCTTTGTTTCCCATATTGTTTTCCCACAGAATTTTTGATCCCTGTTTGCACTCGTTCCTCTTGTTATTTGTATTTAATGTATGATCTTGTTTTTACAAATGTTTCTTTTTTCTTTTGTTCTATATACTCTACCTTTTCATATAAAATGTGTGATTAAACTAATAATACCCAAAGAAATAATCTATAATATAACATAAAGGGAATTGAAGTATCATATTTGAATGAACTCACTTTTCCATGAGGCCGTTGGAGACCTCGGTCCCCGCGTCCTGGATCCCACCGGACAGAGGAATACTGACATCAGCGATAAAAGCCTGACCCAGGTCCAGGCTCTGCTCTGGGAGGAGGCTGTCCTGGTAAGAAGGCTCCTCTGTCCCGTACGCAGGCAGGGCAGGCAGGCAGGACAGGTCCAGGGTCTGCAGGCCAGGACTGCTGCCCGATGTGGCCTGGGGCAAAACCTCAGTGGAGTCGCAAGGATCACAGTTCACTGTAAGAAAGAAAGAAATGTGGGTTTGAAATGTGCTCTCATCTTCATCTCACCTCTAGTGTTTTTGTTTGGGGTTGAAAGCGGGAGTTTGGATGATTTAGTTTTCCCACTTGGGGTCACAAACGTATTGCCTTTTCAACATTACTGGTGCGACGCTTGATTCTACTGAAATGGAAAGATGCTGCTCCTCCCACTGTCTCACTCGTAAAGTACACATTTTGTTGACTTGTTTGATTGATCTATACATTTTTTTTTTTTTTTAGAGCTGGACAGATGGGATTTTATCTATTTGTACTTATTTCCATGTTCACCTCTGTAAAATAATAACAATATTAACCACACATGTTTTCTTCATACGCTCGACTCACCAATATCCAAAGTGTCTGTGATCTGGTCTATTTTACGCTTCTGTCTTGCGTCTCTTTGCCTGAAAACAGAATCATATAAATCTCACAATCATAAACATAGAATCAACGAACGAACGAACGTCTTGAAACACTTACTTCTTGCTGTTCATGCCGTCTTCTCGAAATCCTTTTGCAAACGGATTCGCATTGATCTTCAACTCTGTAATCTGAGATATACCGGGTCAGTCTGCAGCTTTTGTATCCGAGTATTTCAAGGACGGGGATAAAGTATTGACTCTCACCTTGTTGTTTTGGTAGGCAGTGACTGTAATGAACTGCGTCTCAGGGAACACGAAGGTCTGCTGTCCGCCGCCCCAACGCATGATGTCTCTCGCTTCGACCAAGTGGATCCTCGGCTGGTAGCGATGCAGAGAGTGGAGAATGATCTGTAGACATAACATTATAACAACATTACATTTCTTTGCTAGTTTGTCTTTTTATCCAGCACCACTGTGGAACAATTTTTTTTAATAGTGTTATATCTGTATTACTGCAAAAACATTACTATCTGAAGAACTGAACGTATTTGTTTTACCCACATTGTTATGACAGTATTTATATATATATATATATATAAGTATTGAGGAGGATTTCAGAAACGAACCACCCTCTCCACTTTTTGAACAAATCTCTCTTATTTGACGAGCACGTATCACCAGAATGATTGACAATTAGGAGGACCAATAGTCTTGATGATCCACCCGGAAGTAGAAAATCCCCCAATGTACCTTTAAGTATGAGTCATTTATATCTTAATTGATGACATTTTCTGTTCTTATGCACATTGGCACAAATTGTATAAAAAGCCTTGTCTTCTACCGCTGCAAAAAGTGATGAAAAATTAGTTAAATATTGCTCAAATTTGGCAAAATGTATCTTAACTTGGGCACATTGTGACTGCCGTAAAACAAGATTTGCCAATGGGACAAAGCAAAATGATCTTGATTAAAAAAGATACAATTTTTTAAAACTTTTTTTCATTTCATTTCATTTCATTTACATCCCTTTATTTTCCATTTCTGGGTCAGGGGGGTGGCAATCAAAACTTTTGATTTTAAACTTGGAATGAGAAAATAAAGCAACAGATCTTGAAATTAGACTAAATGGCTTTGTCTCACTGGAAAATCTTATTTTAACACGGTCAGAAAGAACTCAAATTGAGATGAAAACCACTAGATTCGAGCAATAACTACCTCATATTTTATAATTTTTTAACTCGAAAACAAACCGTGTACATTTGTAATCGTTGTGTATGACTTCTCGACGTCACTTACATGCCCCTGTGAGTCCAGGGTGTTGTTGGTGAGCTTGGCGTAGTGGAAGGAGATGGCTCGGCTTTGCCAGTGAGCCCCGGTGGCGGGCGAGTCCGGGTGGATGCAGACGCGATCGGGAAGACGGGCCTCGGCGCCACCTACAGCCTGCCATCCGCCGCCTTGGAAACGATACCTGGAGTTATCCACGGGAACGATGTCCAGGAGCAGGATGTATCGCAGGGCGGGGTTCAGGCCCGACAGCTTCAGCTTCAGCCCTGGAAACAGCCGCCTGTGGGACGCAGAGGCACGGTTAAAATCACTACTTTCTATCAATCACAAAGTTCAAGGTTATGATTTGGTTAAAGCAGCAGCAGAAAGACACAACTATACACAAGGAAACAATAAATACACAATCAAACAGGAGTACACTACTGGTTTAAAATACCAACGGCAACAGAGATAAAACAGTTCTTAAACCTGTTAATCTGACATTTATCTGCGGGACACTGCACTGAAAAAAATAAAATCTTGGTATATATTATTTACTAAAAATAACATTAATTATGCTTATTTTTTTATTTGCAATTTTGTTGTGGCTTGAATATAGTTTGTCAAGATAAGATTATTTTACTAGTTTGAACATAATAACACTTGATAATCTTATTAGAGAAAAAGTCAGCAGTGAGTTTTTGATGCTTGTTTTAAGTATTTTTTCTTCTTTCCAGACGACTTGTCGTTTATATAAAATGTAAAAAGTATGTGATGCTATACTTAAAGAAAACACTAAACATTTTCTTTAAAAAATATGTAAATAATACCTGAAATGTTTGTTTTTAAACTAGAATCAAGTCGTTTGGGCTAGTATTATTTTCAGAAATCGTGTCAAGTCATAATTTTTCTTATTTTAAGCAGAATTTAACACATTTTTAAGGGGATTTTTTCAAGTGTAGGTTGCGTCTGAAGATATCTGCTGGGCTCTTTTTAGAACCTGAGCCCTGTGGACGTCCTGGCGGTCAGTAAAAGTGACTCCAGCTGCAGATGCTGTTTGTTCGTGGCGGATAACGCTCCCAATCAGGAAATAAAAGACAAGAACCAATTCAATAAAAGCAAGAACATTACAGTTTGTCAAAGATGGTGTCCAAGTATTTTTGTTTTTGTTTATTTTTATTTTTTTATAAACAGGCAGGAGGCGGGGGGACCTCCTGAAGTCAATACATGTATATATTCTACCTGCATATGATAGATATATATAAATGTATTGATATTGAAGCATTTATAGCTAGCTCAGCTACTTTTTTTTCCAATTCATTTATTTTTAAACATATAAAGCTGGCACATCTGTATTTTTAAATGTGTTACTTGTATCTCTTAACTCTATACAAAAAGTGGATTGGATTGCTCTCTGTGTGCTCCTACTACTGTCCTGTATCTCTATTATCTTACCTGCCCTTCTTGGTGATAATCATTTCTGTTCCCACCGAGCTGAACTGTTTCCATAAAGAAGAATTCTCCAGCTCCATCTTCACCTCCTCTTGGCCCTTGCGGAGCTGCTCTGGGGGCGCATCAGCGGGACCCGAGGGAGGAGGGAGTCGTCTCTGGGATAAAGTCTTGGCCACAGTATCACACCCTGAAGGAAACAGCGGCACGTGAACGGTCGGATCCCTCTCTGAAAAAAAAAAGTTCATAAGACACGATCAAATCAAGAGCCGAGATCCACACACTTCAATCGATGATAGAAACCCACCGCGGTAAAAGCAGTCCCCAATTTTTGGAGACCCCAGACCCAGGCCGGGGTAGATGTCCACACTGAGCATTACTCCTATTCGGCAACGTTCATTACTTCCAGAGAACCTGCGGTGGAAGTGAAGACAGTGGTGTGTTCTTGACTGGAATGGCCGCAGAGCAGAGCGGGCCTGTATATAGGTGTGTGGGGCCTCACACTTGGGGCCAAATGGTTCTTTTGTCACAGCTTCATTTGCTAAGACTAACACTGCACATCCCGCCCTCTGTCAGAGCAGACCTGTATGTGTGTGTTTACAACTGATGCATGCAGTCTCACAAATTCACTCTTCATTACTTTATTTAAACATATTTTGCAGAGTCACTCAAGTCCAAAATGCTAAATGTGTTTTGTTAATCTCCTAGAATTCTATTTCAGATGGAAAAAGAGCTCAATGTTTCCATAGAAGCAACTTTTAAACCAAAAAAAAAATCTGTTAATTCTTGTATAGCCCTAAATCACAGCAGTATTTATCTCTATCTATAGAATATACAAGAAAAATTCCAGTTCATTTTTCACAGATAGATTTGATTAGATTCATAAATGATTCTTAAAGTGTCTGAAAGTCCTTTCTACAACATCATGTGCTTTTGAATATTGTCACCACTTCTGGACACTTTGATGTGAAAATAACGAGAAACGTCGACATGTGCCGAAAAACATGATGCTCTGTGTGGACTGGCCCAGGAATTACACAGAAATCAATTTACTTTTGGATCGCTCTAAATCACAACAGCTGTCGTCTCAGAGGACTTCACAAAGTTGTCAATTCTTCAACAACAGATCAAAGAATCAAAGCATTTTGAACACAGGAAATACAATAATGATAAACCCATAGCAGCCATTGGTCCAGAGGGAGCGGGAGGAGCACTGTCCACACAAGACAGAGAGTAAGTGAGTAAAATTTATCTATATAGCGCCTTTCACAGACCAGAGTCACAAAGCACTTTACAATTGTGGGCACTTGTCTCTCACTCCACAGAGAGATGGGAGCGGGGCCAGTACAGGAGGCACATGCCAAACCTATTGTACATGTTTTTAATGGTAGGGGAAACCGGAGTACCCAGAGGAAACCTACGCAGACACGGGGAGAACATGCAAACTCCACTCAGAAAGGCCCTGTTCCGACCAGGATTCGAACCCAGGACCTTCTTGCTGAGAGTGCTATCCACTCAGCCACTGTATATGACCTACCATAGTTACCAAAGCTACTTACTGTTTTTGACTGATGTTATTACTTTTAGCCGACTGTGCAGCGCTATATGAACACTGACTTTTAAAAGTGCTCTATAAATAGATGTATTATCATTATTATTATTATTATTATTATTATTATTATTATTATTATTATAGAGATTACTATAGACCCTTTAGAATGGTGTGATGTGATTGGTTAGTGAGTTCATATGATGTGAATGAGAGATGTGTTGTCTGTGAGATATAAATGTGTGTTTTGTTTATGTAATTGTATAGTTACTGTAGTGTGTAGTGTAGTACTGTAGTAGTGTAGTGTAGTGTAGTGTAGTAGTGTAGTGTAGTAGTGTAGTAGTGTAGTAGTGTAGTGTAGTGTAGTAGTGTAGTAGTGTAGTAGTGTAGTGTAGTGTAGTAGTGTAGTAGTGTAGTAGTGTAGTGTAGTAGTGTAGTAGTGTAGTGTAGTAGTGTAGTAGTGTAGTGTAGTAGTGTAGTAGTGTAGTGGTGTAGTGTAGTAGTGTAGTAGTGTAGTGTAGTGTATTGTTTTGTAATTGTTTTGTCACATGAACACATTCTTAGGTCTGTGTCATATTCATGTCTTTCTACTAGTCCTGCCTCGTAAATTCCACAGTTGTACCTGTCGCAGCAGGTGTTAACGGCGAGGGCTCCTGCTGAGGCCTGATGACTTGATGACATGCTCCTTCCTCTCTGCTGCCTCCGTTAGCTCCCTCAGCGGGGGGTCCGGCCTCAGGAGACCACAGTTTGGTCTGTGGTCACAGTTTGGCCTCTGCTGCACACATGTCCCAGTTTACATTAGAGGGTGACTGGAAGGAATAAAACATTTAGCAAAACAAACACATTGTGCAGACGACTTGTAAAAACCATCACATGATTAAACTGTATTTCAATTATTATTTTATTTTTTTACAAATCTGATGGCTAAAAAGTTTATGTAGGGTTTTAGTCTTCATAACTTTGACTTCTTCTGTATCTAAATGTATTCTTATTATATAAGCTAAAACATAAACTGGTCCTAGAATGATTCAGAGCCATCTCAGCTTGGAACAAGTGCTAGTTACCATAGCAACAAACTGTTTAACTACAGCGGTTAGCATTACTTTTTCTGTATTTAATTTAAAATAACACGTTTTAGCATGTATTAAAGATAAAACCGTATGAATTACTTATTAATTAGAAAAAAAAGACAGTGAAAAATCAAATGGGGAGTTTTATTTTCAGAATTCCGACTATTTGAGTCCTGGGAGTCTAGTTTTAAAGCATTATTAGCTGTTGGATTTCACTCCTGTGTACTTTCTACAGCACCACTTTACAACACATCAGCTGAACATGGGCTGTTTTCTGACCGTCTGTCTCTGTGAACCTTTAACCTGGAAAAAAATCCACCATGTCACAAAATCCTTGTATCTAGTGTCAACAGCTGTTTGGTTCTGTCACTAGTTTCTAAACCCAAGTATTTGCGGCCTCTGTCACATCTGTGCACATGTGATGTGTAGCCTCCTATGGACAGGTGTTGCAAATTAGCAGTTTTGCTATAACACTGGAAACAATGTATCTGGTTTGTCCAATGCAGTTGATATGTCCATATCAAATAAACTAATAATAATAATAATCTTTAAATCGGCTTTTTCAGACGGAAAAGTCAGGATAAGACAGGACCCTCCTCACTCGTTATGTAAAGGATAACACTCTCGGATTTGTGCACAATTTAAACAGGACTCAGTTTAGGACAAATGCACTTGTGCTTCGACCTTCAGACCTTCGTTAAAACATCACTGACTTCTTTAGACAGTCGTAATGACAAGCTTAGTTTTAACCGTTAAATCAGAAGTGTCAGAAAAGATCAATCGAAAATGAGAAGATGCGGATCGGGTTGCGGAGAGAAGACATGTTTTATTGTCGAAGGTAAAGACAAGACATAAACAGAGATTTACTGTGTGCATGGGGGACTCTTCGATCATAGAGGACACATATATCGTCCAATCAGCAGCTGCCACGGTGTCAGTAGCTTCAGCCTTCAGAAAAACAAAACATCAGGTGGAAATTGACTGGCTTGTGCATTCTGGCCTAATGAGGACTTCAGCTTTAACCAAAGTTGCTTAACTCATTGAGTGCCATTGACGTATTTGTCTGAGATCCTCTATTTGACGAGGGATTACAGGAATACATACATAAATACATAAAAATAGCTAGAATTTTTTTTATTATTGATGATGAAAGAAGACAACCCAGTATTTCAGAATCTGCTTTCATATTTCACATACGCTTAGGAAATAATATTCTGTGGGTTTTGAGAATCAGTGAAATCATCAAAAACGGCTGGCAGTCAATGAGTTGAAAATGTTTTAAGAGATCCATAGATTCATAAAACCAGAGAATTTAGCGACTCTAGCTTTAACATTACATTCAATAATAGGTTTGTCCTTCTGTCAAACTGATGCGTGTTTAGTCAATTCTAGTGAAGTATTTTCTGTCTGTTTTTTTTTTAACATAAACTGCATGTATATTAGCAAAACAAATAGATAATCCACCCCCAGTAGGGTTGCTCCATAATAGGGTTATAAAACAACCAGGATTTTATCTTGTGTTGTCAAACGTTTGCGTGTTTGTTTTCTTTATCCTGTAGATTATCCAGTCCATGTCTGCGTCCGGGTCCTCGCTTCCTGGCCACATAAGTCCCAAAAACGTCATTATTGCACTGAGGATTAGAGTTACATCACTGCACTCCAACGTACACACCGCCTCATATCGCCTTATAAGGATTTCCTGTCGTTCAGAGACACACAATGCTCCTAAATGTATTTTAAAAGCAACGATTTGATGATTTAAAAACGTTTCACTGCTGCTGCTGATGTTGTTGTAGTTGTTGTTTGGCTTTCCCCCATTTGTATCCAGTGCATCCGACACAACAGGGATAAAAAGGCTCTGTGGAGAGAGGGGAAGTGGAGGTGTGAGGCCCCTGTGGAGGGGAGAAGTCGTCATGTTGTGGGGGGGCAGCGAGGTGTGTGTGTCCCGATGCTTTTACGAGCAGGACAGGTGTGGGGGGAGCAGGCGGCGCTGTGAGCCATTATGCCGTTTCAGGGTCTGTTTTTTTACCATTATCACATAGAAGGGGAGGGCATAAAGCAGGGGGCGCTGACATGTGTGTGCCAAGTAGTTTGATCTGTTAATGTTTGTTTACAAAGGACTTCAGGTCAATTCTTCTGCTGCTGCAAAGTGAGCCATGGGTTTCTGTACCGCAATGTGTTTGATGTGATTTATCAGGAATGTACAGTCTGATCTCTTATGTAAAAACATCATGTACATGTTAGATTATGAACTATTGTATATACTCTGGTCTATAACAACCTTATGGCACCTGTGTGCTTGTGTAGATATAGACCTTGGTGAAACAAATCAGAATGGAAACGTAGGAATTGGAGGTTGAAGAGTGTGGATAGGCTTTATGTGCATGTGTGTGTGTGTACATGTGTGTGTGCATGTACATGTGTACATGTGTGTGTGTGTGTACATGTGTATGTGTGTGTACATGCGTATGTGTGTGTGTACGTGTGTATGTATGTATGTGTGTGTGTGTGTGTGTGTGTGTGTGTGTACATGTGTATGTGTGTGTGTGTGTGTACATGTGTATGCGTGTGTGTACATGTGTGTGTGCGTGTACATGTGTACATGTGTGTGTGTGTGTGTGTGTACATGTGTGTGTATGACTATCCATTTCTAACTGTACTCTATTTGCTAAATTTCTATTATAGTTTTGTATTGTTGAGCATGTCGGCCATCCTTGTATTAAAGGAACCCCTTGGAAAAGAGATGATCCATCTCAAAGAGGGTATTCTTAAAATTACAAATAAAATAAAAAATACAGTTTGGTTCCAGGTTTTAAGTCTTGTGTGAAAATGATGATCATATTAAGCCAGTGCATGTGACAAAATTACAGAAATCTAAAACGACTAGAATTCCTATGGCATGGATCTCTTTTAACACTTTGGGAGCAGTTTGGTTGGACCTAAGGTTGTCATTCTAACAATGTACAAAGCAGAATTTTCCACTTAATGTTTTGGTTTGAAGGCCGAGCTACTGGTGCCTTGGCAGCTGCTGAACTGTCTGATTCCTTCATGGTATAATATCACATGCACACTGCAAATCTGTCTTTGTAACATCAATAAAATGTCTTCTGTCTGCGACACAATCTGCATCGTCTACGCAAAAGTCACAAACTTCGGAAAAACAAAAATGTCTTTAAGCTGAGTAAATACGGTTCCTTAACTAAAAGCCGCCAAATTGACTGCTGTGGTTCTGGTTTTACATTTAGCTTCAGGGTTTAGTTAAATTAAATCCTTTTGTAAGTTAATGGTAAAAGGATTTACTTTCGAATGTGCTGGAAACGGCTGCAAGTCCCAAGTAGCTCTGAAACAGTTTAGTGCTTTATAATTGTTACTCCGCCTCTGCTGCTGTGACCCGTCCTGCTCCACCCAGAGACCACTCCACCTCCGCTGCTGTGACCCGTCCTGCTCCACCCAGAGACCACTCCACCTCTGCTGCTGTGACCCGTCCTGCTCCACCCAGAGACCACTCCACCTCTGCTGCTGTGACCTGAAGGCCTGTGGCTGATTAATACTATTATTAGCTTTTTAGAATGATTAATTTTATTTTTGCTGCTACTGGACACCTGAATTTACGGGGATCAATAAAGTATCAATCTATTTGGTCAATGTTTTTAAATAGAGACATGAACCATCATCAGCCAGAGATCCTTTGGTGAAGTCTGAGGCGATGGAAATGTCCTTGCCATCCTGACCTGATTTATATTTAATATTCATACTTTTATCTGAAATCACAACCAGGATTATTTTGTCACCTGAAGGGCTCAAGGTGCTTTGGATTATTGAGGCTAGAGATAAAAATGTTCTGTTAATATGGTGTGTGTGTTGGCACAGAGCAAGTCCACTCCATAAGGATAATAACATACGATGAAAGTCACTTCTACAGAAAAATCCCATTTTATTAGTTTGTTTTCAGTGTTCCCCAACCGTTTTGAACCGTGGCACTCTTTCCATTTAAACAAATTATGTGGCACACAGATTAAATGTGGCAAAAATGAAACTGCACAACCTTAATTAACAATTGTATTGAATAACAAAAATGCACAGAGAAAAAAAAGATACTGCTATCTTCTCACATTATTTTCTGCCAATGTTTTTCTTTTCTTATTTATAATTTAGGAAATATTGGATCATTTTCAAAGGCACACCAGACAAAATCCCAAGGCACATTAAGTGGCCATGGCACACTGGTTGAAAAACACTGGGCTAGACCACCTGCAGGGGGTCTCTGTCGGCCTGGGACACCAGCACAGACACGGCCTCGGGGAGACGCACGGCCAGACGCTCCCTGAAGATGAACAGAAACCCACGCTCGCTGTTGCTATGGTCACTCAGGATCACGCTGGTTCCACTGGCCACGGCGTCCAGGACTTCATGATGGGACATTTCACCTGCGGGAAAGGAGAGGATAAGACTTGTGCAAATTTTGAGTCCAAATTTGGTAAAACATTGTTCGTCTTTTGTTTAGACAGAAGTAGAATCAAACCTGTGACATAAAGATCCGCTTTGGTGCCGTTTAAGACCGAGGCCCCGGATCCTGCGCAGACAGCTACAGTTTGCACTAAAGACTCTGTAAACAATACAATAAATACAAGTTGGGTTAGTTTATATATGACTTCAGACACAACACGGACAACTGTGTCCTCCAGAAGTTCTCTGACTCTGCCATCATCGGACTCAGCTTCGAGGACGATGACGCAGAGTATAGAAGTGTACTCTTACAAGTACCTGGGTGTTCATCTGAACCACAAACGCTCTCTTCAAGAAGGGCCAGAGCCGATTCTACCTGCTGAGGAGGCTCAGGTCTTTTGGAGACCTTCTATGAGTCTGTGGTGGCATCAGCTTCTTGTACGGTGTGGTCTGCTGGAGCAGCAGCATCACAGAGGGACAGGAAGAAGCTGGACAAGGTCATCAGGAAGTCCAGCTCAGTCCTGGGCTGTTCCCTGGACACAGTGCAGCAGGTGGGGGACAGGAGGGTCCTGGACAAACTAACATCTATGCTGGACCATGACTGTCGCCCCCTGCAGGACACTCTCTCCGCTCTGGAGAGCAGCTTCAGTGACAGACTTATTCATCCTCGCTGTGTGAATGAGCAGGGACGTGCAGTCAGGGGAGGCAGGGGAGGTAGAGCCTCACCTGCCATTATTGGAAACTAATAATTATTTTAGTTTAAATATATAATTTATATCCACTGTCCTATGCTTTTAATGTATATTCGGCACGGTTCCCATCAGTTTTGATCATTTCTGAAGTCAAAATCGCCGAAATCCCGTTATTCCTATTCAAAGAGACGAGGTGAGGCAGCGCTCCTGCGTGCCTCACCTCAGACCGCTCCCTCACAGTGTGTGTGTGTGTGTCTGAGTGCACTCAGCTCGTGCAGTTGATATATCACCGTTTGTTTCAAATATCCTGCTTTAAAAACATTTTTTAAACTCCTCTTAGTGTTTAGTAGTGTATTGCACGTATGTGTGTACAATTTATATTTAGTTTAAGTCTTTTGATCGTAGATGAACACACAAGGAAAAAGCTTGGCGTGAGGCAGGCGGTATCTGTGCCTCACCGCTAGGGGTGATAGTGAGCATAAAGTTCATACCAGAGTTGCTAACAAACAATCAGCCCAAAATGCTATTTCTTTTGCTGGAAAATGGATGATTTGAATGAAGATTTTTTTTCTCAATTGGACTTTCAAACAAAGAAAGAATTAATATAGACTGGGAGACCACCACTGGACTTACGAGGTTAGTCCGGCTGCGGGGGAGGAGTTTGTTAATCTGTGTTTTATGTTGAACATTGACAGATACCGGCAAAGTAGTGCTTTTCCGAAAAACACTGATTCAAACACTGCTCAAGAGTTCTGCAACTTGTTTAAATTATTGTTTATGTTCCTCGCGTCTCTCTCTCCTCGCGTCTCTCTCTCCTCGCGTCTCCGTCTCTCTCTGCTCCTCGCGTCTCCGTCTCTCTGCTCCTCTCTGTCTCTCTCTGCTCCTCGCGTCTCCGTCTCTCTGCTCCTCTCTGTCTCTCTCTGCTCCTCTCTCCTCGCGTCTCTCTCTCTCCTCGCGTCTCCGTCTCTCTCTGCTCCTCGCGTCTCCGTCTCTCTGCTCCTCTCTGTCTCTCTCTGCTCCTCTCTCCTCGCGTCTCTCTCTCCTCGCGTCTCCGTCTCTCTCTGCTCCTCGCGTCTCCGTCTCTCTGCTCCTCTCTGTCTCTCTCTGCTCCTCTCTCCTCGCGTCTCTCTCTCCTCGCGTCTCTCGCACCTGCGCTTCTTAAAGATGTTGTTTGATGCGGAGCAGAGTCAGCAGCTAGATTTGTTGTGAGATTATTAAAAGAAGCTGGTTCTCTTATCTTTACAGTATATAAAGTTTGTGGATGTCATTGCATTGGTGATTAAATGCTATTTTATTTGAATAATGATTGTAAATCTGACTTTTAAAGTCAGTGCCTCCCCAATCACAAACCTCACCGCACGTCCCTGTGAATGAGAGGTTTCTCAGGTCCTTCCTCCCTGCTGCTGTCAGGCTGTACAACGAGAATGTATAACAAGAACTGCCGAGTAAGTGTCACTGATAATAATTCACTAGTAACTTTGTCACTTGTCACTTTACCTGTTTATATTATTCCTGATGTTTATTCTTTTTTGTTTCTTTTTTTATGTCATATTCTGTGTCTACATTAATACTTGTTTGCACTGAGAGCCAAACCAATTTTCTTGTTTGTGACTTCCTGTTACTCACAATGGCCATCAAACAATTCCAATAAACCAGTAATACTCTCTAGTGCAAGAAAAAGGTAATAAGTCATTATGTTCAAATATTGATGATACTACTGTACGCGTTAGCAGCATGAGGGGCTAACAATGACGGAGTAAAGTGCCAGTGGACACATGTGGTCCCATAATGCACATTCTGACATCATTTCAAATTCTGATCTGTGAAACACATGGAGGCTTCTGTTTGATTGTAAGTACTTTCTCACCAAGACTCTGTCCCGTTCCTAGAGCCAGACGAAGATGGCTCAAACTCAAATGCGCCTTCATCTTCTCCACAGCTGTTGCCACGGTTACGGGCTGGTCCAGAACGCTCGCCCGTCCTTGGCCGTGTCCGGAGAGAGGGTGCTGGATCGAGTGACCGGAGAGATGTGGGTCAGGTGAGTAATGGGACAAACTGTATTATATACCTGTTGTGTTGTACCTTTTCCAACTTTGACACGGTGAGAGACTGGCTCGGGACCGTGTGGCCTGAAAGAGTCTGGACCAAATGGGGCAGAGCCGACTCGCTGCAGGTGAAGCTCACATGGATTCCTTTGTTCTCTGCACTGAAGGCACAACCACAATTTAAAATCAGTATTATCAATATTAGGACAACAATTGTGATTAGGGCAAATTACAATATTTCTGACCAACATTTAATATCCTGTATGTTTGAAAGTGTCATTTTCTTTTGTAGCAACACTCAATTCAACAACATTTAGAAACTTTATCAACATTTATGGACATTGGTCTCTGCCACTTATGGATCAATGGCTCTATGTGTTTGTTATCATTGCCTTTCTTGCCTTTAAACTGTTTGATTCTCTAATCTGTGTTGGCAAATTTGACGGTTTTGCACAACCCTCCGAGAAAACTACTCTTGTGATTTAGGGCAATGCTAGCCTGGCCTTAGCCATCCGTACACTCCGGTCAATCATCATTTCCTGTATGTGACGTCTGGGTCTGGTCCCTGTGCTTGCGATTACAATCGGTTGAATTCCATCCGACCAATCAGCGAGTGCAGGAGGCAGGTGTTGTAGTTAGTTGTGGGTGACGTCAAGAGTTTGCGTCGAACAGGAAGGTTGTAGTTTGGCAATGGTAAAGAATGCGATGGTAAAGTATTCCGGTCTGGTTCTATCAAGAAATTGAAGCCGGAGCAAGAGGGATGTTTAGCAAATGTGATCGCTGGCAAAGATTGTGGCGCTACTCCCCACGGGCTCCGTTAGCGGCAAAAGAGATGGCTAAAGCTAGGCTAAATGCTAACGACTCACTTGGGCGCGTTACATACGTCACGGTAAACTCAGATCCAATCGTTTCAATCTACAAAAGGAGTTAACGCCTCCCACCTGTTAACAGAACTCAATGGAGCACCTCCAGACCTTAGTACGAAATGTAATTTGGACAATGGTGTGGTACGACCAGGCTAGGTCAATGCAAGAGGGCGACAGTAGCTCAGTTGGTAGAGCATTGGCCTTTGAGCCAGAGGGTCGTGGGTTTGAGCTACGTCCTTCTCCATCGACTCCCACTGTCTGCTGTCGTTGTGTCCTTGGCAAGACACTTAACCTCTGGGAACACCAGCCACAGTGGGGCGGCTGCGGCTGTAAAGTGCCAAACTGCCGTTGTGTCCTCAGGCAAGACACTTTACCCCCATTGCCTAGAATGAGTCTGGTGTGTGTGTGAATGGTTGGTGGTGGTCGGAGGGGCCGATGGCACATACAACTTGCCTCGCCTCTGTAAGTGTGCCCCAGGGCAGCTGTGGCTACAATAGTAGTTTATCCCCACCGTGTATGGAGTGAATGAGTAATGACATGTAAAGTGTCTTTGAGTGTCCAAAAAAGCGCTATATAAAACCGATGCATTATTATTATTAAGAATACATTGAATTCAATCGTTTTCTGTTGAATTATTTAGAAATAAATGATTAAAAGTATAAATACTTCAATTAAGTCGGTTCTTATTCAGGCCTGCACATTTCGACAAACTATGACAATGATGAGAGGTCTGTTTTGGAATGAGATAATAATGCTTCTGCACAAGAACAAGACGAATGGGACCTGTTCCAATAATTCATCTTTTAGTGCAATTAAAAGATGGTCGTTACAACAGAAGCAGAAGTCAGTACTTTTCCACTTGATGTCCACTTGGTTATCTGCAGGTCGAAGAAGCAATCGTATTTTTGTCTCAGTATAAAAAACATGAAGCTCTGGTCATGTCGTTTATTCTGTGTATCAACATTAAACAAAACGTGTTCTGCTGAGACGCAATCCCAGACCTCTGTATATTCTGATCCAGAAATATCCAGCTGGAGTTTTTATTTTATACTCAGACTATACTTGCTTCTTTATTATGCTAAAGTTAAAGATTGTATTGTATCTAAGTATCAAGTTATTGCTCATTTATCCTCATTCCTACTGTTCTGTAACTGGTGATGCAGCACTGACATTTCACCACAAATTGTAAAAAATAAAAAGGATCTCTTCATTTTGAATCAAATAAATGATAATGAATTTAAGTTTTTCTAGTCTTTGTACTATTTTCAGTTTGTAAAGAACTCAAAGAATGCCAGTCTTGGTTGATCTGCTAGTTGCGACCATGAAAATAGCCACTGCGATTGGATGCCATGTTCCAGCTTCTTCCCTCTGGCAGAAGATATCGTTCATTGAGACACAGGACATCTTGCTTCTTGCACTTGAATTGTTTTGTTTTAGTTGATCGATTTCACAGTGTCAATCGTTTCCTGCACTTTTTTTTACCTTGTTTTATTCATGAGCTTGTCTGGTGCACACTGGGGACGTTTGCACATGTATTCCAATGGGGTTTTACTGCAAATGCCACTGTCACCTGTTGCTTGAATGCTGTAGAGTTGAACCGTCACAGGATTTCAGCTCCTCGATCGCCGCGTTGAGCTCTTCGCCGCTCTTCACGGTGAACTCCAGTCTGTGGGAGTGAGGAGGACTGCGAAACGTCTGGCTGAGAACGCTCACGTGGCCACTCCCTACGACGCAGAAACACGATATGAACACAATCACACTCACGAGACGAACACCGAAGAGGCGACCACTCCGGCTAAAACATCATCAAATATGCAAATGCTATACGTGACACCGTTTCCATTCAGTGACCTCTTACCGAGACCTCCAACCAGCCAGTCGTTGACCCCGCCTCTGACACTGTCCCAGGAGGTGTGGGGGGAGAAAACGGCCATGCCTGCCTCTAGAGCTCGAATAGCCAATCGCTGCTTCCAGTCTCTTTGAACCAGGCGCTTGATTGGTCGAAACAAAGGTGGGTGATATGAGATGATGAGGTCACAGCTGAGGGATTCTGCTTCATCCATCACGGCTTCGGTCAGGTCGTTTGTCAGAAGAATGGTTTTGACAGGCCGCGGTGCGCTCGGTTCAACCAGCAGGCCAACATTGTCCCATGACTCCGCCAAAGACAGGGGGGCGAGCTGCTCCAGGGTCTGCACGACTTCACTCAGCTGCATCTTTTTATTTTGGTGATTAGGATGTTGTGAAGAACAGCGAGCAGGAGATCCAGCGGGTGCAACGGGAAGGGTGGGCGTGTTTGGAGGGCGTAGGAAGTGATCACGTGGAGCTGTACAATGAAATGAATGGTGTTTCCAGAAGCTTCCAGGTTGTGCACGGGTCAAATAAGTGGATGTTCGTCTTCCACATGCCGCCCACATCAGAGAGAGCCACCTGGAACGCACACAGACACGGTTCACTCTGAGCTACACAAGCTAATGAGGAAACATGCACTTGCTAAGCTAACAGTTGTGCTAAATGCTACAGGAAATAGAACTGCAAGCTACTTTTCATGTCCCAAGTGTTATGAATAGGTTTTGTCCATAGATCCATCGTTTTGTCGCGCACACGTGATAACAACATACCCAAAGTCCGAGGAGCACAAGCTTCAAAACAGATCCATCATGGCACACGCAGCGCTGCGCAGTGTTTGTCCCTCTGCGGCTTCCGTTTGTCAAAGTCGAAGCGAGGACCACGTTTATTTACATTTACCACAACACTATAATCTCAGCGTGAAAGTAAAAGCAATATTGTCATTGAAACAGTTGAACCAACAAGAATCACAATCACGAAATGCCAATCATTTCAAGTGTCTACTTTTGATTTTACTTTGACTTTTACTTCTGACTTTGTGTGTAATTTGCATTTTGTGTGTAATGGATTGATATGTTGTAACTCAAATGTATGCTCTGTAAAAACTAAACTATATATTTTACAAACTGCAAATATTTTTTTAAATATAGATATTCAGATACTAAACCCAATTATTTTTTGTATAATGATTTTTATTATTATCCAATATTACAGCAAAGATATGCACATTTTGAGATACATCTTCTGATTCCATGAAATAAAAAAGTTAATCATTTAAATGGGAGGTATGTTGTATGCATTGTATTAGTGATTTCCACTTAAACAATTATTAGGCTTCTGTGGGTCTGTGGAGCCCTCTCTCATTTAGCAAACATCTGTTATACATAGTTCCTACATGACGTCACTACATACGGGGATTTGCTGACCCGGCGCCATTTGTGTTGGCATTCTGTGGGCAAAACAATAGAAAAAGAAGCTGAAACGTGTTAATGTCGTGATAAAGTTGAAAATGGTCATCTCCTGCTGGGTCAATGGATGTTCAAATTGTGCCGGAGGTTCCGTTAAACTTGGATTTTACAGTATACCCATCATTAGACTTCATGAATGTGAGAAGACTAAGCTTTTGTCAGAACAACCACGGAGGTTATGGCTTGCGAAGATAAACAGGCAAGAAACTCCCTCAAAACACGCAAGAATATGCTCGGAGCACTTTGTGTCAGGTGCGTATCGTATCTTATAATGTGTTGACAGACGTAATTTACTCAGTACTAACTTGTGTATGCTGATATCTGGTAACTTGAGAGTTTCATTATTTAGATTACTTTATTATGAGGAGGATCGGTGTCGCGTCCGAGGCTCTCGAGGGCAACGTAAATGTATTAAATAGAAAATAATAGTTCTATGGTGGGCTAAAACAATGTTCACAAACAGCATTGCTTCTGTAAAAAGATCTGTGTCATAAAATAAACTGCTCTTTACGCCTGGAAAAATCAGTTGCCCACCATTCACCAAAACATACGGTCAAAAATGCGGAAATAAACAATAACAGCAATCCAGAGTGTCCGTGTGGCATTAGCATTAATTAAATTAATTGTTAATATAATTAAAATAATTAAATGGAGTATTAGTATTAGATATCAATATGGCCTACGTGCAGGACTCTACAAGGACTCTACAAGGACTCCATGTTATGACTATGATTTGACTGTCTCTTTGTGACACGTATGTCTTTCGATGTGTGACGTGACAATGACTATATAAACTGTGTACTGCCTTTATTCTGTCTGAGGAAGAGAAACAGAGTAAACCAGTGGAACTTGAGAGAACCTTAAATAAACTTCCAGAGTTTGGCACACCACGATCCGTCTCTGTCTGCTTAAATCCTGACAGATTTGGTGGAGAATGCGCGGCTTGGTGTGTGCCATTCTCTGGATTGTTTTGAGGGAGTTTTCTTTGTTTCTTTTTCTCGGCGTGGGAGAGCTGAGAGTGTCTGGGGCCTGGGAGCGGTCCAGCAGGCTGGAGAGGCGACCGGCTCCGGGACTCTTTTTCGCTCTCTCACTATATTTTTTTTTTGTCCTGTTTTTTGGACTGAGCGTTTAAAATTGTTTTCCCATGTCCACATTCCGGGGATTTTTGACGTGCGATTGGTCTCTGCCGATGGAAACTAGTTCCCGGTACTAGTGAGCGCTGGTTCATGATCTGGAGACCCGGTTGGACGTGGAAAAGCTGATATTTGGTGGACTTCTGACTGTGCCTGGCGCCCTGTTCGACAAAAGGTAAGAGCGGACACCTGTTTATTCAAAGTCTGCTAATTGAGTGAACTAAATTATGGTCTGTTTTGAGGTCCACCAAATGTCGTATATCTATATAGATCGGATTAGGTAAGATTCAGGTCCGCCACCTCGATAAAATGGCAGTGTAATTGATCATCAGGTCCGCCACCTCGATAAAATGGCAGTTTAAATGATCATCAGGTAAGCCACCTCGATAAAATGGCAGTGTAATTGATCATCAGGTCCGCCACCTCGATAAAATGGCAGTTTAAATGATCAAAACAGGTTGCTACCTCGACAAAATAGCAGTTACGGCCAGAATAGTTAGTGAAACCATGGTGTAAAAAATAAAATAATTTTTAAAAAGGGAAACGTGTTAAGGAGGCCTTTTGTCACAAAAAGTTTTGTAATTAACCAATTCCAAGCTTGATAAATGACAAAAGTAAATAAGCAACAATATTTCAGTGATCACGGTTTAAATTACATACAGAAAAAGGGAGTTTTTGTTTTTGGAGTGAACAGAGTTCACCGGAGAATGCAGAGTTTTATCTAAAGTTGAGCTATGAGAGCTTTCGTGAGTTATTTACATTTTTTGCCGAGTTTTATCTACAGTTAAGCTATGAGAGGGTTGTATCCAACAGTTGTTTTTGTTTTTTAGAAAGAGATTTTGAGTTTAAATTAGTTTGCTACCTCGATAAAATAGAAGCGTACGTTAAAGACAAGAGTGCCTTTTGTTACAAGTGTGGAAAGTGATCACTTCTAGATTTGGATGACAAAAGTATAAAGAACAACATCAGTTATATTCGCTTAACAAAGTAATCTTGAAAGTTATTCTTCTGTATCTTTCTGCCTGTGTGTGCGCGTCTGTGTGAAAGGAACCCCCCCGCCCTCGCTGCTGCTGAGCTGCTGCTCTGATTTAAAGGGGAGCTACTGCTTTAGGAATTTGGCTTTTCATAGTAGTTATTCCGTTAAATTTGCTAAATTTGCCATTTGAACATTGTGTTAGACACAGTTAAACGTTTTTAAACACCATTAGGGAATAGAAGTTTTGAATTAGTATGTTTTTGAAACCCAAAGCTTAGTACAAAAAGCTTTGCTTTTCTTTTTAAATCTGCTGCTTATTTTGTGAGTCCATTATTGTATCTCTGATATATTTCATAGCTGTTTGTGAGAATTTTTTCATGTATTTTTTATTTTAGTTACAAAAGCCGTTTTTCAAACATTTAAATTAGAATCTGTTAAAAGTGATTATTGATTATAGACTTCGTCTAAAAAGAAAGAGAGAATTAGGCTGTAAAAGTATTATATTATTAAGTTAAACTACCCAATTCACCCAATTCACATTCAAGCGGTGACTTTTGTTTTTGTTTTGACTACACGCGTGACCTTGCTGCTGCTCAGAGACATGAGGAGGCAGCTCCGACGCACAATTGAGTTTTATTGAACCAAATCCAGTTTAGCTGGAGCTAAATCTTTTGTTTGATTTCAAGTTTTGTTTTAAATGTTTTTACAAATTAATGTTCATTTTTATAGAGATTTTTCATAATTTCATTTCATGGCGTCTTTCAAGAAACCCAAGGACGCATAGATAATTAATCACACAGTACAAAAGTATATAATACATGTTTTAAAGTTTAAAAGGTTGTTTGTTTTGAGTATAATTGTTGTTTTGATAACTTCTTTAGTTTCTGGTTTTAAATGTCATCATTAGTAAGATAATAAGTAATCTTTATTTACATAGCGCTTGGGAAAGCCAAGAGCGCTTCAAAATTGTTTAGACTTCAGAGAGAAAAACAATCTCATTCACAATCTCTGTTGTTTTTAATTTGGCTATAAGGTTGTTTTCCAGAACCAAGAGCACACACTGTACAGGGTCACTGGACTGCTGGACACTGGACACCAAAGCCCACCCAGCCACAGGTCACAGATCAAAGAGCAAAGGGAAATGCCACCTCTACGCCCCTCCCCCCACTACAGAAGTAAGTGGGAGTGAGACCGGGGCCACAAAGTGGAGGTTTCTGGAGGCAGTGATGGGTGGAGCGTCAGGTAGAGATCTAGAGGGAGTTGAAAGTGTGTCCAGTTGGTTTACATCACCACAGTGTGACCTTTGAGACCTACAGGTGGTTCGTGGAGTCTGGAGAGACAACCCCAAAATTCATACACACACACACACACACACACATACACACTCATACACTCACACATTCACATTTACATATAGATACATGAAAAAGCAGAACATGAGAAAAAAGCATTTTAAAAGTTTACTCCAATGTAAACACATATTTTTAATTGTCTATCACTTGAATCTTTAGTTGAATCAGTATTTTTTGAGACCAGAAATGTTCATTTGAATTCTATATTGTCATGGACTTAATTGACCTCTGTCCTGACACTTTTGATTTGTTGATTTTGTACTGTGTGAAGTAATTACATTGATGAGAATTAGATCTGATAAAAACACAAATTAGAGAAGTAAACTGCGCTTGCTTTTTGTCTAAGGGACATTAGCAACAGCATGAATAGAAATTGTCTTTAAAGTAGAATCAAAGTGACTTAACCATAGAGAGTAACTACTGCATTACAAGCTGTGTACAGGAACTGTGAGACACTGCACCATTGACCAGAAGTGCATCGCAAATGACCTGATGTGCTTCAACTGAAAAGACTGTATCTGGAGATCCTGATTTGCATCTGGAGAAACCAAACCATGGCTTGGACCCTACTGATGACATCTCTCTATGACCTGACCTGATGACGACTGAGACTCACCCTCAGGGGACCCTGAGGACCTGAGGACCTGAGGACCTGAGGACCTGAGAGAGAAAACTGGGGAGTGATGTTTATATTTTTGAAATCATACATTGATGAGTGCTAAATGAGAGAGATACTCATGATTCTTTTGTTTTTGTTTGTCCCTAGCTTTTGGACATCTGATGATCTATTGGACACAGCCATTTGCAGAACAAGAACCAGCCAATGAAAACGTCTATTGCTGATGCTATTGCTACAACCAGAACCACAACTGTGACAAATGCAATATACATGTTAAGTATTCAGACATCTGACAGACAAAAACTTTGAAAATGATAAAGTATGAGTATTGTAGCGTTTTAGTAGATGTTAAATAGTAGTAAAAGAGTAGAATTTGACTTCCTTTGTTGTTCATAAACATATTTCCACATAAGAGTTAAAATAGTACCCTACAATGTTATCCTTCTGATAGAGCAGCTAGAATATTAGAATCAGAGTATTTTAGAGATATTGAAAGTGACAGAAGTCACAAATTAGAAAAATGCCTTTGCTCAAGCTGCAGCCGAGCTTTGGAGTTAAAAAATAGAGTAAAAATAGGAATAGATAAATGCATCAACCATAGATGCTTTCAAAAATAGAGATTATTTGTAGCCAGTGCTAATATCAAATGGTAAAGGGACCATTTCACAAGCATTTACTTCAAAAGTAGTAAATAATAATTTACTTACAGTTTTATTAGATACTGCCAAATTCACTTGTGTTCACACATGAGTGAATGTTGACTATGCAAAAAGTCCATATGAGTGTAGCCTAGATTAATGCCTAGATCAATGAGATAGATTAGCACCAAGAGAGATTCAAAAGCATTTTGATGTATTTGTGTATAGCACAAAAACAAAATAGTAGATATTTGGATATCTTTGAGAAGTTTAAAAAGCTGTAGATTCACCAGCACAGATTAGAATCAAACACCATTGTAGAATAACTGACCCCAACCCCAAACCTGCTAAAACAGATTAGCTCTTGTAAGGATAATACTAATTTGATTAATGATGTACATTCATCCCAACTGCCTGACAATAATATCTTTAGATAATAAAAAGTAATAAATCACTGACCACTATAGAAGTGTAAATGTTGACCATTTGCCTTACTGTGTTCACAGTTTTATTCCTGAGAATGAGAATAGACATGGAACAAAATCCCACTGATAATAAGCCACTGATAATGAAAGTAAAACCACAGAGAGATTTATTAGTTTAAGAATATGGCTCAATAGAAGCAAATATGCAAACATATTTGTAAATAGAGAGTAAAGTACACAGTGTAAGATTAAAAAGTGAAAATAATACAGTGAAATAAGTGAAGTGTAGTGTAAACAATTAGCATTAGAATAAAAGTATAGAGTAATAAAAGTGAAATTAGCTTCAAATTTGAGACTCAGCTCGTTTTTGTCTGTGTTTTGACTGAATCTGCTGAGTTCTTGTGTGTCCAATAGTTTTTGTTTGTTTTTATTTTTGATTTTTTTTGTTTGTTTGTTTATTTACTTTATTTTTGTTTGTTTATTTTTTCCCAGGATAGAGGATAAAATCCACTGATATTGATTTGATGATTATGAGTTTAATGCATACATTTTCTTTGTTTTTAATAATTTTTTAAAGTTTTTTTTTTTGGAATTTTTTTTTTCTTTTTCCATTTTATTGATTGATCGATTTGAGTGATCACATGTGATTATGTGATCAAAGGGGAGAGTATTAGTATTAGATAGCAATATGGCCTACGTGCAGGACTCTACAAGGACTCTACAAGGACTCCATGTTATGACTATGATTTGACTGTCTCTTTGTGACACGTATGTCTTTCGATGTGTGACGTGACAATGACTATATAAACTGTGTACTGCCTTTATTCTGTCTGAGGAAGAGAAACAGAGTAAACCAGTGGAACTTGAGAGAAACTTAAATAAACTTCCAGAGTTTGGCACACCACGATCCGTCTCTGTCTGCTTGAATCCTAACAGGAGCTCCAACTGGTATTAAATCTAAAGTTTTTGAGAAATGTTTGCATTGCTTGTTAATTTTTGCTGCATAATTTGATCAAATATGTAAAACCTGTCCGTAGCACGTTAAACTGTGGTGCCATTGTATTAATATACAATTATTTGCTCAAAAGTTGCCCTTTTTTTCCAATTTGCGTTTGAATATCTACATTTATTCTCATTCTTCTGTTTAATGGAATGCACAAACACAGCAGCGTGCCATCAAAGATGGCGTCTCCGAGGAGGTCATGTGACATTCATTGGTCTGTGGGAACTATGTATACTTATTTCACTGACATACAAATATTTAATGTGAAACAATTTGCTATTATATGTATTTGTTTTCAGCTAAAATGTTAGTTCTGAACCAGTGACAGTATAAGACCTGTGAGGTGATAGTAATAATAAGCCTAGATATGTTACATATTACTGCACATATCTTTTCAGGCAGTTTGTCCGTAGAAGGATTAGGATTGTCCTAATCAGAGCCAAACATTCAGGATGGAGTTAACGTTAATCAATGTAAAGTACCAGAATGCATCACTGGCCGCCGGCTTGAGGAGCAGAGACTGGGACAGAGATTACTGTGGATTATTTCGATAGAGGTTGATGTTGATGTAGGTTCAAAGGCAGTTCGAGTTATATCATGGCTCTTTCTGTGAACGTTGGAGTTGGTTTCAATGTCTCCCATGACATGTAATGATATAATTTACTTTCATTTAAACTGTGTTAAAATAAGCCAATATGTGGTGTTTGATACAGGTGTGTTTCATCAGCAAAGTGCTAGAGGCAGCTGTGGAGCGAGCGCTTTAGGTGTATTCCAGGTTAACACACTTTATTCCGTATGTCACTGCAGTGAGCAGAATACATGTCATTCACATTAACCTTCTGTGTAAAGCTGTTGTGCTGTATTTAGTTATTAGAGAATTGGCTTCATTTACGGACGTTTTCTCTTCTCTCTTCATGGATCTTTGCCTAAATAACTGTTTAAAGACTGAACTTGCATTAGTTCAGGCCACACGGCTATTTCACACAACCAAAAAGAAATCTGTTTCAAACTGGCACAAAATCCAAAAGCTGTTATTATGCCCAAATTTATTTGTTGATAAGAATCACTTATAGATATATAACACAGCACTTCTATAGCAATTTTCATGACCCCCAAGACACTTCACATGGCATTATTCATTTGCCCTGTACACTGTGGTTACATACTGCTAAAGCCACAGCTGCCCTGGGGCAAACTTGACAGAAGGAAGGCTTCTGATCTGTGCCTTCTGCCCCTCAGACCACCATTCCCGCACACACCAGTCTCATAGATAATGTGGGTGAAGTGTCTTGCCTAAGGACACAGCAACAGTTTGGCTTCCCATTCCTCAGTCCTTCCCAGTCCTTCCCAGTCCTTCCAGTCCTTCCCAGTCCTTCCCAGTCCTTCCCAGTCCTTCCCGGTTCTCAGTCCTTCCAGTCCTTCCCAGTCCTTTCCAGACATCACACAGTGTCACTTGATATGAATATGATATAAATATAAATAATATTAATATAAAGTACATTATTTCCAGACAGTACACGCAGGCTTTTCCAGTTTCAGAATTTCTTTATCAAAATATATGCAATGTACAATTTTTAAATAATGGAATAACAGTGAAATGTGAATATTAGATAATTCCTCCTCTCAGCATTTACATAAATAGACACTTTCTGTATGAACAATTAACAGAACAAGTTGAATCAATAACATAAATACACTGAAATGCAAGATGAAAGTGTAGTTTCTTGGCCTGTGTGTGTCTTCACTGCATCATCATCATCTTGACGAACTCTGCAGAAACAGAGGAGGTTGTTTTTACACTCGTCACAAACAGGAGAACGATAGAACAGAGAAGAATGTCACCTTCAAAGTCCACGGTGCCGTCGCCGTTATCGTCTGCTTCCTTCACGATGGTGTCGATCTCTTTCCGACTCATGTGCTCACCCATTAACTTGCACATGGCGGACCGCAGCTCCTCCGTTGTAATTTCTCCATCACCGTCCATGTCAAACTGGAATATACACATTTATATTATCATTTAAACAAAATCACATCACATTGCGGACAAACAGAACAGACAAAACGAAACCTTTAAGTGTTTAGATCCAGACCTTACCTCTTTGAATGCGTCTTTGAGCTCTTTCATCCCGATCATCCCTGACGTTTCTGCTAGAAGTTTCGGCGTCATCAGATCAACAAAATCCTCAAAGTCCACTCTGCCGCCAACTGTGTAAATAATTATGACGGATTAATCCATCTGCTTCATCAAATAGTTGGAATCATTTACTATAATCAAAGAAGACGTACGATTCATGTTGATGTTTTGGCTCAGTTCGATCAGCTCCATCTCCGTGGGCATGTATCCCATGGTCCGCATGAGGTTCCCCAGGTCCTTGCAGGTGATGAGGCCGTCTTTGTCCTTGTCGAACTCGTTGAACGCATCTCGCAGCTCTGCGTGGACACAGCAGAGACACAGTCAAACCCTCTATATTTAAGTATTTAGATGTAGCAGTGTCACATCTTTTACACATATAGTAAAACGCTCACCACTGATAGAGACATTAAACATATAAATGCTCCAGAAGCCAAATCAATGTGTATATTATGAAGTGTCTTGCCCAAGGATACAACGACAGCAGACATCATGGGAGCAGGTAGAATGAGCACTTTTAACACCAGGTAGAAAGAGGCAAGTTTTCCGTTTTTATGTGTATATATATTTCTGTATTTTTATGCGTTTTTATTGTGCTTTTTTCTCGACGATACAGCACTTTGGTTTAAGCCCAGGCTGCTCTACAAACATAGATCCGATTTATTGGATTGATGGATCGTGGAGGATCGAACCCACGCCCATTAGGTTCAATGGTCAATGCTCTATACCAACTGAGCCACTGTTTTTTATATGATAATATTTATATTGTGTTTGTAAGAATCAGAGCAAAAAGACCAAATGCAAAGTTCACATACCGTCAATTTCATCATCAGCCAGAGATCGCTCCTGCTTAAAATTACAACGAGACAAAGAGGATTACAGGGAATATATTAGAGCAACAACCCTGTCATTTAAACCGTAGATTATAAATTACACACGTACAGTACATACATATTTATACACACACACATCAACATAAACACATTTGATTATTACTGTCAAAATGAAAATCAACTCACAATGTTTTTCCCTCCACGCAAGAAAATGCAAGCGGCTCCCAAACTCATATCTGCAAAGAAACAACACAAGGTTAAAGTCATTCATATATGAGAAAAACTAACCATGACGCAATTTTATTTCTTATTAATATTAATCCTTTTTATGGTCCATAATTCAAGAGAAAAATCAGAAATAGAGTTGAAAACATGCGCAGAATAATTCCCGCTTTTTTATCAATAACTATAGACACTGCTCTTTTATAACTTTTTTGAATGTTTGAATCTTTCATTATTGATCTCATGAGTCCTTAATAAAGTGTAAATAAATACAAATAATAATAATTTCCTTGATTTCAAATGTGGATGTAACAATACACAACATATTACATGCCGGCCTCTTTCTTGTTCATAACAAACAGACATTTTTACAGATAAAACTGATTGGATTCTTAATTTGTTGTTATTATTATTATTTTCTGCATACAGAAATGATGTGCATGTTTTTAAGTGGTTTTTCAGATCAATGCATTCCCAGAGAGTCGCCAACCTGAAACTTTTCAATTTGAAAATGATGGTAATAAAACTTTCTTACCGACTTATGGTGATTGGAGTTGGCTCAAGAGCATCCCCCAGACCTCCAGGATGATTCTGTGAGAGCCTCTTGCCCTGATCCCTGAGTGACGGCGTGCGACAGGGGTCAGCGCTCTGAGGCCAGATGGATGTGGAGGGAGTCTGAGGGAGTCTGAGGGAGTTACAGGGAGCAGAGGGAGGAGCCCTTTCACACCCCCCACGACACGTCACGAGGCTTTTCCACTCGTCTGAGGATCTATTCACTTCTCCAGCTGTTGTGCTAACTTAACTGGGAAAAAGAGAAATAATAAATTGTTTGCATTCACCGTCAATCAAGCACCCTACATAAAAAAAATAATTAAAAAAATACAATATTTAAGAAGATTATGGCTCAGTTGGTGAAGCATTGGCCTTTGTGATTGAAGGTTGTGGTTTGATCCCGTGAGACCTGCTCCCTCTGATGTCTGCTGTCGTTGTGTCTCTGGGCAAGACACTTAACCCCACTTTGCCTGAGGCCCCTGCCGAAAGATCAAGGCTGTGTCATTGCTGACGGAGCACCTGTGGACCCACCACCTGCAGGAGGATCAGCGAGGGACTGGTGCTCTGATCAGTGGGTGGCTCTAGTCTCTCTCCGGTCTCTCTCTGGTCTCTCCCTGGTCTCTCCCTGGTCTGTCTCTGGTCTCTATCTGGTCTCTCTCTGGTCTCTCTTTGGTCTCTTTCTGGTCTCTCTCTGGTCTCTCTCTGGTCTCTCTCTGATCTGTCTCTGTCTCTCTCTGGTCTCTCTCTGGTCTCTCTCTTGTCTCTCTCTAGTCTCTCTCTGGTCTCTCTCTGATCTGTCTCTGTCTCTCTCTGGTCTCTTTATGGTCTCTCTTTGGTCTCTCTCTGTTCTCTCTATGGTCTCTCTCTTGTCTCTCTCTGGTCTCTCTCTTGTCTCTCTCTTGTCTCTCTGTGGTCTCTCTCTGGTCTCTCTCTAGTCTCTCTCTGGTCTTTCTCTGGTCTCTCGTCTCTCTCTGGTCTCTCTCTTGTCCCTCTCTGGTCTCGCTCTGGTCTCACAGTCCTCTTTCAGAGCAGAGGATCTTGTTTAGAGCGCTCCTTTCTTTGTCTGTGATGTCACCAAACCACACAGTCACAGAACCAACAAGCAAACTGTCCATGCTGCAGTGAAAACGGTGAAACAGAATCTTAGAGTTTGTGGTGAATTATCTACGTTTCCGCAGAAAGAAGAGACACTGACGACTTTTCTTAACAACCTGATTTTCCTGTTTTCCGATACAATATTTCCTTCCCCGTTATTTTGACCAATCAGGCGCTCTGGTGTGTACTATATTCTCTGTCTGGTGCTCACTGGGGTAATCTTGCACAGTTTTTCCGATGTGGTTTTACTGCAAACAGCAAATCAATTATTGAATCTTGTATCTTGCATGGGTCTTTTTCTGATACACTCTAACGTGCCACAGCCCACTGGTTGAAAAACACAGCTCTATGGTTCTATCCATTGGGTCATTACCAGTTTTCACATGCATGTATTTTAGATCCGCTGTTCTAGACCGAAAAGTGAAAAAGAAGAGACCACCCTCACTCGGCCAATCAGCTCTCAGCTCAAAGCATCAAATAGTAACTCCCAAGGCTCTTTCTTACAAGTATGTGATGGATGCAGCTGATTATGCAATAGTATTAAATGTTATTGGAGATCACAGCTGTAGACTGGGGGGCGCTGGCCGAAGTTTTGGGTTAATATATGGTTTAATTTCAAAGCTGACCGCAATGATAATAGATGTTCAGATCAATGATAACTTCCACATCTGCCATCCTCTTCCTTGTACGGTCAGCAGATGCATGGAAATGAGGATTAAATATTATGGCACCAGGATCAGGACATGCAGATTATGGCTCCTGTTCAATTTTTTTTCAATGGATGTGAATTAAACAGCAAAAATGAACACCTTAGAGCCTGATCCTCTTTTGACGCTTGCGTGTGGCCAGTCTGACCGCGGTGACCGGACTCCAGTTATGTAAATTTGTCCAAAATCCGTTTGCATAAGATATGTAATCCTCCTGGCAAGCTACAACGGCGGTGATATTAGATAAGTTCATCCAGTGTGTCGAAGGCTAAATGTGACCTGTACATGGTTCTGCCCATGGATACGGCTTATAGACATATACATCAACAGTGGAACAGGATTAAAAAGAATTTAGTCCGAGCCCACCACAAGACTTTCTCCACCGACTCCTACTGTCTGCTGTCGTTGTGTCCTTGGCAAGACACTTAACCTCTGGGAACATCAGCCACAGTGGGGCGGCTGCGGCTGTAAAGTGCCAAACTGCCGTTGTGTCCTCAGGCAAGACACTTTACCCTCATTGCCTAGAATGAGTCTGGTGTGTGTGTGAATGGTTGGTGGTGGTCAGAGGGGCCGATGGCACATACAACTTGCCTCGCCTCTGTCAGTGTGCCCCAGGGCAGCTGTGGCTACAATAGTAGTTTATCCCCACCATGTATGGAGTGAATGAGTAATGACATGTAAAGTGTCTTTGAGTGTCCAAAAAAGCGCTATATAAAACCGATGCATTATTATTATCTTTATTATTAGATTTTTGGTCAAAAGATTTAAAGTTATTTGGACAACTTTGGATAAGGAGCTTATGAGCTCAGTGGGGACACCAGTTCCATTTTAGAGACAATTCACAGAAGGCTTAAAAAAACATTGAATTTAGTATTCATATTTTTCATTGTTATAATTTCATGGATTTACACACTGATAGAGTATTAAATAATAATAAGTGGAAGAGAAAGTGTCTGGCAATTACCCAAAAACATTGAACGATGGAGCAAAGACCAGAAGGTCCTAAATAATCCCCACAAATCATCAAGGACGGGACAAAAGCTGTTCAAAAACTGGCAAAGCTGGCAATGTGTAAGCCTGATCCTCTCAGTCCTCAGGGGCTAAGCAGGGTAAGACCTTGTCAGCACTGTGATGGGAGACCTTCAGAACTCCAGGATCCAGAACATGACCCTGCTCGGAATAGTACACTTAAAAACACACTCACACACACAATAAAAGTACATTAAAATAGTTAAGATGCAATACTTCAGAATTGTTTTTAACTCATTCACTGCCAGCCATTTGTAAAGCAGCATCCCTCATACTGCCAGAGATTTTGGACATTTTCAGTGTTTTTCCAAACCGCATTGAAATGTGAGCCCTTGGTTGACACAAGTATGAAACATACCAAATGAAAGCTCTATCCCTTGGCTTTCATTTTGTTTTTAAAGTAAGTTTCTAACCCTTTTAGTTTTTTAGCAAATGAGAGTAGAACATAGGTAACTTTCACACAAAATTCTGTTTACTGACCAAGATTTGGAGAAAACAGCCTTTTTGTGAAACGCACATTTTCAAGCAGAAAAGTGTTTTTTTTTCTTTACTTATATTTTACAATGTATGACACTTTCTTACTATGACACAAAACAGAAACAATACTTTGAATTGTATTTTTAATGTATAATTATTTTTAAACAAATTTAACGTGTACACACAATACACTCAAAGGATTGTCTTATGTACACATAAAATATTCAACTTGTATACAATAAAAACACTTTGTACACAAATATACAGTAAAAATAACACTTTCTGAACACTTTGTGAAACAATTTTAGTTTCAACTCTAGTTCTTCGTCTATAGACGTCAATGGCAGTGAACGTTCGGATTTAGATTGAAGTCAATGACGGTGAATTGTTTTTAACCTGGATTTGAACATGGTCAGAGAAGACACCTGTCTCACATTTTCATAAAAACTGTTCCAGATTTTAGTTGCATTCATCTGAAAGTTTGCCTCCTGTTTAGTCCTGACTCTGTACCGATAGTGCACTGCACCAATAATAATGTAGTAACATAAATGTCTGATGTATGGCACCAGTGTCAGGCTCTGGCAGTACACGGTCTGTCCGCTAGAGGCGCTAGACCTGGAGGAGCGAGTCCAACATCAGCGTCGAACAAGTGCAGTTCCGGCCCGGATCCCGCCCCGCCGCCATGATGAAGTCCTGAACAAAAACCACAAAACCAGAGCAGACTCGAGCAAAATGGGGGAAACACGGACTGAAAGGGAAATATGCCGGCGCTAATTCTGCAAGAACAATGTGAAGTGGCGCAAAGAGCAGACGCAGAGACGTGGATCCTTGTGTTAGCTTAGCCTCAGGCTAACAGCGGCCGCAGCCTGAGCTGTGGATGAGAGCTGCTCTCAAAGAAAGATCGGCAGCTCCGACAGCTAGCAGGCGTCTGTCAGAGAGCTGTCATATCAGTGGACTGGAGCTTCGCCCATGTCAAGTCCCGCAAACGCACTAATGATGCATTGGGCTCAGATGTCAAGGATGGAGGCGGAAACTAGTGCAGACATCGCCAGTCACAATGTGGTTTATTCGTGTTGAATAGACCCCAGCAGCGCTCAGGAGAGGGCAGTGAGACTATATTTTCTTACCAGGCCAGTCAGCTAGCCTAGTGCTAGCTACAGTGGATCCCAAAAGCCACGGTAAGACATGTTATAAATCATTTAACTAGTGCACTGCTGCAAATGGTGCTCCCAGGGAAATGGGACATGGTCAACCAGCTTATGAGCTATGTGCAGGGATTGCTTTCATTGACATTGACTTTTAGCTGGCCTGAAATCTCAACATTTAGCCAGCCAATAGGATGCAGAATACGTCGTACATGTCAATGGTGAGCAAAGCCTCTCGGTTATTCTACATATGTGATGTTTATTTACTAATGCTATTGTATTGCATGTTTGATAATACATCTGCAACATTGTCGAAGCTCCAGTCGGTGATGCACCAGAAGATGCTTCCTTCCCCTGTATCTGAGCTTGTCCTTTAAGGTTTTCTGATGGCATCAGTTGCTTGTATTCTCTTGTCAGGAGTGTTCCACAGTATGTAGCAGTTTACACTAAAATATGTTTCATTTATTCAATTCTTGAATTCAAAACAGATATTTCTTACTTCCCTCATTCACTCAAACCCCAGTTTTCTTATGTCTCCATGATGGATTGTTTTGCACCCTTCCACTCTAAATTTGCGAGTGCACATAAATATGTGACAAATGGATGTAAAAACACTTAAAGGAACAATAACTTTCCACTAGTGCAGCATTACCTGCATGACTCCATGGAGATAACATGCGTCAACCGCTCGATGGAACTTTGATGTAATATTCATATAATGCATCATACTAAACCTAGTATTGTTATTACCATGTAGATTACCAAGAGCAGGGCTCCCCCAGGACAGGTACAGGTCAGGTTTTTGAAGAAGTAAATCAGATCACAAAACAAGGAAACATGGTAGAATAGTTTTTCAGTGTATTTATTCGTCTCAAAAGTGACCGACTACAGCTTTAATTATGTATCACACACATTTATACCTGCAAAGTGGGACGCGCGCTATTTTAAGGCTTTTTTTTTGCGTTCAATAGTTTTGTTTAAATTCTTAATGTGGTGGTAATGGTTGTGTGTCCTCAGGCGCTGGTCATGCCATCGAGTGTGCGGGCCGGGAGCCTGAAGGACCCGGAGGTGGCTGAGCTGTTCTGCAGAGAGGACCCTGAGAAGCTCTTCACGGACCTGAGGGAGATCGGCCATGGAAGCTTCGGGGCAGTGTACTTTGTATGTCTCTAACTTTTTATTCATATTTATAATCAACGATTGATCTAATGATTCAAATACAAAAGTGGATTGATTTCCATTGCATTGAATTGTTTACATATTTGTTATATGTGTTATATAAAAAAACTGAAACTGTTGTACTTTGAAGGAAGTAATTGTAGCATTTCACCTTCTACCTGCGCAGCTCTGATCGAGACATCCTGATCTTGCAATAGGGTTTTTATATATTTGAACTGAGCAGCCTTTTAGGTAGAGCTAAAAAAATATCGTTATCGCGGTATTGATGCATGCGATATCCATAGCACAAATAGCCACGATTAATAAAAAAAAAAGTTTTCCTTTTTATTAAGGACAACAAAACAGATACATCAACATTTAACAAGAACAACAAACAAAAAAGTATATAAATATATGCATCTGAATGTCATTAATGTTGTGCTTTTTTTTTTAAATCTGTCTCTGGTGTTTCAATGCAGATTGCAATTTTAGGTGACAGAGAAATATCACAATAATATTGTTATCGAAATACTAAACACTCGAATATTGCACTAATTTCCAATATCGTGCCGTTTGGTGAGTAACTAAGTGAATATATTACTTCAATAATCCAACAACATTCATAGATTACTCTATTACTCGCTACTACTAAAAGAATAGATTGGTGCAGCAACAAACCAGCCATTTCTAAATATATTTGCAATATTAATTCCACATTTGCCTTTACTTGGTTTGATAACGTTTACAGAAATGTAAATATATCAAGAACAAGGCGAGATGATGAGGTCACTAGACGAAACACGAAAGATAATAACAATCAGCATTAACAACATCACAAAACTGCTTCCTTTGCAAAAAGATTAACTCCATTCAAATGAATCGTTGCTGTTGTGTTTGTGTTCTTAGGCCCATGACATCCGGACCAATGAAGTGGTGGCCATCAAAAAGATGTCCTATAGCGGCAAACAGTCCAACGAGGTCACTTCATAATATCTCAGTTATTTACACTCTGTACGTGGTGAATCGCACACGTTTGTAAAATCTTATTTTGACACAGAAATGGCAAGACATCATCAAAGAAGTGAAGTTCCTCCAAAAGTTGCGGCACCCCAACACAGTGGAGTACCACGGCTGCTACCTGAAAGAGCACACGGCATGGGTCAGTACATTGATTCATTTATCGACAGACGCAGACAGACACACACTCAACATTTGTGGCCAAGGCTAGATTGCTATGTCTGTCCTTAGAAGGCTTTTAGCACTATTAAAAACACATTTTACTTTGTTACAGTCACAGTGTACAAAGGCAGGTGTCCCTCAACTCACAGACGGTCACAAAACCTTTTTTAAAGAAATAGTTTTAGTTCATTTTAGGCTGAGAACTTCCAAACCAGTCCAGAAAAGGCTGCAAGTTTTCTATCAGACCCAGCAGGAGCAGAGCAGGTGAGCAAGTGAGTTCAGTCTTGAAGATTTGAGGAAATGGAGTCTGCTCTGCTCCTGCTGGGTCTGATGGGGCTGCGGGTTTTCTTTCTGGACTGGTTTGGACACCTTAACCTTAAATAGTTACTAAGCTTTCTATTTTCATGAGGGGCACTTTCCCATTTCCACTGGATGAGCCACGTGTTATGGAACTTGGTTATAACAATAATTTAGTTCACAGATGCCATTTGTTTCTCTGTAATCTAGTGCTGGGCTGTCATATACACACATGCATCACGATCATACATCATTTCTCAACATTTATATCGTAACAACCATTGGGATGAAAACAAATCCTCTATTTTTACATTCTGAGCTCTGTTTCTGACGTTGAATCGTTGTTATAGCTGGTGATGGAGTACTGCCTGGGCTCTGCGTCCGACCTGTTAGAAGGTAAAGATAAAAATGCATACATTGGTTCCTCAGTGACCAGTCTGCATCTGCTCAAAAACACGGTTCTTCTCTGTCCACACAGTTCACAAGAAACCTCTTCAGGAAGTGGAGATAGCGGCCATCATCCACGGGGCGCTGCAGGGCCTGGTCTATCTTCATTCCCACACCATGATCCACAGGTTTCTGCTGCTTTTCCTCCACCGCACTCGTCTTCCACCCCTGCATTTTTCACCAAATCAAGTAAATCTTCACCCGTTTCCTTACATTGTTCTGTTTGATTGTTTTCCAGGGACGTGAAGGCAGGAAACATCTTGCTTACGGAGCCAGGCCAGGTCAAACTTGGAGACTTTGGATCTGCTTCCATAGTCGCTCCCGCCAACTCCTTTGTGGGGACTCCTTACTGGTGAGACTCTTCTGAACAATTGTGACTAAAAAGCACCTTTTGTCAGACGTCCTTGTTTTGATAAATGTTTAGACTTTCTTCTCAAATCTTGCACAGACCATCGGATGTTTCAACCTTGAGCATAACGTCCTCCTTATTTAGTTTTTATTCTGAAAACATCCAACTCTCTGCTTCTGCTGAAAGAGTTCTGTTCTTGTGACAGATTTTTGTTGATTGCAAACTTAACTTAGACTCTGGTTCCTGTTTCTGGTTCCTGTAGTTATTCTCACACTACTAACAGTGGCTTAAAAAAGGGTCACACAAATAATATTGCATTGCGTTATACGGCACTAATGTATACCCTTGCACTAAATATACAGAGATAGCATTTAAAACTAGCTAATAATCATAGCAGCTACTTGTATTGAATATTTTGTGTGCTCCCCGTGCTCTTACTGCTGTCCTGTTTGTGCGCTGCAACAAGTTTCCCCGCTGTGGGACGAATATAGGTTCTATTTCTTATTCTTGCTTGAGTGCATTGACTTGGTTCTTACTGTTGAGTCTGGGATGTTGCGCAAATGGTTAGGTCAGTTATTTCATCCAATTCCACAATATACAGAGTGCGACGTCTTCTGAATGATTTATATTGGTTTTTACAAAGTCGGGTATCATCTCAGATTAACATATTAATAAAGAAATCACATTCTAGTTTCTGTTATGTCTGTGTGATTTTTCCATGGATCAATGTGAGTTTTGTGTGTTGCAGGATGGCCCCAGAGGTGATCCTGGCCATGGACGAGGGTCAGTACGACGGGAAGGTGGATGTGTGGTCACTTGGCATTACCTGCATAGAGCTGGGTAAATAACCAGGATCCTACTGCCCACGGAAAAGGGCTGTTCTTCTCAGAGATGGCCTTTGTGTTTATCCTTTGTCTCCTGTTCTTCTGCAGCTGAAAGGAAGCCTCCTCTCTTCAACATGAATGCCATGAGTGCCTTATACCACATCGCCCAGAACGAGAGCCCCGTGCTGCAGTCGAATCACTGGTAAAACTCTAAAACCCTTGTATAGTTTTACATTTAAGTGTGTGTTTAGGTCTGTGTCGACTCGATTTGTGACGATACAATTGACATTTGTTACGATGGTTTTATAGGTCAGACTACTTCCGCAATTTTGTGGATTCCTGTTTGCAGAAACTTGTCCCCGATAGACCTACCTCTGATGTGCTGCTCAAGGTACAAGCAAATTACAATGGCTTTGAACACTGTCTCTATTCTGTGGCACTTAAACTATTGCTGAATCTGCTGAGATGTATTAGGGTTATTCAAAAATCAGTTGTTTTAGTTGTATAAATATAGAAAGCACTGAAATACATATTCACTGAAATAAAAACATATGTAGCACCGTTTTTAAGGATTACCTACTGGGTCAGGCCCAGCATCTTAGTTCCACATGTGTTTGTACATTCAAGTATTGGGACATAAGCCACCACCCTGGATCGTAAATGAAAAATGAAGGTGCTTTGGCAGCAAACTTTCTGCTTTAAATCATTTAAAGAGTATTTGACGAGTATTTAACGGGACAGTTTGGCTGTTCCAAGGCCAGTTAAGAGTCTTGTGTGATTTGTTTTAGTTGTGATACAACTTTAGATATTTTCAAACGGTGTCCCACTGCTGCAGACCTCACTCGCAATTTCTGGTAAAGGACAATTAAACAAAATCAACATAATGGCAATTTCTTGCTCATATTAAGATTGGAGGCATTCAAATACCTGTGCTACCAAACTGAGCAAAGGGACTTAATTCCTTTTTTTTTTTATTTTTTTTTTTTATTAACTTTATTACATTTTAATACAATTACAAGAATGAAAACATAAGAGAAAGAAATAAAACAAAATTATATTCGAAATCTAATATATACGGTTTACAAATATAGTAGGTGTTAAGGTGGGAGGGGTTGGGGGGGAGGGGGAGAGTAAAAAAAATAAAATTATTCGGGTTGCGTTTTTTATTGTTTCAGTTCAGCCTTGGTTTGCGGAGTTTCTGTATATGTATGTGAATGTGTATGCAATGCAGGGGTGCATAGGTGCTATGTCGAATGTGGTCAAATGAGTCTATATATTTTACTAAAAAAAAAAAAAAAAAAGGGGTTTATATATATACACATCATCATCGCTATCACTATTATCATCGTCATTGCCACAATCATTACCCATTGCTAATTTTATCTTGCTGGGCTTTGGTGAAAAATAATAATGGTAGAATAAATGACAATAATAATAAATCAATAATTAATATTAACAAAAATAAACAAACAAATCATAATAATAATGAAAAGCAGAGCGTGCTGCGAGACGGGCTCACTCAACAGGCCCTGCTTGTCCTCTTGTCAGTCCTGTGAGGTGCATTAAAAAAACAAGAAATTTGTGGGGCCGATGAGGTGGGAGATACCCCACATCGGGCCCACTTCTTGTCTGCCCTGTTGTTCTCTATGTTATATATATTTGATTTGTTCATTTATTTTATAAACACAACGTTATATATATTCTTTTTCTTTCCTTCTTTCCTCTTTTCCAGTACCTGATTGTAATCTTGGATATAATGTGTATAGTTTGTTCAGATATCCAATTTAAGTGAGAGAGGAAATGTAAATAATAACAATTATAATAACAATTATAATAACAATTATAATAACAATAATGACAATAACAACAACAACAGCGACGTGAGGAAGTAAGTAAACAAATAAATAAATATTTGGAAATAAATGATCCTAAATTCATATATAAATAGTAATAGTAACTGATTTTAACTTATCTATTTGGAGAGGGTGTGCGAGAGTGTATGTATGCGTGCATGTGTGTGCAGTTGTGTATGTACATCTGTTTATATGTGAAGGATTTATAAGAATGTGAGTGGCACTTTTAGTCTCTTTGGTATATTAATTTGTGGTTGGGTGTTGGGGATTAAATTGATGTTGAGAAATTATTGGGGTTGATGTCAAAATGACTAATGAATGGTGACCAGGAGTATGTAAAGGAAGTCATGTCATCATCATGGCGAGCTGCTATTTGAGAGGATGTTATGTATTGAGTAAGAGAGTTGGTCCAATGATTGATGTTGATTGTGTGTTTTGTTTTCCAGTTTTGGAGTATTATTTTCTTGGCGACAGTTAGGGATGTTAGTAGACTGTTCTTATGTCTAGGCAGTATTGTTGTTGTTGAAGTGAGACCTAGTAAACAAAGCGAGGGAAGTAAAGGGACTCTGCAGCTCAGGATGTGTGAGAGTTCTTGTGTGATAGTGTTCCAAAAAGCCTGTACAGGAGTGCATTCCCAAAGTGCATGTAGGTAGGTATCAGTGGCCCCCATAGTACATTGTGAACAGATGGCTGTATCTGCTAGTCCCATTTTATGCATCCTGTGTTGTGTGATGTGTGACCTGTGTATGACTTTATATTGGATTAATTGCAGATTGGTGTTGGGTGTCATAGAAAAGATGTTTTTACAAGCTTCTGTCCAGTGTTCCTGTGTGAGTTCTGTATTAAGATCTATGTTCCATTTTTCTGTAGGTAAATGTATTGTATCAGAGTTGAAATGTCGGTATAATTTTGAGGTGAGTTTTTTAATTTCTTTAATGTTCTTTATGTTTTCGAATAGTTGGGATGGGTTTAATGTATTATAATTTATGTTAATTTTATTTTTAATTACAGATTTAATTTGTAGGTATTGAAAAATATTATTGCTGTCAAGTTGATATTGTTCTCTGAGCTGCGTGAATGTTATGAATTTATTGTTTTTGAATAAGTGGCGTAGGTGAGTGATGCCCTTTTGTTCCCACATGTGGTAGTGAAGAGGTTTTGTATTAATTGTAAAATCCGGATTGTGCCATATGGGAGTGTATTTACAGGGTGATGTGGAGGAGTTAGTTAGTTTTAATGTTTTCCACCAGGCTGTCAGAGTAGTTGAAATGACTGTGCTTTTAAAACAGGGGTGTTTTTTTTCAGTGTTGTATTTAAAGAAGGTATATCTGCCAGAGGAAGGTGAGTGAAGTATGACTGTTCCAATTGAATCCATGTATTGTTGTGTGATGGTTTTGTCCACTTAACTAGATACTGTAATTGATTGGCCAGAAAGTAGTGGATGAAATGTGGCGCTTCTAGTCCGCCTTGAGCTTTGTTTTTTTGTAAAGTGGTGAGTTTTATTCTAGCTTTTTTGTTTTTCCAATAAAACTTTGTGCACATGGAGTTGAGTTTATTGAACCATTTGTCGGGAGGGGTTACTGGGATGTTAGAGAATAAATAATTTAGTTTCGGGAGTATTTTCATTTTAACAGATGCTATTCGTCCAATGAGTGTAAGTGGTAAATTGGTCCAGCGTTCCAGATCATCTTCTATTGTTTTGAGTATTGGGTTATGATTAAGTGAAAACAACTCTGTCAGCCTGGAGGAAACGGTTATACCCAAATACTTGATATTACCAGTGTGCACTTCAGGAAATGAATCCTGAGCTGCTGAGTCCCAAGCATTGTCTGAAAGGGGGAGAATTATTGATTTATTCCAGTTAATACTATAGTCTGACATCGATGAGTATGTGGTAATTATTTTAAATGTTTCTTGTAGTGATTCTTGTGGAGTTTGTAGATAGAGGAGAATGTCATCTGCGTATAAACTAATTTTGTGTTGTGTACCTGAGACGTTGATTCCTTTTATGCTGTTGGTTTGCCGTATTGCAGTTGCAAGGGGTTCTAAAAATAAAGCAAAGAGAGAGGGAGAGAGTGGACATCCTTGCCGTGTGCCCCTATGCAGTGTGAATGTGGAAGAGATAATACCATTAGTAGTGACAGTGGCCTTTGTTGATGTGTATAGTACATTGATCCAGTGGATGAATGACTCCCCGAAGCCAAATTGCCGAAGTGTATAGAATAGAAATGTCCAATTTACCTTGTCGAATGCCTTTTCTGCATCGAGTGAAGTTATGATCGTATCGGTATTTGATTGTTGTGAGATGTTAATGAGATTGAATAATCTACGAAGATTGTCAGATGAATTTCTATTTTTGATGAATCCTGTCTGGTCAGGGTTTATTAATAGTGGAGTAACCTTTTCTAGTCTGGAGGCAAGTGCTTTTGTGATTTTTAAATCTGTGTTAAGTAGTGATAGGGGTCTGTAACTAGTGGGTTGAGTTGGGTCTTTGTCTGGTTTAAGTAACAAGGTTATAGCTGCAGTGTTCATGTGAGATGGGATTTGAGATGTGTTCTTTATTTCAATAACAGCACGGATGAGGAGTGGGGATAATGTAGACCAGAAGTGTTTATAGAATTCAGGAGGATAACCATCAGGACCGGGGGCTTTATTATTTTGCATCTGAAGAAGAGCTTTATGTAGCTCATGTAAAGTTAGAGGGGAATCTAAGAAGTTTACCATATCTGTAGGAAGTTGTGGTAGTGTAAAGGTTTTGAAGAATGATTGCATCTCAATTGGATTAGGTCTATTTCCTGAAGAGTACAGTTTTTCATAAAATAACCGGAATGTATTATTTATTTCATATTGATCATGAGTGAGCTGCTGTTCTGAGGTTTGTATTGATACTATCATTGATTTATCTTTTTTTGCGTTGTAATAAGTTTGAGAGATATTTCCCAGATATATTATTTTTTTCTACTAGTTCGAACTTGAGTTGTTGCAACATGAAGTTGTTTTTTTCTTGCAAAAAGTTGTCCAATTGTAATTGAACATTTTTTATTTCGTTTTCATTTTGTTCTGCATTTTCTGATAGAATTTCAAGTTTTTCTTGTAATTGCTGTTGCAATTTAGTTTGTCTTTTCTTTTTATAGCTCGAGTATGATATAATTTTACCTCTTAAGTATGCTTTGGCTGTTTCCCATAATGTTACTGCTGTTGTCTCTGGGGAGTCATTCAACTCCATGAAGAATGTCCACTCTCTCTCGATCATCTGATTGAATATTGGGTCTTTTAGAAGGGAAGTATTAAGGCGCCATCTCGAGGGGGGTTTAGTGTGGTATTGAAACTGTAGAGTGAGGGTAACTGGTGCATGGTCGCTAATCATAATGGGGTGTATTGTGGTGTCTTTTACCTTAGGCAGAAGAGTGTTACTTAAAAGAATGTAGTCAATTCGTGAGGAGGAGTTATGAACCTGTGAGAAATATGTGTATTGTCTTTTGTGTGGATGTGACAATCTCCAACTGTCGCCAAGCCCATATTCCTGCATGTATTGTTTTATTGTATCAGTGGAGTTCCAATGTCGGGAGCTTCCTGTGGTATGTGAGCGGTCCAGGTTTGGGTCTAGTAGGTGTTAAAATCTCCAGCTAAAATGATATTTGAAGTTTCATTTATTTTAGAAAATATATTATGAAAGAAAGAGGGGCTGTCATTGTTAGGTCCATATATGTTAATAATGGTTATATTATGTTTAGATAGATTACCGTTGATGATGATGTAACGCCCTTCAGGGTCAGTTATTGTTGAAAGGTGATTGAATAATAGTTTATTATGTATTAAAATTGATACTCCACGTTGTCTACTATTCAAGGTGGATGAATATATATGCGTGAAATCTTTGGATTGTAAGTGGTTTAGATCTGTATCTGATAAGTGTGTTTCTTGTAAAAGGCATATATCTGGTTTCATTTGATGAAGGTGGTTGAAAATTTAGTTTTTCTTTGCTTGAGATCTAATGCCCCGCACATTCCATGAGACAAGTGTTAGTAAGTTTTTTGTTTGTGTGTGCATGTGTTTGTATGATATGAGATGTTACAAGCCGCATAATCAAGACAGAAAAATGAGTCGATTAATTTCAGATAGAGCAACCAACTGTGTTGTACATTACAAGAAATTGGAATTGGAATAAAGTGATAGGGGGGGGTGGGGAGAGGGGAGATGAAGGTCAAAATCATAATCAACAAAAATAGCAATAATGGGTGACTAGTGCGGTTGTGTATATATGTTACATAATAAAATATATATACATATAATTAACACTGTTATGTCCTCGGTTATTAGATCATGAGTAGTGTGTGAAATACATTTTTGTGAGTATCACTCTGGATTTTTGTGTTGTTTTTAATTAGTCATGCTTATTTTACCTCATAGATATGAAGACAACAGGGAAGAGTCAGTATAGCCATGGGGTTGTTTCAGCATTGCGGTATAGTTGGCCATTTACGTACAGTTTATCCACAACAAGTATGGCTTTCTGTCCTTTTTGGATCATCTCCTTGCGTACAGGGTGAAGTTTGCTCCGGCGCTGCATTATTTCTTTAGGGTATTGTTCGTTGAGACCGTAGTTAGTTCCTTTCAGTTGCTTGCCTTGGTGTTGTACTTGCAGTTTTTGTTTGTAGTGTTCAAATTTAGCCACAATTGGCCTGGGTCGTTTATTTTCACTTGTGATGGTTTTAGCTCCTATGCGGTGCACGCGGTGGAAAGAGATGGAGTTTACGGTCGCGGTGGGGAGTTTGAGTTGAGTTATCATGAAGTTTTTCACCTGTTTTTCTGCGTCTTCTGACGTTTGTTCGGGGATGCCAGTGAAAACGAGGTTGTCCCTCATGCTGCGTGATTGTAAGTCCATGATAGTTTCCTTCATAGTTTTGTTTTTTGTGACAATTGTTGTGATTTGCGTAGTGAGAGAGTTAATAGATTCTTTCAAAAATTTGTTTTCGTGAGTGAGTGTTTGTATATGTGCCTGGCTGAACTCCAAACTTTCGCGGAGCGCGGAAAGATCTTGGTGCAATGTTTCAATGAGGGCGAATCTGTTGTCCATAGCGGTTAATCTAAGTTCGATTGCATTGAGAATGAGAGCGATGTCGGGGCAACATGAGGAGACTGTGGAAGTGGCTTTCTGAGGGTTACTTAAGTCGGGAGATGAAGATGAGCGAAACCTCTTTTTATCGTTGGTGGGAGTGAAGTTGTTGTCGGCTGATGGTGCGGTACCTTGATCCATGACGCACAACGAGTAGTAGTGGTCGATGTAATCCTCGAGCGATTCCAGAGATTCCAGGGTTGGGTGAGTATCGTATATGAAGAGTGGGGTTTGTGGTTTATCTTCAAAAACAAAAGAATAAGCCTCCGAGGAAAGATAATACTAATGCTGTTTACTCTAGCAGCTGCGCGCCGCCATCTTGAATCACGCACCGTCTCGCGGTAGTTCCTCACAGTAGCATCTCAATGCCAGAAAACAGCCACAGTAGCCAGGAACCTTAATTAATTGTATTTTGAATGAGATATCCACCCTCATCCCTGATGCTGCTTAAAACACTGAAGACCCCGGTGGGAAAGAGGAGAGCGGCAGAATCCTTTGAAATGAGTGAAAATATTATCTGCGTTGATCACATGTCGTTCATTATTATTTGTTTCCCTCAGCACCTCTTCCTATGCAGAGAGCGCCCAATGACGGCTGTGATGGATCTAATTGCACGGACGAAGGATGCGGTTCGAGAGTTGGACAACCTTCAGTATCGAAAGATGAAGAAGATTCTTTTCCATGAGGCACATAATGGTCCGGCCCCTGAAGGAGGTGAAGATGAAGAGGTGAGCATGTACACAGTCACTAAAGGATTATAGACTGAGTACTGTCTTGGTCGATGATGACAAACTGTGAGTGAATCTGAAATGCAATGATGTTGTTTCTCCTTCAGGACGTGGAGCAGTACATGCTTCGTACTGGGACAGTGAACAGCATGGAGAGCTCTCATTCTCTGCCGTCCATGTCCATCAGTGCCAGCTCTCAGAGCAGCTCTGTCAACAGTCTGGCGGACGGCTCCGATGACAGCGGAGAGATGGCCATGATGCAGGAGGGGGAGCACACGGTCACCTCCAACAGCTCGGTTTTGCACAAGCCTCTGGTCAGCACACATTACAGAACTACTGTGAATAGGATCTGTCGACAGGCTTCATGTACTTCTCCTTCAGAGTCTTTATTATCACAGTTTAGTGACATCTGTGTGTCCACTACGACACTAGGTCTGTGCTACTTTAAGATCAAAGCACATGATCTGAACTGCGATTTAGAAAGTAGTTAGGTCCAGACTTAAGCTAATTGTAAACAAAGGTCAGTGATTGTGTCTTGTACAAACACGTCCCACTGTTAACGCTACAAAAACAGCTGTTAGCAGCGTTGACATAACGTTAGATTACCTCATCAAGTCACTTCTCTTTTAATCATTGTTGATGCTCTTTGTTCAAATAAAGCAAAACAATAAAGCAAAACAATCTGTCACAGTCAACAGCTGTGGAGCAGCTGCTCCTGGATCCTGGAAGTGAAACATTTCACACTTGACTCCATTGTTGTTCATTTGTTGAATTAATTGTGGAAAATTCTAACTTCTCGATAAGCAACTTCAGGACTCATTTCAGTCTCACTGTGAGGCTTCTGGGAGCCAAATCAGTTGCAAATCATTTAATCTGGATTAGATCTAATGTGTGTTTTATTGTGAGATTTATCAAAGAATCTTAAGTTAAATCTCATCCTTAAATAATCAGCTAAAACTGTCCTTTGCGCTTCAACTCATACACTTTGACTATTACTTAATATTCCATTAATATTACCATTACATAATATTTTTAAACAAAAAGCTCGTAAAATATAACGGGGCCTGGATTTCCCCAAACTTTGCTTTGGCTTTATCACACATGTTCATAAACACTTCCTCCGTCTCCAATCCAACAGAGTCATGACAACATCTACGATGACCCTTATCAACCTGAAGTCGACCCCCAGCGAGAAGTTTCAGTCGTGGGCGGGGTAGTAGGGGGAGGAGGAGGTGGAGGTGGAAGACGCCGGCGCAGAGACCACTTTGCTACGATCAGAACGGCTTCTTTGGTCACGCGTCAGATCCAGGAGCATGAGCAGGGCTCAGCTCTCAGAGAACAGATGTCGGGGTATGACCATTATTAAAAAGTACAGACACATTTGTGACGTTTATCATTGAATCATGAATCATTGAACCATCACAGGTACAAACGCATGCGGCGTCAGCACCAGAAGCAGCTGATGGGCCTCGAGAACAAGCTGAAGGCTGAAATGGACGAGCACCAACTGAGACTGGACAAAGAGCTGGAGAATCAGAGAAACAACTTTTCTATGGAGGGGGAGAAACTGTCCAAGAAACACCAGGCCATTTTAGAAAAGGAGGTGAGTAAAGGAGCCATTCAACCAGGGCTCTCACGCTCTCTTTAAGCGTGTGGAACAAGTAGCTGTTCCGTCTTCTCAACCTTTATTACGCTGAACAACATGTAACAACATGTAAATGCAACACTTCATACAATATCATTTCAGTGAGCACTTACTTGCAGAGACAATCCATCCATGTGGTTTCTGGTTCGCTCCTCTTTAATGAAGTTTGCTGGAGACGTTTACATTGATTCCATAGTACGAACTTAAACATATATATATTTCTCCAGTAAGAATGTAGTCCCTGAAACTCCTGATAATGGTGTGTTCTCTTCGGCTTTTGGTCAAATGTCTTGGACTCTTATCAGTAGTTAGATTCTGGATTAAGTCCTGGGTCACACTATGTTCTGTGTTCGTTGTGCAGTTTGTTTGTGACTCTTGCATTAAATCTAACCTTAACAAGTGCATTGGTTTTGTTTTGTAGACCAAAGCCGTGTTAACTGAGGAAAAGAAGTTTCAACAACACATCCTGGCGCAGCAGAAGAAGGAGCTGACCAGTCTCCTGGAGTCGCAGAAGCGGCAATATCGCCAACGCAAGGAACAACTTAAAGAGGTGCTCTCACGATTCTTCAACACAACATCCTCCGCCTTTAATATGTTCTAACGAGAGGGTTTAAAATGTCTGTTTAGGAGCTGAATGAGAATCAGTCGACGCCAAAGCGCGAGAAGCAGGAGTGGCTGGTGCATCAGAAGGAGTGTCTTCAGCAGCTGCAGGCGGAGGAGGAGGCGGGGATGCTCCGGCGGCAGAGGCAGTATTACGAACTCCAGTCTCGACAATACAAGAGGAAGATGTTGTTGGCTCGACACAACCTCGAGCAGGATCTTCTCCGAGAAGTAAAGAGCTTTTTCTACAATTTAAAACTATGGTTTTCTTGAACTGTAAAGGTTGCAGCTGACTTCACGCAGTGGTGCAAAAGTCCGATAGATGAAGTAGCAACTGCTCGTATCAAGTCAGGACTAATGCAGTCTCTATTTTGCTACAATATATTTCTCTAGCGGGAGTCGATTTTTAGGAAAATGCCTAAATAGAATGGAAGAAAAGCATTATTCTGTGTTGCATCTGCCGCAGATAGAGCGGAACGTCCCAAGTCCTATCTTTTTAATTAACCTCTAAACAAATCACAGAAATGACATTAAAGGGTCATATTTCTCTCCTCAAATGTTATTTAAAGTCATATCTATGTCCTTTCTTCTTGGAAGTGGCTTCCAGAAGATCCCAGAGTGACTCCACTGTTGCCACAATAACAATCGCTTAAAGTGGTTCTCACCCCCGGTCCTCGGAGCTTACGTTACTCACATTTCCTGTTCAAATCTTCCTCTAAATGGGCGTAGCCTGGAGGACTGAAGGGGGCGTGAACGAGACTGGGCCGTTTACATTGCTCTGGGCGGGGGGCTGCTGACGTCAGGTCCAACTTGCAGACGTCAGGTCCAACTTCTGTGCCAGTGTTGGCGCCAGATTCAAAATTCAAATGTAGTAATACAGGTCGCCAGCAGATGGCGCCTCACAGACGGTTTTAGGCAGAAAGTCTAACTTTCAACTAATTTGCACCAAAGTGACAAGATTATGACCAGGATATGTAGACAACACTATTGGACACTCATTTATACCGTTTATCAGCAAAAAAAAGTGGATTTGAGGGTGAGTTGTCCTTTAATCCTCCTCATTGTTGAAAATATTGAACTCATTCAAACTATAAAAGGCGAACGCTGTGTTGAAAATAGTTTTCACTCGATATAAGAGCTATATGAGACCTATTGCCCTGTCTGACTGATTGGAGGGAAACACTTTCTGTCCTATGGCCCCATGCCACGACCCCATTCAGGTCATGTTATTGCAACCCAGCATTATGGCCTAAAATACTTAAACCCGTTTCTTTGCCCTCCTGGTTTCTCAGGAGCTGAACAAGAAGCAGACACTGAAGGACTTGGAATGTGCCATGCTGCTGCGGCATCACGAGTCGACTCAGGAGCTGGAGTTCCGTCAGCTCAGCGTGGTGCAGCGCACGCGGGCCGACCTGATCCGCACGCAGCACCAGACCGAGCTCACCAACCAGATGGAATACAACAAGAGGCGGGAACAGGAGCTGCGGCAAAAACACGCCGTGGAGGTCCGCCAGCAGCCCAAGAGTCTCAAAGTGAGTGAGAGCCCAGGCCCTGCCGATGGGGAGGGGCAATCTGAGGCAGGGTTAGACGGTGTGTGGGACGGGCAGGAGATGATGGAGGAAGAGCTGGAGAAAGTAGAGCTGGAGAAGGAATTTGTCATGGAGGATAGAGGGTCAGAGGACTACAGAGCTGAGGATGTGGAGGCGACGAATGGCTCTGAGGTTTGCGTAGATGAAGAAGGTGGCACAAAACCAAAGATTATCGATATCGAGAACGACAGGGAACAGTGGGAAGTTGTTTGCAAAGGCACAGATATGAGGGAAGTGTGGGGCAGCTCCAAACCCAACGAATTAGACTCCGATGACGAGGGCAGAGGCGTGGCCGATGGCTGCCCGTCCGAGTTGTTCATCGCTTTAGAACGGCGCAGACTCCTCGAGCGAGACGCCGACGATCTCTCAGAGTTTTACTTCCCCGACAGCGTAGACGAGCTGGAGCCTATCCCCGTGTTGCCGCCCGCCCCCCCTCCGGCCGCGGACACCTCTCTGGCCTCGCTGTTGTCTCACGTCTTGTGTCTCCTGCTGTCGCTCTCGGCCGCCGCTCACCCTTCCAACCTGACCCTGCTGCTGCTCTCTGTCTTCCTCCTCTCTCTTAGGCGCTCTCCTCCTCTGCCCTCCCTCTCCTCTCTGCTGTTGTCGGCGGAGCTGGCCCTGCTCGCTCTCTTCTTCTCCTACCTCTTCCTCCGCTCGTGCTGTGCCCTGTCTCTCTCTACCTTTCTATGGCTCAGTCTGTGGGCCAGCGGCTTCTTCTGCCTGGGCCTCTCCTTCAGTCTGGGCATCTACTACGTCCCGATGATTCTAATCTCCGCCTCCTTCCTCAGCTCGCCCTCCCTGTTCCTCTCCTTATACTTGCTGGTGGTCCTCGTCGTCAGGCCAGTGCGAGACTTTTTGCAAGACGCCCCCCGCAAGGTTAACCGGTTATACATGCGCGTCCTGTTCCGTTTGCCGCGGCCGCTTTTTGCCTTCACTCAGCTGTTTCTCGGAGGAATGGCAGAGCGAAATCTGTACGTGATGTTTCCCAAGGCAGGGAGGAACTGGGGTGCGCGCCAGTCAAAAATCCCTGTATCTGTCAAGAATCTACCTGAGAATTTTCAGGCTTGCTGCAATAATTCTCCCTTAACCAAATGTCGCATGTGGATGAAGCGTTTCATTAGGCGTCCCATTGGCGTTTTAGCCGACCTGGCCAACGCTGCGGTGGTGGGAATAGTGCTGAAGTTGGTGAAAAAGCTGCCCCCGACGTGTCAGTCTAAATTAGAAAGTGTGGGACTCCTAAAGAAGAGATCCCCGAGTCGGTTACCGCGCCTGTTGCCACGTGAGGTGAGGGAGCACAGGCAGCTGGAGAGACAGAGCAGGGAGAGGGAGCGGAAGAGGAGGGCGGAGAGGGAGCGACTGTTCAGAGATTACACTCGGTGGGAAAGTGGTTTGAGGAGAACGTCCTCTGGGAGCCTGGTGCGCTGTAAGGTCCGACCATGGAGGTAGTCCGATAGATCAGCGGCAGGCTTTGAGCTGCGGGCTATCGGCTAAAGACATGTTTTTCTTGTCATTATCCTGTTGTGTGTTGTTAAATCATGTCCAATAGTTTTTAACAGTATCCAACACATCTGTGGATGAACTGGAGTCATTCTGGTTCTCCGTATCCACACACAGATGGTCACGAGCTGTACAGTTTTCACACTGTTAAACCAGTTACTGTACAACTTGTGGAGAAGGTCTATTTTGTTACTTTAATGTGCTTTTTGTAAAAGTTTTATATTTTTCTTTTATTATTATTTTTTGTCTTAATTTGTCAGACAAAGATTTATATGGTTATTTTGACCACTCTGTGCAATTTATTTTTGTATAATATTTTTGTTTTCTTTTAAAAGCACAGTGAAAATAGTGTTAAGTGGCTCCATGGTTCCATTTTCACTTCCCAAAGCTGTGATGCTACGATAAATCCTTTATTTATCAACGGACACTAATTATTTAGCTTAAGAAAGTGCAATAACCTCAGTGGATATTGCTGATATAGATGGAAAACCAAAAATGTGTTTACGTAATACAAAGAGCCATCAATGAAGTTCTGTCATGTTTTATACAGATGGTTTTGTATCATCGACCGTTGTTTTTATTGCACTTTATATAATCTTTGATGATGGAATTATGAAAACCAAAATAGATGAAGTGCCTAAGTCACTTTTGCACAGCTCTTGTTTTGAAGGAGCATTCCCTGGTTCTTGAACAGTAGAAACAGTCAATGATTTAAACCTGGTTATTTCATTGTAGTAAATCGTGTTAAATGAAGCGATTGACAATTATTATTATTATTAGTCCAAAGATTAATGTGACGGACGACAATGAGCAGCTGCTGTTAAGATTCAAATGTAAAATTGAGAAATCCTTAACATTTCCAAAACTCTAGATCATTTTCAATAACCTGAGCATTCCAGGTTATGGGAACACATTTCAGGAAGACATTTTAGGTCCAAGCTTTTCTCCAGTGAGGACTTGTTCAGAGGCAGTGGCCTTTATCGATCCTATATTTAGGGACTTGAGCTTTAACGAGTTTCACGTAGTGTTTTGTTTGAATGTACATCCCTCGCTTCGTGTCTCCTTCCTCTGTGCGTTTTCATGTTTGTATTCTGTTGTGTGACACCATTTAAGTGTTCTGTGTCAAGTTCCCTCCTTAACGTTTATGTGATATCCACTGCATTCAGCCATTTGTTCTTTAATTTACTATTCACTGGTAGACGTAGAGTTTGGCGATTTGTGCCTGTGGAATTTTAGAGAGAAAAATGTCATACTTTTAATATCTTTTCAAACAAAACAATAAATTGTTTGTTTAAATCATTGTCTTGTTTTTATGATTTCAGTTTTCATTGTTTTTTATGTTTTTATTGCCTTTTCATTTTGTTGCCCTGTTACGCCTTTTTTGTCTTGTTTTCCCTCCTCACCATCCATCAAAATAACACAAGCAGCTTTTGATTTAAGCATAACTGTAAGTACAATCCCATATTAATTACATGCATGTGTTGTGTTGTACATTTACTAATGTCTAGTGCAGTTCCTGTAGAGTAGGTCTTTAGCTAACACGAAGAATACAAATCTTCATTCTCAGTCATTGTTTTCTTTGTAGCAGTGAAATCTGAATATTTAAACTTTAATAATGTTAGAGAAGATGTTTTGGACAAAGCTTTGTGCTGCAGGAGGGTTAGCTCTGCTGCATCATCTCTCCTCTCTCTCCTCAGTCTAAAGAACTCCAGATTAAGCGACAGTTCCAGGACACGTGTAAGATACAGACTCGTCAGTACAAGGCGCTGAGGAACCACCTGCTGGAGAACACGCCCAAGGCCGACCACAAGGCAGTGCTGAAGCGCCTCAAAGACGAGCAGACTCGTAAGCTGGCCATTCTGGCCGAGCAGTATGACCACTCCATCAATGACATGCTGTCCACTCAGGCTGTGAGTAAGGCAAGGACACGTCCGTCCTTTCACACACACACAACAGGCCCGGATCCACATGCCCCTCCGACTGCCCCACAACCAACCTGGTCCTCAGGGTATCCATGGAAGCACCCAGAATATTAGAAATGTGTTGGAAATGTGTGTATCAACCCCAGTCGCTCTCTGTTAAACATCTTACTGAACTTCAGAGTGAAAAATCTTTGTTGTAAATGTCAAATAGGAAAATTTCCATTCTGTGGTTTGGTTGACACAGACTAAATTCATAATGCGCTGGGCTAAATTTAATTTTAAATAAAAAAATAAAAGTAATTTAAATTGTAAAGCACCCATGTAGATCCCCTGTTCTCCTGAGTCATGTGCAGAAGCCCTGATGGTAAGATTATTCCTTACTCCTTACCCTTTGTATTTCCATATCTCCACTGTTTAGGAATCTTTACCAATAATTATTTTTCCTTTCTCATTTTTGCAGAACACACATTTGTGATTCTTATGTGCTGTCCCTTTAGCCTTAAACAGATGTTTTCAGTTCATTATGGCCTCCTTCATCTCAAGCTCCTTGTGCTTTCTCCTCTTTAGCTGCGACTGGATGAGACTCAAGAAGCGGAGTACAAGGTCCTGAGGATGCAGCTGCAGCAGGAGCTGGAGCTGCTGAACGCTTATCAGAGCAAGATCAAGATCCACACAGACACTCAGCACGAGAGGGAAGTGAAGGACCTGGAGCAGAGGGTGTCCATCCGCCGCGCGCTGCTCGAACAGAGGGTTAGTCACCACCACCATCATCATCATCTTCATCCTCCATGCTCATAATAACTTTAATAATGTCAGAATGTGTAATATAGAATAAGTCACTCTCACTTAGTCCCTCCTGCTGCTAACATGTACAGTGAACATACAACTATATTTTTACAGCATTTGAATATACAGTATTTTGTACTTTACTATTTTATTATTATAAAGTTAGACTTTATACTTGTTATAATGCCACCGTCAGATTTTATTTCTAATTATTGCTTCTTCATTATGCTTGGAGATTTTAGATTTGCTTCCTTATTATGAAGAAGCTAGAGATTTTATACCTGCTTCTTTATCATACTGTTTTTTCAATTTTAAGTCAGTATAGAGTTATTGTTCATTTATCTGGTGCTTCTCAGTCCTACTATTCTGTAACTGGTGACGCAACACTGAAATTACCCCTACTGTGGGACAAATAAAGGATCGCTTCATCCAAATTCAGAATCGGGCATTTCATATTTATTCCTCTCTTTCTCCAGATTGAGGAAGAGATGCTGTCGTTGCAAAATGAGCGCTCCGAGAGAATCCGCACTCTCCTGGAGCGTCAGGCGAGCGAGATCGAGGCCTTCGACTCTGAGAGCCTGCGTCTGGGCTTCACCAGCCTGGCTCTGTCTGGGATCCCCGGTGACCCTTACTCCAAACAAGGATACCCCAACGCCCCCCCACCCTCCTCCTCTCGCTCGGGGGGCCACTGGAGCCACGGCCTGCACCCTCAGAACTCCTCCGCCCAGCCGCCACCACACTCTCGCCGCAGCCACAACAGCAGCGGGGGAGGGGGAGAGCGCCGGGGTGAGTCGTCCTCCTCCCACGCCCTGGCTCTGGCTCTGGCTCTGGGCAGAGAGGGGCGAGAGGTGCACCACTCCTCTCGCTCCTCGGCCTCCTCCTCGTCATCGTCTTCGTCCTCCTCCTCCCACCATCAGCGCCACCAGCTGCCCCAGCACTACCACCACCAGAGCACGCCGCAGCTGTACCGCGAGAGGGAGCGGGACCGTGAGCGCGAGCGAGAGAAGGAGCGAGACTGGGGCGCCCACCCTCACCCTGTCCCGTTCTCCCACCACCTGCCCTCGCGCTCCTCCTCACAGTCTCTGGCCATGCTCCCGCCGCCTCCACCCGCCCCTCCCTCCATCTCCGGGCCCTCCTCCTCCTCGTCTTCTTCGTCTTCGTCTCAGGGGGGCGTGTATGCCGGGGTAGGTGGCGGCGGCGGAGGAGTCCTGGGAGTGCGTGGAGCTCCAGGCTTGATGGCCCTGAGGAACAGCCCCCAGCCGCTGAGGAGGACGGCCTCAGGAGGGGGGCCCGGCGGGGCGGGGGGCAGCGACGGCGTCCTGAGCCGAAGCACCTCCGTCACCTCTCACATCTCCAACGGCTCGCACTTGTCTTACTCCTAGACACCCCACCCCCGTGAGCTGGAGCAGGGCACGGCACACTCGTTTTTACTCCTTGACCAAATAGCGTGTAATATCAAAGGTGCTCTCTGCGAAGCCATCCCAGCGCCGACATTAAAGTTAGAAGTACAAAAGTCAAGTTTATACATAAGCACTAAACCGTTTTGGCAATGCAGCGAGCACTCCTGAAACTCCACATCAAAAGGCACACATTGCGAGGTCTCGATTGTGACAAACTGAATCAGAAATTTGTGACCTGCTCGTTCAGACTCGGGGAGAGGTGAGAAGGGAGAGGGAGGCGGTCTTTTGCATCGTCTTTCCATTAGCCAGAAATTGAGAAAACTTGTGGATTTTTGCGTCCGCGTCGATGGAGAGGTTTGTGTTTACTGTTTTGATCGCCTGTATTAACGAAAAAGGTCTTACCGCTGTTTGTCGCAAAGAAGAAAGCTGTGGGTGCGGATGTGTCTTCTATGATGTTCTGATGCTGGAATGGAGAAAGACTTGAGAACACGGCGACGCAAGCGGGAATACTCTATTTGCGATGTGTATGTATGTGTATGTAGTCTAGTGTCCAGATATATATAGCAAGGATTCACTACTAAAGCTCGAACGGAAGGACAGCAAAAACCCCGACATCGCTGGCTTGTTCTTACACCGCTGTTCCGGACCGCACTTTTGTTTACAATACTTACTTTTAGGAGAAGTTGCTTCAATCATCACCAATGCCTTCATGCAGCTGTTCAAGGGATTTTGTGCCATAAAGCAGTTTTATTTCAGTGACGAATGTAGATTTTTTTTTTTTTTTTTTGATAGAGGCCGATTTTAAAACTTGCAAAATGGATAAGCCTAGGCATTTTATCAACAGGAAAGATGTATAAAAGTGAAAGCAAACCTGTTTTGGCATCATGACATACTGAATATTCAAACATGTGTATCTACTAAAATCACTCCAACGCATGAGATGAGTGTTGAAAACATTTGTAAACACATTTGAGATGTACCGTACGAGTTTCACTGACATTGCAGTCGTGCGTCCCACACTTTTGATCTTTACCGTACTGTATATATTTATGGAAACACTACAAAAACAACTCTTTGGTTTTATAGGATGACACAGATGATGATAGTAATTTTGATAAACCAACATGAATTATTGAAGTCAAGATTTACAGAAAAGCGCATTTTCTACAGCTGTCAATATTCTAGTTATTCCTTATGTGTTGTATACAGTACGTGTTCGGTTTTACAGCGGGCGAGAGACAAAAAATAACACGTGTCGACGAGCTTTTAGTTTGTTCTTATGGTGAATTATTATCAACAAAGCGAATGATTGATGACCCAGTCGAAAAGCAGTGAACTCTTACCAACCACTGGAATGTAAATGCAGCCTATTTTTGTTTCAATGTCTGTAAATCTCTGTTGGTGAAGATTAAGTGTGCGAGCAAACATAACCGAGAACTACTTAATTTAGCTTTTTTTTTTAAGGACTGTGACGGTGGCGGGGGCTGGACTGAGCTGCTGCGGCCCCACACGTCCCCCCGGGGTCCGCGGCAGCAGTGACCGACACAGCCCTCTCCAGCACCTCCTTGAGATCGATCAGTGTTTGACAAAGGTCCAACGTTTCTTTTCTCATTCTTCAGATACTTGAAGGACTGTTTTTTTTATTTTTTATGTTACAATCAAAAGACGATCTTGCTGTTTGTACGACTCGAACACCAGCGACAGTCATTTCCCTGTATACTCTTCTTGCTTGGTTGAAATCTCAGTGCATGCATAAAATCCTTATATTAACTAGGACAAGAGGACTCTCTGGGGCTGGGGCTTCACAGTTTTAGTTGGGGAGAAAAAAACAACGTGGTAGTTTTTATCTTTTTACAGTTTATTTAGATGGATTTGTCATTGTCACAGCTGTCACACGTGAGGCTCTTTTCCTACCCACTCACTAATACTTAAAAAGATTGAAACAAGAATTCATTCAAGAGATTGTGTAATGTCTTAACACTATTGGAAAAGGAACGAGGGGATTAGAATTAATTTTAAATGATAATAAATTGATATTAACACATGGTTTTTTGTTTTTTTTGCCTGAATCAAAAACCGACACGCCTCATTTTGTTTATGATTCTGAACTGTTCCAACCAACATCCAGGGATTAAGCACCGGGAGCTAATGCTACAGCTAGAGGAGGGGAATATTCACACAGATGAAGCTGATGTAGCAGTCATTTTGAGACTAGAACCATTTTGGTCTGTACACAATTTGTATACTAAAGTGTTTCACAAGAACAAAACGGATCAAAAGGCAATAGGCAATACAGATGCATCAATAAATAACAATTTCATATTAACTGGCATTAAAGTATTGGGCCTAAAGCTCCAGGGCAGGCATGTCAGACTAAGGCTCAGACAATATTTAGTGGCCTTAAAATGTGTTTCAATGATTATTAAATTGCAGCATTGATGGTTATGGGCTACAAAGGTGTGTTATACATCTATTTTTCAAATGTTAAGCCAAGACATTAGAAGTTGAATATATAACAATGTGTTGGTCCAGTTTTTGTAAAATCCAAACAAAAAACACATTTTGTTTTCAGAGAATAAGTGTATAATAAAAATAATAAAAACTAAAGGAAATCTATTCTATTCTTTCAACCCCTAATCTGTCCCAGTTTTTTTTTTTATTCCATTCCTGACCAGAATGTTAAATAACTATGGATTAAAGTCCATGTGACAGGTTGGACCAGTGTTCTTGATCCTTTAGAGTCGTGGCACACCTTTTATTCAAAACATACACACAGAAAACCAGCAGCTGAAGCCACACAAAACTGCAGCCTCTATGGACAAAGAAAATGCATTCTCATCAAAGTGATTTAAGTATGAAACCGGACAAGTGCAAGTCTTTCTAATCTTCTCAATGTATAGGTTTTAACACACTTTTTATTTTTTTCATGGAGTATTATCATTTAAGAGTCAAACTATTCATATAACATCATAAATATCTTATATCATAAAACAATCACACACACTTAAAAGCTGAGGTATAACTTTTAAACGTAATAAAATCCATATAACTATTTCCTTTCAAAACAGTTTAGTTCTATCACTAGATTTCATAATCATGTATTTTTGGCCTCGTCACATCCTTACATCAGATTTTCCACACAGAAAATTGAAAAAGAGAGGACCACACATACTCAGCCAATCAGCTCTAGGCCAAAAGCGTAAAATAGTGACTCACATGTTTTACATATTTTACTTTTACATGAATGTTTCCGTCGGAAGAAACAGGGAAACACCTTTAACACATTAGGTCTTTCAGAGCAGTCAATTTGACGGATTTTTGTTTTGGAAAGTGGAATTACTCTGTTACTACGTTTTTGCTCTTCATAGCTTTTTCCGCATATAAATGTAGTTTATTTCTATGTCATGAAGTTTAAGAAATTATCTCGTTCCTTGTCTAGAAGTAAGTGTTAGTTACCATAGCAACACACACTTACAGCAGTTATCGTTTAGTTTTGCTGTATTTCATTTATGTTAACCAGTTTTGCCATGTCTCAAAAATAAAAAAAATAAATGATTTACTACTAATTAATAATAGTTAAAACCCAAAACTGTAGAATTCCATTTATTTGAACGGGAGCCGTGAAAATGGATTACATTACAGCTCCAACATGGCTGCCGAGGCCCTGACGCGTTACCATGACGAGTGCTTCTCTAGCGTAACGCGTTCTCATTTCAGGTCGGCCAAATCATCTCGGGGAGGAACAGCGCTGACATCAGAGCCTACCCCTTTAAGAGCCAGTGGGGCCACATAGCGGAGCGAGCAAAGGAGAGGAGGGGGAGAAGACAGGGATTAAAAAAGAAAAGGAAGAAAGCCACGGGGAGGGAGGAGGGAGAGCCCGATAAAAAAAGAAAGATGACATCCTGGCTGCTGAACGGCCGAGGTGAGGAGCGAGGCTGTGGCCCGGAGACAGCGCCTCCAGCCGGGGTCAGGGCTTGACTCGACACCGAGGCTTCGCCATACATCCGAGAGGCCTATCGAGGAAACGGGACAAAAAGACTCAGAAATCCTCCAAACTAAGCATGACCTGCCGTGCTTGTAGATGCGGTTATTACCACCCATCCTTGTTATGCAGATGAAACTAATTGTAATCACGTACAGCTACAGTTAATTTACCCCGGTTTCGAACATCTTATGGCAGTGCGTGTAGTGGTTAGTTATTACGATGTGATAAAGTAAAGTAAAGTGGCAGAGGAACGCTATTATAGTTATTACCCTCTGTTGTCTCTGCAGCCTACGTCTATACCACCGTTGCGTGCACGTCCATGACTGCAGCTACCTCACCGATTAAAACATATCTCACCAGACAGCTTTATTCACAAAGGCAAACCCACATTCCCCGCCGATCCTACAGCTGAATGGAGAATTACTAGGCTTCCAGGGGTATTTAGACACAACATCTCAATCAAAAATCTAGCGCAATAATCTTCCTTGTTGTGGCAAAATGGATGCTGCTTGGAGCAATTTTCTCTTCCAGGTATGTTTGAGGTTTTTTGTTTCTATTCAAGTCTCGTCATGTTGTCTGTGCCATAGTCGTGTTTTCTTAGCATCTCTGATCATGCTCTGTGTCTATATTGATGATGGCCTTTTACTCGCCCCTCCAGAATACTCCCACCCAAAATACAGGGGATGGCAGTCTCCAATCAGAGCTGATGCCAGCGGAGAGTTCTCCTCAAACCCCACCCACAGACCACATAGCAGAGCAGCCTCCTTCCACCGTGGACACGGCGGCTCTCAATGAGGAGCCCATGCCAGGTGAGAGACAGTCAGTCCTCTGCATCCAACCTCAAACTAGTTATTTTTTATATACTTGTCTTTATTTGCACTATTTCAAGGCCTGACAACCCATGACAGAAGAGGATGACAATTCAAAGAAAAATATATGCCCCAACTACAGCCAAAACATGTCCTCTGCATCCAACAAAAATCAAACCAGCATCAATCAATATCAAAAAGGCAAAACAAAAGGGGTGGGCAAACGAATACCCGATATTACAAAATTCTACAAATCTTATTTCCAAAATTGCTTTAAAAAGATAGTTATGTGTTACATATTAATTGTTTTATGTATAGCCCTAAATCACAACAGTTGTTGTATTTATTTGATATGGAAACAAAAGTTACATTTTGTATCCATATCTGCCTCTAGTGTTTGCAAAACCATGCTAATTTTCAACACTTGTTTATAGATTGCTGTTAAACTGTTATTACACCCAACTTTTTTCTGTCATAAACAATTCTTGTTATTTGTTAAATAACAAACTAGTGAGAAAGAGCTACCACACAGTTAGCCGTTAGCCTGGAAGTGAGTAGTGGAGGCTTTGGGCTGAGAGATGATTAGCCTCTGTTGGATATAAAGATGTAATAAAGGCCCAAAATATTTCATGTCAAATTAGTGGGGGCTGCAGGAGCATACAAGACTCATTTCCTCAAATAATTCCTAAAATCCTGCAGCCACAACGACCCTTTGAGGACTGGTTTGACACCCCTGATGTAAAAGATTAAACCAAGCTATTTTAACAGTGAGGAACTAGATGGATTTTATTACAAAGTTACAAGTTTGTGGTTTGAAAGTTGGGTACCCAGCTTGAGACATCCCTAATCCTAATTTCAAACAATGACATGAAGAACTGCATAACTCAGTGATTTTGTGACAATCCGCTGTGTTTTTTTGTCTTGGTTCAGAAAAGCCAGTGTCCCGTCCTGCTCGTGTTTCCCACATCTGTGCCATTTGCAACAAGCAGTTCAAGAACAACTACAATCTGCGGCGGCACCAGTCAGTCCACACTGGGGTACGCATGAAGGACAGGGCCAGAGACCAGGCGGAGGGAGGGAAAGAGGCATTGGTGGGCCACGTAGCAGCGGTCATCCCGTCGGTGGTGGCGGTGGGGGGCGAAGGTGGGATGGAGAGAACCACAGTGCCCCTGTCCCTTCTACACCTCTCTGTACCTCCCACTCTCGACCCTCCCGACGTGCTGACGGGAGTCCAGCACCCCACCCTCATTAGTCAGGATGGTGAAGGGGTTGCCATTGCAAACGTAGTGGCCAATATTGTCCCCCATGCTCCGCCTCCTGCTGCTGTCGTCATGGCCACAGGGACGACAGTACAGGTGGGTCAGGGCTCTGTCTCAATGGCTGTTGTCACCCCAGAATCTCAACGCATGTCTTTAAAAAATCCTGCGCACCATCTGTGTCAGGCTAACGTGTGTATATATATATATCGCTTGTGCATGTCATCTGCTTTGTCGTAGAATCTGGGAGTTAAACTAAAAACTTGAGTGATTAAAGTCCCCTATACTGTTCTGCATGCTCTCTGTAACTACACTTTTCATCGCTGATTTTGTTTTAGCGTCTGATCTACGTGTATTACATTCTCAGCGTCCCTCAAATACAAACTCGAACCCGGTGAAGAAGAACCACGCCTGTGAGACCTGCGGGAAGGCGTTCCGCGACGTGTACCACCTGAACCGTCACCGGCTGTCGCACTCTGACGAAAAGCCGTTCTCCTGCCCCATCTGCCAGCAGCGATTCAAGAGGAAGGACCGCATGAGCCACCACGTGCGCTCCCATCAAGGCGGCGTGGAAAAGCCTTATGTCTGCCCCCAATGCAGCAAAGCCTTCTCCAGGCAAGTGGTCTGATTGAGTTTCCGTTATTGCTGTAATATGAAAGTGATAACGGGGCTTTTTCATGTGTCCCCGCAGGCCTGACCACCTCAACAGTCACGTTCGGCAGGTCCACTCCTCAGAGCGCCCTTTCAAATGCCCGGTATGTCCACGTAACCTGTCCCTGTGTGCTTTTGTGGCGTTATTATGGCGATTGTTGTATGAAAGAGAGGTTTGATTAAAGTCACTGTGCGCATCAACATCATACGTGTTTGTTTACAGACCTGTGAGTCGAGCTTCGCGACAAAAGACCGCCTGCGTGCACATATGATCCGCCACGAAGAGAAGGTTCCGTGTCACATATGTGGGAAGCTTCTCTCTGCGGCGTACATCACGGATCACATGAGAGTGCATAACCAGTCGCAGCACCACGTCTGCCACCTGTGCAACCGGAGTAAATTATCTTTTATTTCTAATTGTTCAGGAATATATGTTAGAAGTTTTAAATGAACTCTTACCCATTATTTCCCCGTCCAGGTTTTACGACTCTCACTTATCTCCGTGTCCACGCTCAAAAGCATCATGGCCAAGAGTGGAAGGACAGTCCTGGAGGTTTTGGTGGCACCACTTCAGGGGGAGTCCTTGTTTGCCACTTGTGTGGTGTTCATTGCAAGACCCCAACCCAGCTCCAAGGGCACATGGGCACCCACAACAACAACCAGGCAGCCCCCAGCACGGACAGCTCCAGTGTGGCCTCCAGCTCAGTGTCTCTCAGCAACATGGTGACTGCCCACCCGGTCTACGTCACTGGTGGGACTGTGGTGGACCTGCTGGTCACAGACTGCTCGAGTATCGCTGTATCTCAGTCACAGAGTTAGCAACATCGTCCCCTTTTCTCCTGAGCGTGGATCCTGTTAGTTTTCTGATGTTAGCTTCGGCAATGTTCGATTGATGTAAACGCTGAACTATGAGTCGTCATGGGATCCCCAAAAGAGTTTATACGTAGGCCAGTGAGGCCGTGTTGCCTTGGATGTCATGGAAATCATTTTAAGAAACACCATTTTATGTAGTCACTTGAGTTTGTGATAATGGTGATTTTAACTGGTAATTTTCAATCATGAATGTGCAAATAATACAGACATAAACAATTATGTTCTGATCTCTGAGGCAGTTACTGCTTCCAGAATGCAGAAGTTCTCTGTATCTTCAGTTTCCCTGGAGTTACATTCATTCAACAGTATCTTTAGCATTACAAACGCTGATAGGTCGATGGACTTAAAGCTCCGAAAAATGAGTTATATTTGGTCAAAAGTGAAAACTCAGCAAGAGCATCTAGACTAGAGCATCTGAATGGCCTGTTGTACAGACATGAGTGACCACTGTTCTATATGCATTGTGGGATGTACAGTTATTTTTTTAAAGGTACAGAGATATTTGAAAGTTGTTTCAGGGGATTTCACACCGTACAAATGCTGCTGTTTTATTCAGCACTGATCAGAAAACAGTCTTCCTCTCAATATTCGGCCATGAAAGGTGCTCTGTGGGGTTTTCTAGTGGAGGGTCCTTTGCTGCTTGTCTCACGAAAATGGATTTGCTCCGTTAGAAAGGTCCCAGATTGATCCAGGAGTTTTTGTTGTCAAAAATATGTCCTTGTTTGGCCAAAGTTTCAGTTTTCAATATTTTTGGGCAAAACAATAAAAACTGCCCCGCCCACTCAAAACCATATAGTGCACCTTTTATTAACGGTTTTGCTTCTGACATGGCAGCCTTGGCATCTAAAACTACCTTTGCATGCAATCGAGCTAATGCAGCCGTGGCACTCATTTTAAAAAAAATAATGCAATTTTTAAAGGCTGTCATTGGAGAAAATATGTATTTAAAATGACAGCTGTTCATTTGATTGTACTTGTTGCCATAGTCTTCTTTTCTTGTGTACCAGTCACATTATTGTAATTATGGATTTGATTTGATATTATACCCTGTGTATTGGGTGTTCTTTTAAATGTTTGAATCACCGTCACAATTTTGTTCTTTGGATTTTACTGTGAGTTCTGTTTGTCAGAGTGAAGGACAGTTTGAAACGGTAGTACTGGGTAAGACCGCATCAAGTTGTCTAAAAATCCTGGTTTTGTACTGGAGTGCTTTAGTGCTATTATTTAGCTGTGTTCATGTTTTCCCTTCTTCCATTTATAGAGTTATTTCTTTATAATTCTTCTGATATCTTTCCTGTTAAATTCCTTGTTGTATTTTGAATTAACTTTAGTGATACAATATAGGGTTACATTAATGAAAACAATACCTCTTTGATTCTGTACAGCTATCGCAAATCTTTCTGCCTTATTGTAATCTGCAACCTTTGAATTTATTAATGAAAGATCAAGTTAGTCATTAATCCATTAAGATTATCAATGGGATGTACTGTATTTATATTTATATTTTTGTATTTCTCAACAGTATGCATGTCTAAAGGGTATAGTTAGAAAAAAATGCAACAATTTAAAATAGTCCTATTGTTTTGTAGATAAAGTAGATCTCATGTTATTTTGTAATTTGGACAATTTAAAGTAAAGCAAGGAAATGGCCAATGTTAATGTGGTATTGTTGTTATTTTAAATAGCGAGTTGTAAAGAACAGTAGGGGCGACAGTAGCTCAGTTGGTAGAGCATTGGCCTTAAGCCCAGAAGGCCGTGGGGTTCAATTCCCACCTCTGCACCTTCTCCACCGACTCCCACTGATGACTGCTGTCGTTGTGTCCTTGGGCAAGACACTTAACCCCACTTAGCAGCCGTCCTCCTGTGGACTCACCACCTGCAGAGGGTCAGTGAGGGGCTGGTGCTATGAGACTTGGGTGGCATCTCTGACTGCCACCCCCCTGACCCAGAAATGAATTAAAGGGAAGAAAATGGATGGATGGAGTTGTAAAGAAGAATAGGTCCTATAAAGTACCTAACATGAGACAAAAGACCTTCTCTACAGTTTAATTGAACTGGTTTTCACAGCACGCTGAGGTGACAGGTGCAGTATTTAGATGCTTCTTCCTTCAGTAGTTTGGAGAGTGGCAGTGGTTTATTTTGTACTTGTTTGGAGGAAATGCAGCCGCAGAAACAGGGAAGTCCTGGAGCAGTGCAGCAGTGATGACACCGCGGCTGGAGGAAGCAGCTGTCGCAGCGCAGTGTTAGGAGGAGACCCAGGAGAGGAGCCGCATCTGTGCCCAGAGGACATGGCATAACGCCTGGACGCTGCACACGCTTTGGACACTGAGCCAAACTCTACATTGACTTGTTAGAAACGTGTGCGGTGCGTGTCCTCTGCAGATCCACAGAGCAGTAGATCTGCTGCATGCTAGCGTTAGCCGTTAGCCGTTAGCCGTTAGCTCGTGCTACTCTGCAGATTTTGAGGCGGTCACATAAACATGCGGAGCATCGAGGCAGAGAGCCCCGGGACATCTTTAACTACGTCCTGTGGCTGGATCAGGTTTTCCTCTGGCCGCTGACTTGATTTTCCAGAGGCTCTGTGTAAGTTTGTTTTGGACATTTTCCTTTCAGAGTATTTTGCTGAGATGTAGTGTTTTCTCAAGTTCGCTAACGACATGATCCGTTAGCTGCTGTGCTACATGCTATAAACAAATAGGCTAACACCGAAGTGTCAGCGCTGAGGGTTTTGTGTAACCTGCTCCTGCCGCCCTTTTGTATCGCATGTATACACTCTATTAAAGAGTCAATGGGTTTTACTGTTGGACATTACAGATCGTGAATGGTCTTTGACACAAACGTTTATTTAACGTTTAACCGCTTTCAACGCTCACGTGTTGAAACATTTTAGTTTCAGCCGTGTTTGGATCTGCACCAGGATAGAATACTTGTTTTTGTTTTATCATTTGTTTAGTCCAAGACATAAACACACTAAATATAGTTAACTACAGCTCATCAGAGTATAGTGTAAATGATTATAATTTACCTTTATGGTTTTATAGTTATGTTTTTTTAAATGAAACTGATCATCTTCTTTTTCATGTTTGTGAAAGCAGACTATGTACAATAATGTGGGTCTGGTCTCTGTTCAAGGTGTCAATATATTTGCTCCTTCAGTGCAACTATGTACACACACATCTAATAGGCATAAACATAAATGAGTCAGCTGCTTGTAATGTGTCTGCAGTGCACAAAACCACATTCTACAGCAATTTTGTTTTCCTTGAACCTAATGGCCAATGTGGTCCTTTACAAAGGACTCTCTAATATCATCAGATGATGTAACCTTCCCATGAAATGTTCCATTTTGTACACAGCTAGTCTTTGAACCTGTTTTATCTTTAAGAGCCATGCATTTAGTGGGCCACATTTCTTGCTGAGCTCACCCAACCTGGGACAGATAGGATGCCATTGAGTGATAATCAATAAGGCTTGTGTATATGGGTTATTTTTTCACAGAAAAGGCAGAGCTTCGGATTTTAACAATCAGAAAACCCACCACACTTGCTTCCCCGCCGTCTGACCTCAGGCACCATGCTGGCCGTCCTAGCTGCAGGCTCTGTGTTTTTCCCAGGACTGTTCCTTCTGTCTAAACAATGCCTAAAGTCATTCCCCATGCTGAGATGGAGCGAAAGAGATGCTGTTATTGTTTCAGCTCGGTAAGACATGAGGAATGGTTGAAGCAGAATCTGTTCAAACTCCTTTTGTCAACTGGGTTTGTTTTTCTTTCATTGTGTTTGTAGGTTGGTCTCCTCGGTGCAGGCAGTTATGGCTTCATCAGCTGGGTACATCATTGCTTCGTCTTGTGCAGACATCATAGAAGACCAGTGAGTTCCGTTCCAGAACTTTGTATAACAGCAGATTTGGAAAAGACTTGGATAAAACAATAAACTTTGTTTTTCCACAGGCACTGGTTGACAAGCACTTACATCATGTTTGCAGTTCCCTACTTTGTGTATGACATCTACGCTATGTTCATGTGCTACTGGTATAAGATCCAAGTCAAAGGCCACGAGGAGGAGGCCGCCCCGCGCTCCATGCGCTCTGTGCTGGCCAGTTATCTGCACCGGGAGTTCCTCATGGTGTTGCACCATGTTGTCATGGTCACAGTCTGCTTCCCCGTTTCTGTGGTAACAATCTCTCATGTTTGAGACTTTAGATCTGTAATTTTCCCTTGAGGATTACGTTTGAAGATTATAGAGCTTTTATTTGAGTGTTTGTTTTGGGCTTTTTTCTGTAGTTTTGGCGGCAAGGAAGGGGAGATTACTTCCAGGGTGTAATGTTCATGGCTGAGCTCAGCACTCCATCTGTCTGCTTGGGAAAAATACTTATCCAGGTGAGTAATACACAAGTCTAGTTTTTTCTTGGGCATGATGGGTGATTGTGTACTGTGCTTCTTTCTTTACTTTTGTATTTTGATTAATTTGACAAACCTTTTTATGCAGCGTTTTCATATATACTTAAACGGCAACAACATAACTGGTAAATACTAAGTAGTATAGATAGGTCAGCTGTGAGTGTGGCTAAAAGTCATCGCTGTTTAATGCCTATCCCCTCTAAAGCTTTCACAGCTGTTTGTCTCTGAATATAGCCTGTAGTATTTAGGTGGGATGCTCAGCAGATTCAATATCAGTTTGCCCCCTTCCTCTGTTGCCCTTCTCCCTCTGACCCTGGAGACGTGTAGCAGTGACATAATCATTAACAACATTAAAACGTCGAACACCATCTCTGGAGACGGTGTTCGAGAAACCACTGTCTTTGACTGAGGCACATTACAATAACCAAATGTTTGCAGATTCACATTCATAATTCTGGTTTGTAGCAGAGATGTTTTATGAAACCTCTGATGTCAAAATTGCTTTGTCATCATTGATTAAACGGTCAAATCATGTGCCAACCATGGGTCTTTGGGAATTGCATATCTTGAAAAAAAATAGGACTCATTCAAGGCCCTAGAGTTCTAACCACTGTATATGTAGCCTGATCCAAACCTGCACTATTTTTTATTCTCCTCACAGCTTTGTCAGAGAGCTCAGTACATTTGATGTTGTATAAACTTGGTTTTATGCACTTTCTTCTGGATAGAACATGTTGAAAGTTAAGTTTAAAATATTTGCTTTAACACTAAATGAATCCAATGCATTTTGTCCATATCTCATGAATTAAAATTAAACTATTGGTCAATGGATGTGTCACAATAATTATAGACATGAAGGATTTGGTATGATTTTATATCTTTCTAAAATACTTGATAATACTAGAAAATATGCTCAATCATTTGATGCTAGAGCAATCCTAAATGCTTCAGTGGCTCCTTGTGGTAGTTTGTAGCTACATTAGTGTTAACATTTGTGTTTGCCTGGTATAAGTGTATATTGACAAATGTGATTTAACAATGTTAGCTTTCAACAAACTACTGCTTGCCTCTTTTCCTTCCTGTCTCTCGTCTTCTTGGTTGTTTCTGCTCTCAGTATAAACAACAACATACTCTCCTGCACAAAGTGAATGGGGCTCTAATGCTGATCACTTTTTTCATCTGTCGAGTCCTCCTCTTCCCTTACCTCTACTACGTTTATGGAAGGTACGTCCTGACGCCGCTTCTACCACGCAGTATTCAGGCAGATTCAAGTCAGTACTTTCTACTCAGCAGCAACGTTACCAATGTCAATACCTGGAAAATACAGCAGATCTGGAAGATATTAACTTCTGAACTGTGAATAACGGCGACCAGTTTTATTGCATTTTAAAGAATTGTTTTTCCTAGATGCACTTTAGTAAATGTTTGTAATGTACACTTCAGTTCCATCAGAACCATGTGTACATACGTCAGAACATGATGCAGGGCGAGCACAGAGATGACGTCATACGGTGCTCTAACGTAACACGTAAAAAGCAGATTAATCACTCTTTGCATCTTTCTTGTCATGACTTTTGGGTCTGGTCTTTTCATTACTTTAACTATACTACACTTGCTCATGTTGCAATGTTCTACAGTGATTCCACTGTGATGTTCAGAACACTGCAGAACATGGAAACTCTTGATGAACTGAACTGTCTGATGTGCATTGGTAGAAACAGGCTTTTCTCTCTTTCGCTGTATTTTGTCCATTATTGTATTTGTGGATGTTTGGTTTGACACAGTCTTGCTCATTGGTTTCAGGTACGCGTCCATCCCGTTCTATATGGTGCCGCTGACGGTGCCGTGGCACTGTAACCTCGGTGCTGCTCTGCTTATGGCGCCTCAGCTCTACTGGTTCTCGCTCATTTGCAGGGGTGCCCTGCGATTATTTACAAGAACCTCACGCTCAATACCTCCTCGGACATCGGCTGAACCTAAAGAACAACAGAGAAAAGATGGCTCCGATCTGCCTCAGCCGGCGAATGGCTACAGCACGCAACCCACAGAGCCTGAGCTAACCACTCACTGAGGGGGGAGGCGGGGCTGAGGTGAATGTACCAATGAGTATGTAACAGGAAGGAGGTTTAAAGGCAAAGTTAGACATGAAATAAGTAGCATATAACGCTACCAGCTCTTGCCTGTTGTAGTCCTGAAGTCATTTTGGCCAGTCGTCTCAGACATTCAGATTTCTGGCCATCAGTGACTTCAGCTTGAAAGATTATAATCAAAAGGCATTGTGCACTCAGTATTTAAAGATGTCATCGGGCACTGTGAATGAAAGGACATGCACTGACCGAAGAGGAACCCCTGTATAGCAAGAATAGGTGGCTATTTCCCTCATGTAGAACAAATGAATCCTCTGCCGTAAGGTGTAGAAAGAGCAGGATGATAGGAATGTATTATACTGTATGTTAGTACATTTGCTGTAGATGGAAGGCCTCATTCAAATTAGTATTGAATCAGCCCTTCAAAAAAAAAAAAAAAATAAAAAAAAAAAAACCCTCCAGCTAAGCAGTATTTTGACTTGTTAGTGTTTATTATCTGTATCCTCAATGTAGTCACCGTCACTCTTAACACAATGTAAGCAACTTGCAGACTGACTCATCAATAGAAGGGAATATTCTCATAAGACTGTATTCTGCTGCCTTATCCCTTTTAACATTTTTAACCTTTCTTTATATTTATTTATTTATTTGTTATCCTGATGAGAGACAAAAGGAAGGACACACACACTGGAAAATGTGACTGTGTACATAGCTGATGTAAAATTGTCCCCATTTCCATGTCATGTTGTTTTCCTGTTGATGCATTTTACGTTCGGACGATGTTTGACCGATGTTTGACCCTTCAGTTTTACCAGTGTTTGCCAATTCCAGTTATTCACCTTTTTTATTGCGTCAGTGTAGATACAACTCCATTCCGATTACTGGCATCATAATGTTCTGCATTTAAATAAAGCATGTGGTGCACAGTAGCAGCAGTTCATGTTTGTTTTAGGTTTAGTGCTGTAGTTGAAACATTTGACATTAGCATTTTTTGAGAACATGAATTATTCCACGTTGAAGGGACACAAAACCAGGACAGTTTTACTTGACATGCAGCACATTTGTTCAATTCATTGTCAATTATTTTAATGTAGCTCAATGAATTTCAACTACTAACATACCTTTGATTCTGTATTCTGCCATGTGCTCAGAGCCGTGACCCAGCCACCTGTTTTGTGAATGCACTTGATTACTTGTTTTGGGTTCGTTTGAAGCAGCTACACTGTCCTGCAAATGGAGGAAATATTAAAGCTGAGCTGTGTGCCAAAACCCCGACTGCTGTGTGTAGAACAGAGGATATACTTTCCCCTCTTCATGATACAAAACATACTGCTTTTGGCCAATACAAAAAAAATCAACGGATGTACTATATATTCCACAAAATGCTTGTTATTTATTTGTACGTATTTATTTATTTATTTGGTTTGTGGTTTGAATGCATATTTATGCATACATATATACTCTATGCTTCTGGGCCTTGTGTGAAGGCTGTATTGTTACTCAAACTTAGCAAAAATATACTTCTGTCCTGACCATGCCTGTGTCGTTTTTTTATTCCGTGTCGATCAGAGATGGTCTGTGTATCATAGTATACAACACACGAACACTAGAGGGAGCTAGAATTAATTACAGCCTATATTACAGATCCATGATTACAGCTAGGTACAAATTCCTCGGGGAATAGAATAAATAACATTTTCATGAAAAAGGTTTTATTTAAAGCAGTAATTGTCATGATACAAAACACATAAAAGTCAGTTAATTTAGTATCTTCTCTGCCTTGGGGAGAAGATGGTATTGGGGTTGCTGTCTCGCTCTCTCTCCTTATCTCGTTCTTTCTGCGAGTTGGGAGACAGTGCTTCTTCCAGTTTTTTCTCACATTTGAAGAGATCTCGTCCAGTGCGCATTATCTGCTGTTCTATCTTTCGATGTCGCTTCATGTCTGATAACACTTTATCCAACCTGGCTTCTCGCTTCACAGACGAGCGCGCTGACGACCCTTAAATACACAGATAGTTTGGTCATTCAATATTAACCTTCGTCATTTCAACCGCTATGACACGATTCAGAGTACATTACAACAAAGCATAATAGAAAATATATATCTGTTTTTTTACCTTTTGATAACTCCAATATAAATACAGTTAAATGGTTCTAATAAACACCTAGAATCTTATCACATTTCTGAATATAAACACAGTAAGAAAGATGTGAAACCTGGAGTTCTGCGTCTGTTCATGAAGGCATTTTTTGGTGTTGACTTTAACTGCTCCTCATCAAAATCAAATTCAGTTGGAGTCGGTGGCCTAAAAATGAGTTCAAATGTTAGGTTCCCAGTGACACCACAAAGTTACAAAGATGAAGTAGAAATATGACACAGACTTGCGTTCTCGTTCTTCCCTTTCTCTCTCCTTTGCCGTTTCGTCCTCGTCGTCTCTCTCTGGAGAAGGCGTCCGTTCAGGTGTTGGTGGCCGTCTGGCAAGAGGCACAAAATTCATTTCTAGCATTTCTCCTTTGGCGAGGAGCTCATAAAGTCTCTTGATTTCTGATGGAGGAGGCATCCAGTTTTTAGGATCTTCAATGTCGTCATCACTATAAGCAAGTTCCCATGCATCTGCATCTTCAGTGGACTTCTGTGCATCTGTACAGTCCACTTGGGCATCATCCTTCCTGGCCCCATCTAAAGCAAAGGTGTCTTCATCTGGGGAGGTAAAACAAGGGAGAATACTTGAAACAATAATATTTTAGACTAGTTAGACAGTACATAGAAGTTATGCCTTAAGACTTCACAACTAAAAGGAGCAGATGTCAAATGAGTGGAGGTGACTTCTATACCTTTCTCTTTGGGGTGTGTATCTTCCTCCAGGACTGATTCTTTTTCCACGTCTGCATCCTCCTCTTTAATGTCTCTTGCTTGCTCGCTATCCTTTACGCCGAGGGCTTCAATGCCATCTCTCACTGTCGACTCAATAGCCTCAGCTTGCATCATTTTGTTGAACACTAAAACCATACAGACCATTTCAGAATAACATACTTATATGACCTGTGGGATTAACACATGGAATCATTCTCTGAATTCTCGCGTACAATAGTTGTTTTCATAGACATAAAAAGTTGTTATACGAATGAACACGCTTTAGGGCGCATGGAGATTAAGCTACGCTTTCATAGCTTTGCAAAGCTATTTCCAAGACTGACTTGATACTAGTTTTAGCTAGCTGATCATGAAATAGATAAAATAATCACCTGATTTCTGCTCTCACTTCTGTAATAAAGTACAAAATAAAAGTATATTTTCCACGCAATATGAGAAGCAAATGCATGAGTCTAGTTACATATAATAAACGATATTGCGAAGATATAAACAAAGCGCCATTTTGGAAGGGGAAGAGCAACCCGGAGCCAGTGACGCTCAGCCCAGGACGCAACATGGCCCTCGTGTATAAAGCATCTGGATACAGTTCTACAAGGCAACAGACCCACCGAGGGGGATGCTTTAGTTTACTGATCTGCGTCAGCTCGAACTTCCGGGGCGGTCCACGTCTACTGATAGATAAACATTAACGTCACGTTTTAACTAATTAATTCGCAACGCATGTAGCTTTAAATTAAAGCTGCAAGGTCAATTAATTTTTTAGTATTTTATTTGAAGCCACAATCAAGAAATGAGGAGGAAATGAAGTCGGGCTATCAGCGGCTTCTGATTGGTTAAAAGCTGTTTCCGGTCGCTGTGCTCCACGTTTGAATAAGTTTTCCGTTAGAGTCGTCGCCATCAAACAGTTCGCAATGTTTACATCGTAGGAAACCTCAGGAACAAGAAAAGTTCATTCAACATTCGGTAAGATACTACATATGCGTTGACCGCTTTGTTTTAGTCACTCAGCTAACGTTCCATGATTCGCTAACCTTTAGCGTCATACTTTAAGCTAATACAAGTTGACTTGAACAAGAACAGGATCTGTCGCCAGCTCAGCTGCGGACACCGAACATCCTCGTTATTCTTCTGATTATTGTTATCTTTACTTCATGGATGTGTTTTGTTTGTCCTTTGTCTAAAAACAGGCCTCAGCTTTAGAGAAGTGAACCATGGCTCAGCGCGTGCCTGTGTCCGATGGAAGCTCAAAGAAGACGTCGCGGGTGCGTGTGGCGGTCCGCCTGAGGCCGTACATGGCGAAGGCCGAGGACAAGGATGAAGGCCCCTGTGTGAGAGGCCTCGACTCACAGAATCTGGAAATCATTAACTGGAGAAACGCCACCGAAACCGTCAAATACCAGTACGCCTTTTGTCTATTGTATGACTGCTGTACGAGGAGATACGTACAAAAAAGGACCAGCGTTCTCTGTCAATGTTTTCTTTTCAACCTAATGGTGATCCATGGTCTGAGATAATAACTCTTTAAAGATGGAGAGTTCCTCGCTTTGAAATATACAGATAAACTGTAATAAAAACCACGTCAGTCGTGCTTGACCCGGGGCAACTTTCATTGTAGGATTTGTGAAGTCCGGCCTGTTAAATCCTCATCAGATATCTCAGCACTAGTGGTGGTGTGTAATAGGTCAGTGGCGACTCGGTTTAGATGAGTTCGAAAAGTGTATGGGGCTGAGCCATCTGGGGAAAAGTCACTATTTACGCCTCAAAACCATATTAGTGCAACATTCCATTCCCCTGCATAATATCAGTTTCCACTTACGAGAATGTATGGAAGCTAAAACATGTGCTTTTTGGCTTTCATCAAATGACTTTAATGGTTATACACAACACTGAATCTGTTTGTTCACCTGCAATTGGTAGATTTACAATGATCCTAAAATTAGATTATAAATGACCGTCTTAATTTTTTTGTTTTTCTCAAGTAACCTAGGACTGCCCTACATTGCACAATTACAACACATTTTTTTACAAACTTTTTTTTAATTCAAACACAATTGTACTGGTACAATGGACATAATATTATGACTGTTTTCCTGTCTTTTTAGTTTTGACGTTTTTCATGGAGAGAAGACAACCCAACAGGAAGTGTTCCTCTCCTCAGTGAAACCAATTCTCCCACATATACTAGTTGGACAGAATGCCAGCGTTTTTGCATATGGACCAACAGGAGCAGGTGGGTCTCCCATTTCCTACACACGGCACCATTTTTAACCACTTAACTTTTCAAACAGACTTTTATTGAAGATTTCCACTAAAGCTAAGTGCACGTTTCTCCTTTATTCATCAGGTAAAACCCACACAATGCTGGGCAGCTCGGAACAGCCTGGAGTGATCCCCAGAGCTGTTCGTGAGGTTTTTAAGTTAGTCCAGTCAAAGCGTGAGCAAGATGAATGGGACTTCAGTATTGGAATGTCCTACTTGGAGATCTACAATGAAAAGGTGAAGGGATTGGTATTTGATAAGTCTTCATTTTATATTGGTTCCTTTATTGATCAATGTTTGTTGAATGTCTCAAGGTATTGGACCTTTTATCACCAAACAGCCAAGACCTTCCAATACGAGAAGACAAGGACAAGAACATCCTCATTCCGGGCCTCACGTACACCACAGTCACGTCATTCGCCGACTTTGATAAACACTTTGTTCCTGCGACTCTTAATCGCACAACCGCATCGACCAAGTTAAACCATCGCTCCAGTCGTAGCCATGCCATCCTCCTCATTAAGGTATGTCAGTCACATGCTCTGTAGATTAAGGATTTTAATAACTTTTGTCTTATAACTGACATCAAATGTCTTTAGGTCAAATAATGTTAGTCAAATGTGAAGATTCTTGCATGATCCATATCCATTAAATCTTTGCGGGTTACGATTTTGGATTGAGAGCGATTTGGCCGAGAGAGAAATGTCTGAGGGATCTGTTGTAGATGTAGCAGAGGTGAAAGTACCTCTGAAGCATGATCAGCCGTGCTCCACTGAGACCAACGTTTGTCCTTGTGCCAATAGTCTGCATGACTCTCTGAAGGACAGGGGTAGAAATGGCAACATTTATAATGCATTTTTTGAGAATATAAAAATCTGGTCTGTTCCTTTTTGGGTTTAATAAAGTACATCTCCCTCTATACAGCAAATAGTGTGACTGTACCAAGCTGTTTTGATACCAGGAAGTGTTGAATGGATTTTATAACATTTTTGAGGTTTGAAAATTGGGTACACCACCTTTTAACTGTTGCTGTGTGTGTAATATTGGAACAGCATCTTAAACAGGTCGCAGCCTGGTGCAGTAGGCTGGGATTTGGTAGCTGGTGCTGACACTAACACTCCTCTGCAACAATCTCACCTGCCGCTCCATGGTGTTTGGGACCACACTAGAGGAGAACACTAGAACAAAGAATGTCATTCTAGAACATTTGATACATGTGATTAATAATTATCAATTCAAATGATATTTTTATCTTTTTGAATGATGAGGTGGTGAGAACGCAGCGTGCTCAACCTCAAAGACAACAGACCGGAAAGCTGTACTTGGTGGACCTGGCGGGCTCAGAGGACAACCGCCGCACTGGCAACCAGGGCATCCGTCTGAAGGAGAGTGGCGCCATCAACCTGTCTCTCTTCACTCTGAGCAAAGTGGTGGACTCCCTGAACTCTGGCACCTCGGGCCGTGTGCCGTACAGAGACAGTAAACTGACCCGCCTCCTGCAGGACTCTCTGGGCGGCTCGGCTCACTCTGTCATGATCACGAACATCGCCCCGGAGTACACCTACTATTTCGACACTTTCAGTGCTTTGAACTTTGCTGCAAAGTCCAAACTTATTGTGAATAAGCCGTTCACCCGAGAAACTGTGTCAACGGGCAATGTGCAGGGTGAGTACAGATGCTGATGGTACATCCTATTGATCCTATTGATCCTGGTGACGTTGTGCTGTTACTTTTATGTATAAGTATGTTCTTTATGTAGATTGTGTACAACGTCTGAACAAATATTCTGAATGTTGGCAAAAGGATCACAAGAATGTTGCTCTATTTAAGAATAATGAAATATGACAAAGATTGTGGTGCAAGTTCAAAGTGTGAAAAAAAACAAAAAACAACAGGTTTTCCACTGATCAGCTATAACTAAGTATAACCCTCACATTTATCCAGATTCTAAATGGCCTCAAATGTTTCCAAACTGCCTTTATGGGAAAAAAACATGGACATTAAAGGTGCGTCACTGTTTGATGAAGACAAGCGTCTGCGTCTGGACAGAAGCGTCTGCTTTGGTCGAACTGCGATGGTGATGTCACATTGTCTCTACACGGATTTAAGCAGGAACTCTTTACAAAGGACTCAACCCACATTAATCCTGTGTTATTTACCTGTTCTCGCAAATATTCAGTGTAATTCATTAGTCTGTGTCGGGCGTGTCCAAACTAAGGCCTGTGGCGTCTGCTGTGAACACAAATGACTGGCAACACTGGCACGTTATACCTCATTGTAAAGCTCAGAGCCTCTAGAACTCAGCCTTTTACTTTTTGTATTTACTGACATGCTTTTTTTATTGTCACACCATTCCATACATGGTGCTAATGTCGCTGGTGAGATGGTAACATTTATCATTCAACCAACTTCAGCTCAGCCAAACGTGAATCAATGCAGACCCGTCAAACACCTCTAATCCAGTCAAAACAATTTACAATCAGGGCTGTGGGCCACTTGACAGATCTGATGTGAAGTGGCCCTATAAATAATGTTTGGACACCCCCACATGCTTCTCTCAATCCACATCAATGCTCATCGTCAGTTTTCCAAAAACCGCCGCTATAATTGTAGAAACGAGGGACCGCTGTTGGAAATAAGTGAATGTTGACAATATTTAATGTGAGTGATTCTCTTTCGGGCTTTCCTGTCATTCTGCTGCGTTACTGGCTCCAACTCCACTCTCTTCCCAAAATGGAGATGGCTCACTATAATGAATGTTTAATTTCCCTTCTGTCCCGATCTCCAGCGAAGCGAACCAGAGACGACCAAGAGGCATGCAGCGCTGGTCCAGAGCCACAGAAGAAAAAGCAGAAGGAGGGGAGAAAAGCAGAGTCCTCTCACTCTTCTACACACAGTCACAGGTTAATATCAGGCTGAGTGATGGACTCTGGGTAATATGTGGTGAATGTGAACAATGTAGGGTCTGTATCGTATAGTTTTGTCCTTTTGTGTTGACCTCGGTGAGATTAAATTTGACCTAGATATGTTTAGATCTTAAATATTTGGGACAAGGCATTTGAATACAGCCCCAATGTAAAGCATAGTATTCATCACTTTACGTTTCTTTCCCCAGCCCTGAGGAGCCGTCGGTGATGGACAGACTTATTGCCTTGGAGAAACTTATCATGAATTGCAAAGACAAGGACAGACTCGATATCCTTAAAGATGTGGCCCAGTCTCGCAAAGAAATCCAGGTGAAATGGAACGACCTCGAGGAGATGGTTTAAAGAGGAAATATTATGCTTTTTCGGGTTCTTTTGTTCTGAGGAAGGCTTGCAGCTGAAACATCACCTGCCTTGGGGGACGTGTCATTTATCAGCTTGGACATAATAGTGATTCAAAATGACATTCACACATTGTTGCATCGGTAAAATAGCCTAACCCTGTTCTATGTGTTGAATGTCACTGTATTTTGATGAGGAAACAGAGGCTACTTTGCAATAGATCCTAAACTATAAGGAAATATTCTCTAATGCTACGTTGCATCTCGTTCGCAGGAGCTGAAGCAGAAACAACGAGAGTTTGAGAGCAAAGCGGTCTTCAGTCGACTGAACGGAGAAGGCTCTGGAATAAGTCCACAGTCGAGCTTTAAGAACAACATTGTACCTCTTCAAAGAAAACCTTTAGTGGACTCCAAAACCATTAAACAGAAGGCTGTGGTGCAGCCGTTACAAGGTCAGTAGAACCTGGGGGTGTCTATATACATGTTACTCTCAGGGGCCTTTCTACACTGTATAAAAAGTGGCTCCAAAAATCAAGAAAAAAATGGATATTAGAGCAAATGTTTCAAGCAAAATTTATCTGCCCATAATTCCATCATCTCAGAAAGTCATGGGTTATAATGTTTTGTGTGGAGTTGGAATGTTGTTGCCACAGTCACTGGTCATTCAACCCCTTTTCAAACCCATGTACTTTTTGTGTTTTTTCTATGTTTACATTGAGACATGTAAAAAATGTGTTGTGCAGGTTCAAACTAATTTAATCAGTACTTTGTTACCGGAGTTTGCCCCTTCACCGTCACTCACCACGATGACTCTGGTAACTGTAGAGGCACCATCAGCTCTGACACCCATCACTCACCAGGACTGATGATGGGTGTCAAAGGAGCGGATGGTGCCGCTCTGCAGTTACCCGTGAAACTAATGGGGTTTCCTCATTCTTAATATGAACAATACAAGTGCAATTATACCTAGTGTTAATTATCTATGATCTTAAAAACTAGGTCCTGAGATGACCTGAGTGCTATTTTTTTATTCTGCTGTAATGTGCTTTTGATGACATTGAAATCTCCCCACAGTGGGAAGAATGACCGTTGCTCATCAAACCGTACTTTTTGATGTTTCAGTTTCCCAGCTCCAGCCTCTGCAGCAGCTGGCGGTGGTAAAAAAGCAGTCGGTGTGTGTCAAGAAGGAGCGAAAACCCTCAGACATGCCCGAGGTCTGTCACCTTTTCAAACTACCCTCTTCTCTATTGTCACACTCACACGTCTCGGCTGTAGCTAACCCTCATGTCTCCCTCAAAGCCACTGGACGGAAAAGAGAACATCCTGGAGAAGGGCTGGGAGTCCCACTTGGACGTGAGCGTCTTGGAACTCTCCCGAAAGAAAATCCTGAACATCCTCAACAGCGGGTCCCTCAAAGAGCTCAAAAGTCTGCAGCAGATCGGAGACAAAAAGGGAAAGCTCATTCTTGGCTGGAGAGAGATCCACGGAGATTTCACCAAGGTGCATTTGTGTGATATTTGCATGTTCTGGGTCTGATTTGTATCATTGCAATTTACATAGTGTGTTGTCGTGTTGTAGGTGGAAGACTTGGGGAAAGTTGAAGGCATGACGGAAAAGAGGTTTGCATCGTTTATGAAGGTATATCTACAACCGCTCTGTATTGGGGGGGGGGGGGGGGGGGGGGGCAGATGTATGCAGCTAAAATCATGTCTTCCAGAAAATGTGAGACAGGCTTCTTCTCGGACAATGTTTAAACCCAGTTCTGTTTAGCTGCACACAACTGAGGGATTTTATCTTCACTATTTTTAATGCACTGTGATATTTTTTTTATGTTTTTAAATTGTATTGTTTCTCTGTCGTTGCCTTGTGTATATGAACTGTGCTACACAAAAAACGTGTCTCTGTTTGTTTACCATCAGTGCCACATGTAACAGTCTCTTTTGCTTTTCAGGCAAACATCCTCAGCGCCATGGGAAAATGATCGTTTTTTTACTGAATATTTTTTAATGGTTTTTAATGGTTGTATATTTTTCGTGCGGATTTTATTGTTTCATGCATTTTCCTGTCGATGGCGCCTTGTATCTTTTCAGTAAACTTGCTGTGGTACACACTTTGTCTCGTCTCTTGGTTATTACAAATACATTTCTGGATGTATGTGTGAAATTGTCACAGGTGCCCTCTGTCTCTGCGTTTGTTTTTAGTGTTTGTTATTGTTATGATCTCACTGGACATACTGTAGATCTGCCACATGCACCAGAGCTCCTGAGGACAGCGGGTGGAGGTGAGAGCGCCCTCCCCCCTCTGTCCCATCACACACGTCTCGTAGATTTCACTTTTCATTTCGCCCAGCCCTCCTCCTCTTCCTCACTCTTCCTCACTCTCACACACACGGCCACCCGGAGACTCCCATCTCTTCTGCTGCTTCGTGAACCAGTCTCCTCCTCACCACCACCATCACAACAAAAGCAACCCCGAGCCCAGGCATCCTTCTCCCGCCGAACAAAAGACCCGTCCACCGCTGAAGCTGTCGAGGAAGATGCTTCGCCTTTGAGCCAAGATTTATTCATTGGAGATTTGCGCCATGAGACGAGAGATGCTCTGGTGGCAGTGGTGAAAAGAATCGGGATCGCAAAGGTCAGTGTGTTTTCAGCATCAGGACCACGCACTAGGACGCGATCGTTACGTGCAACAATGTATATATGCTTCATGGATCGCAACGTATTGTTTTTTGTTTATATTACTAAAAAAATGGGGTTTTCTGCATAATGCGCTGGTTTGATGGGATGTCACGTTCAGCGGATCAACCATGGGCTCATTAAGAACCAGCAGCTTTGTGACCATCAGAGCCTGTCCGACCTGTATTCTCACCATATTGTTCCAGGCACGACGACCTGCCAGCCACCGTACGCCTGTTTTCCCTGTGTACACACTCATAATGCTCTTTTATTTACACACCTGCAAAGAGTGACCACGTTTTTGTAAAGAATCTGGCCCCAGCTGCATGGCGTTATTGTAAATCAGTCTGGGCGAAATGATTGTGTTTTTGTTTACACTGAGACAGAGACTAATGGATCTTATTGTGTGTCCATTTTACATTTATGGACATGAAGCCATTGGTCCATAAGGAGCAGATTACCAATGTGTTATCATTGCATTTGTGTTTTGATTTTCTGATCTGTGTTGGCGAATTCAAATAATTTGTTGGTGTATAGGATTTTCCCAGATTTGAGGAAAGAACCGCTCTCTCCCCCTGTTTTGAACCAAACTGGTCTTATTTGACGAGCACATACCAGATTGACAATTGTGAGGACCAATAGTCTTGATGATCCACCCGGAAGTTGAAAATCCTTCATCTTTTTTTTTTTTTTTTTTTTTTTACGGTACACTGTGTAGTTTTTACTCCCATCTACAGTTGAGATCACATATTGTTATTTACGTTACTATGGTAGCTTCGCAGGACAATGTCGTCTTTGACAGTGGTCTCCAACTCTCGCTCAAACACATTTTTGTCCCTTAACCACCGTTTCAAGATGGCGCATCGACATGTAGAGTCTTCCAGCTCTCATGGACATTTATAAGTCAAATTCTAAGCCTTTGACAACAATTTAAAAACATAATGGAGATTAATATTCTTTTAAAGGTCACATTTGTCATTGGTTAACATGTTTTTTCATTTGGGGCCACTGTAAAAATTGCACAGATCTTTAAGACTGTCAGAGCCATGTCAAGTAAACCTTCCATTTGAATGTCCTCCATCCAGGTGCAGAGATTAGAGTCTGGGGAAAAACACACAGGAGTTCAAAGGTCATGACGTCCGTGAACATGACCCCGTCCTCTGCCGTTTGGACGGGAGACGAGCAGCCCGCGATCATAGAGGAGGAACCCGGCGCCACTTTCAGCCAATCCAGCCAATCACCCTCGACCGTGCCATGCCCCCAGGTTATAGGTGACCAGCTCATCGATGGCTCTGTCCAGGCCAACCCCCCGCCTCCCCGCAGCAAATCCAAAGATGAGCTTGTTATAGTTATCAACGAGAAGCTGAAGAACGGTGAGTGTGTTTCTGCCTCTGCCCTCGTTACTGCGGCTGTGTGTGTCCTCTGCATGTCCTGACTCTCCTCTGTGCAGGTAATGGGATCCACCCTTCAGACGGCACCTCTCCGGTCATCTGCTCTCCTCCAAAGCGGCAACACTCCATCTCGTATCCCCACCAGGGCAAAACCCGCAAGGGCAGCAGGGCGAGCTCCATCGGCTACACAGCGTTTTCCCCGCGGCCGTCACTGTCCCGCCACTCAAGCATCGCCACCAACCCCCCCCTGGACCGGACCAAGGTCAAAGACTATCTGCTGCTCTCGGTGCTGGCCTGCTTCTGTCCGGTGTGGCCCATTAACATTGTGGGCTTCGTCTACTCTGTCATGGTAAGCATATTTTTGCACTGTGAGTATTTTTAGATGTGTACAGTATATGGACAAATGCTGTGTTCTTTTTTTTTTTTTTTTTTTAAAGTCTAAAAACAGCCTGGAGCAAGGAAACCTGGACGGGGCAGTGCGTCTAGGGCGGGTGGCCAAGATGCTGGCTCTGGTGTCTCTGGTCGGAGGGACGGTCATTATCATTGCCTGCATAGTCAACCTGGCGAGTGAGTCCCAAATCTGATCTTTAAAAACCACCGTCTCGTCTCTGTGCGGACAACGTGCTGATGCGGCCTCTCGTCAGCACGTTGGGATGTTGCATGTCGTGCTGATTCTGCCCAGACAGCTTTTCTGGCAAATGTGTTCGAGGCTTGACCCAGAAACCTGTCATTTGGTTAAAGTAATATTGCACTAAGTATTAGGTCTGTGTTTGGACTTAATCTCATCCATGTGAGCTCTGAGCTCAGACCAGTCTTCATCCTGTCACTCAGACTTGTCACTGATGGAGTCCACCGTCTTGGTTTTTCACAAGTCATTTTTTTTTTTTTTTTTTTTTAGTTTTTTATACTTCTCTCTTTAGTGTAAACGCCAAGTAACACGCCAAAATAAAAAGCCACCCAACCAAACTCGTACATTCACTCATTCACACTAGCATTCTCTAATCTGTCTAACGCATTCATATTTACTGTTCTTAGTGTAATCCTCATTGTCATCTTCATAATATTTCAAAATGTAGCATTATCCTAAAAAAAAATGGGACTAATCAGCGACACAATCACCGAATTAAAATCCACAGTAATAAAGCTAGGAACAGAAACTAAATTAAAATGCAAAAAAAACTTCAGAAAATTTTCTGTGTTTTTTAGTCTACAACAGAACAGTGATTATTTCCGTAACTTAAAGGTATAAAGGAGGATTTTCTACTTCCGGGTGGATCATCAAGACGATTGGTCCTCCCAATTGTCAATCATTCTGGTGATACGTGCTCGTCCAATCAGACCAGAGAGTTTGGTTCAAAATGTGAAGAGGGCGGTTCTTTCCTAAAATTGGTGAAAATCCTCCTTTTTTATACCTGTGAGATATTTCTGTGTAGAATGAGTCTTGAGCCGATGGTGACGTGCAGCCTGCGGTTGTTGTTGTTGTGGTTGTTGTTGTTGCTGAATGCACAGACGCCGCCGGTGTGCCTAATTAGGCTCAGATCCTCATTACGTTGATGATTGAAGAGCGTTGGTGGAGATGGCCGGAGCTTAAGTGCTCTGGGACTTCACTCGTCTCGTTGTGTAACTGTCCTCAGCGGGTTGTGAAAGTTTCTGCAGACGTTTTTTTCACATGATGTAAAACTTTGACTTATTTGCTTTTTTTCCCCTTTTTCAGTAAACGTGAAAACTTGAGTTGCGTCTGTAGCCGAAGGACGGGGCCCTCAGACCTCCGGGCCCTCAGACCTCCGGGCCCTCAGACCTCCAGGCCCTCAGACCTCCGGGCCCTCAGACCTCCGGGCCCTCAGACCTCCGGGCCCTCAGACCTCCGGGCCCTCAGACCTCCGGGCCCTCAGACCTCCGGGCCCCTCACTGCAGTGTTAATCCCTGGATGTGACAGATCTCAGTCCGGTCACTTTGCTACGGACAAAAACCACACTGAAAAACGTTTTTTCGCGAGTCGGGGATTGAAGTCGGAGCGGCCTTCCACCACCCGCTCAATGGCGTTTCCTGCATTCCGAAAAAAACGTCCCACTTTAGTGCCACACACAGACTCTTAAACCTGCCAAGTCCTCACCACACTGCCACCAGGACCCACCAGGACCCACCAGGGAAGCCCCTTCAGTTACACGGGTTCGGGGTCTGTTGCTTTTGAGAAGAAGGAATGTAAATGTTTAATTATAATGTCAGCTCCACTTTTTAAAAAAACAAAAAAATGGGTGCAGCCGGTGATGAAATGAGGTCCACCCATGACTTTGATTGAACTGAAAAGTGCCAGATTTACATAAAGTTTTTTGAAAAAGGATCACAGTCGGTCTCTCTCTGGTCTCAACTTGTATTTCTATTTCCTGAGGAGGCCGGTCTTGTTTCCTCCGTCCTGAATACCACTGTGAACGATACGCCACTGTAGCAACATGTCCAAACATTAACCCTACCTTTTGATATATTTGTAAGAAAACATTTCAAAATAAAAAACGTGATGTGTGTAAAGTCACGCTCTTATAACACATGGAGGAGGAGTCTGCAGCCGTTACTATGTTTGTGACCGTCGCTTTGTTCCAGGTTAAGTTTGAAATGTGTTTTTTGTTTTTAATGAACTACATGTGTTAACGATGCTGGTATCTTTTAGTTATAATAATAATAATTTAACTGGTGAAAGATTGTATCCTTTTTATGCAACATTCACTGTGATCCAAGAATGAATTAATCTAATGCAAAACTGTGTATTCTGACCTTTTCAGTGAAATCTATAATAATATGGCTTTTTCTTACGTTGGTACTCGACCTGTTAAGCTATAATTACAACATATTGTACTAATTATTACTAGTGTTAATCTTTAATATTGTGGTTTGGCTTTAGATGGACACTTGCGTAGCACTGGGCGTCTGTATTGCACCAGTCTTATAATCTCTGTAGTTTGATACTAGAGCATGTTGTGGGTTTTACATTTTTTTATGTTATTGAATTAACATGTGGATCATATGAAGGTGTTCTGGGCTTCAATGCAGCACTTTGACAATAAAGACACTTGCATGAAATGTCTGAGTCGGCATTTCTGTTTGAAATGAGGCACAATGTTAAATACTGACTTGGCTGCTTTCTAATGTCTCCATCTCTGGACTTTTATTGGGTGGACCAATAGGAACAGTGCCTTCTAGTGGACATGATGAAGCTGAAGGAAATGTAAAAGATGTAACATACTGTACATGTGCCACAGTGAGAGGGAGTCTGTGTTCATCATACTCCTCATTCTCCCAAAAACACAACCTCAGTATCAGTGGAATGTTCCAGAGACTTCACTGAAAGATGAAAAAGCACCAGTTGCTGAAGATAAAGTGACTGCAGCTCTTGGCACTGGTGACATGTGTCCACTGCAGCCACAGCTGCCCAGGGGCAAAACCCACAGTAAAGGCCATTGGCCCCTTCCACCATCCCCACATTCACTGATTCACACAGTACTGTGGGGGAAGTGTCCTGCCAAACGGCACATTAACAGTTTGCTTGGTGCTCTGGGGCCTGATATTCCTCTTGACCTGAGCAGATTAGTCTTTGACTAACGAGTTTGGCCACAGTCCAATTAATGAATAACCACATTTACTCTGCAGAACATCACTCAGCTCAGGGAGCTTATAAGCCACGCCCACTGTGTGCATAAGCCACGCCCACTCGGCTGGAGGCTGGAGCCACAGACCTCTGAATCCACAATGATTTATTTCTCTAATCTGTAGTCATTAAATTAAGCTGTAATTATGGAGAGTATTATTTTTACCCTTTCACCAACAGTCATTCTCATCACCGTTTATAAAAGTGTCATTTGCTTCAGCAGTAAATTACGTCACAGAGCAGTGTGTTCACAGATCTCTGAGGGGACCGCAGGTTCTTAAAGAGGGTCGTCCCTTTGTCTCTGTTTCCTGCAGGATTGTGTGGTTATCTTCTGTGGAGCTGCATCATGTATGTCCAACTATAATGAGCCTTTTCATATAATCACACATCAGTATGGGCCACAGGAGCTGGAGCAGGACGATCTGAGAGAGAGAAGAGGAGAGAGAAGAGGAGAGAGAAGAGGAGAGAGAGGGTCCTCAGCCTCTGAGTGACAGCAGGCTTTGACCAGGAGCGTGTGAAGCGTGTGCGTGTGAAGATCACGACCATTTGCTGCACCTCCTCACGGGAAATAAATATTCTACATTTCCATGTCCTGGCTCAGTGCCACACGTCCTTGAACACATCCTGCATCACGGACTGGGTTTAGAGTTGCTTCAGTGCAGCCGCCACAGACTAAGTGGGAACAAGCAACACATATTTGTGCCCAGCAGGGGTCAGTCTCTCAGGCCTCAGCACAGACTCTGCTGCTCCCACTCAAATACACTCTGTTTTAACCCTTTACTGTTCACTCCTTGCAATGTTCTTCTAGCAATGTTTTTTAGGCCTTTACCAAATGGTTTAGATGCAACTTATTGGTAAAAACTTTTGACTGTTGTGACTCAGGCAGATCCTTGAGGTCCTTGAGAACTCCTCCTGGAAGAACCAAGAACTAGGTCCAAAACAAGGACCGGTCCTTCTCAGTCCTGGACCCAGACTCTGGAACCAGCTGCCCCCTGTCATGAGTCCTCAAGGATTTTGGCCTTTTCAAATCAAGGCTCAAAACGTATTTATCTTTTTTAGCGTATTTGGCTTTTAACAATAGCGCGGTGAGACTTTTTAAAAATTCCTTTTTAACTGTTTTATTTTGGTCGCGAAATGTGTTGTTCTTGCTGAATGTTGTTGTGTCTGTCTATTTCTATTATTGTCTTTAATAAAGTTAGGAAAAAAAGAATGAGGTAAAACATGTTGCTAACTAGTATTAAATATGTAATAATCTAAGATTATTATTGTAAAAATGTCAACAACAAAAAAGTCGATAAAGTGACTGAAAAAGTGATCCACCAAATCTTTGAGGAAACTTTCAAAGGATAAAACAATGGGAAGTGTAAACGAGGCTCCTCAGTTCATCTACAGTTCTACATATTTCTCTTTTAAATGTGTTTTCAGTTTACAGTCTGCCATTATCCCTGCTCCTCTGAAGGGGATGTGACACTTTTAAAAATAGTTTTACTGTTGAGCTTCATCACTTTGGAACAGAACAAAAGAATTCAAAACATGTTCAGCTCAAACCTGATTATTATTATTATTATTATTTTATTATTAGCATTAGCATTAGCATTATTTATGAAGTGTATCTATCTTTCCCTGATGTCAGACCCCTGTGTGAGACCATGTGCCTGCAGAGACCATGTGTCTGTGTGACACCATGTGACTGTGACACCATGTGCCTGTGAGACCGTGTGCGAGACCATGTGACTGTGAGACCATGGCAGTGTGAGACCATGTAGATCTATCACATTTTGAAAGTGACGTCCTCAGCATGGCACTAGTGATGGGAGAAGCATGGGCTCAGAGAGTTTTGGGGCCTGAGTGTGTGTGTGTGTGTGTGTGTGTGTGCGTGTCTGTGCGTGTGTGCGTGTCTGTGTGCGTGCGTGTCCACATATAAGCCACACTTGGATATAAGCCACAAGTTTTCATATTGTAATGTAAAAGAGACTCAATGGACTCAACAGGATTTGTTCTTGCCAAATCCCGTTTGATCTCTGAAGCCAAGCTGGGCAGGACCTGGTTACTACTGTGATGGGAGACCTCTGAGAACACCAGATGCTACAGTGGGGAGGTTGCAGTTGCGGCTGTGGCTGTAAAGAGCTAAACTTCTGTTGTGTTCTTCTCCAACATTGCCCAAAATGAGTCTGGTGTGTGTGTGTGAATGGTTGGTGGTGGTCAGAGGGGGCCGGTTCTGTCAGTGTGTCCCAGGGCAGCTGTGGCTACAATAGTTTATCACCACTATTGAATGAATAATGACATGTGGAGCGTCTTTGAGTGTCCTGAAAAGCGATTAACTGAAGTATTATTATTATTATTATTATTTACTGAGGAGGAGTTTACCATTACCTTCCCGTTCGCTTCCGTCACTCATTCACCTTCATCTATTTTGACAATAAACCAGTGTCCTGTAGCTACTAAAACTAGAAATTTGAAATAATAATAATACATCTAGGTTTATCGTCCGGAAAATTATGGTACGTTATATGACATTTTATTTGTTGTAAAATATTTAAATAATGGAAATCATAAATAATCCCAGCTCAAACAATAAAGAGTGACCGTCGGCCTGTAACCTCAGCCTGAGACTGAACACTCAGTTATTTGTTTTTTATGATGCTATACATATAATATTCACGGATCTTATTGTGTATTATGTGCTCCTCATTCCTACTGATCTGTAACTCATGATGCAACAGGATCTAATCATTTGTTGAGCCCTTGTGTTTTCCATCCTGACCTGTAGATGGCAGTAGTGCTTCATTGTAACCACAGTCTTTGAGGAACCGTCAGACTGAAGAACATGGATGTATTATAGAAAAGCTGCAGAAGGATCAGAGGCGTCAGACCGGTCTTCAGTCCAACCAAGCAGGAGCATCTGACCACCTATTTAGTGAGTCCAGTCTTAACCTGAAGACTTTAGGTCGTGGGTGGAGGGTGTTGTGCTCCTGCTTGGTTGGAATGAAAACCTGCAGCCACACAGGCCCTTTCTGGCACCAGTGTGACAGCCCTGGTCTAAATCATGGACCCTCTAGAGCAGGGGCCAAGTTTAAAAACACCAGAGGTGTAAATGTGGTTTAGATTCATCATTATCAATTACATATTTTTATTCTGATCAATTCCTTTGTATTTGCCATGAGTTATTATGAGTTATGAGTTATAATTGGAGTAAATCCCAACTGGACCAAATTTTATAAAAAAAAAATATGTAATTGAGGATTCATAGTTAAAAATAGAAACATTCATCTTTGGCCTTAACTTATCTTCTTATCACATGTTATTTCACCTTTTAGAACAGATTCAATTATTCGTTTTTTTTCCCTGAGAAAAAAAGATTTGAAATGAAGTACAACCAGCCACAAGTTACTGTAATATTGATAATTAAAAAGCATTTCTGGGGCCACTAAAAATGTTCTTGACCCACGAGCCTGAATTTGACAAGCAGTTAGCATTGTAGGCTACATTAGACCTGGGCAAAGTGCGGCCCGGGGGCTACATAAGGCCTGAAATACATTCCCATGTGGCCCTCTGACCTTTTTTTATTCAGATGATGGAGAATCAATACAAAGTGAAGGTTTAAGCTTCATGAGTGCTTCAATTACAGATTATACTCATAATAATTCATCAAAAACATTCATCTGGACACAACACTGAGAATTCTTTATCTTTAGTCCAGCTTTGGTTCAATTCAAGCAAAGGATTTAAATCTAAAATAACTAAACCGTGTCTTTAGCCACAAATGTCAAATCTTCTGGTTTCCTTCTCCGTTTCTATCATTTTTCTTTATCAAATACACACATTTTCGTCAATTTTTTATCAGAATTAGCTTATACTCAAATCTGCTGTGCCACTATGTTCCCAGATCCCACTGTGGCCCCTGGAGAAGAGACCTGCCCACCTCAGGTCTGCGTGAAGTCTACGGGGCACATTCTTCTGGCCGAAAACAAAAACAGACCACAGTTGAAATACTCCAAGTACTGTATATTTACATATAAACAGTTATAACACCACGGTTTAATTTCAGCATGCCTCTTTCATCACAGAAAACTTTTACCATTCGCGTTCCCACAACATCGTTTGTGTCCCTCAAACACGGCCCCATGCGGTTCCTCTCGTCAACGCCACAACAACGTCAGTGAATACAAACAAACGCGTCAGTATCAAGAAGAAGTCCGATTCAAACAACCAAAAAGGCTTCTGCGTCGTCACAGATGTCAGAAAAGCCACCTGCGGAAAAACACTCTAGAGTAAAACACGACGATCTCTCCTCCGTCGATAAACATGCAACAACACGAAGCGGTAACACAGAGGGTCCGTTTGTTTTCTGCGTGTGGCGTCTGGAAGCGTCGTCTGATTTCCACATACAAAACATGTTAGGACCGCTTGAGACTTGTCGGAAGCATAGGCCAAAACATTATTGCAAAAAGGAGAGGCGGATGCTGAAAAATGGACAAAATAAACAGCGAAACTTCTTAAAGCTGGAGTACCTTGCATCAATTTTGGTTCGTGAAAATATCATCGTCTCAATAGATCGAGTCTGGTTTAGATTCAAGATTCAAGAATTTGTTTGCGATTTGCAATAAAACCACATTGGAAAAACTGTGCAAGACTACTCCCCGAGTGTGCACCAGAAAGAGCTTTTGCCACGTCCAGAAAAACTATGTATAAAAGGTGTACAGGAGGATTTTCTACTTCCGGGTGGATCAGCAAGACTATTGGTCCTCCTAGTTGTCAATCATTCTGGTGCTCGTCCAATAAGACCAGAGAGTTTTGTTCAAAAAGTGGGGAGGGCGGTTCTTTCCTAAAATTTGGGGATATCCTCCTATATACCTTTAAGTCGCGTTTTTTCAACAAATCATCCTTTTTATGCTAAAGTCAGAGATTTTGTGCTTCAGTCTTGTTTCTTAATCAGGCTAAAGTCGGACATTTTAGATGTATTTCCATTTTATGCTTAAGATAGAGATTTTATACTTGCTTCTTTATCTTAGAGTTGGCGGTTCTATATCATTTTAGTTTAGTTTACAGTTATTATTCATTTATATTGTGCTGTGTGCTCCTCATTTCTACTATCTATAACTTGTAATGCAACACTGACATTTCCCCACTGTAGGACGAATAAAGCAATCTCTTAATCTTCTTTATCTTATTAGAAAAGGCGTTATTTTTTACATTTCCTTTCTCCTGTAGGTTCAAATCCAGGTTTAAAACTGATCTGAAGATGTGACAGTCGCCCAAAACCAGGGAATCAAACCTTTTATGAGAAACTATAGATATTCTTACTTAGTTTGGAAAATGTTGTGTTTTCAAAGTGACTCCAGCTTTAAGCACCGGCAGAAATAACACGGACGTCCTGTGGCAGAAAGATTGGATGATATTATTTTTGAATTTGGCTTCGAACAAATGCAGTGTATGAAATCCCGGTAACACTTTTGATTAGCCCTCACTGATAACAGCTAATTTGGTGCTAATTGGTGTGTACCCTTATCCTGACCCCAAATCTGCATGTGAAACCTCCGAAGCTGTGCAGGGCAGGGCCTGGTTAGCGCTGTGATGGGAGACCTCTCGGAATAGCAGGTGCCAAAGTGGGGCGGCTGTATAGGGCCTGAACTATCATTGAGTCCTTAGGCAAGACACTTCACCCACATTAGAGTGAGTCTGGTGTGTGTGTGAATGGTTGGTAACGGTTGGAGGAGCTGATGACACATACTGGTTGCCTCGCTTCTGTCAGTGTGCCCCAGGGCAGCTGTGGAACCACTGTGTACGGAGTGAAAGAAAAATGACACGTGAAGCGTCTTTGAGTGTCCAGAAAAACTCTGTATAAAACTGATATATCATTATTATTATAGCCCTAACCTATGTCCAGAATCGGAACAACCCATTGACCTTGATAACCCTAACTCAAACCCACATGGGACAGTGTCAGATACCAGCGAGTTAGATGTTGAGTAAGGCCATGTAGAACTAAGCACTAATAGATACAAATTGAGGCAAATTAACCTTAAATTCTACTCTAATTAGCGCTTCATTAGCTGTTAATTAGTGAGGGCTAAACTTAAGTGTGATTGAAATCCCTCTCAAATCTCCACATATCTGGAATGGCCCCCGAGCTTCTTTCTGATCGGACATACAGCAGGCGGGATGTGAGAGGCCTCGTCATGCAGCCGCACACAGTCTCAGCATGCATTGGAAGTGTGTCCAGTCTGCGGGGCTCATTCCTGCGCCGTGGATCCCGGCAGCTCGTTGGTCAGAGTGTGCCATCGCTCCACCTTCGTGCCCTTGTTCTTCAGACAGTCGATCCAGTGTTGCAACGCCTCGCCCTGAGAGTGGCAGCCGAAGGACACCCCGCCTGCAAAAACACACAAACCAATCCATCAATCATCTAAGGGGAAACCGGAGCACCCGGAGGAAACCTACCTAGACACGGGGAGCATATGCAAACTCCACACCGAGTGGTCTGGAGGTGGAATCAAACCCAGGGCCTTTTTGCTGAGAGGCGCAAACGCTAACCACTCTACCGCCAGTTAAGTATTTATATAATGAGCATTTAAAACTCCCGCCTCTATAGACACGGGGAGAACATGCAAACTCAGAAAGGCCCAGTCTGGAGGTGGAGTCAATCCCATGACCTTCTTCTTCTTCTCCTCCTTCTCCCCCTCTTACTTCTCCTTATCCTCCTCCTTCTCCTCTTCCTCCTCCTTCTCCTTCTCCTCCTCCTGCTTCTCCTCCTCCTCTTCCTCCTTCTGAGAGGGACACACGCTAACCACTCTACCACCAGCATGAAAACTCAGAAAGGAGCAGTCTGGAGGTGGAGTCGATCCCATGACCTTCTTCTTCTCCTCCTCCTTCTCCTTCTTCTCCTCTATTTTCTGTGTCTTGTAAGTTCTTGTTAACAGGGACTCCTCAGGAGCTGCATGAGCATAAACAAGGCCCCTGTACAATTCATTTAGAACAAATTAAAGAAAAATATTACAATTTACACTTAATTAAATGTTTTTTAGTCAAGTGTCTGTTCACAGCAGCCTCTTCAGCTTCTAATGATGAAACAAATAGGGCCAAAAGTATCATAAAACACAATTTCCGTCGCTCTCTGCGCTCTCTAATCAAAAATATTTAAATCAAGGTAATGATTGAAGCGAGACGGTGACCGGCCCTGACACCTGAGGCTACAGGTGCGGAACACAGACGTCTGGGTCTGACTGACCTTCATCAGGCTGGAGGACACTCACATGTTTGCTTAGGCAGCTTTACCCTCCTCACATTACTCTGTATGTGTTCTGTGTTAACCCTGTCGCCGCCACGGTTGACTTAAGTCGACAATTTACATTTTAGAGCGACGATTGCCACCACCATATGAAGGTAACATGTAAATTAAATGGGCACTTTTATTTCCTACACATTTCCTAAAGTCCACTCAGAAAGACCCTGTTCCCATCAATCATCATCATCATCATTATTATTATAAATAATAGAGAATAAGAAACAAACAAAACAAAAATATATATAGTGTAAGTATTTGTCAAAACTCATAACATTTATGAATTTTCACCTATTAAATCTGTCATGTCATTTCATTCTCTACCCCTTTATTAATCTATTTCTGGGTTGAGGGGGGGGGGGTAATCAGAGCTGCCACCAAAGTCTCATAGCACCAGTCCTTCTGATCCTCCTGCAGGGTCCACGGGAAGATGGCTTCTCTGTCTTTGACGAGATGGCCTTGGTCTTTCAGCGGGGGCTTCAGGCAATGTGGGGTTACGTGTCTTGCCCAGACATCAGTGTGAGCAGGTGACATGGGCCGTGGTGGGCTCGAACCAACGACCATTAGGTCCAAAGACCAGTGCTCTGATCCTTTACAGATCCTCCATTTCCCTGTGAGATTTCCTTACATACAGTAATATTTGTGCTTTTTTAAAAACTGAATTTGCTTTTCTGTCTTTTCACAGCGGCTGCAAAACAGACTTCCCATTTCATGACCGTGATATTACCCCCGCGCCTGTGTTGAAGGAGAAATGATCTGAGTTTTGAAACATAGAAACCATCCACCCACAAACACATAAATCCGTCCAACCACATTCGTGACAATTGCCAGAGGCTCAAAGGGAATTTCTAACAGGATAACAGAAGCACGACTCCTTCTGACGTCTCTGATCACATGAGTTTAATGCTTTCAAAGGATCAGGGATGTTTTATCTATTTACAGTAACTAGGCCACTCCATTGTTGCCTGTATCAAACCTATACATATTTATATTTAGTCAGAATTATCTCAAAATGTTGGGAAATGTTACGTCCAAGTATAGCACCTGGTTGCGAAGAGTACACATGCATTATTTTATTATTTTATCTGTCTTGCGTTGGTAGCGAATTGTTCTCAAATCAAGTCAAAATTCTCTGTATTTTATCAAAGGAATTTTGAACGACATGATTCAAAAGAGAGGAGCAGAGAAAGGCTCGTTCTCTGATCTGAAGGTCTTGAAAAACAAATTTGGCGATTGGGTTTTCGGTCCCAGCTTTCACACAGGAACGATGCAAGCTTTGATTAGCATCGTGTCACGCACACACACACACATACTTGTAAAACAGAATAAATGGGGACCTCAGGTTCAAGGGTGATAAATGGGGACCTGTTTTTTCCTGAGGAGGTAGAGCCACCAAAACTACATCCAATTTTTTTTCTTGGGCCTGGAAACCTAGCAATTTTTTTTTTAACCAAAATGTTCTAAGTTTTGCCTTTTTCTTTTTTTCTTGTGATTTGGACGTCCCCACATGTCACCGCTTCCAAACACACGCACACGCATACACACAGATTCTTATTCTGAAGTGTTGTGAGAGAACATTCACCGTCTTACATAACTATATTGTAATTATTGAAAAACCGTGCAATCCGATTACTAATTATCAACAAAAACGAGGACAAACATCAAATCTGCCTCATCTCATACTTATATTAAAACATATTACACAACTGTATGTAAGATCCACTCTTGCTGCTCTCATAAAGTCACTACAATCACACTTTTGTTGCCAGAATCTTCCTCCTGTGACACATGTAGCTCCTAAGCACTGATTACTGATGAAATCCACCTACTGGGGTTTAACTAGTAACAGTACAAGCTCTGTGCGTGTTATGAATTAATACTTTTTGTAGTTGCTTTCATTTAAACAGATGTGTGCTGCTATGTTTTGTTTGTAATTTTTTTGCTAAAATATATTTTTCTGTTGTACTGATACATGTAATAATTGTGTGTTGCGCAGGATCTAAATATATATATAAAAAAGATACAACATAAAAATTGCTAAACTGGCGACTTAAATGAGAGCCTTGTTGTCTATTGCATTTTTTTGAGTAAAATAAGAATAATTTTTCCCACAGAGTTATTTTCCATGAGAGAAGGGCGAGTGCTAGTTACCATAACGACACACTGTTTACTGTTAGCAGTTAGCATTAGCCTTTCAACTCACTTTGAACTCTATTTCAAGTTCAAGTTTCAAGTGAGTAAAAGGTAAAATAAAACCGTTATAGATTACCCACTTTTACTGTAACTGGCTAAAAACCTTCTGTGAATAATTGTGAGAGGCAGTTTGATGTAAAAGTGCCAAAAACCAAGACAGATGCTCCAAAGAGGTAGATTTTAGTTCCAACCTTCAAGTAGATATAGACTTAAAAAGTGATCCACCAAACGGTTGAGGAGAGCAATACAGGGTTTAAATAACTTGTAGGAAACATGTGACATCACATTTAAGAGAAGAATGGAATTGCCTTCACCTATGAAATCGTTGGACTTCCCCAGGTCGTAGTCCCAAACTGTGACTTCCAGCGTCTTTGTGGCCAACTCCGAGAAGGAGATTTCATAGAAGAACTCCTGTTGAAGAACAGATGAAGGACGGGGTCAGAGATTATCGTCATGACAACCGATACAGCCGCACTAATGAGAGGAAGTGTCTAATGTGTAGGCTTTAATTGGGGGTTTGAGGGTGTATCCCACAGATATGCACGCACTGGAGGTATAGACCCCGGGGAACATCCACAGGGGTCTAAATGAGGCATTTCTGTCAAATTCAGCGTCACATCCTTCAGCGTACCTCATTAAACTCCGGGTTCAGAGTCTTCTTTATCACCGCTGTTTTGTGCTTGGACTTTTTATGCACGTCTGGCTTGAGATACCTGCGGGAGGAATGAAACATCGTCAATGGCAAATCACTGCGACCAACAAAGAACCAGGCAACGATCCTTTGTATATGGACTTTATTCAGGCAGACTGCAGACCGCATCAGGATATCGGCCTTTTGTCGGAGACCAGACTTGTTTTCACACATTTAGAATAGAACAGGCACGTCAAGCTCAGGCCCACGAGCCAAATCCGGCCCGCAAGACAGTGTTTAGCGGCCCCTATAATCATTTTCAAATATTATCATTAACGTCACATTTTGTCTTCAGAAAAATCAACCAGATAATAATAGCCATATCACATAAAAGTCATGTCAAAATACCTTCATAATTTAAAAAAGAAAATCCCTTCTATTGTTTCGACCCCCGACCAGTTCTTATGGTTTTTATTCGGGCCCCTGATCAAAATGAGTTTGACACCCCTGGAATAGAACATACATGTTGTTCACCAAGATAGAAATTCATCTTTGGCCAATTTCACATAAATACACAATGTTTCATTTTGGATTTTTGAGTGTGTTTTTTCTTGGACTTTACTTTCATCGGTCTTCAATAAATTAATATTTTTCTGCATTCTGGCTGCTCTTTCCTCCTTAATTTCACCACATGATGTTTTGGACACATTACTACTAATAAAGGTTTTCCATGCATTGGTTTAGGTTTGTCTGATAAATCAAAAAAAATATACAGTTTTCGCGATATTGGTACGTGTGAAATCCATATCAAAAAGATGCGCAATAATTTTAATTCCCCCCCTTTTATTAAAGACACATCAACACTCAACAAGGACAACAAACAAACAAAAACATGTATATATATATGCATTTGAATGTTATATATGTAATTAATGTTGTGCTTATTTTTTGTTATTTGCCTCAGTGTTTCAGTGCAAATTGCAATTTTAGGTGAAAGACAAAAATATCGCAATAATATCGTGATCGAAATACGAAACACTCATATCAAATATCGCTCTATGTTCCAATATTGTGCAGCTCTACATTGGTTAAAGCGAGATAAATGATACAAACATCCTGTAGGTATCGACCCCTATTCATTTAAATAGATAAACACAGCACTGTACAGTACGAGGCTGGGGCCACACAGAAACAAGAATCAGACCGCATGTGGCCCTCAGCCCACAGTTTGCCCTGGTCTGCGCTCAACCATCTTTCAGAGCGCAATAAGCCTTCGAAAACATTCTTGAATCACCACACACTGAAATAGCCATAATCCCAAACAGCGGTGCATTCCAGGACATATTTGCAGAGTTTGAAATTGGACGTTGCGTTTCGGTCGACAGCGAAAGCATAACACTGCAGGAACTGAAGGACTTAGCGATGACAGATTTGGAGGTTATTTTTGCTCGTGACGCATTAAACTTAGTAATTCCCACGCCACCCATGCAGACTGAAAAACCCTCATCATGGCCTTTTGTTAAAATGCACGTCTCAAACCCAGCTGGATAAAACCAAGGCACACATTTGCCTTCCACCCACCACCCACAGCCTGAAGACCGTATGCTCCCACACACTCCCAAACACAACTGAGCATCTGGGAAGCAACAACATCAAATAAAAATCGCTCACGCCAAAGGCCAAATACCAACGTGCAGCCGAATGGAAGCTATTTGTTCAGCGGGAGAACGAGGAGAAGCGGAGAGAGTGTATTCTGAGCGTTTGCATTTTATTACCGTGAACATCCGTGTGGATTCAGTCAGGTTTGAGTCCAGTCCAGAACTGCCAGTATCTTCTCTCACTTGTGTGTTTAAGACTTTTTGGAGTCGAACAGAAAAAAATGACACTATTTTATCATGCTGTAATTGAGGGTGTAATAAGATATGGTATGTGTGTGTGGTTTGGGAATTTGACATTTAAAACAAAAGCAGAACTTTACAGATTATGGTCATGGGAGTTAGGGAGCATCCATCTTTGCAGCAGATATTTGAGGAGACTGTTATTAGACAGGCAAAGAAAATCACCACAGACCCTTCTCATGTCCTCTACTCTCAGTATGAGCTCCTCCCATCAGGCCGCCTCTACAGAGAACCAACTAGAAAAAAGAAACAATATCTAAACCGGTATAAGAACTCATTCCTACTCATATCTGTGAACCTCCTGAATGCAGCCCATCGAGCAGAGCAGTGATGGTTAATGTCGGTGTTACTGTGTTGTGTTTTTATGTCTGTCTTATGTGTATTCTCAATGTAGGACATAATACATTAATCTTGAATCTTTTCTGATGTGAAAAAAAAGAATGAGTATATGAATAAAGCCACACATTGGGTTCTTAAATATAGTTTTCACACTTGCACTTCTTTAGTTGTTCCTGTCTTGTGCGCGACCACACATAAAGTCACAGGAAACCAGGGAAAAGCGCCAGAGTTTGGGACCTGTTTAGCTCCTGCTCTGGGGGCGAGTCCCAGTGAAACCAGGAACCGTTTGTGACACGTGGACAACACTGAAATATGAACACTTTTCTTTTGTATTTATTCCTTTATTTTGAACCCGTGTATAGTAACAGATTTCACACAAAATTTAAAATAACATAGAGTATGATATTGAGTAGCTTCTTCTATTGCACTGTATTCTGAACCAAGAAACACACAACTGTTTAGTTCCGACACCAAGGTTATCCATCCATCCATTTTCTTCCGCTTTATCTGTTACCAGACCGCAGGGGCAGCAGTCACACACACTTCTTTCAGCTCCTCTTGCCCAGAACACCTCCCCAGCGAGACGTCCAGGAGGCATCCCAAACACATGCCCGGGCCGCCTCACTGACTTTTCTTGACATAGACTCCGAGCTCCTCACCCTATCGCTGCTTCCTCTTCATCACAACGGTCCGATACAACAACTGCATCACTGCACACACATCTGCCTGTCAATCTCACACTGCCTCCTTCCTTCACTCATGAACAAGACCCAGAGATGCTTGAACGCCTCTACCTGAGGAAGGACCGGAGAGAGCAAGGCACCTTTTTCTGGTCGAGCAGTGGATTTGGACGTTCTGATCTACAGCCGCTTCACACTCGGCCGTCCCAGTGTTGCTGGTCTTAGTCATTGTCCGCAAACAGCAGAGATGTGTCCTGTGGTTCAACATCAGCTAATTATTCTTTTAATATTCATTTTATTGTTTGGACGATAGAGCGGATGATAGGAGTGGACTGAAAGTGTGGGACGTCACCGTAGAAGAAGCCGATTTGAACATAAGCTGGAGCCCATTTCCTTAAGTGGGCATTTTTTTCTGCTGTGTTAATTTTTCCCCATAACAGGGATAAACATGTTGCTAAGACGGTTGCTAAGGCCAGCTGGAGTCTCCCCCGCAAATGAAGGCATCTCTCATATCTGGATTGAAAATAAATATCACAATATAAACACCGAGATCACAGACAGAGCTAAACCACTGATTGTTTTAAACCCAAAATTGTTTACTGAGCGAGAGGAGTTTACTAATCAATGTCTGTCAATAGGAGCCAGAGCAAGTTGGATCAAAACTTCATCCATGAGCACTTCCCTTTTGGGCTTCATTGAGCTAGGGGGTTAGCATTGTCCATTTATATACAGTCTGGGTTTGGAACAACTGAGCAAAAGCAAAATCTCATTCATTCAAGTGCAATAATGAAGGTTTTCTTACTCCCCAACCTGTTTACCCATAGATATAATTCATACTTTTAACCAAACGCAACCCAAAAAAAATTTATTTTTCATGTTCACAGCTTTCTATGGTTGTTCCTCTGACTGAGCAGGAGCTGGGGGGTAATAGGGTCGTGTTTCTGAGACGTGTGTGTGTGAATGTGCCTTATGTGGGGCCATATCATATAAAATCCCATATGATAAATGTGTTTTTGTGAAATTACCCCATTTTTGAGCTCAGCGCCGCATTATACAGAACCTTGTGAATCACGATGTCACCAGGGAACCATTTTTATACTACAGCTGTAATTTAAAATGTGTTTCATAACTCAATTCACTAAATATTGTCAGTGTTCTTCAGAGATGGAGTCTGTCATTATACAGTAGCCCCATTTCCACCAACCCTATGTGGCCTTACTATTCTTTACTCTATCCTACTCTACTCTGCTCTTCTCTATCCTACTCTACTCAAACCTACTCTACCCTTCTCTAACCTACTCTACTCTACTCTTTTCCAACCTACTCTACTCTAACCTACGCTAACCTACTCTACTCTACTCTACTCTACTCCAACTCGATTCTACTCTACCCTCCTCTAACCTACGCTAACCTACGCTAACCTACTCCAACCTACTCAACTCTACCCTGACCTACTTTACCCTACTCTACCCTGACCTACTCTACTCTAAACAACTTCTTGGGAGTAATTCTCAGTCACAATATGAGCTGGAAACCACAAATATCTAACATCCGTGTAAAATTAGCTAAAAATATCGCAGTCATAAGGGATTATGACTAGGGATTATCAATTAGGATCATTCACAATGTTGGACATCGGGAACACACAAATTTGTTATTCTTAAGATCTCGTGTCCTAAAACTTAAGGATCTAATAACGTTAAGATCTCTGATGATCGTCTATAAGGCAAAAAATAACAAACTCCCAGAGCAGATTCAAAACATGTTTTCTGATCGAGAGGTGGGATACAGTCTACGTGGGGCCTTTAATATTAAAGTACAGTCCAGCCGTACCACCCTTAAGAGTCACTGCTTCCATTATGCTTTAAAACCTGGTACTGTATCCTAGGAATCTATCTACAACAATTTACGGGGAAATTCCTTGGTAACTATGGCTTCAAGCAGCACCCTGGGCAATCACAGTCTAGTACCAGCTCGATATGGATAGAACCACGGCCAAGAGGGACTAAAAAGTAACTGGTGTTGGTTGATACCAGGAATTCCAGAATTATGAAACTACTAAAACTCCAGTCATTTTGACGGCTCTTCGTAAAAAAATCTCTGCAAAAAAGTACTAGATTTTTCACAGATTTTGTTAAATTTAAGTAAATTATGGGTTTTATCTTTAATGCATGGCAAAACTGATGAATGAATAAAGCAAAACTAAAAGCTAACTGAAGCAAATAAAGTGTATTGCTATGGTAACTAGCACTTACTCAAATCTGAGATACTGATAATTACATGTAAATAAATGACATGTAAAAACAGTTTTAAAGACCAAAAATGTACTTGAGCTGTGTGATTACACTTCCGAAATGAAAAGCCGTCAAATTGACTGCTTCATTAGTTCTTGTGTCAAACATGTCAGAGCGTGGGGGACAGGGATGGCAGGTAAGGGGGATTAAAACTCAATTGACCGCTTTGTATCTGGTTTCATCATCGGACACATGTGACCTTCTCCAGCAGCCGCCACACATACATTATCGCCTCTTCCCCTAAACGTAACGAGGCCCTTACATCAGCACGCCACTCCTATCTCGCCTCATCTGTCCATCTCCTTGCATCACTTGTGCAGAAAACCATCCATACCACTCCACCATGATGAATGAGCGTCCAGCGCCACAATGGTCACAATGGTCCCACCCGTCAGACTCAGACCGCTCTCATTTGTCCCGTTTACAGTGCGCCGCGGTCTGCCACTCAAGCACGGGGCCTATGATTCATGGGGTCAATAACGGCGAGCGGCTTAATCACAGGTAGCGATGGCACACAAAGGCAGCACAGATTTGAGAGAATGGAGCTGTAATGAGACCGGTGGTGCTCACGAGGAGGTTATCCGACCCATTGTGTTACTGAGGAATGACGTGCCTGCGGGTACAACTGGACTCTTCAAATATAACCAGCAAACTCTGGGAAATGTGTAGCTTTACACTAGAAAATCCCACAATTGTGAAACAACTAGAACTCCCAGAGCTGTTATTTTTGATAGCTCCCATTCAAAATAATGGAATTCTGAGAAATTTCCCCCAAAAAATGTTTATCAAAAGTAAGTTTTTATTTTTTATTTTTTACCTTTACTCACTTTTACTAAGTGTTAAAATCTGTTAATTAACTTGAAATATAGCAAAAACAGTTAAAAGAAAGGCTAAAAAATGCTAACTGCTAACAGTAAACCGTTTGTTGCTATGGTAACTAGCACATATTGAACAAGAAGCAGTCCAGAACCAGAACTCCAAGAAGTATTAATTTAAAAGTAAGTGATATATGAGGTTTTTACTTTCAATAAGAGCTAAAACTGGTCATTATAACTTGAAAAACTGCCAAAATAGTTTGTTGAAAGGCTAATGCTAAAGACCAAATGCTAACTGCAGACCGTAGACAGTGTTGCTATGATAATCAGCACTCGCTTTTCTCTGGTGGAAAACCATGCTGAACCAGAACCAATCCAGGACCACTTCAAGACCAGTCCAGTACCAGTCCAGGACCAGTCCAGGACCAGTCCAAGAGCAGTCCAAATTGAGTCCATACCGTGACAAAGCGTTTTAACTGCCATCGAAATAAAACAGCTTAAAAGGGCTAACTCCTCACAACTCAAAAATAAAAGGTAATTATGTTATGAAGTCATTAAGACTAAAAATGTAATGAGTGATTACAGTTCCATAACTAAAAGCCATCAAATTGACTGCTTCTGGAGTTCTAGTGTAGTAAGATGTTTCCTCACTCACATATTACAAAAATAGCAAAAACGAACGAATATTGTTTTCCTTTATTTCAGGTTTCTAAATCTCATTTCCATTTGCCTCGGATGTGAAAGGACAAAACTAGATTCAAACCCAAAATGTGGTCCTACAACAGATCCAACCCAGAGACACCAGCTGGACTCGCCTTTATATTTACCAGATCTTTCTCTGCAGAGATTGTTCCCACTCGTAATATTGCTAAATGAGTCATCAGAGGCCAAAACTACAAGGCCTCAGCTTCATGGAGAGCCCTTTGTGTGTTCTCAAACACATTCAGTCTGAATTTTTACCAATATTTTGAGGCACTTTAGTGGAAAAAGTTCAGAGTAGTGAGGTTAGGAATATGATGCTGTTTAAAAGGTCATTTTTATGAATAATGCATGTATAATAACAGTCAAAGAAAGACAGTCCTGGCATCAAATCAATTCAAGAAATAAAATCTGGAATAATATATTTTCAGGCTCAGTATATATTTGTACAGTGAAGACTGTTTTTTTTATTATCATAAAACGATGACACTGCAGTGGAGGCTTGAGTAACTTCCATCGCTGGTTATTTACTACAGGTCAGGTCGCTTTAAAGGATGTTTTATTTAGGTACGACTGATTTAAAGCAGTCCCGTCATTGGTTATAAGTTGTTTCAAAATATATTCAAAAAACAGATTATACTGTAGCTCAATGCCTCCAGATATTTTATTCTGACAAGCTTTTAATGCAATACTCATATCAAGTAATTCAAATGTTTGTGCAAATCTATCTTTCACACCAGGAGATATCACCCCCGTGGACCTCCCAACCCCACAACCCCCGCTTTGAAAGACGTGTGAGGTGAGTTCAAATCCAGGTGTACGTTTTTTTTATCTGTGCATACAACTGAGGTTTTGAATCACTCATTTTAATGTACTGTGATTATTTATGACTTTAAGGCCGTGGATGATTGCTTCTGTGTCGTTTTGTTATGCACTTTGAGTTGCCTTGTGTATGAACTGTGCTATACAGATACACTTGCCTTGAGGGCGTAAGAAAGAGGAGACTTATCTAATCACATATAATGAGTCAATGGTCTTGTCACTTTACTTTAAACTGTATGTGTTCTGGTATGTAGGCTGCCTCTGGTACATCTGACAAAGGACGACAGATACTGGGAATACTGTACATGTACTAATAATACTAATAATACTAATCATACGACACAGGGAATACTGTTTGGTCAAAGTGCATTGTCCCTGTGTTGATCAATGAACACACAGTCCTAATTCTGAAAGGTCAAGAGTCATTTGTAAGTTTTTAAAACCAAGGACAGCGATTATAATAGTCTGTTCCCATAATTTGCCAAATGTTGTATTTTCTTTACATATTTGACAAATTCAATTCAATTTATTTTTGTATAGCCCTAAATCAGTAGTTTTCTTGGAGGACTTTACAAAACCATTGAATTCGCCAACACAGATCACAAAGAGCCGATGGTCCATAAGGGGCAGAGACCAATGTCTATAAATGCAGTTTTATGTAGTTTCATGAGCTTACGTTTTCACATATGGATCTGAAAAGCCGTTGACGTCCATCGCGGCGAGATGTGCACAGCGCTTGACCCCGACGCACAGCCCTCCACGAGCTCTGTCCCCCTTTGTGTCTCCCTCTGTGGCTGGAGGGAGGTACTGCAGGCACAGAAGCAGACGCCCTCTCTCCTCCAAACTCCTCTGCTGCTCTGTCTCCCACTGGAAGAAGAGAGAGCAAACGAGCGATGATCAAAAAGTCTAGTGTTGTTAACCTTGGACAGCAGTTGAAAGTCTACATGAAAGGTTTTGTTGCTGTGGCAAAAACCTGACTTGAACATGTCAAGTCACACTCAGACTGAAAGATGCGTGTTGAGCCTCAGGTGAAACTGTGGATGTAAACAACACATCATTCCTTAAAATAGTTCTCAGAATAAGGTTTGACTGAGTGCCTTGTTGTTTGACCTCATGAATCAGAGGAGAAGCGCTGATGTCGGACAGAATGATTTGGACTGTCTGTCTGTCGCTGGCTTGTATCTGCGCGGCTCCAAAGAGACAGTGATTCACTGAAGCCCAGAGAGCCTTGAAGACCAGACTGTCTCTCCATCTGCTCCGTGTTTGATCAGCCTCCATCTCTTTGTACCATACAGGGATTTAGATGTGTAAATGTAGCACATATCCAGGCACTGGTTTCAAACCTCTGCAGGCACCGGCGATGTCAAATCTGTCAAAGAATGTGCACTCGGAGAGCACATACCCCACCAACTCCACAGATAATCTCAAAATTTTAACCTACCATCACATCCCATCTGCAGGATAGCTGGAGGTGATTCTCTGAGAAATACAACCTCAAACGTGGAGTACTACACTGATATTACTATAAAAGTGTTATCCTGGGTAGGAAAAGTGCTCTATAAATAAAGATTGATTGATTGAAAAGCACTCTCTTCTGTCAAGAGTCACAATACCATCCCTAGAAATAGACATTGATTGTGGATTGTAAAACTGTTTTGACTACATTTGGGCTGATCTGGGCTTTGTAAAGATTCACACTACTGCTACATAGCATCATAGCGATTCCAAAGATTCAGAGCTTTACATTGAGGAAAAGCATGACTTACTGGTTGAGCTGAAGTTGGCTGGATGACGCTATTAAAACAAGGAAGGACCCAAAAGCAGAACAGCTAAATACAACCTTATATCGCCACAAGGAAAATAAATCCAAAAGCAAGACTACACCAGAGGGCCACATAAAATGACACAGCGGGCCGCATTTGGCCCATGGGCCTGAGTTTGGACCTGCGTTGCCTAAAAATAATGTTTAAGATTTTTTGCTTTTATTTTCTAACGGTTGACAACGACAAAAATCACCATACTTCTCTCTACAGTGACCCTCCTGATTTCCTTCAGCAGTTCTCATGTCTCAGTTTTAATGGGAAACACTTGCTGCCAGATGAATTTCCCTCGGTGCGGCTTTGAACTTTGAACACTCCACTTGAAGTAGCGGATGCAGAAATATGAAGTTGGCCACTGGCATTCACCGCACCTTGTTCTCGCTGCTGTTTTCTCTCTTGCAGTCTAAGATCGTCACCACGCAAACATCCATAATTACCTGTTTTTAAGCCCAATTTACAGACAGCCTGCCTGAGTAAAGCGTAACAAATAATCTTGAATTTCAGCACATCAGTTCCCAGCCGGGCTGCAATAAACCACATTAATGATGCCACCGTCTGATCTCATAATACGGTATCATTTGCAGAAAACGGTAAAGTTTTGCCTCACAATGACTCAGTTTGCGACATTGCTGCTTCAAGCCGGAGGGGAAACTGTAGAACTGAAGAGGTAATTTGATTTCTTTCCCACTGAGAGAGCAGATGTTGTGTTTTTTCCCCCCTATGGTAGAACGTACAAGACCACTGGGTGACGTCCAAGCAAGACTCTTCAATCTATTCATGCCTAGTCCATTTGCTCGCACCACTCCTGGACCATGTATTTCACCAGACAATCTGTTAGCGGAGCATTTGACAACAGCAGTGACACGCGAGCTGATCGGAAGTGACAGATGAAAGAAAGCGGCGGGTGAAGAGGAAGCCGATGTTCTCGTAGCGCCGTGACTCACGCTCCTGGCCAACAGCGATCATAGACATCCTTGTTATTTATAGGAGGGCACGTGTCCGCACTCTGCCAGCCACTCATCACTGCAGGTGCGGCGTGCAGCCATGAAACCAGGCTTTTATTGCCTTTAATGTCGTTCTCATGTGCCATCACTCATCCCTGACTCCATGTGTGTCCTGTCGTCTGTATCTCTCCATCTCTCATTAAGTCTTATCTTCAGGGGAGCGAGAGACTCACCCGGGGCAATCAATACAGAGAACGCCCGGGCCGCCAACACACGAGCCGCCGTGTTCAATTGTGCCGTCACTATGGTCTTTTTATTTCACTGATTCCACATACATGCTCTCGTTTTGGAGTATGCAGTTTTTGTGCATGTTTTTGTTGTTGAGAATCATCCTTATCTGCAAACACAAGTGAATGTGCAATGCTTTAAAACTCACAATTAGTGTGGATCATTGGCAGCAGGTATGTGGTAATAAAACGCCTCAGACCTTCATAGATCGATAGGCTTAGACTCATTAGAGAGGTGTCAATGGGCCAGGCGCACACAGACTGACAAATGCTGGTGAGAAGCTGAATTTGTGGGTGGATGTGAAATAAAATCACAAAGACAAAAGAGGATGGCATCAAACAACCTTGGAGTAGCATCCGACAGCAGCACAGCTGTTGCACAGAAGCTGAGAGCACAGACTTGGGCCTCGCTTTGGCCTTTAGCCCGAGTGATGGAGAGCAGAGGCAAAGTCATCTCAGGGAGTGAAGGAACCACGAGCCACTGGTTATTTTTAAACCAGTCAAACAACAAACACAGGATCTTATTTATCCTCATTGATCGGTTTTAAATGGCAGCGGTTCACAGATTAACGGCCAAGACTGATGCTGTCTCTTTCTGAGCACAAACCTGTTTGATTAATGCTAATTTTGTATATGGTGCTTTATGCTCTGGCTTTCACACATGAACTATTATGCAAAACAGGCAGTGTGAAAAGACAAGGGTTAGAGAGGTAACAAGACAAGAAAAGCAGAGTGCAGACGACGCAGAAATGTGCAAATGTATTAGTGCAGAATAGCAGAGCAGTGAACAGAGCTGGTCACCTCTCTCAAGTAGCAGGAGATCCCTCTCAGCGCAGAGCTCATGGCAGTTGGTGAAGGCAGCTGGAGGCACAACAACAATATGTGAGTGGACTAATAACATCTCATATTCAAAAGCACAAGGACAAGGGTACATTGGCTGCACACCGTGAAGAACACATTATTCTACACCTATAATATACTGTGCTTTAGAAAACTAATATGAAGGTCACTTCTGCAGTTCAACCTCAAATATGTAAATGGGATGAGACATGATATTTGTAATTAACAACATGCATCATTAGACGACTGAATGAGGCTTCAAAGACTGAGAGATTCATGGGTTAATGGGGAGAGTTGAGAGAGTGATGTATATATTGGATGTCTCAGAGCCACTGGCCGCACAGAGAATGTAACAGCCCCAGGCTTCTCTCAAAGAACAAGAACACAGCACGACACTGCCCCTTTCACACACTCCTGCCCCCCCCTCTGGAGCTTTTATTTTTTAATCCATTTGTTTCTCAGTTGCTCTCCATCCCACTATCGACGCTTCCTCCTTTTATTCTTCTGCTCCGCGAGCAGCCGTTCCCACATGTGACCCGTCTGACATTTAGCCGGCACAAAAAGCTATTTCTAGACAAATTTCTGTTGTGGTTTACCTCGTGTTCTGCTTCTCTCTATCAACACCAGATTTTATTTCAGGAACCTCCCATTACTGTTGTTATTTTGTACAAAATAAACCCATATATGGTCCTCATTAATACATTCAAAACAACAGGAACATTCTCTGTGGAATAAAAGTGGTGATAAGAAAACATTGTTAAACTCTATTTACCAGTGACCTTTACTTTAATTAGACCCTTGTGTTTTTATCCAACAAGGAAATATTTGGCCTTTTTCATTTTTTTAAATAATTTCCGTGAGCATTTAATTCCTTCTGTAAACATGTAAACCACTTATTTCCCAATTTCCAAACAATCAGATCTATGAATATTGACACAATCTCATCATTTGACTCATGATGGATTAGTAATAAAGCAAGCCATAACTTTCATTGTAGTTTCAAACATCCACATCAGATTGGAAGGAGGCACTGGCAGCAGTCGCCCTCTCAGCTGCTCCATGGTCAGATGTGACTTATTCCTCAAAGCCTTGAGAGCTCATTTCATCTGTTTGGAATATTCTCAAAAAGATGAGTATTGTGTCCCTGAAACAATATCCAATGGCTGATTGTAGTTTGTCGTCTGTGGATTAGATACAAATCCAAAATAGTTTCAACTCTTAGTAGTTCAGTTGTATGTTTTAGTGCAGGGGTGTCCAACATGTGTGTGTTCGCAGAGCTACTTTTGCAGTAGTAATAAAACGTTTTCTTAAAAATCCTTTACACTGTTATTCTGCAGATCTGCCAATAATCTTCCTTTGCACATGTTGGAATCTAGCCTGGTCGTACCACACCATAGTACAAATTACATTTCACACTAAGGTCTGGAGGTGCTCCATTGACACCGTTAACAGGTGGGAGGCGTTAACTCCTTTTGCAGATTGAAAAGATTGGATCTGAGTTTACCGTCACATATGTAATGCGCCCGAGTGAGTCGTTAGCATTTAGCATTTAGCCTAGCTTTAGCCATCTCCTTTGCCGCTAACGGAGCCCGTGGGGAGTAGCGCCACAATCTTACTTTTGCTAAACATTCCTCTTGCTCCTGCTTAAATTTCTTGATAGAAAATGTGATCAACTTGATTGATCAAATTTTTTGCCATTGCCAAACTACAACCTTCCCGTTTGACGCAAACTCTTGAAGTCACCCACATCTAACTGCAACACCCGCCTCCCTCTCTGATTGGTCAGATGGAATTCAACCGATTGTAATCACAAACACAGGGACCAGACCCAGACGTTACATGCAGTGAAATTATGATTGAGCGGAGTGTAGGGATGGCTGAGGCCAGGCTAGTTTAGAATCCAGTCTGAGACCCTTTTTATGGGGAATACTATAAATCTATTACCCACAAAACCCATGTGTTTTTCTTGAGCTGAGGCCAATGTAATAACTGCGGAAAATCATGGACAAAAAGTACCATATTACTGTATAACCCTACATTAGTGAACACAATGAACACATGTATAGTTCAATAAAACGCAAGGACTCAAAATTTGTCAAATCCTTTGGGGAGCTACCTGAAAGAGATTGGTGAGCTACAGGTTGGAGACCACTGTTTTAGTGGTTAGTTTATTATCCTTACATGTAGATAACCTTACACTACAGTATGTATATATAGATAGAGATGTATCGATATTGAAGCATTTTACAGCTAGCTCAGAAGTATAGCAGTTACTTAAATGGTATATTTATTGTATATTTATATACAGGTAAAGGTGCTACTGTCCTGTATGTGCGCTGCAACATTGAAATTTCCCACTGTGGGACAAATAAAGGTTCTCTTATCTGATACTTTAGGGAAACTGTAGGGAAAGTGTGATGTGTCTAAAACTGGAAGTGCTCATTGAAAGTAAAGGGGTCTGGTCTACACATGGTCTGGCCTACACATGGTCTGGCCTACACATGGTCTGGCCTACACATGGTCTGGCCTACACATGGTCTGGCCTACACATGGTCTGACCTACACATGGTCTGATCTACACATGGTCTGATCTACACATGGTCTGACCTACACACGGTCTGATCTACACATGGTCTGACCTACACACGGTCTGATCTACACATGGTCTGATCTACACATGGTCTGGTCTACACACGGTCTGATCTACACATGGTCTGGTCTACACATGGTCTGACCTACACATGGTCTGACCTACACATGGTCTGATCTACACATGGTCTGATCGACACATGGTCTGGTCTACACATGGTCTGACCTACACATAGTCTGATCTACACATGGTCTGATCTCCACATGGTCTGATCTACACATGGTCTGATCTACACACGGTCTGATCTCCACATGGTCTGATCTCCACATGGTCTGATCTCCACATGGTCTGATCTCCACATGGTCTGATCTACACATGGTCTGATCTACACATGGTCTGATCTACGCATAGTCTGATCTACACACGGTCAGATCTACACATAGTTTGATCTACACATAGTCTGGTCTACACATAGTCTGATCTACACATGGTCTGATCTACACATGGTCTGATCTACACACGGTCTGATCTCCACATGGTCTGATCTCCACATGGTCTGATCTCCACATGGTCTGATCTCCACATGGTCTGATCTACACATGGTCTGATCTACACATGGTCTGATCTACGCATAGTCTGATCTACACACGGTCAGATCTACACATAGTTTGATCTACACATAGTCTGGTCTACACATAGTCTGATCTACACATGGTCTGATCTACACATGGTCTGACCTACACACGGTCTGATCTACACATGGTCTGATCTACAAATAGTCTGATCTCCACATGGTCTGATCTACAAATAGTCTGATCTACACACGGTCTGATCTACACATAGTTTGATCTACACATAGTCTGGTCTACACATAGTCTGATCTACACATGGTCTGATCTACACATAGTCTGATCTACACATAGTCTGGTCTACACATAGTCTGATCTACACATGGTCTGATCTACACATAGTCTGACAGAGAAGTGTGTTTCTGAGGGTCTCACAGGGGGAGGGTGCTCCAGACAGATGTTGAAGTGCTTGGCCTGGTTCGGCTTCACGCGGCGCAGTGCCACCCGCGACTCTCCGATGAACTCATTATGTGTCAGCTTGTCTTCATCGCACACAGACACCCTGAGAAAAACACACAAGTATGAATAAACATAGAGAGCAGAGCCGATTAACGACGCAGGTACGGGGCCCGGGTTTCAGTCCACTCAAAACCATAATTAACATTCAGACGGCTGAATGGGCTCATCTATTTCCGATGTTTTTCGCAGAACTGATGGACACTTCAAAATGTCCAGGGCCGGACGGAAATCATGGAATCTGTTCAGGCCCAAACTGGAAGCACAATAAAACACTTGAGATGGAGAAAAAAATTGAAACTACAGTCCGAATACTAATTTTGAGTGTATTCTGAGCAGGCTTTTTGGCGGTGTAGACTTGGACTTTGGACCTCTGTTATATCTGCATTACTGCTAAAACATTATTATCTCAAGAACTTAAGAACGCGTCATTAATATCTCAAGAACATCATATAAAAATCTTTGTCTTCTTTTGTTGTAAGGACTCGAAAATGAACCGGGTTACGAGAGCGATCGCTGCTGCCTCTGCCGTCATTTCTCGACAGTAGCATTCAGAAATGTCTTGTACTCTTTAGGTTCAAACACCTGCAGAGATGCGTGGGCTTTTGTTTGTTTGGTATTTGAATAAAAACACAAAAAGCAATGGTAGGAAAAGAGTTGTTTTAATCCTCTTCTGTAGATTGTTCCATGGTCTATGAAAGTTCCCCCAAACATGTATGCTGTAAGACTTACTGAAATACACAGGTTTTTAAATATTCAAATTCAACCGTTAAATCAAGATGTGTCGTAGAAAACCTCCACAAAACAATTTTACAATTTTTTTTAACTTAACTGTATTTTGAAATAATAGTCCTAACCGTTGTCACTTTCAACACAGAGACAGACGATTTATTAAAAAAATGTCAAAAACAAAACAATTAGTAAATAGTAATAGAGTAGAACAGTAACACTATATGTGCTACACGACAACAACGCACACACACACCTACTACACTCACTCACACACACACACAGAAACAGACACACACACACACGCACACACATGCCCTTCACATGGCATCATTCCTTCACTCCCCACATGATGGTGGTAAACTACTTCTGCAGCCACACTTGCCCTGGGGCGGACTAATGGCGCAAGAAGCGAGGCAACCTAATCTGTGCCGTTGGTCCGACCACCACCGACCACTCACTCACACACCCATGATTCATACTCAAGAATGTGAGTGAAGTGTCTTGCCTAAGGACACAACAATAGTTTGGCACGTCACAGCCGCAGTCGCCCCACTGTGCAACCTAGTGTTTTCAGAGGTCTCCCATCACAGTACTGACCAGACCCCAACCTGCTTAGCTTCAGAGGTCCGATCAGGCTTTCACATGGCATGCATATTGGTCAAATGTGTTCAAAAACAGCCTCATATAACGTCAGAACTCCCAGAATCCAGTTGGCCTTCACTTTTGTTATAGACCACAATACTTCACGGCAAAAAGTTATTAAATATGAAGAACTAAATCCTTAAATTAAGTGATTAAGTAATTTTTTCTTAATTTGAGAACATTCTGACCGTCTTAAAACACGATTTTCCAATGAGACAAAGCCGTTTAGACTTATTTCAAGAGCTCCTGCTTAATTTTCTCATTCCAAGGGAAACATTTCTTTTAAAAAACAAGATCATTTTGCTTTTGTCCCATTGGCAAATGTTATTTTAAGGCAGTCAGAATGTGCTCGAAAAAGAAACATTTTGCCATATTTGACTTATTTTTGATCACTTTTTGCAGTGTTGTTGCTTGTTATGGACAGTTAATTCCACAGCAGAGAACTGGAGCCATTAAATCATAACTTTTCTCTCCCTTCTCTACATCCGTGACTAAACACACATATATATAGTACTAACATAATCGCCGCGAGGAGAAGCCAAACATTACGATGCAGCCTCTGACTCATGTTGTTATGTGCAATGTCGGAATAGCACAATAATGATGCCGTGACACAGACCTGACCTGAATCAACCACCGCAATACGCCATGTGGGTGCCATAGTAAGCGCCCGTCCATGCTCCGCCGGGCAAACCAGGGCAGCGAAAGTGTACAGAATCAAACCAATACATATTTTATAGACTCATAGAAAATGGATGGATGGATACCTGTGGCATCAATATGGCCAAAAAGCTAATTCATGATGGATAGATACAAAATTGGGAAAAATGGCGTTCAAAATGACATTGCATTGCATTCTTGTGTCATGCATACGAGTTAGCTCTGACACGCTGAATATTAATACACACTTGTTATCGCTCTGAAATAACCAAGTCCCATTACGCACGCAGAACGTGAGTGTGAGCTAAAGTCAAGAATCAGTATGCTACGGGCTGACGCGGGGCTTAGAGAGCGATTGTTTTCCCCGTGTCGTATGTAAATAATAGGAGCGGTGTGAAGGGGGGAGATGAAAAGGCCCTCTGTCGCTGGGGCCCCTTCATGTGACTCGGACCTCATCGGAGAGTGTGCATTGGCGACAGAGATACGGCTCGCTGCTTAATGGACGCGCAGGAGCCAAACCGTGCGAAATGATTTGCCCTAAACATGTTTGAACTCTGCGTATTATAAGAAATGGATTCATTACGAAAGGCGTTACGGGATTAATGTCTTTTTTGGGGCTTTATTTTGGTAATGGGAAGGGTTGCAGAATACATTTTCAAAGAACTTTTCATGGAAATTAATGGGAATTTATGGTTTAAAACAAGATAGAAGCAACGAAATAATAAATAAACCTGGAACCTTTAACCTGGATTTAAACATTGTAGAGTAGAAGCCTCTCTTAGCAGTTATTATTGAGTTAAGATGAAAAAAAACCTTATAAATTGTTTACTTTTTATACATCTTTATACATACAAACTACACATTTTTGGAGCCGTTTCTCAGAGTTCCGTTGGTTTGAATGGTAGCGGTCAAAATGACAGCTCTGGGAGTTCTGGTAGTTTCATAATTGTGGCAGTAAAACACCAGATGTCAAAATGTAGGATGGGATGATTGTTCTTGATGTTGACTGACGACTGAAGGAAATAATAAAACTAGATTGTTGCCTGCTCCTGTCAGACTGCAGCTGGTTTATGGCTAATGTCGCTGTGATTACTTTGCCTTTCTGTCAACAGAGCAACTGGTATTAGCAATTAACTCGATAAGATTGTTTGTTTGGTCCAGGACACTTTCTACACAGCGACATTGGCTTCCCACAAACTCGTCCCTATACTTCTTTAAACATTTCTGTCCTGGATCTACAGCATCAGTCCTGGATCTACAGCCTCAGTCCTGGATCTACAGCCTCAGTCCTGGATCTACAGCCTCAGTCCTGGATCTACAGCATCAGTCCTGGATCTACAGCCTCAGTCCTGGATCTACAGCATTAGTCCTGGATCTACAGCCTCAGTCCTGGATCTACAGCCTCAGTCCTGGATCTACAGCATCACCTGGATCTACAGCATCAGTCCTGGATCTACAGCATCAGTCCTGGATCTACAGCATCAGTCCTGGATCTACAGCATCAGTCCTGGATCTACAGCCTCAGTCCTGGATCTACAGCATCAGTCCTGGATCTACAGCATCAGTCCTGGATCTACAGCATCAGTCCTGGATCTACAGCATCAGTCCTGGATCTACAGCATCAGTCCTGGATCTACAGCATCACCTGGATCTACAGCATCAGTCCTGGATCTACAGCATCAGTCCTGGATCTACAGCCTCAGTCCTGGATCTACAGCCTCAGTCCTGGATCTACAGCATCAGTCCTGGATCTACAGCATCAGTCCTGGATCTACAGCATCAGTCCTGGATCTACAGCCTCAGTCCTGGATCTACAGCCTCAGTCCTGGATCTACAGCCTCAGTCCTGGATCTACAGCATCAGTCCTGGATCTACAGCCTCAGTCCTGGATCTACAGCCTCAGTCCTGGATCTACAGCCTCAGTCCTGGATCTACAGCCTCAGCATGCGGCTGGAGAAGACTGCTCCAGCTACAAATATCAGCCTGTATTTAGACTTTTAATAATTGTTTTTGTGTAGATTTATGAATGAGACTCAGAGACAAACAAAACAGAACATCAGCGAAAAGCAAAGGACGGAAGAAAGTGTGATGTCACAGGCGCCGTGCGAGTGACAGCGAGCGTGAGATTATCAAAGTTCAATGAGTCAAGTGCGATCCCCAGGGCTGCGCTAGTCATCTTCTACTGGAGGCAATTTCTACCAGAGGCTAGAAGTAGTGCTCCTACAAGGTTCTGAATGTGCTGGAAAACGGCAGCAGGTCCTAAGTGTCTCTGAAACAGTTATTGTTTTGTGATTTACAATTTTCATTTTTCTTGCTTTTTTCTACCGGAGATGTTGCTGCAGTACAGTGTTCATGGTTTTACACTGGTCCAGACCAGAGCGGAGAGGATTTATGGTCGGATCAGGTGAAAATCCACTGAAGGAATGCTAACTTTTTGAAAAATACTAATGAAGCATTTAGCATTTTACTTTGGACTAGAGCAGAGAAAATGGTCCGAACTAAGCGGCTACTCCACCTCTGCTGCTGTGACCCGTCCTGCTCCACCCAGAGGCAACTCCACCTCTGCTGCTGTGACCTGTCCTGCTCCACCCAGAGGCTACTCCACCTCTGCTGCTGTGACCCGTCCTGCTCCACCCAGAGGCTACTCCACCTCTGCTGCTGTGACCTGTCCTGCTCCACCCAGAGGCTACTCCACCTCTGCTGCTGTGACCCGTCCTGCTCCACCCAGAGGCTACTCCACCTCTGCTGCTGTGACCTGTCCTGCTCCACCCAGAGGCTACTCCACCTCTGCTGCTGTGACCCGTCCTGCTCCACCCAGAGACCACTCCACCTCTGCTGCTGTGACCTGAAGGGCTGTTGCTGATTATTACTATTGTTAGTTTTTTAGAATGATCAATCTTATTTTATTTTTTTCTGCTACTGGACACCTGAATTTCTCCTACAGTGATCAATAAAGTATCTATCAATCTGTCTATCTATCTATCACGAGGCAGTTTCTAATGGACTAGAGTG